AACCCTAACCCTAACCCTAACCCTAACCCTAACCCTAACCCTAACCCTAACCCTAACCCTAACCCTAACCCTAACCCTAACCCTAACCCTAACCCTAACCCTAACCCTAACCCTAACCCTAACCCTAAGTCTCTTTAATCCTCGCAAACACTTCCATCTCCTCCTCCCCATCTCCCTGGATCCAACTCGTCCTCGCACTGGGCCCTGACTCGAGATATGTGTATTTGTCAAAAACGAGCTCATGTGTACCGACTACGGGAATGCCCACGATGACGCTTGTAGCGATACTCGAACTGGCACGGTCGATCAGGTATTGGTTATGAGCGAACGCCGGAAAAAGAGCGGTAGCCCTCGAGGCAAAGGCCCAGTATTGATCGAAATCCAACTCCGGCACGATATGGATAACATCTTGTAGATCTTCTGGGATGTCTGGTGGGGGTCCTGAGCCGAGAAGCTGAATCGAGGCGCCGTATTCGCGGATGAGGGAAAGGTGTTTGCGGGTGTGTTCGAAAATCGTGTTGTAGTTTCGACGCCAGGGCTCGAATTTACCGGGGATGAGCGCGAATGGTTCCGGTGGAAGCTCGACGGCGCTCTTCTTGGGAAAGAGAGGAGTAGGGTCGAAGACGGGAGGGAAGGCTGGGAGGAGACGAACGCTGCCCGGATGTCGTTCGGCAAGTGCGGGAGACGGGAAGTAGTCATTCAACTTGATGGGCGAAGAAGTGACGTTCCAGGGTTCGTAAAAGTGTTCGGCAACGAATCGATGGACATGCTCCGACAGCACGACAAAGTTGACGCGTGAACGTTCTACCCAAGGCTGGAGAATCTTTCTCCAGGGCGACTCTGGATCCTCCCACTCCGGCGCTTCGTGAATGACGCAGACAATCTCGTGAGGAGAACTCGGAGAGTCAGGGTTTGTGAACATGTCGCCCAAATCTTCGAGGTCGCGAGAGCAAGATGTCAGCACGGCGATGTCGGGCCTGTACATGAGCTCCGATGACCTCAACTCTTCCCACCGGCGCATGATGAGCTCCCCGGAAGCAGCTTGTTGAAGGAACGGTAACGCGTTCATTCGCTCCGCGGACGTATGGTTGACAAACAGCTCAAGCTGGGTGTGCGACGTATGCGAGAAAGCGTCAAGAAGAGGGATGACGACCTCGAAGTGGTATTTAGGCGTGTTGATGAGGGCGATGCGCATGTTCCTCTTCGACTTGCGAACAGCTGGAGCGTCCAAGTCGGTTGCAAACGGTGCTTCATAGCGAGAGACTGGTTCAAAGACGGAAGGCTTCCTTGTTGCAGCAAACGACCATGAGGGCGAAAGCGTCAAGTAGATCAAGCACAGTAACGTCACTATGGTAGCGACGGTGAAGACACGGCGAGAATCCCTGCGAGCCAGCATGGTCGTCGTTGCTGGTCTCCATCTTCATCACCATCTTCATCACTATATGGATTCTCTTAAATCGAATTGCGATAAATTGAGGAGGTTTTGGCTGCTGTCCCACCCGAGCCGTCCCACATTCTCGGTGCGTGCTAAGCTTTGACCCGCTCCCTAGTCAAGCCTCCCCTCAAAGAGGCTGTCTCCGTCGGCGAAGATGCTCAATCCTAGTAGTGCTGTTGATTGAAGAGAAAGGGAAAGAGACTCACTGCTCTATGGATCAGGGCAAATGCTCCGTACCCGTCATCCTGTCTTCATCGTGGGTGCCATCACCCTTCTCGGTTGGTTGGTGTTCCTATATCACGCCATTCCAGAGGTATGTTACTTCCCGTACTGCTGAATGATGCTTATTCTGGTGTAGCACGCCTTCAGTGCTTTGCAGAGTGTCGACACGTCAACTGCGGTGACTGATGATACCGCTGTGACCGACGAAACTGTCCACCTCCTCATCCCGGCCACAGAACCCAACAATCAATTCTGCCGCGTCCTCTTCTCCGCCCTCATCAACGACTACCCCTCTCCTTACCTCGTCAATTATGGCAAAAAGTACGACGACCCTGCGATCGCTCGTGCACAGAAAATCGCCGGCTTGAACGAGTACCTCCTCAAGTCAACCGTCAGCCGAAACGATACCATCATCATTGCCGATGGCTTCGATGTGTGGTTTCAGCTGCCACTGGATGTCATGGTCTCCCGATATCGGCTTGCTCAACAAAATGATACATCCCGAACCATTTTTGGTGCAGACAAGAAATGTTGGCCGAATGATCCGAACTCGCCCGCGTGCACTCGCGCTCCACTGAGCTCCCTTCCAGATGGAGTGTATGGACCGGACACGGACCAACTGACCATTTATCGCGACCAGAAGGCAAAATACGATAACTTCCGCCCGCGCTGGTTGAATTCTGGTACCGCCATCGGTCCTGCTAGTTCACTGCATGCTATCTATGAAGAAGCCTGGAGGAGGATTGAAGATAAGCAAAGCACCGTCAAGAGCGACCAGCGGATCTTGGCCGACGTCTGGGAGACGGTCTGGTCGATTTTCTGGTCGTAGATCACAGAAGCGAATTATTCCAGACTCTGGGGTTTGCGCAAGCTGATGTCGCTTGGATCGTCAATCCAGATCCCGAGACCAGAGCAACAACTGCCAGTAACGATGATACGGGTCAAATGAGGTTGGAACTGGCTTCTCTGGGTATGGACATGGAGGAGAGGAGAGAACGGAGTGTATGGAAGGGAAGGCCGCTTGCTTGGAACAGGATCAGCAACGCGATACCCTCGGTGCTACACTTTAACGGAGATAAAAATTACATGGATAGATGGTGGCATAAGATGTGGTGGAATGCGAAGGGTGGGGAGATTGCGAGGACCTTCTTGGAAAGACTGGAGAGTGGTGATACTGAACTACTGGCAGAGATGCGGGCGGGTGCTTGGACCGAGGAAGGATGGGTTGACTGGAACGAGCTTTGCAGGAATTTTTCCATATTATAGTTTGCTTTACTATTGCTTCAACATCAGCATGCGTGGATTGCCGGCGAAGCTGCACTGCTGTCCAGGACTATATGTTCGCCAATAATTCCCGTATACATACGGCTGAAACACCTCTAGAAAGCTTAAGGGTTAGGGTCTCGGAAAACGCCCTCCCGTTGTTGTTATATCTGAGGAAGTTATGTTCGTAGTTGTTGAATCACCAGCTGACAGGAGGTGGTAACAATGCAACATCTTCCGGTATACTACTTTACGAATCCTCGCGGTGTGCGCGTCCTTGCCTCCACCGTGGTCCTCGCATCAGTTTTCTGGATTTTCTACCAATGGTCCAGCACTGTCGATGGTGCTACCCGATTCTCCCGAGATGCTATTCACGACATTCAGAACAAAACTCTCGGTTTCGGCGCCATTCTTCTCATATCTCTTGATTTCCGAACGGACAGGCGTGATGCGTTAACACTCATCACCTCCACCTCGGACATCGAAATCACCGAGGTCATCGATGGTGTTCGTGGCGAAAGCATACACGAGAAAGCCCACCCCACCGGTGAGTGGCCGGAGCGGGTGGATATGTCACATTTGGGCAGTTGGAGGAGCCACATGAATGCTCTCAAGTACATTATCGATAACCAAATCGAGACGGCATTGATAGTCGAGGACGACGTGGATTGGTGAGTGAAGCTCTTCCGTGCTTTCCGATAACTGACGATGGATGGTAGGGATGTTCACGTCAAGAGCCAGCTCAACTCCTTCGCCCACGGTCTGCGCAATTCCAATCTCAGGTCACTGTACACCCCTCAGGAGATCCAGTATGCACCGTACGGTCTGGATTGGGATACTCTACACCTTGGTACTTCACGTACTGGGATGGCCCCCGCACCCTTAGACGATCTTTACGCGCTTTATCATGATCCATACCGTACTCCACCTGAGCTGATTGCTCACAAAGACGCATGCGGAGAGAAGGACTGGTACTGTTGGGCCGACATGATGACCCACACTTCATGCAATGATAACTCACGAGTCCTTTACCCGACGTACTCTAGTGTGGGGCTCGTTGCTTTTGCAGTGACTCTCCTAGGCGCCCAGAGGTTGCTCTACGAACTGAGTTGGGTCGGACTCAATACGAGCCTTGATTACTCTATCCGAGGACTTCATACGCGAGGAGCATTGCACGGGTGGACAGTCACACCTCCCATCATGTCGAGCTGGGTTACGGGTGACGGAGCGGACAGCGACTTGACCAACGACGGAAAGGGGCGGACGGGGGTGCCCAGGCATGGCAACCTTGGCGGGGAAGGCAAAGGTTTAGGGTGGAGTGCAAGGAAGGCTTTAACGGGGAGACTGACACGGGAAGACTATTGGAAGGGTCCTCATGGGTGGTGATATTATCTGCCATTTGTGGTTAGCGTAACCGGGAAGACACCCGAGTGTTATCGATAGCCCTGCATTCCCCGCGTAACCTCCCTCTCTCCCCGTGTGACCCTTGTAAGAAAGGGGTAAACGACGACCATGGCAGACTTGTTCGAGAACGACCTCAGCTACGCGCAAGCACAAGAACTGAAGCGGCGACGGCGGATCCTGCCAGAAAAGCGCAAGAGAGTCGTCAAGGCCTGTCAGCGCTGCAGAGACCACAAGCTGCGCTGTCAGGGGACACGGCCTTGCGACAGGTGTGCTCGCTCAAATACGGACTGCATATACCCCGTGTTGAGTGGATCGAACAATTCAGACGCGTATGTCGCAAAGCTGGAGGAACGCCAAATCTACCTCGAATATATGCTGCAACGGCATATACCCGGCTTGACACTGGACACGCCAAGTTTACGCTCGCTAGCGGAAAGTTACAAGAAGGAAGAATTCGGCGACCACGCAAGTGCGTCAGTCGAGGGCCGAGTGCAGCAGAAGCTGCTCAATGAGGATGAAGGCGTTCGAGATGTGTTGGATGGAAGAGCGCGTCTCATTGTGGAAAAGCAGGGTCAAACGCATTACCTCGGCGAATCCGCTGGTTGGAGTTTCATCGACAGTATACGCGAATCGATCACGACGACCCCAGGCGAACTCGATGTCAGTGCTAGATATAACACGTTCCTCGAGGAGAATGCGGATGAGGTGTTTGAAGAGATCAATGTTTCAGACCCAGCAGCGCTCCTTCCGCCACGACCTACAATGGATTTCCTGATCAATACTTTCTTCCGGCACTGCCAAACAATGCTGTTATACACCCACGAGACTATCTTCCGGAAGAAACTCGGGCATTTACTCCACTCCCTCGGTAGCGACCAGGAGGACACGATCTTCCTCTGCGTGTTGCTGATGGTGCTAGCCGTCGGCAGTCAATTCGCTGAATTAGAAACTCAATCACCAACACCGGATGCCGGCTTCTCCTATTACAAAGCAGCGCGGATGCTGCTCCCTCACGTTATCACCGCGTGCAAGATGAGTAGCGTGCAAGCATGCTTGCTTATGACCAGTTACCTGCAATGGACGCGCCAGAGAGATGTGTCGTACGCGTATATGGGTATGGCAGTACGAATGGCGGTATCCAACGGAATGCATCGCCGGTGCAATGTGGCGCTGGATCCGCGAGTGGTGGAAATTCGGACGCGTTTATGGTGGTCTATCTACACAAAGGATCGCTTTATGAATATGTCCATGGGTCGGCCCATGCTCTTTTCCGACAATGATTGCGATCTGGAGCTGCCGAGATACTTGCCAGAGCTCGACGGCCCGAATTCTTCACCTGGCATTGATGTCATGCGAGCTAATACAGAAATGGCACGAATTCTCGGCCATATCATGTCGAGAATCTACACGCTACCAAAGGATGGACAGAAGAGCTCTTCAGTCAGTCGAAGCGCAATTGTGGAGCTGAAGCAAGAACTATCGGCATGGAAGACGCGTCTCCCTTCACGACTACGGCATCAGAAGCCCGATCCCAAGAGTCAATTCTTCCGGGCTGAAGTGCATCTTCACCTGGGCTACTACCAGGCAATCATCCTCATCACCCGCCCTTTCCTCCTCCATCTCGTCCGAACTCGTGGACCAACAAAACAAGCCGCCCCGTCAGCTGCGCCAGATCAAAATGCCGCCCTCATCGAGCAACTCGCTCTCAACTGCGTCGACGCCGCCCACGAAGGTATCAAGTTGATACAGAACCTTCAGAAACACAACAAGATCTGTCGCTTCGATTTCTGGGATTACCATTACTGCTGCGCCTGTGCGTATGTCATATTACTGAGAAACGTCATTCACGGGGATGATCCACGGGACCCCAAGGCGATTCAATGTGCAATGGACGTGATGGAGTATATCGCGAGTGGCAATGATTCGGCCAAGCTGGCATTGGACCTGATGAGAGAGTTGCACGTCATTGTTCGGAAGAGGAGGAGTGGTGCGAAGGGCAAGGCTACAAAGGACGAGGTACAAGGATGGAGCGTGGCACCGGCATTGGTCCCAGCGTCCGGCTCTTTCGACCCATCTTTAGTACCGCTTGGCAGTATCTCAGAGTTTTCGGGAAGCTCCATCTCGCCAGTGCCGATCAATGACTTGGAGACGTTCGTTCACGAGGATATCTTGCCTTACCAGGATAACGCGTACGACTCCAATAACTTCTTTCGTGTCTTTGGTATTGAGAACGTTAGTTTTCCAGAGTTGGGTGGGGAGTTTGGGTTTGGAGGTCAAGATGGTGGGACGTTTGACTGGGGGATTTGATGAATAGGTGATGAGCAGAATATCCGGAATACCATATTAGTTGTAGATTTAATGATCAAGGGGAGTAGGGCTTTTCCGGAAAACGTGAGGTCGACTTCACACCATATGCATGACCATTCAATGTTGCAAGCAAGCTTGTGAGTCGCTTGTGCAATCGAACTCGTAGAATCTTCTAGGTGTACAAGCCTGGTATAGTTGTCTGCTCCGTTCCCCTTTACCGCGAACAATTCCTGGTTCACCAGCATCAACGACTGGTGATACCCATGGCACGCGTGTGGTCATGGCGAAGTACACATTTACTCGCAACCTCTATCACTACTCAAGCTGATAGTTTCTTCAATTTTGGCCTGGAAATTAGAGTGGCCGCGACAAATGGTTTTTCATCGTCTACAGTATCATCACCGGATCGAGGTCGCTCCACATCGTGAATCCCAGCTCGAACGAAGTGTTTACATTGAATGTAAGGAAAATTCAGACATACGCGCGGAAACTTCAGGAATAACCCTTAGTTGTCTCGAGCAATGTCCGTGAACCATCCAATAAACCATCCCTTCTGGCCTCAGCTTTCTAGAATCTCGTTCAGTTTTTGTTACACGTACCAAAATTCTAACCATGTGGCCTATTAAAACGATCTGCGGCTACACTATCACCCTGTGCATTGAGGATGAAGAACAGATCCCCGCAAATATCTCTGCAAATTTCCGGAGACCCTTAAGTGCCTACATGTATTCATGGGCAGCACACCCTACGAAGTCAAAAGTTATGGATTAAACACGAATTTCCTTGGGCGCGCGCGTAATCCATGTCAGAATCATGAATTATGCGGAATAAAATCATGGTTTGGGTTCCGAAATCCAGGATACGATCACGGATTAAGCGGGATCTTGTATTCCATGACTCTCCCGACCCAAGGGACAGATCTAACAACACCAGGTATGATTGGAATTTCCGTGTACGTGGTTGAGCCTGTGCTAACATCTTGAAACATAGGACATGTTCACTACTATTATAGCTACCGTACTAGGATACTCATTGAAATCTCTTTTACCTGCTAATCTCGCGCTTTTGACCCAATAATACTGTGAACTTTCCCAACACTCATTTGCATTTTTGCATAAGTTTTTTCTAGGATCAAGCCCAGTCTCACCATGGATTATCTTAGATTGTATTGAGAATTATTGTGGATTATGCCACATAAGATCATGGATGAAATTGATTCAAGTCGTGGTTTGGGCCCCCTTAAGAATATGATCATGGATTGAACGGGATCTAGCAATCCATGATTTTCGCGAGCATATAGAATTTTGGTATCACAGCCATGTCGAAATTCCATATTAAGCTGATCTCGAACTAAAGCCGACCTGAAAACCGCAAGCATTCCTTTACCTCTTCGACAAGGACAAAGCATAATGGGTTCCACTCTACTCTACTCTATTCATAGGTTGGGGTCGTCCCCAGGACTTTCAAGAAGATTTGCTGACAAACACAACAGTGATAGGAGTGCATGTTCATAGCCTACAGCCTGGGATCATGTCCACTAACAGTTCGGCCTCAGGTGACGTTGTTGTCTTAAGGCATCTGGGAGATGGGTATTGTGATTGTCTTACGGCGTCTGACATATAGCTCGGTAATAAATCAGAACGGCAAGGCCTCCTTTGCACACGGAGTTGTTTAACTTTCAAAGTCCTCTACGTGTAGGCCGAGCAGACCAGTTTCATATCGTCTGCCAGATGCATATGCCTGGGTCATCCATGGTATTGTCGAGCGGTGGGTACACGATACTGTGGAGCATGAGGAGGAGGCCTAGGGGTGGACTATGCTTCAAATGGTCATGGAGGATCTCTAACGCTATTCTGGATGAAGCTTGAAGTACAGCGGAGCATTATCGAGGATTATGCTGAGCATCGACGCGATTTATACCGAATGCAAGCGTGGATTAGGCCCGATGTCGTATCATGGATCAAACAGAGGGCCACGGGCTTGGATTATCACGAGAGAATCATGGATTATCCACCAGGAATCATCGATTAAATCGAACTTTATTGTGGGTTATACGGAATAAAATCATGGATTATGCGGAATGATAGCATGGTTTGTTGAACGAGATTTTGTAATCCATGATTCCCGCGACGTAGGGCTGGAAAGAAACTTTCGTGGAGGTGATCTGAAAACCGGAATGGACACCTCGGAGGTTTCCAGCTGGGCAACCCTTACCCCCGGAAAAGCCTTACACTTCTGTCGAAGATATCGGGCTTGATCCTAAGTTCTGAGTAATGGGTATTAAGGCTTGCCCTACGTCCGCGAGAATTATGGTAGACTAGGGTGAGGTTAACCCATGCTTATTTTGCCGTGGTTAAAGCCCAAAGACATTGCTCTGGATAATGTACCCATGATCCGGGCTGGCCTGATTCATGGCCATGATACGATTCAGTATAATCCAAGATCAATCCACAATCTGATTCTAAACAATCCTGGAGAATATTAGATTTGATCTTCAAAAAAAACTGAGCCCAATCCCAAAAGAATCAATAAAGTACCCAAGATATCTGCAGCTGGGCAAACGAGCAGTAATGTTTCAAGTATTATGCCTTAAGCCACCCAGCCATTCATCCAAACTTATGAGAGAAGAAAGAGACACCAACGAAACTAAAAAGAAGACATAACAGATAGAGAATCAGAAGATCTAAAGCCGCACCCATTCGGTTACGGCAGGTCAATTACTACTCTAATCAGAAGTGAGCTAAGGAGTAGCGAAGCAAAGTAGAAGAAGAGAATAAGTAGAGAAAATAATGTAAGGGAAGCGAAGAGATTTAGTAAACAAGGAAGGTCAAGGTATGTCAAGACAGCCAGATTATAGGTGAAAATATTGCAGCATGAGTATTTGAATAGTTATTGTGGCTATTTGAATAGTTATTGTGGCAGCACTTATGGTTTTGTAATGAGGGATGTTTTCAGCGCTGCGTGCTCAATTGTATGGATGCCCCATTCATACTTGGCCTTGACCTGAGCCTGCTGATTGATACGCGTGCACGGAGGGACTTGATAGCTCCAGAAATCTCTCGGACAGGACCTCTGGATGATATATATTATCTGGCAGTGGTTCATGATCTTATTTGGGATTGTAATCCATGATAATGTCAAGGATCGTAATCCACGAATTTGTCTGGGATTTCTGCCAGGATGGTAATCCACAATGATCTGCGTAATCCACAGTTTTCACTTCTGCAGTATTGTCCAAAGCATGGATAATCACCATATACATGAGTATCATCACTGCCGGCCAACAACCAGCCCCTGGAGTATGATGATCACAAATGTCTAAACCTAACTCTAGTGGTGCACGCAAAAACCACAACAATATCATGGATTCAACTGGAATTTGTCCAGGACCATGCATTCCATTATGGATTACCATCCTTGATATCATAATGAAATGGCTTAATCCATGATTTTTGACTTCGTAGGGTAGCCATGACAATGCCATGAACAACAATCCCAGATATCATCATGAATTATGGCCGATAGATTGCATCAGTGGTTTAAAGATGATATTTTGAGATTTATGACGGATCCTATCAAGGATTCAGCAACATTTTCTGCAAAGGATGCGTGTTTTCATGGCAAAATTGCCGTGACGACAACAAAACCATGCATCAAATTTCACCTGATCCATGATTCTCACACACCTAGTGCAAATACTGCTACATACATATATATCTATCTTAAGCTCAGGAATCTGTGAAGCGGACCCACGAAGCGCGAACATATTGATATCCGGAAGTGATATCAAGATCATTACCATCATGATCAATGCCTTCAGACTCTGAGAATCTCTGATGATCTTGAGAAATTCACCAAGATTGCACATCCTGAAGAATCCTTTCTCCTGTTGTTCCAAACTATTCTGTATTTTACACGAAAGTGCCTGGGTTTACTGAATAATCCAGAATTTGGGAACGTGCGGGAAACATGCTGGGGATTGCAGATATGCATATACCAGGATGTGGTTGGCAATCCTTAGGATTTTTCAACATTTTTGGGACTATAACATCTTCAAAGAAGTGGCACCTGTTGATGCGATACTGCGATAGCTGGCCGCTTAAGCAAAAGGTTGCAAGTTTTGACAAACCTTTGCTGCTCAGTGCTGAACACGTTATCGTCAGAGCAAAGATTCAAATAGTGTGAGGAGTTGTTACAACAGAGTTCAATTACAACAAAAACCGACTTATGCATATCCAAAGCACAAAACACAAACGCCTGTCTATTGAATCACAGAAAGAATAATCTTGGTCCTTGGTACCCCACTTCATAATTTTCCGCCTGTACTCAAAAACTGTCATACTCAGCAGCAGCTTGCTCGCAAAGCTCACCAAGCTTGGTCATCCATCCACGGCCAAGCTCAGAATACTCCTTAATGAGATCTTTGGGAATTACCATCAACTTGTCCGTCAATGTGGGCTGACTCTGCTTCACCCCATCGACTTCATCCAGCTGAGCAGAATCAACTGATTTCCAAACGGCGCTGCGATTCAATATCATCTACAGCCATACGTGTATTGAGTGGAGTGGATGAGTTAGCCGACCTTGAAATAGTTGAGCGCACAGAGCAGACACTTCCATGCACATTGAGGGCGGGAGCGTAATTGGCGGCAAGTTTGCAGGACACGAGCCCTTCTGTACCATGATGGGGAATTGTTGAGCTGGATTAGGCATTGCTGGACTTGACGGGTGCAGTTGCCTTGCCGTTCATTGCAACACACTTAGTCAGGTAACTTGGAGATGCCGTCTGATAGAATCGCCTGAGTTTTGACTGCCCTACACGAAGATCCTTGGAGGGGCCTGTGTTGGCCTCCCAATCCTGATGACGGTAAAGCCACTTTCTGCCTGGCCTGTGTTGAGCAGCTCTTTTGCATTGGCCTCAGCCATCTCAATAATCCAGTTCTGGTACACCTTTCGGTATTCCGGATCATATGTGATGTGGAGGACTTGTTGCTGGGACAGCCAATCCCAGTCGGCGAGGTCAGGAACCGCAACCTCATCTCTATACTGGTCCTCCCTAGCCTTAGCAGCTTTCGCATCTTTGAATGTGTTGTTGGGGCATTTTGGTCCCTTTGAGTCAGCCAATGTTTCAATGGATGTATATGTCCTGAGGACTGGCTTGTAAGGTGCTGCTGACACAAGAGCTAGTTCAAGACCAAAAATCTCTTGAGCAGTGGGGCTGCGAGTGTGAGTCTTGCTCGTTGAAAAGATCAGATAGGGGAGTTGTTGGTTGAGGAGGATCGACAAGGTGGGCAGGGACAGCACTCTTACCATACCAGGGTATAGGTTCGCTGGACCTGTTTGCCACCTGACGTCCGATCGATCACGAGGACTACGGAGTTGATGTAGTGTGTTCGACGTCATGACTGGCAAGCTGTAGCTACTATAGCAACGTAGCGGTGAGAATGCCGCATCCGGTCTTAGCGTCGTGCGCTGCTACATGGTATCAGCACCGTTTCGCGTCACTCTGGTGATGGTGAAGGTAAAGTCTCACCTTCGAAGCAGACCTCAGTAATAGTCCCAGGTGGATTTATTGGGGATTATGCCAGAGGAATTAATCCCAGATAATCTGATCAAAGGCGCCCCACGCCGTAGTGCTACGAAGTTTACTGCGTTGCGCATGCGGCGCACGACACCATGACCACAACTGCAAAGAAGAAGCCTAGGTTTATGATCATAAGGCGACGGGTAATCTTTGGGGCGTTTCAGTACTACTACCTATCCACTGCAATCGAGGTCGTCATTGACACTCTTTGCTAGCGATTGAATATCTAGCGGTGAGTAATAATAAATATTTCCATAACCGTTGCCGTGGGACACAATGCTCCACAAGGATTCCTATATGAAGGACCATGAAAAGCGAAAGTACCGAGACGGACTGGGAGGACGACGCTTTGTATAGTGGCTCAAGTTTTGCAACGTGACCCACTGTAATCCAATCCGTTTGCGTTGAGACGTGGGGAAAGTCGATGAAGTTTGTTCAAGTGGACACTGTTGTCAACATGGTTTCTCGAGTCTGTAAGTACCTAGCGTTTCTCGCCCCGAGACAGCTGTTTGTTATGAACGGACTAATACGTAAGCTAAAAGGGCCTGCCCATTCCGACGTTCTTCCACAGCTACTAAGTTGAGTCTCACTACCCAGCCTTAGACTGTCCAAGATAGGTAGCTTGTCACGTAGATCGAAGGTAGACCAGTGAAGGTGGACGGCTCCAACGGCTTAAAGCAATTCGCTTCCAGCAATGACTAGGGTACTCCAAGTGCTCAAAAATTCAGGGAAAATACTCGGCAACTACCATCTACAACCTTTTCGCTCTCGCTCTACGATTTAGTGCTCAAAGCTGATATTCGACAAACGACCTGAGATACCTATTAGGGCCTTACAAGCATGCGAACTTCGTCTTCGCTTCGGTTTATGAATACTGGGAGACAGAACCGAAAGTTATGAGATCGTGCGCCTTTCCCATTCCCGTGAGAACATCGAAAGGTGTATGCCAGCCCTTGTCGTTCATGCTCGAAGTTAAGAGCACAAGCATATCGACATGCCAGTTTCTCACTTACAGTGTCAGACTTCCCGGTTGAATTAAGCGAACATGATAATGCCGAGTATTCAACGTCAAATTTTGTCCCCAGCATCTACCATCTGGACAAAAAACGGTAAAGCTTAACGTGCACACAAGTGGCATAGGTATGGATGCAAAGTTCGTCTACAGCAGAGCGAGCATCTGTTTCCAGCTTTACTTCATAGAGGAGAAAGGCCTTAGACGTGATCCGGTATCATCCTCTGAAATTAGAACGTTGCATGGCGTAGAGGTCCTTCTCATGAGTCCCACGCTACTGGGCAATCGGGAGGTCACTTGCACAGGTCGAGCCCGGGCCAACAACCACAACCCCGCAACGCATGGACTTGCCGTATACTTACCGTCTGAGTTCTCCGCAAGCATGAGCTCGTCGGAAGACTCTTTCCTGGCAATAAAGATATCATTAAAGGATGCATCTTCGGCGCACGCCTTAATCGAAGAGAGAGCTCGATGGATACAGGATGGCTGCATCCGTACGTCATATGACTGACGGCTGACCGCCCAACTTCTCCGCTCTTAAATGAACAGCAACACCAACATGGGGTACCATAACAATGACTCCAGCAGCTTTGGTATGCCGCATACAACCGACTTACCATGGCCCATTATCAATCACCGACCTTGACTCGCCCTGAGCGGTTCAATTTTGCTACAGACGTCGTTGACTATTGGGCAGCCCAGACTCCCGTCCCTCGCGCTTTATTCTGGACCAGTCGCGATGGAAAGCAGCAGCGCGACTTGTCTTACAAACACTTCAGCACACAGTCACATCGGATTGCGACCCTGCTCGACAGCTTGGGCGTTCGGAGGGGCGATCGTCTTGTGATCATCTTGCCAAGGATCCCGGAGTGGTGGGAGATAGTGACGGGATGCTTGCGTGCAGGAATCGTCGTTTGTCCGAGCACGACCTTGCTCGTTGCTCATGACATCGAGTATCGCGTCAATGCATCACAGGCGACCGTATTTGTGGGTGACGACGTTAGTTGTCAGAAATTTGCGGCTGTGCGTGATAAATGCCCACAAGTCAAGGTGGTGTTGAAAGTGAACGGAAGCAGTGGAGCCGCGCAATCGGGCGTCGTGGACCTTTTCTCTGCGCTTTCGAAGGTTCCGTCAGACGCGACGTTTGCCGCCGGTTCCATCCGCGTCGAAGACCCCGCGATTATCTACTTCACATCCGGAACTACTGGTCTCGCCAAGATGGTCTTGCATAACCAAATTTCTTACCCACTCGCGCATACAATCACCGGAAAGCACTGGTTGAGGTTGAAGCCAGGCGACTTGTACTGGAATCTCTCTGAGCAGGGATGGGCGAAGGCGGCGTGGTCATTCTTTGGGACATGGAACTGCGGAGCATCATTGTTCATTCAGGATGATCGTAGTGCATTTGATCCATTCCATCTCATCGATACCCTAAACAAGTTCCCAATCACGACCATGTGCGCTCCACCGACCGCTTATCGTCAACTGGTGCTAGATAAGTGTCGGAAGTATTTCGCTGCGAATCCGCCGAAAGCACTTAACCACGTCACCGGCGCTGGTGAACCTCTGAACGCCGAGGTGATCAAGATCTTCAAGGATATGTCCGGCGGCTTGCAAATTTGCGACGGATATGGACAGACGGAAACAATCATGGTATGCGGAAACTTTGCCGGAAACCCCATTAAACCAGGATCAATGGGTAAGCCCTCGCCGGGGGTGCCCCTTGCAGTCATCACTGAAGAAGGCATTGAAGCACCACATCACACCGAGGGCGATATGGCCATCAGAGTTAGCAAAGAGTCGACTACTGATGGCCCGAGCGAGTTCTTTGGTATCTTTGATGGCTACATTCTCAACGGCAAAGCTGAACGTCGTACACGCATGGCCAAGGACGGCAAGACCGTGTGGTATCTGACTGGCGATCGTGCAACACGAGACGAAGACGGATACTTTTGGTTCGTTGGACGTGCAGACGATGTCATCAACTCTGCCGGGTACCGTATTGGCCCGTTCGAGGTGGAATCAGTTCTGAAGCAGCATCCCGGAATTGTCGAGTCTGCTGTCGTCGCTTCGCCTGATCCTGAACGCGTGGAAGTTGTGAAGGCCTTCATCGTCCTCACCGACACTTATGCGGAGAAGAACGAAGAGGAATTGAAGCAAGCGATCCAAGAGTTTTGCAAGACAAATGCGGCGCCTTACAAGTACCCGAGGAAGATACAGTTCGTGCCTGCTTCGTTCTTGCCGAAGACTATCAGTGGGAAGATTCAGCGGAATCAGTTGAGGAAGATGGAGAAGGAGGCATACGAGGCTCGGAACGATGGCCCCAAGAGTGTAGCAGGCGTAGCGGCCAAGCTTTGATGGAGCACGTGATGCACCTGCAGCTGTCCATTTAGGAATTCGCACGCAGAATGCAAGTCCGCTATTCCGTGACGCGCCTTCCGCGCTAGTCGAATGTGGAGGTGTAAATGAAAGTTCTTCGTCGTCCTTCGCACGGACCACCGTCATAATAAGATCACGAAAAATACAGGACTCGATGCTTTATAAGATGGGCACCGGCTGTAAATATGAAGGGCAACAGACAAGCAATTCAAGATGCTCTCCAACATCTTCACCGTCGGTCTCGCCGCTATCCTCCTCGGTCTCCAAGGATCAGAGGCGGCCCATGCCACTTGCTACAACTTGACTATCCCGGTCACCATCTCCGCTAGCAACACCAACCTCTCCCTGCCTCTCCCGGTCAATCAGTCCCAGGTGATCGACTTTGCGACTGCTTCTGCCTCCATCGCGAACAACATCACCAACTACGTCGAGGGCAACTACACCCTCGACGCGACCTACAACATCTCCGCCAGGTTATGCTTGCCCACTTACGCTGCCAACAGCAACTCTTCCACCAACCGCAATGACACGGTTCAGTTCTTGATCCACGGAATCGGCTTCGACAAGTCTTACTGGGACTTGCCTTGCATCAACGGAGTTAACTACTCCTACACCGAAGCTGCTCTTGCCGGGGGGTATGCTACCTTTGGCATTGACAGGTTGGGTGTTGGGCTCAGCAACCCCTCTCTAAGGGATGATGCGACTATTGATCCCAAGAATGAGATCCAGACCCCTGCTCACATCGAGGTTGTTCACCAGCTCACTAACATGTCCGCAATGGCTCCATCCCTCCATAAGCAACACGTCCTTCGAGAGCGTCATCCACGTCGGACACTCCTACGGATCCATCCTCTCCAACGGCTTGGTTGCGAAGCACCCCAACGCCTCGGATGGTTTGATCCTCCAGGGTTACTCCGCCAACGGCTCATGGGTCCCTCAGACAATCGCCGGTCTCCTCCCTACCATTGCCGCTCAGGACCAATCCTTCCGCTTCATAAACGCCTCCACCGGTGTCGCCTTGAACTCTGGTTACCTCCTCTCCAACAACATGTTCCCTGTTTAAGTAATGCTTTGCTTTCTCTTCAACCTCGATGAATGACGCCAGCATATATGCGGTTATTTCTCTCTCATGTCGTGGTTAAGTCACGACAACGGATTGCACGGTTTCGAACGACCTTAGTGCGCAGGACATCACGCTGAACCTTGGTGTTGTAATGATCGTGAGTGGGATGTCGTGATGTATGCCGAAGGAAGGCAGATGAGATACCTGAACCACGAGGATATGACATAGAGAGACGTAGAACTCCATTGAATCATTGAAACAAATGCTAATAGAATCGTCCAAAATACTAAAAGATAGTTACTGTGATCTAGACGAATGTCCAGATCATACCAAACAATGTTCACCCAAAAATGCTCCGATGCTCACATAATGATGTCGTACACTCATATCCACAAGACGCCTATCCATTAAATTTCATCAAGCCATATTCTCACGTTTCGGCACGTTCTCGTTATCAGCTTCATCTTCCTTCAGCGTGTCACTCGTCCCTTCCGATGCATGCCTATCCAAAGTCGTCTTATGGATAGCATTCTCTTGCTCCTGAGGAACCTGCTCCGAACCGTCCTGACAACCTCCGTTTTCCTTCTTGTTGCTCTGTTCAGCTTGCTCACCCGTGTTTTTCTCCTTGTCTTTGTCTTTGTCTTTGTCATCGTCACTATCATGATCGTCGTCACCGGCTCCGCCGATAGTACTCTCACGCATGGCGGGAGAGCGTCTTCTGATCTCCGGACCCTTCCAGATCAAAACAAAAGGAATAGCGCTAAGCGCAAGAGCGATGAAACCCAGAAGGGTTGAAGCCCACCTGAAGTTGAGCTTTTGGTAAAGGTTGTGCGATGCGAGGGGCAAGAAGGCACCGAACGAGTTACAGCCCAGAGAAGCAGAGGTCAAGACGGATGCGGCGTACCTTGCGTAGGAATCACTCAAATAGTTGACAACAGCTAAGTAGATGGTGTAAATACCGATACCGACGAAAACAATACCGATGGTGGGGACGACTCAGTGTACGTCCGGGTAAGACAACCATCCGTAGATGAAAAGACCAGCAGTGAAAACCAGCGAACCACCGCAAGACATGTAGAAATGTGCCTCCGGAAGTGGTTTCTTTCCCTTAGCATCCTTGTTTCTCTTCGCTGTTTGGAGATACGCGCGATCCTGAATCGGGTTCAAGACTGTATCAATAACGGCTCCGACAGACAAGGCCAACTGAATGAGGCCGGTGATGAGCGTAGAGAAACCACAGCTTGCCGAGAACGTTTGCGGCACCGAAGATTGGAAGAGGAAGAGGATACCCCAGGCGAAAGAGACCCATAGGGTGAAGAAGAACACGACGGACTCCGTGAAAAGGAAAACGATCGGTCGAGTACAAGAAAGCTTGACGAGTTGAGTTAAGGACTCACGCTTCGCCTCAGCCTTAGCGTACACTCTCCGGCCAGTTTCCTTTCGCATCTTCTTTGCGATCTGACTGACGAGCACATCTCCGCGAGTTTCCAGGAGAATCAACCAGAAGATAGGTAGGAAACCGCCGTCAATAATGAGCTGCATCCAGAAAATCCACCTCCAACCTTTTGGCTCCGCAATCAGGCCCCCGAACCATGGGCCGAGGGCAATACCGGCTACAGACGACAATCCGAAGATAGACATAGGCAAACTGCGATCGGCATCGGTAAGGAACAGGTCTGTAATGGTTCCTCCGATGATGTTGATGGCTGTCGATGAAGCACCTCCACCGAAGAACCTAGTCACAACAAGTGTCTGAAAGTTCTGTGCAACAGCAGAGGGAACGAGGAAGATCAGGAAGACAATATAACTCCCAAAGTAGATCGGGATGCGCCCAATGATTTCACTGGTGGAACCACGAAAAGTGGAAACACAGCAGCACCGACGTTCCAACTTGTCGTCGCAAAGTACAAGTATGTACTCTGTTCATGGCCGTGAATGTTGACGACGTCGCCAATCTGCGTGTTACCGGATCCGTATGACCCAGCTGGCAGACCGCAAAGAATACCAATCCAGCACACAGTGATGGTAATCAACCACTTGCGACATTTTGGCCACATGTAAGGATTTCTCTTGTCTCCAGGATCCCAATCGATGCTAGCAACGCAGATCAGCTACCATCCAGATCGTCCGAAGGGAATCACTCACTATTCCACCAGCTCCGTTTCCTCGCTCGCTAGGAAAGTTGGCGGGTTCGGCGTATCCTGCGTAGCCAGACGCAGTTCTTGCCCTTCCGTCTGCAAAGCATGCTCCATGATGAGTACTCAACGCCCAAGGTTGCTTCGTCGCAAGGTGTGCCGCCTGAGCATACACGCTGATCTGGGAATATAGCAGAAAAGTATCATGGCACCTAAAGAAAGCTTCTATCAGAGTCCGTGTCGTACGGGCCGGCGACACCTGATCACCGCCGACGGAAGACTCGCGCATACCGGAGAATAGTGCGACCGTGGAATGTCATGGCCGCAGGGGTCGCGCGCGTACCGAAGCCAGCAAGCTTCCCTCCCAATTTGACCGAGACGGCTGGCGAGCCGTTTAGGAGATCTGGACCAGCTTGAAGCTGTCTACACGTGCGCCGCCTTCTTCATCCGTGACTCGGTATTACTTGGGGCTGCGTCTGACAGGTGCGAAATGGGGCCGAAACGCGCCAGCTGCGGGCTAGTCTGAGCGCCGACCGTACAAACACAAAACCCATCGAGGTTCGCACGGCCGCGGCCAGCAACAACATCCTGAATCGTAAATCATATTCACGAAAGAAGTAGAAGAAGTCCTCACGTGTGGTGATAAAATTTTGCTTGTAAAAAATCCGGTCACAGACCGGCAGGAAATCTATGCTATGACGAAAACAATAATGCTATTATCCAAATATCCTTTTCCCTCGTTATACTCATACACTATCGACATCAGCATTGGGCCTGGAGCCACTGCCGCCCTCGCCGGACCTGTTCTCAACGTGCTGCGACCTAGGCGCAAGCCCGTACTTGGCCCTGTTAACCTTCTTCGCCTTTTGCGCCTTGGGGTCCTCATGACCGTGCTTGGGGTAGGGGTCCTGGTAGGTGTCCATCTCAGCGGCAGTCTCATCCTTGTCAGAGGCCTTGTCGTCGTTGCCGTCGGTGTCGAAGCCGTGCTCAGGCAAGAAGCCAACAGACTGCCACGGCTTGATGTCGGAAGCGTACAAGACATCGATCTGCTCGAGAGAAAGACCCTTGGTCTCCTTGGCGAAGAAGAATATGATGACGGCGGAAGCGAAACAACAAGCAGCGAAAACGTAACCGTACTTGAAGCCGATAGCACCAGTGATGAAAGGAGTGAAGAAAGAAATCAAGAAGTTCCAGCCGAAGTTGCAAGCAGTAGCGAGACCAGCACACTTGGAACGAACCCTGAGAGGGTAGGACTCACCAACGATAACATAGGCAGCTGGAGCCCAAGTGGTAGCGAAGCCGAGAATGTAGAAACAGGCAAAGACAATCATGGCAATACCGGCACTCTTGTTGGGGTCGGTCTCGTTGGGTCCACCGTATAGCTTGTAGTTACCGACGGAGGAGAAAATCAAGAAACATACGAACATCCACAAAGCACCGATGATGAGAGGAGTACGACGACCGAAGCGCTCCAAAACGTAAAGACCACCGAAAGTGCAAACGAAGTTAACGACACCGAGAATGATCTGAGCGACGAAAGGAGAATCGACGACCTGGATACCGGTGAAGATAGAGGTACCGTAGTAGAAGAAGTAGTTGGCACCGCAAAGCTGTTGGAAGGACATGACAGCCATTCCGAGGAAGGTCCTGTAACGGACACGCTTGCCGAAGACCTCAGCCCAGCTAGCGGTTCCACCAGCCATCTCCTTCTCCAAGTTCCTAGCGATCTCCTGGTAGTCGGCTTCAACATTCTCATCGTCTTCGTTGGTGCCACGCATCTTGGCAAGAACGCGACGGCAGTCCTTCTCACGGCCAGCCTTCAGAAGGTAACGAGGAGACTCGGGCAAGAAGAGCATGCCGACACCAAGGATGATACCCCATAGGAAGTTGATACCGATAGGAATCCTCCAGGAGCCAGTGTCCTGACGGCTCTCGGTTCCGTAATTGATACAGTATCCAACAAAGATACCGAGGGTGACGAACAATTGGTAAGTGGTGACGACAGTACCACGGACGGACTTGGGAGCAGTCTCAGACTGGTAAGAAGGAGTAACGACAGACAAAGCGCCAATACCGAGACCAGTGATGATACGCGCGACCATAACGTGCACCCAAGAGTTGGTAGCGGAGATCTGGAGAACAATACCAATGAGGTAGACGACACACCAGAACATGACAGAAATCTTCTTTCCGTAGCCATCGGCAATAGGAGAGGACAAAAGACATCCAATAAGAGTACCGATGTTGACCATACCGACGACGAGACCCTGACGAACGTTAGACATTCCAGTAACGACACCGGTAGCGGCATCGCGGATGTCACCAAAGTGCTGCAAGTAGTTGTCCATGTTGATCAAACCAGCGATGGTTCCGGTATCAGCACCGAACATCCATCCTGACATGGAGGCGAAGATGAGAAAGATGACAATCGAGTTGTTTTGCTGCTTTCCATGGTCGGCGGCCGTCATCTTGATTGATTGTTGCTGCGGGGCTGCCTGTTGTCGAAGAACGAGACGCCTTTGGCGATGAGGATGGGGTAAAAAAAGACAAAGTGGGATGATCGACGACTTATTTATGGAGACCCTCCGGGCTCCAGCTGCGGCTGACGTGTCACGGGCGTCCCCGTCTATTCCCGACGAACATTTTTTGGAGAGTAGTAGACGTCGGTGGCAGAATGAAGGCTGTGAAGGCGTCTCGGGACATTTCGATCCGAAAGTGTTCCGACAGGGTCCACTGTAATTTAGAGCACCGGCGGTCTGACGGGTAGCGTGCATGGAATGAACCGAAGTTCCACCGAAGTAACATCGAAGATCGATCCAGCAACGAGGCAATGAGTGTAATAGGAGGGAGTTGAAGGAGCAAGACGAATGTAATCAAGGCCACTCATTGGACTCGTCAGTCCCGTCAGATCAGTCGCACACAGTCCCCTCCTCTCTCTACGCCGTTAAACGCCGGGTTGCCCACATGCACCGAACACAGACATGCGCCACCCGCGATCCGGCAGCCGGAGATGGTACCGTAGCGCGCGGGAGCCAAACATGGAAAAACGTAAACCCGACGCCGAACTATCCCCGAACGAGCAACCCTTCCTCCGTTCAACTCTCTATAGTGTCACCCTCCTGACAACGGGATCAGTCCGTTCCGTCTCCTATACACCTCCGCTTCCAGGGATCATTCCCTCCGCATCCGTTCCCCCCAGTTCCCCAACACCTGGACTACTGAGGAGTAGCTATGGAACTGGAGAAATGACGATTATGGGTAGTACAGCACTGCCCCACTCGCAGGTTCCGTGGCGAAGCATGCTTCGTCGACCTCGGCCTGACGATCATCAAATCTGCCCTTTCTGTAGTACCCAGCGTTGACCTTTTCAAGTAACTCATCGACACGACTCTTCCTTACAAGAAAAACACAGCATCCGCCCCACCCGGCTCCTGTCAGTCGCGCACCATCGGCACCCGAAGCGAGTGCCAACTGACAAATCTCGTCAATCTCAGGTACCGAACAGTTGTAGAGATCTCTACACGATGCTTGCGAGGCGTTCATAATACCACCCAACTTCGTAAAGAAATCATCCGTGGAGATCGCCTCCGTCGACTGAATTGCCGACTGAAATTGGAGAACTCGCGCGGCCTCTGAGTAGACATGTAGCGCACGATCGCGGAGTTGGAAGCGCTCGGCTTCGACTACCCCATAAAGTTAGTATGACACTGCTAAGCAAACACAAGCAATTTCGAACCTGGAAAGCGTGTCATGTACTTTTCGACAAGCTCATTCTCCTCACATCCCATCATGCTCGCCAATTCCTGCCTTGTGTAGCCGTCGGGGTTGGGGAATTCTTCCTCCACGATTTGGAGCATCTCCACAAATTGATCCTCCATGGGGACGTCCTTGCCGCGGAACTGGCGGACCATGACGTCCCGCAAAGTCCCTCCGAACCCATCTCGAACATCCAATTCACCTAGTTGCAACTTCCTTCCCAAGATCTCCGCTGCAATCGTACACTCCACCACCCGCAAGTTGTAGTTTCTCGGAGCAGTAAGATGCTTCACCGACGTCACCAACGTATTCGCAATAACAAACGCAACGCCATCATCCAAATGCCTCGGAAACTGCAACGGCGTCGCATCCAACTTTGGCTTAAACTCCACGAACAACGCATTCCCCTCCATCCCAAACACCGACGCCATTTGATCCATACCACCGGAATTGACACCAACAGCACGTTCACTCACGACTGCCAACTGCGCCAATTCGTGCTTGCTAATGCCCTTCTCTCCATACGCAACTAAGCAGGCAAGAGCAGACGTACACACCATCGCAGCCGAACTGGACAACCCCGACGCAAGCGGAACAGTTCCGTCAACCACGACCTGCATCCCAATCTTCGGAAGCTCCTTTCCCGGGTATTTATTCTGCAGAAGCTCCAGTGTGCCGTGTAGTCCGACCTTGAAGTAATTGCTCCACTCCGGCTTACTGGCATCGATCTCCACGTCCTCTGGTGTCGCGGCGGCAGCGGCTTCACGCTCTGGGAACTTATCGGAAACGTTCGCAAGGGTAATCTTCGGCTCATAGCCCTCCGCATCCGGCTCAACAGCTCTAAAAGCAATCAACACATCTGCTGAAATGGACATAGGTAAAACCGCAAACTCCGAATAATCGATATGCTCCCCTGTACAAACTTGTCAGCCGACGTCAGAGGTTGCTCGACGACTCTGTACCGATCAAATTCACCCGTCCAGGACTCCTGGCAACCACAGTCGCATCCGCTCCAAACCTCTCCTTGAACGCACTCAACAACTGATCCCACCTCTCACCCTGCGCCGGAATCGCAAGTGATCCGTACACATGCTTGATATCGTCGACAGTTGGTACAATGTTCATCCTCAGATCAATCGTAATGGTCGTCTGGCATCCAATTAAGGTGGTATATATATCAGCGGGTGCGCTTGGGCGGTCGGTTCTCCCCGCTCGGCCTGTTCTCCGCCGTCGCGCTACGACGTCCTTGTGCATGAGTCTGATTTAGCCGGCGTATATGGGATCGAGTTATCGAGAAAGTGCGGAGGATAACTCGCACGTACGGTAGATCCCTCCGGTCCGAGTGCACGTAAGCGACGTAAGCGACATCTCGTATATAAACACCTCGCTCTTCCAATTGAGCTCATCACAGCGGATCAACCGACCAAAAACTGAGATTCTAAGAATACCGGCGACTGTTCACCAAACTCTGACATACCACCAAAAATACCACTATTACATAATGTCCAAAAGCGCCAATCCTACAGCTTATCCCAAAATCACACTCACATCCACGTTATACGGCGCCTCGCCCCTATCCCACGCTCTCCTCACCACATCCTTCGCCTTGACAACATTCCCCATTCCCTGTACCCTACCAACACGATCCAACACGACCATCGCCAACGCCCGATCAGATTGCGTGACACATTCACACGCCACCACGACAACAGGCCACAACAACGCCGCCATCCGTCCACCAAACGTACAAATCTTCGACAAGCAATTCAGCGCCGGCGTCACGCACCCCTGTACCGACATATGACACGCAGGCAAATTGTACAACCTCCGATACAGATAAATCAACGCCGCATACCTCCACGCCTCAGCCGCCTGTACCACCGAATGCCACTCCGGATCCGCCGTATTACTCCCCGGCGCCTGCCAATTGAGGAAGTCTTGCTCCAACTGTTCCGCCTCAGACAACCAATACGCCCGACCCTGCGCCGCAGCAATCATCGGATCCTCCTCATGCTTCACCGTCGGTGATCCCCAATTTATAGCTTGACCACTCGCAGCCGCCGCAACTCGACACAGTTTCGCAATAATCGGCCACAGCGAGCCAGACAAACCGAAAACATCATCCACCGCCTCACCCTTTGATACGAGTTGCGACGCAGTCTGCGCATACATAGCATCAGACAACGGACATGTCCCCATACACAACGCCGCAACAATATCAAAATACCAAAATATCTTCTTCAAAAACCTCCAATTCCCAAAACTCGGCGGCGAATTCCGGATAATCGAAAACGCACCCTTCAGATGCGCAAGTGTCGCCGCTCCACCGCCTCCGTCTGCGATCTCCGTATACACCAACAACAAGATCGTACTCAGGGTTCGTTCTTCTGATGTTCCGCCCACACCTGCTTGTCTGATCTCCTCCATCAACCCTTCGACGGCCTTGGTTTGCCAGGTCAACCACCCCGCACCTTCCTCATGCGCCAAGGCCAGCTCGGGCAGCAATTGTTGGCGGTGCTTGGAGGCGAACGCATATAATGCTCTCTCCATCGCACCTTCATGATGTGACGAAAACAACATTGGAAGAAAGTACTTGTGGAAGGGGTTGTCGCTTCCAGAACTGAATGCCAAGAGCGTGCTTGCGCTATTGAGAAAGTACTGGATAAGAGATTGCGAGGAGACGGAGTTAAGGTGTGCGCCAGGCACCGATGGCAGCGCTGAGTATGAAAGCATATTGTAAAATGGTTGGGCCATCGGGTTTATCGGCGAACTGGTTGGAAATGTGTTGTGCGCTACCAGCGCTGCACAAGGTTGTTCGGCAGCTGCTGGAACACCGCCAACAAAAGCGGACGCAAGACCGTCAACTGATTGCCTTCGTGGGGTCAGCGGATCACATGGAGTGTTTTCTGTAGAATACGTCAGAATGATTCCGGTGGTAAGTCGCAGTCGTAGACGCACCTCTCGTCGGCCCGTCCTTCTGCACAGGATATTCACACGTCCATCCTCGCTCCGCACAACTCGTACATGACGGCTTTACCTGATCGCACTTCTTCCTTCTCTGACGACTGTATACTCGTTAGAATTTACATTGAGAATAGCAACAGAGCACGCACCATTGAAAGCAACCTATAACCACGCGTTAGCAACTGCGCATTCACCCGCACAAGAAGCAACCTACCAGTCCTGGTCCTCTTCAAAAACGGCTTCCGCCTCTTCATCTTTCCCTCATCCATGTCGTTTAGCTAGCTATAGCGATAGAACAGTCGTCGTTGTCGTCGTCGTCGTCGTCGTTACACGTCGCCCCGTCAATGACTGTTTTTCTGGGGGAGAGTGCCACCCCCGCCTGTATGGGGCTAGTTCCGTCAGCTGCTACCGAGGCATCGCCTTTAGCCTACAAACTCTAACATGAACCCGACGAGCTGAGAGTACCATGAGTAAGTCAAAGGAAGATCCCCCATGAATGGTAGCTCTATGGGTTGGTGAAGTTTCCAGAGTTTCCGAGGATGTTGGCTCGCGTCGGCTTGCTGTGTTTGTTCGGCGGTGCTCCGAAGGGCTGTATGCAGGGGCGTAGGATGACTTGATCCGTCACTCCGAACCACATGTAAGGGAACCTCCTTCTCATTGAACAGTCCATTTGACTTCGACTAGAATAAGGTAACACGATTCGCAAATGAAAATGAAATACCAGATAACCCCAAGAAAACACAAGAAAAACACATCCCAGATATACCCAATGTCAACGCAAACCAAAACAACTCGTTCAACATATCACCGTCATCAACATAGAAATATCGTTGATTTTTTGAACTCCTCCCAGTACCAATCGATGCTCATCATCATCCCTGACTCATCACAACACAGCACGACCCGCTTACTTCTTCTCCTTCAAGGAAGAGTGGGCAGTGAACTCATGGAGAGCCTTACCGGCGGGAACCATGGGGTAAACGTGCTCACCCTTAGTAACAACAGCCTCCATCAACACAGGACCCTCATGGTCCAAGAACTCCTTCATCTTAGCGGGCAACTCCTCCAAGGTAGTACACCTGATACCCTTAACGTGCATAGCCTCAGCCAAGGCAACGAAGTTAGGGTTGTGCTGGATGGTGTGAGCGTAACGCTGGTCGTAGAACAAATCCTGCCATTGCTGGACCATACCCTGGAACTCGTTGTTCAAGACCAAGATCTTGACACCGATGTTGTACTGGGCGGCGGTGGCCAACTCCATAGCAGTCATGGAGAAGGAGGCATCACCGTCAATGTCGACGACAATGCAGTCAGGACGAGCGACCTTGGCACCGATAGCGGCGGGAACACCGAAACCCATGGTACCGAGACCACCAGAGGTGACCATAGTACGGGGAGACCTCCACCTGAAGTGCTGAGCAGCCCACATCTGGTGCTGTCCGACACCGGTAGCGATGATAACCTTCTCCTTGCGACCCTCAGTCTGCTTGCTCAACTCCTCAATCACGGATTGGGGCTTGACGAGCTCTCCAGGCTTCTCGGGGGTGTAGGTGAAGGGAAACCTCTTCTTCCAGTCGTTGATCTGGGTGAACCACTCGTTACGGTCCTGGACAGTCTCAACCTTGTTCAACAAGAGCCTCAGGTTCTCAACAACATCACCCTCAACAGCCTCGTCAGCCTGGATGACCTTGTTGATGTTCTTGGGCATGATCTCGAAGTGAACAATACCACCACGCTTCTGCAAAGCAGCGGCACGGGCAGCGGGAGCGAACTTGGGGATGTTACCAGTGACACGATCATCAAAACGGGCACCGAGAGCCAAGATCAAATCGGCCTCCTGGATGGCCATGTTGGCGTAACCGGAACCGTGCATACCGAGCATGTGAAGGGACTTGGGGTCCAACTCGTCGAAAGCACCAAGAGCCTGGAGGGTGGTAGTAACGGGGATCTTGCACTTGTCGGCGAACTTCTTCAAGAGCTTAGGACCGTCCTCAGAGGAAAGAATACCCTGTCCAACGTAAAGGATGGGCTTCTTAGAGATCTTCAACAACTCGTTGACGCGGTCAAGGGCGTTGTCGGTAACCTCCTCGTTCAAGGCGGTCTGTGCGGAAGAAATGAGGGTGGCGCTGGGAAGAGTGGACTTAGTAGGGATGGGGTGACGGAGGATAGCGGCAGTAACATCCTTAGGAAGGTCGACAAGGACAGGTCCGGGACGACCAGAGGTGGCGATCTCGAAAGCCTCGTTAATCCTGCGAGGAAGCTCGGCAATGTCCTTGACCATGACGTTCCACTTGGTACAAGCACGGGAGATACCGAGGACATCGGCCTCCTGGAAAGCGTCGGTACCAATAGCAGTAGTAGGCACCTGACCACAGAATACAACCAAGGGAGTACCATCAGACATGGCATCCTGAATAGGAGTAATAACATTGGTCGCACCAGGACCAGAAGTAACGAGAACAACACCAGGCTTGCCACTCACACGAGCGTATCCCTCGGCCATGTGACCAGCACCTTGCTCGTGGCGGGGGAGGATGAAGTCGAAGTGAGGCGAGTTGTAGATGGCGTCGAACACGGGAAGAATGGCACCTCCAGGGTATCCGAACACATGCTTGACACCCTGACGGAGCATCATCTCGTGGAAGATCTGCCCACCGGACATACCGACGAAGGTATCGTCCATCTCCTCAACCTTCTGCTTCATGGGGTGCAGAGGCTTGTGGGTCTTGGCGGTGTTGAAAGCCGGTGCTGGCACAGGACGAGAAGCTGGTGCTGCTTGGCCATTCTTAGGGGTATTTGATGAGATGAAACGTGCTGCTGATGAAGGAGCAGACGAACGCAGAGCCCGCGCTGCTGAACGGGCAGCGGCGAGGCGAGTAGGGAAATTTCGAATCATCGTCGGGGTGTTATGAATGCGAGGAGGGACGGCGGATGGAGAACGGAGAAGGCTGCTACAGACGAGATGTAGGATCGATACAGACAGAGATCGAAATGCCTTTTGTAAATCGCCCGACGAATGAGAAGGATGGCAACTTTGACTCACTCAGCAGCTGGGATGTATGCGGGGCAAATCAAAATTTGGCAAGGGCACGGCGCGCCTTGGGAATCGAAGGCCTCGGCAAACAACCGGCGCCGGCGCCCATCGGACCAGTGGGAAGAGACCCATGCACAAACCTGTCCGCAAGATTCCGATACAGACAAAACACAGAAAATATCTTGGTATTTATATATTGTAAAGAGACTACGTTACAACGAAACCTTGCAGGAAATCCAGCTGCAATTCGTCAACAACTCAACTCCTATTCGTACTCTTCCTATCGTAAGCTTCTTAAGCATCGACGACCTGGTTCTCAAAACGGGCAGCGTTTCCGGAGAAGACACCTCCCTTCTCGGCGACATCCTTCTGAATCCTGTAAATGCACTGCTGCTTAGCATTGCCATCCTCGGACTCGTCGTCCAACTTCCAGGACAAGAACTCGTTGGTGTAGTTGGGCTGGAACTCCTGGTCGACAATGCCGAGACGGCGGGAGTAGTTCGTAACCTTGGTCCAGTCACGCTTGACGTTAGCCAAGTCGTGAGAGAAGTAAGCGAAAGTACGCTCGAACATCTTGCGGTTGACGTCGGTGGCCATGATGGGCTTGACGTCAACGTACTCCTCGTAAGCCTTCTTGGGCTCAGCGAGAACGTAGTCGTTGGCGCGCTTGACAGCCTTCATGAAAGCCTTGATCTTCTCGGGGTTCTCCTCGATGAACTTCTCGTTACCGATGAAGAGGATAGAGCAGAAACAGCAGCATCCAAGCTCAGCGAGCTCGTCAATGCGGAGCATCTGGACGTCAGAGCGGGGACGGCCCTGGGAAGCGAGCCACTCCTCGAGCTCAACCATCTGGATGTTCTCCAATCCAATACCAGCGTCAATCTCACCCTTGATGATGGCCTTGGAGACGTTCATACCGCAACGGACGGCGGTGTAGTCCTCGGGGGACATACCGAAGTGACGGGTAAGCTCGTCGATCTGGATCTTTCCGAACTCTCCGACGTAACCGATCTTCTTGCCCTTGAGGGACTGGAAGTCAGTGGTGATGCCAGATCCCTTAAGGTAGATGACACCAGTGAAGGGCTCGTCCAAGAGGGAACCGAAAGCCTTAATGGGGAAACCACGGGCCTTACCGGCGATGGTGTGGATCATAGCCTTGCAACCAATGTCAACCTTGCCAGAACCGATGATCTCGGTGACATCAGAAGGGTCATTGGGCTCAATGATGGCGACCTTGACACCCTCCTCCGCGAAATAGCCCTTGGCCTGGGCGAGGAAGATGGGGATGTGGTAGGGGGTAGCGTGCCTTTGATATTGATCAGCAATTGCAATTGATCTGCTTAATCATATTTACTCACCAGTTCAACAAGCAGGTAACCTTATCAGTCGACATATTGAATTGTGTATGGGTATGGGCGGTGTATGGGTATGTGGATGGAAGAAGAAAAGGATGGGAACTGGCGAAGGTGGGCGTTTCTCTAACCTTCTGACGTGGCCCGTGAGAACCCCCTAACGCTCAATCTCGGTGCCCAACTGCCGGCTGCTCATTCCGAACTTCACGATCAGGATCATTCGTTGGGTCCGGTGAGTGTTTTACCGCATCACCAGCCCCGGATTATTTGATGGTGGTGAGGCAGAGTTACTCCACACCCGCCGTTTATCCTTATCGGCACTAAGCGCGGGAAAATGGGTATTCCATGACGACGTTCATCTCGAGTCGTTGCGAAGTGAGCTGGACATGAAGACAGCAGTCAATGGCGAGCCTGTCAACCCTCGATCGACGAAGGACCATGACAGTGACCCTTGTCGAGATGGAGCAGCCCTTTGGAGGTTAATTTTCACGCACGGACTTTCTCCCCCGGATAATCGCCTAAGCCCGGTCGATCCCAATTTATCCAGACCAGTAGGTACCCGCGGCTGTGCGGCTGTGCATGCGCGCGTGAACCAGTGAGGAGGAGCAAGAGGAAGAGGGAGTGAAGGAGAGCTTCCAACTGAGTGCGGTCTTGTAGTTGAAGCAATCGTACAGCATCAATTGAGCATGCCACGACCAGTTGACCTCGAGAACAACAACGGGCCGTCTGCATAGCCTCTCCAAACCGCACGGGATTGTGTGTAGCCTACGGGGACTCGAGGTACATGCCTCTGGGCGTCATGGCAGCATTTGTAATCTCGCAACGGTTAAAGTGTAGACTATTCCGAGCCATGGGGGCTTAGGCGGTAAAACTGGTGCACGTCTGATTATGTGTAGTCGTGCATAGAACTGCCGAGACTCCATACATATATACGGTAGCAGCTGGGCCGCATACATAACGGCTCAATGAAACCCGGACCTGTAGATTGGAGAGAATAGTTTTGTATGTTCTCATGCTCAGTAAATGAAGGTAACTGCACCGAAACGCCTGACAATCTCGTAAAACTAAAGCTATCATCCTCCTCTCCATCTCCACCCACCTACGTCAAGGTGTACTGAGGACCCTCACCTCCCTGAGGAACCTGCCAGTTGATATCCTGCGTGGGAACCTTGATATCACAAGTTTTGCAGTGAATACAGTTCTGCGCATTGATCTGGAACCTCTTGCCCACAGCACTCTTCTCATCATCGATGTACTCGTAAACACCAGCAGGACAGAACCTGTTCTCGATACCCTTGTAGTCGGGGTAGGCAGCCTCGGCGTGCTTGACCCAGTCCTCGACTTGCAAGTGGACGGGCTGATCTTCCTCGTGGTTGGTACCCGTTCGTGCGACGTTGGTCAAGAGATCGAAAGACAACTCGCCATCGGGCTTGGGGTACTCAATGGGCTCGCACTCGGAAGCCTTCTTGGTAGCAGCCGCATCAGTCGAAGGGTGCTTGAAAGTCCATGGTGCCTTACCACGGAGGATAAGAGTGTCGATACCAGAGTAGAGCAATCCACCGTAAACACCAAGCTTAGTGTGGAACGAAGGACGAACGTTACGAACCTCGTAAAGCTCCTTCATGACATACGAATCCTTAATGGAGGTCTCGTAGTCGTAAAGCTGAATAGCTCCAGGAGCATCGCTCGCCAAAGCCTTAACCGCAGCCTCAGCCGCGAGCATACCAGACTTCATCGCAGCATGCGTGCCCTTAATCTTCGGCACGTTCAAGAAACCAGCAGTATCACCAATGAGCACACCACCAGGGAACGTCAGTCTAGGAACAGACTGGTATCCACCCTCATTCAACGTCCTCGCTCCGTACGAGATACACTTACCGCCCTTCAAGACATCCGCGTACATAGGGTGGTGCTTCATCCTCTGGAACTCCATATAGGGGTTCAAGTAAGGATTAGGGTAATCCAGACCAATAACCAACCCAACACTAACCAGGTTCTCTCCGAAATGGTACATCCATCCACCACCGTAGGTATCCTTCTTCAAAGGCCATCCAAGGGAATGACTCACATGACCCTCCTTCCAGTTCTCAGCCGGCACCTCCCAGACCTCCTTCAATCCAAGACCGTACGTCTGAGGGTCAATTCCCTTCCTCAAGTTGAACTTCTTGACAATCTGCTTCGTCAACGATCCGTGACATCCCTCGGCGAAGAAAGTAAGCTTGGCGTGGAACTCCATTCCGCGCTCATATGTCGACTTTGGCTTTCCGTCCCTTCCGAGCCCAACATCGTTGGTGGCGACACCCTTGACGGATCCATCCTCATTGTACAAAACCTCACTCGCCGCAAATCCAGGGTAGACCTCAACACCCAACTCTTCAGCCTTCTCCGCAAGCCACTTGACGACATGGTTAAGAGAAACAATGTAGTTTCCCTCATTGTGCATCTGTGGTGGCAGCGGCAAAGGGAAAGACCCCTTCTCCGTCAAGAACTTGACCGCATCATCCTTTACCGGAGTAAGCGGCGACGGCGGGTTATCTCTCCACTCTGGGAAAAGCTCATTCAGCGCCCTAGGCTCAATAACCGCTCCCGAAAGTGTATGTGCTCCCATCTCTCCCGCCTTCTCCAACACCAACACACGGATGTCACGTCCCTCATCCTCGGCCAACTGCTTAATCCTAATAGCAGCTGACAAACCAGCAGGTCCACCTCCGATGATACACACATCAACCTCATCCGACTCGCGCTCGATAGTAGCGGGGTCGAAAGTCTCATGTTGGAACAAGGGACGAGTAGAATGTAAAGAACGGCAAGAAACACCGACTTGACGAGCGAAAGCACGACGGACAGCTAGCTGAACCTTAGGAAGTGCCTGGCGAAGGGCGGCGCCGGTGAGGACTGTAACTCTTCGTACGGACATGATGGTGACCGATAAACGTCGAGGGCGGTACAGGCAGGTAATGGAGTGGTATATAGGGTCGCAGACAAACAGCTATACCCCTCTTAAACGGCTGATCGACCCGATGGACGCGTTCAATTTCGGGCGGGCAACTTCGGGGCAACTCCAAAAAAAGGTTCGGGCTTATGCGGGGTATGGCGAATCAAGCGCGAATCACATGTCGAGGATTACAAGACGGCCATTTGGACGATGAAGGCAAAAAAGTTCCAGGGGTTTTCTATATTTTTTCCTTCGTAATAGACTAAGCAGAGACGAAAGCAAGTGTTAACCTCGAGAAAGGAGAGTGAGAGAAGGGTATACGGCCAGCGCCATCATAATCGCTGCCAGCAACAAGCATGTCCAAAATGTATCTCCGACCACCATGTCGTTATCGTTTCATCCACCCGATATCGTTTTCCAAAAAGTACGCCGCCTTCCGGGCGTAAATGTATCTTTATCGTACCATCCGCTGCTCCTTAGAACCAGTTGTCCAACTCCCCAACACCAATATCTTCTGGGCTGCGTACAGCATCCATCTGAGAATCCTCACTCCACGACTTCATACTCGTATCATCCAACCCGGTCAAAGTAAGCTTCTCAACGTTGTCCCCGCCAACGATGCCATTCTCCATGCCTTCCCCAGACTCCTCCTCGTTCTGGCTGACAGCAGGCAACAGGCGACGACAGGGTGACTCAATACCGCCCATCTCCAAACGGCCAACCTTCCTGGCAACCAACTGCTCCAACTCCTCATCCTCGGTCTTGCCGAAGCGTCTACTTCCATCACGGCTGCTCTCCCTCGGCGGCGTCAAAGCCTGAAACGTCCAGCGTTGGCTCGAGGGAGCTCCGAGGTCAGTCTCGGGGAAGAAAGGATCAGGACTGGGACTGAGAGCACGGTATCCAACGTTCTTGGACGAGAACGGACCCTGAAGGTGGGAGGGCGTAGTATCATCCTCATCCTGAGACGAACCCTCGTCATCAGAGGCTTCGTGCATAGAGTTGTCGGAGTTGTCGTCTCCAATGTCACTGACATCGTCAATAATAACGAGTTCCTCATTGTCGTGCTCCGCGGCCGGGGTAGGCAAGCCTCCGTTGAATGCACCATTCAAAAGGTAGAAGAACGTCCGTCTTGGGAATCCCGCCTCAGAGTATCTTCCCAGCACCGTCTCACCAGTTCCACGCTCCTGCTTGCGCATATACCCAGCAACCTTCGTGCTGACAATGTTCGAGTTCATGTTCAACCCACGCTTCAACATAGCATCACACAAATCCTTCGCACACATCGGCTTGTTGCCGTTGGCCTTCAACGTAGCCAAGACCTCACGAATGACAGGGTCCTGGTTGGCGATAGGTGCATCAGTCGCAGGGCCGCTGAAGGGTGGTGAGGTTGGAGGGGTGTTCATCTCGCTAGGAGCGAACGAAAGCGGCGAAGAACGCTTCAAGCGCTTCCGTGGGGGTTCATTGCTGGTGGACAAAGGTGTAGAAACAGAGCCGGAATCTCTTCGAGGAATTGGTGATGAGGAAACGGAGTGCGACGTCGGGTCGAAGGAGAGAGACTTGTGGCGAGTGTGCATAACCATATCGTAGCTCTTCTGTCTGCGGTCCTCTTTACGCGTATATAAAGCCCTGTATGCCGCGTTTTTCGGGGTTGAATGCAGCCCTTTCTTTCTTCTCTCGGAATGACTCGACGGTTGGGGTGGCGAAACGCGTCTGGTGCGCTCAGGCCAGCAAAAGGATAAACTTGGTACGAGGAAGGAGGTTTTCTCTAGTACTGGCTATGCCCTGTGTCTCCCAAAAAAGGAATTCAAAAATGAAGCGGTCGTGTTTGTGTCGGATGTTATCCTTTCTCCTTTTACCCTGCCTGGCCTTTCTTTTCCGCCTCCCTAAGCTTGGGTTGCGAAATTTGAGAGCGCGTCAACAATGGCGCCTACGTAGCCGTGATGGAATCAAGGGGCCCTCGCATAGAACTGGAAAAGAACACGAAAATTAGTAACAGCCAATCACATCCTCCATTTTGACCACCATGAACGACAAGGAAAGTTGTGATGGATGATCCTGATAAAAGCCGTCTATGATCACGGTGAATACGACGAGCAGCGTTCAATTGATTAGACAGTACTACATAAGAATCCCAAGTCCATAACCCCTCCCCTTATCCCTAAACAAATTTAGAAGCAAGTTCACCATTCCCCTTTGATCCACTTACTCCAACTTCGCACTCTCCATCTTTGCCGTCATCTCAGCCTCCTGCTCCTCGAGAACCTCCGTCTCGAGCGTCTCAAGTCCAGACTGCACGTACAACTTGAACTTGATGACCTCATCCAACACCTTGATCACCTGAGTATACATTTCCTCCCTCCGCTCATTTGCCTCCTGGGCAAGAGTGTCATACTCAATAGCGACAGCCTGAGCACGCTGCTCGATAGCCAGCACACCAGCCTGAGCATTCAGTCTCACATGCTGCAACTCGCGCTCCAACCTCTCCGCCTCGGCGTTGGAGCGGGTCGACTCGGCTGCAGATGTCTCCTTGAGGGACTCGCTCTGCTCAACTGTTGACGCAATCCTTGCCTCCATGGTATCAAGCTCATCACGCTTATCTTGCAGACCTTCACAGACGCGGCCAAGAATATCGTCCAATCGTAGCGACTCGTTTTGCTGAGCATGTACCTTTCCTCCCATGTCAGCGCGGAGCTGCGTCAGCAACGGCCTAATCTCATGTCGCAGGTCTCGGTTGACCATCTTGTCTGGACGTGTGTTAACACTGCCATCCTCCTGCTCAGCCGTAAGATCCAATTCGAAACTGTGTCCGTTGGCATGTGGTGCAGTTTCCGGAATCACGCCGATACGGTATCCAAGGGTGTTGTAAGTGCTGATCAACTTCTCCACCACCTCGGCACGCTTCTGCGATGCAATTTCACGGTCGTAGAGTACCTTAGAAATCTCATCTGACTTGTTCTGGACAATGTCGAGGTCCTTGATAAGTTTCTCCCGTTCGGCGGTCATTCGGTCGACTTCGGCAGGTGATACGGGCTGAGCATCGACTTGGGCTTGAAGTTCGGATTTCTCGGCCGCCAGCTGCTTGATTTCTTGCTCTTTTGCAACAATCTCTTCCCTCATCCTAGCATTGTACTCCGTAAACTTCCTCTTCTTCCCCTCAACGTGCTCAATATACTTTTCAAACTTCTGCTTATCACTCGTCAACACCTGTCTCTCGTTGTCCAAAATGTCCAGCGGTGGCTGATCCACGTTCAACTTCTTCAGCGCAGCCTCCGTCTCAGCAACCTCTTTCTCCAACTTCTCAATCTCACCCAAGACCTCGCCGTTACGTCTGTCAAACTCGGCAGTGAGCTCAGCTTGTTGGGCATCGAACTCGTCAGCTCCAGCCAAGAAGTCTGCGTAAGCTTTGGTAAGATAGTCGAAGAAGAGCTTTTCCGATGCAGTGGAGTCCGCCGGGTCGATCTGGCTCTGAAGCTCACCAACGGCGATGTTTTCGGTAGCGGTGACGATATCGCACAGCCACCCGAGCATACCAAGGAGTGGTGGCCAGGTGTTCGAGTTACCAACCGCCTGAATCGCTGTTCTCGAAATATCCGCATAGAATGGGTACCTGATCCCCTTCAGACACTGAATAACCTCATCCTCCATCTTCTTCACAAACTGATAGTTGGGATCAAGCGCGTTGTACAACCATTTGAACACGTTGTTGAAGTCCTTGTTTGTCGGCTGCGCCAATCCCTTCGGATTGATATCGTGAGGAAAGTTCGATCGCGCAAGGTAATTCATAATATTCTCAATCGTCTGCTGCTGAAATGCGCGATCCTTCAACGGCCTTGGGTCCTTCGGCTTCATCGTCGCGTTCGCGGACCCAGACTGCGATAAAAACCCTCCACTCATCCCACCAGCAATCGACTGCCTCCCACCCGTAAAGACACTCGATCTCCTACCACCGCTCGCGGCCGGCGCGTAAGACTGGCGCATACCCATACTCTGCCTGAACGGGTCACCCTGCGAGCTGGATAACCTTCCGCCGGCCATACCCGCAAGATCACCACCACTGCTACTACGACCAAATCGCGGAGGCGCGAGTGACATGCGCGCAGCTTGTGGTGCCATACTCGATCTGAGAGGATTCTGGTTACCGCTTTTGCGCATTGCCGAGGATGGTTGTGGGATCTGTGAGTTCTGCGAAAGCATACCGAGGGTGGACCGGCGGTGAAAGCCGCTGTCCTGCTGTGACATTGTGGTAAGATTCTGTGAGAAGAGCGACGCGTATCCGGATGTAACGAACGGTTTGATGAACTGGTTGACGACTCCTTGACTTTTGATCTCGCTGCTCTTCGACGTTACAGTCTTTTGTTTTGATTTCTGCAGCTGGGTCGCGTAAACAGACATCGACCGCTAGTTAATGCGGTCAAATTGAGTCACATTTTGAAAACATTGATAACTGCTAAAAAAAAACATGTTCAATGTATTTGAGAAGAATTATGATTTATCTATGTTATGTTAACTTTATTCTTGGTCAGATTCAAGTGTCCCACTTTGAGGCCCTGGACGTGTCAGCCCGATCAACCCGTGAGATCAGCCGAGTACCTGATCCACTGACTCCATCAACATCGTCAATCCCTGATTCAATCGCAAACACACACGCTTACGGACCGCAATGAAGTAACAGTAACAAACCCCGATAAAATTAAAACACTACAAGTGATCGCGTGTGCAGCCGCGCCGCCTATACGGTAGCTAAGCAGGCCTCACACCGTCTAACTTATCCCTATCACGATCATAAAACAAAAGAAAAACAGCGGAGCATCATCAAGTACGGAGACAATGACCTCCCCTCTCATCCACATTACGGCGTCAAATAAGCCCGGACTCTCCACCCATACCAAATAATCCTCATACTCGTACACACATAGTCATACATAGTAACAAGTCAGCGGAGGAGACAGGCTTACACGTTGGCGGCACCTTGCTGAACATGCCCAGTGCCAGCACCAGCCGGAGCTCCATAATCATCAACACCAGCACCACCCTCAATCCCACGCTGCCCGTGCCTCTTCTCCACGACCGTGTTTCCATTCGTCAACGCAATCTGTCCCATCCTAGGCTCGTTGTTCAACCCAAGCCTGGACAACTCGATCTTCGAATGCACCGCCAACGAGATGGCCGCGAACACAGGTTTAGCGAGAAGGTCGAGGACACCGTAGTAGACCATCTCTCCGACGACCGTGATGCGGTTTCCACCCTCGGCGAGACCCCAGCAGATAGGGTAGTTGAGCCAGATGATCATCAACCAAACAGCAAGAAGAGTGTAAGACTTGCGGACGTCGGGACCGATGTTACCAGAGACCTTGATACCCGTAAACACGTTCCAGAAAACCCAAAGCATAGCCACACACCCCATCGTGTAATACCCCCACTTGTAACGACTCACGACCAAGGCTCCAGCCAAGCCAGTGATAATCATAACCAAATCCGCAAAGATGGTGGAGATGATGATGTTTGTGGGGAGACCGGCGGTGAGGAGGAGTTCGGTGAGGAGGAGGGGGGTAGTGACGAACCAGTCGATGTAGCGGACGTAAGCGATTTGACGCGTTCCCGGGCCACGGAACTCGACGGTGACGGGGGTGAGACCGAGGTCGGAGGCGAGGGAGAAGTAGGAGACGGAGGCGGTGGCCAGGATGGCGACGTTGAGCTGTGAGACGAAGCATTAGCGAGTGTTTCCCAGGGGTGTATGCTCGCCTCCTCGGGGACCTCGAGAAAGGAGGAGGACATACCAAGTAAAAGATCCTGTACCCCATCGGCTTGAACAAACTCAAAGCCGCAATGATGATACACGACAAAGCCATGACGCAGAAAACAGCCCACAACCACGAGGAGCCATTCTCGGTCAAAGCAAAAGTAGCGTTCGGGGGGTTTGTAGCAACGGCATCGTTACGACGTTGAAGCAGGAGAGAGTCCATCACAGTAGGTATTCAGAGTTGCAGTAGATGTAGCAAGTGAGAAGAGGGACGAGGTGTATTTATAGTGATGAGTCAGAGGACGGAACAGGATCACTCTTTCACGTGTGACGTCGTTGACTGGTTCCAACTCTACTGTCACACGACCCCGCCGTTACCAGTAGTAGCGTGTCTCAGATGACCTCAACCGCGCGTCGCAAGAAATCGCCGTCTGTCGTAATCTCGTGGTAATGTCGAAGTGTCGCAATCCCGTGGGAATGCTACTCAACACACACGCTCAGAGAACGGCTCTGGCAAGCGTCGTCTTCGCCCTCACCGCCCTCGTTCTCCTGGCCGTCTCCGTCCTCTCCTACGCCGTCTTCTACTGGTCCTACGTCCCCGACTCGGCCGTCACCAAACACGTCTTCCTCCACTACGGGTTTGTCTTTCTCCTTCCTGTTCATCTCATTTCACGTTTTGACTCCATCTATCGCAGGCACGGCACGCCCCACGCAACGCTCGACCTCCGCGACGTCTCCCCGTCCCTCTTCGCAGACCAACCCTACGATGTCGCCCTTTCCCTCCACGTCCCGCCCTCCTCCACAAACCTCGCCTTGGGGAACTTCATGGTAACACTCGAAATCCACGCCTACCCACTCCCACCACCTCCCTCCCCGCCAACAACCTCGGAAATCCTAAGCGACCCCTCCGCAATCCTCGCTCGGACCACAAAACCAGGTCTGCTGCAATATAAATCACACATCGAACGGACTCTCTCCGACCTCATCAAATCACCCCTCTATTTAACGGGTTTGAGCCACCAGGTGGAACACGTCCGCATCCCCCTCCTCGACTCCTGGTCCTTCCCCGGTGGCCTCTTCGCCTCCACCCCCGCCGCCGCGCGCCTCGAGATTTCAACTCCCTCCCACCCCCACGGCGCTGCAGACCTCCAAATCGCATCCGCCCATCTGACTTTCTCGACCCATTACCGTGGCCTGCGCTGGTTTTTGCACAACCACCGTCTCATCTCCTTTCTCCTCTTCGTCTCCATATTCTGGGGTGCTGGTTGCCTTTTCGCTGGGGTCATGTATTGGTTTGTCGCGGCCCAGATTAGCAACGGTACCCGTACTGGTCGGAGGGAGGAAAGTAGGGATTTGGGCGAGAGTGATGCGGATGACTACGAGTTTGTCACCGGTAACTTTGGGTCGTCGCCGGTTGCTTCTACGTTGCGATCGAGGACGAGAGGGAGTAGTGTCGGTACCAGCGCCAGGGAAGGCGGATTCGAGTGGGAGAGCGTGGTCAGTGGTTCCACACGCGCAACCTCCGTCGGCGCACCCACGAGTGACAAGACGAAGCCAGGAAGGAGATAGGTAGATCTAGCATACACAATCCTTCATTCTTAGGCAGTAACCTCCTCCGCCGCATCCTTCGCATCCTCGACCGTGGTCTTCTTGTACTCATCTTGCCCCTTGGCGTCAGCTTTCTCCGAGGCGGCGAGTTGCCATGCTGGGATTCCTGATCTCGATGCGCGGTCGAGGAAGGACGATTTTTCGGAGGAGGGGGACATGGCCTGTACGAACGCGTTCGAACCTGCATCCCCAACAGCCCCAGCTCCAGCAGCAGCCGGTGACTTGGGCGCCGACGACACCGAATTGCTCTGATTCAACCACGGCACAGGACTATGCCCAACCCCACCCGTACCCAACCGTTCCCCGGTAGCACCAACTCTACTCTGCAACAGACTCTTCAAACTCCTCAGTTCCCCTGCCAACTCCTCCAAACTTCTCTCACTCCTCTCCCTCACCTTCTCAACAGCCTTCGGCACCAACCCCCTAATCCCCTCAATCTCCTCCCGCATCCGCCTAACCTCTCCATCCCTCTTCTCGTTCGCTTCTCGTGTCTCTGCGATCACGGTCTCCACTTTTGCGAGTGCGGCGGTTATCTGGGATTGTTGCTCGGAGGAGGCGGAGAGGAGGGTTGCGGTTTCGGATTGGAGTTGGGTTAGGAGGGAGGATGTTGCTTCGAGGGTTGCGGTGAGGTCGGATTTGTCTTGTTCGAGGGCGGCGGGGGTTGGGGGTTGGATTAGGGGGAGGACGTAGCGCTGTAGTTCGAAACTTATCGTTAGCCGTGTAGACAGACGGTGGTAGGCAGAACTACCTTCGCAAGGGTGTAAAGCCCGTATGACACACCAGCAGTCGTAACCGCCATCACGAAATAATCCCGCCAGTCCCGTCCTGGCAAGGGTGGTGGTCCACTCTGCCATCCCGGAATCGCCGGTGCAACTCCATTTCCTATCGTGGTAGCTGGATGTCCATTCTGCGAACGCTTGATAGCCTCATTTATCTCCTCCTGCGTCAATTCCTTCGACTCCAAGAACGCAATCCGTTTCGTGAGGGGTGAGGATTGGACAGTGGGGTCAGAGAGGAAGGTCACGGCGCTGGCGATGAGCTCTTCCCTCATTGTGGACAGGACAGGGGCTTGAGGGTTATGGTCGTTGTCAGTGAAGGGGTGTGCTTGAGACGCGTTTCGGCGTCGGGTTCAGAGCGCGGAGGTGGGGAAGCGAGTTGCAGCGTGGTGCAGGGGAGTTAACAATTAATAGTCACACACAAATCGATCCACTAAAGTGGAGATCCTAAAAGCTACTCCGCATTACGCACTTCATCCTCTTCAGCGATACTCTCCCCTCTCGCTCCGTGATGAACTTCCCATCCGCTCGGCTTTCGATCACCCAGCTTAGGCCGTGTAAGACCCGCATCTCTAGCTATACTCTTGAATCGCACCGTCTCCGTAGCACCTCCAATTCCCACCACGCTCGTTCTGTCCATGATCAAAGGCGCCGACGTACTCGCGCTCATCCGCGTCCTCATCGCATCGATGTACTTGTCCGTCTTGCCGCCAGGTATAATAATCTCGATATCTTGGAAACCGTTCGTCAAGTCATCCTCAAGTGTTGACGCCCGTGAATGAGAAGCATTTATCAGTGATGGGGTATCACTCGGAACAGGCCAGCGCTCGACGAAACAGGTATCACACGCTCGTGCAGCACGATACACTTGTTCTGCTCCATCCTCCTTGCGATTCTTGTCATATAACTGACTTGGAATGAGAAATTGCTTCGTCGAACATCCGTAGCATATGCATTTACCGCAGAGACGACAGTGGTGCCTTCGTCGGAACATGGTGAAGGGCTGATTGCAGAGTTGACACTCGGGTGCTCTGTCATCCGGAACCCAGACTGGTGCGGAGTAGTTGCGAACAACCGGACGGTCAGACGCGCAAGTGGATTCGGTGGATGGTTGTAGCTTGCGACGATCAACAACTCGAAGTGTCATCCGTGCTCTGAGATGATCTTCCTTCGCCCTCGAGATCGCCTCCATCCACTCTTCCTTCTCCTTTGCCGTTGCACTATATACGACAAAGCTCTTCAGGCAACTGACCATCGTCCAGGAGTTCTTCAGCTTGGCAATGCGATCGTCATTTTCGGCGTCCGCTGAAGTCTCACTCTCAACCTGTATGCCAACACCGTCGTCCTCGAGCTTAAGCTCATCCAGCATGATGCGTCTATTGAAGTAGTAGAACGTGCCTTCAGCCAGATTCAGGGGTAACGTGGGTGTTGCGTATATCAAACAGTCCGAAAAGAGGAGAAATTCTCTTCTCTGGTGGTTGCGACGTCCTACCTTATACAACAAGCCCCGCTTGATGAATTTTCGGCTTGGAACGGACAGGAGAGGCTGATCCAGACCGAACAGCGATCTCTGGATCTGCAGCATTGCGAGCCAATTCTCATATTGACGAATCGTATCGTCAATGAGCGACGCGACTACAACACGTCAGCAGGTAAACATGGACATGCGGGCTTGAATGACCTACCTTGCTCGACCAGCCTGAAAGCCTCCAATAGCTTCTCATGATCAGGATGTTCTTCATCGGTATATCGAAGCAGATCATGGAGCAAGAGCTTATATCTGTTAATCCTTTCGTTAGCAAGGACATCATACGGTCTAAGAGAAGACCGACCTTGGTACTCGTTGCACAGGCAGCAATAAATAACTCCCAAGATCCAAACCCCTCAAAACCTTTTTCCTCTCCGCATCCCCAAGGAACGTCCTAAATGCGGCATTCTCCCTCGTCTCGTGCTCCATAGCTCCGACCGCACTCGAGAAGTTCCGGCAGTACAGCGCATACATCTTGAGGAAATGACCAACGCCCTCGCTGGAGAAGATATCACCAAGATGTGAGATTTCGGGATCCCAGCTGCCCAGCATGACATGACCAGTGCAAAGCGGGTCCAGACGGGTAGTTAGGGAGGTCAAGAGATGTGTTGATAGGGAGAGAATGTCGGCAAAGTTCTGAAAGATGTCATTCAGACGAGCGCGACTTAGGATAGGTTGAGGCATAGAGAGCGAGTCAATGAGAGGTTCGACAAAGTACTGTGAGTAATTGTTAGCGCATATGACAATCATTCTCCTTGAATAACGTACCTCCTGTATCACCCACAGACTCTCCACATAACTCCTCTCAGTCGTCAAGATCTCCTGAGCAACATCCAACCTCTTCTTCATCTTTCTCGACAACGACGTTCTTGTCGCGCCTGAAGCAGTAGTCTCCTCCAACTCTGGCAACTCATCGACGGTGAACGCCGAGTCACGTCTATCCACACCCCCTTCCTGCACCTCAAATATGCTCCTGGGACTTTGACACTGCTCCTCCCCAACACTCGAAGAACCAGCAGATGCCATACTCAGACGAGACGCAGTCGACATAGAACGCGCTGGAGTGCTAGGCCTATTCGCATCTGTGGGTGTCGATGGTTGTCTCCTAAAAGAGACCATGGTCTGTCGCTTGACATTGACATACGACGGCCGAGATTGGTGTTGGTGAAAGGACCGTCTTTTCGGAACCGGCGTAGTTTCCACATCCTCTGGACCAAACGCCCCTAATGGCGGCACAGGCTCATCTGTCTCTGGCGAGGCCGGCGGTGTAACATAACTGTCTGCCATGGCTGTGCTCGTCCTTGACACTGACAATGCTATCTTGTTGAAACACAGAAGTGATGGAGTCAAAGAGAAGAAGACGAACGGTAGAGCAAAGAAAAAAGGAAGCAAGGGCTGAAAGCGGCTGACGTAGCGGGCGGTTACGTTCCAAATTGATGAAGCGGTACAAACAACGCCGAGCTGTGAATATATCGCGGGGGGGGACACAGGATCCGTGCACGATGCAGGACGGAGATAGCGATTGGCTGACAGCACGCGATTCTTACATACGTGGTTTAATCAAAGTTCATTCTAATAATGTCCATGGCCATAAAAACGCCGGTTTGTGGTCCGTTGCATGAGTCATCGATGTCCGTTCCGTTTCCCACCCGCTCTCCACCACCTCGGCAAGTAACAGCCATCTCCGCATTCATACTCAAGCCGTTTCTTAAAGTAACTTCCTAGCTCCTCTTCCCTTCACCCTCATACCAGAGATATGCTTTGTAATCCGTGTACTTATCAAGAAACTAGTCCCCACCGTTAGTTGCTCTCTTCACACGCTCTGACGGGTCTGCACACCTCGCGATTCTTGCACCCCTCAAAAGTCATTCGATCAAGCCACTCATCCTCCTGAGGCTTTTTCTTGACGACAAGAGTCATTGGAAATAAGTTCAATCCCGGGATGGAGTGCATCCTCCCGTAGTCCTGAGCACAAAGGTCCGGGATCATCCGCATAAACAGGATGTCGTACTTGTAGTCATCATTTGGATTTGGCATCTGTGAATCCATGATCAGTCACGGCGGGTTTGCTGCGTTGATATGGGTTCACCATGACGTTCTCGACAAGCTTTGGTATGTACGGCAATTCTGGACTTCCACTACTCTCTCTGTCGTCCCTCAACCATGTCACAACCTTCTCCGCTAGCCCTACATCAGGTTCAGTGTTTTCCGGCGTGAGATTGGGTCGGACAGTCCGCTCTAAAGTTTCCGTCGGTGAAAGGGTTTTGCCTTTCTTCGATATGGTATGGGGAGCCTGGCCAGCTGATCCTGATGGCTCCTGTGTGCGGAGCGTTAGTCATAACTTGCGTGTGTAAATCACCGCTCAGCTGACACATACCTGCACCGGATGGTCTTCATCCAACGTCTTCTCGACTTCTTCTTTCTTTGCACTACCTGCTTTATCAGAGGGTGGGTCAGGAGGCGTAATCGGAGGTGACACAAGTGAGGATGAAGGTTCAGCGCTCTTTTTCTCCTCTGCAATGAGTCCGAGGGTTCCGAGATGTCTTGGACTGGCCTTGTTGGAATTTATCTCCTGCAATTCACTCGGAGGCTTTGGCGTCAATGACCGCCTTCCAGCCGGCTGAACAGGTGTTATAGACGTAGCATTTGCCACCGGGATACTCTCGTTCCTCGTCTTCCTTCTTGGTACAGGACGCGGCGAGGATCGATGAGCATTCAACGGGGCCCGTGTAAGCTTCGACCCAGGAAGTTTCGTGCGAGGCATAGGCAATATGAATTAGCAGACAGTCAGGTCAAAGAATGAGCAATGAATAATGAATAGCAGAAGAAGAGCTCAGAGCATTGCCAAGACTGGTGAAGTTGTTGGGTTGTATGCGCTGGGGTTCATTGAGGTCATGAGGGTGAGTCGGGAGCGCGAGGTGCATGAATCGAAATCGAATACGCGGCGGGTCACACGCTTGAATCTCGCTTGTAGCGACCATTGACTCGGTATGAGCAAGTGCCGTTGACGGCCTTTGAAAGTCTATCTCATCCGGATAAATGCTACCAAAATTTTGGTATATGCCTAGGAGCGCTATGCTGACTCTCCTGTATCGTACAACGTTGCATCCCCACCATCCTCCCCAAAGAGACACGGGCCCTCGCAGCTGCGCTCTGCAGCTGCTGGTTATTTGCTTCTACAATTACTTTTGATAAACCTTGCCAATTATCATACTTCAATGACGAAGCGTTGACTTCTGGACAAATCCAGTTTCTCCGGACACCTGCTGAATTTCCTTCTGCTTCACATCATCCACCCGCCCAGGACCCTCATACAACCCCTTAACGAAATCCTTAAGAATGGCCGGATTGGTCGACTGTGCTTCGCCCTGTACAGTATCATTGCCTAATCCCAGGATTAGCAACCATCGTGGGAGGGGATAGAGAATGATCATACTCGTGTTACGACAGTACCCGGTAATCCCACCGATTGACTTGGCGAGATCGATAGTGAATTGACGGAAACCGACGCCTTGGACGTTTCCGAAGACTTCGAAAGCGACCCGTGACATGATTTTGATGGCTAACTGAGATTGGGGTTCGGTGGAGGTAAACCTCGGAATTCACAGGTTAGCGATGACGTCACGGGACTTCGCGGTATCGATAAGGGTTCAGTCAGCGTCTGGAAGGAGGGCTGCTGAACGAAGAAAGGCACTGGAATGTATTGATGAGATGATACGACCTCTTTCAGGCTTGTTCTTGAGCGCTTCCTTCATCTGCCCCCTCGTCACGCCATTGGGGTTCGGTACCCACGGCTCCCTGCCTAATCCGAGTAGCCTACCGGTGAGCGATGGTAAGGCACCTCCAGCATGCGAGAAACCCACTGAGTATTCGGAGAACGGGCGGTGGTGTTAGCGTAGAGCATATCCACGATCGTCCTTGCAGTCTCAAATGCTACTTCGAGAAGAGGAGCTGGGCGCCCAAGATCTGAGGGTGCATAAGCATCCGGATGCGCAAAGACAGTTGCTCCAAGCTCATTCAACTTGGTCCGCAAAGAATCAAAACTCGAATCGGACAAGTAGACTCCGTTGTATCGACATGTGACTGCGTAACCATCCGCCTTGATCCTCTCAACGCCCTTCTCCCACCTCTCCACCTCCTCTAAGGCAGCATCAACGTTATCCGTAGGTAATGTCGCAAGGAAGCCAAAACTCATGGGATAATCCCTAACTAACGAAAAGCAGCATACTCATTACTGGCCTTCATTGCATCCAATCCTTTCGGAATGTTCGAGAGTAAGAGCATCTGTCTCCCGGCTTTATCCATATAAGCCAACGTCGCTTCCGGCGACCATTGAGGTGGCTCCGGATCATGAAATTCTCGTTCTTCATGGCTTCCCATTTGGCTACACGTTCCTCCTCGGTCATTGGTGGGTAGAAGTGGCCATGGATATCGATCTAGTTGTTCGGTTTGATCAAGGGCATACTTTTAGAGCGGGTGGACAGAGATTGCTGCGTAGGTGCTTGTTGATGGAGGACTTAGCTGAACTATGGTACAGAGCTTACAGCTGCTGAACCGTTAGTTCACCTCAGTAACGAGCTGCAATATCTGCTTGACGTCAGTTGATGCAGGGTGCGGCAATCGTTGCCGACGCATTGTTTTCGTCCGAAAACTGAAGTCATTCAAATAATGGGAAGGAAAACTGTAACGCTCGATCGATCTGAAAAGTAACATAGAAGAGGCAGCCCCTGGCCACAATTCTATGATGCGGTCCTCTGTCTCAAGCTCTCTTCGCGGAGATTTACGCTAGCTCATGGTTCCGAATTGCCGCTTCGGGAAGTTGGAGTACGACGCTAAGGGCTCCCGGCCTCCCCAAAGAAGACTGACGTAGACGGCTCTTGATGGTTCTTGTTAGGGTAGCTGCTCCTCCCTGGTATCACATAAGTAGCAAGCTTCTGCCTTCCCCGAATACTCCCTCCAACTTCCACTCGCCCACTTCTTCCTCTTACCAAACCCACAAACAACCACTCTCCACTCATCAAAAATGCTGTCGAACACTTCCATCGCCACCAGCACGGCCTCCAGTATGTCCGTGTCTGCCGTACCTCGTCAGGTCCGCTTCTACACACACCTCAACACCCATATCTCCCTCATCCCCAACACATCTGCAAGGTCCAGTATCGAGATCACAGCCAACGCCTACGATGACCCCAACTACGAAGTTCCTTCTTGTTCCCCAAAGCGCGTCACAATTGTTGCAGACGTGCGCTCACCCAGCAGATCCCGCGAGCACCACAGGAGACAGGCCCTCCTCCGACATGCTGAACGCGGAGAAGCCTCCCTCGTCCGCGCGAAGCAAGAGGGCCTCATCACGACTCTCCGCAAGAAATGGTTTACAAATGATCCCAAGAAACCTCGTCTCGGTGAACTTGATCTGTTGAAACTCGCTGTGTACCCGTACACGGGTGGTATCATCGAACGGCCTTCATCCGAGTCCTCCTGTGTGGATGATTCGAGTATTGCGAGTGTTCCGATTATCTGGATTCCGCCGCCTCCGATCGAGCTTGCGGACGTTATTGGTCCGTGTCCGGGTACCAGGAAATCTGCGCCTGAGTCGAAGCTCAGCCAGATCGTGAAGAAGAGCAAGAACCTTTTCTCGATCTCGCCTAAGAAGACCAAACAGAACGGACCTAAGAGGTTCCGCACTTCGCTCCCGGCAATGCCCAGCAGATTCACTGAAAATTTCGAAGATATTGAACCCCTCCCGAGCCTCTCAAGTCTTCGTGATGACTCTGGCCCGAGATTGTCGGATTGTAGCGGGGATCTTCTTGCACAAGTCAGTTCTCTGGGCAGCGTGCGTTCATCCGTCGAATCGACCTCCTTGAGGTCTCCGCTTGAGGACTTTCACTCAGCCGTGTCGCACACGGAGAAAGAAGAGAGGGACTCCGACTCTGCGTTCGCGTGAATTCGAAGAGCGCTTGAATGTGGGAATTTCATCGGGTTTGTATAGGTTATGAAGTAGATATTTGGGTTTATAAGAGCCCATTTGTTGGAGAGCTGTAAAGTCAGATATGATTGAAAATGCTTTTAGGCGACCATGATGCTCTCTCTCACGTTCTGCTGAACCGTCGAGCTCCTCCTCACCAATGCACGGGCCTGCAACCTGACGTCGAACGTCCGACCCGCAATAAATACGTCGGTGAGCTCGATGACAATGTCGACCTCCATATTGAACCATCGATCCATTACCATGTCTACTCAAGCTGCTACAAAGATCCGAACATCCGTCATGGTCTTCCATCACATCTACTCTTCCAAGAAGCGCCGTGCCATGAAAGAATGGGCACAAGACGCAAACCTCGGCGCACTCTGCAAAGTCGGAAATGCGGGGATCCTCGTCGTCGAAGGACCAGACGAGATAGTGCAAGACTACGTATCTAAAGTCAAGCAAATGCGCTGGCAAAGCTGTCACCTCCGCTCGGAACGTATCCGCGAAGACGATCCTCCGGCCCGTTCTAAGGGGAAGGGGAAGAAAGAGGAGCCTCAGCCTAGACTGAAAGATTGCGCCGGTTATGTGGAGTATGAGAAGGTGTCGGAACTTAACAGCCAAATGGATAAATTCGGTCTTCAAGGGATGATCAAAGAAGCGCTCTTCTAAGTTGCGGAACCTGAACAAACGCGACCTCCAGCGGCACACATGGTGACAGTCAAGCAGGCGTAGCATTGGCGGCCTCGAACCTCGCCAGTACTGCGACAGTTTATCAAAACACCACATTCATGATCGTCATCAATGAACGACGGGCAAGGCTCCTCGACCAGACTGCCATACTAGCAGAACAGAGGGCAACGCAAGTCGCGTGAAGCAGTATCCTCCCTGTTCGCCTTACTTTGACTTGGGTTTCTTCGTGCTTGAGACGCAGGCCGTGTCGCTTTAGTTCATCTAATACCTCATCCGTCGTGTCTGGTTGGGGCAACGACGAATAGAGGAGAGAGACGAGATCAGCGGTCCGACCTCGGTCAAGATATAAAAGCGCGTTAGTTAAATACTTGCAAATGCTGTACCAAAAAAACCAACGGTTACCACACTACCCTACTCAGAAACCTCACACGTTTGCAACCCTGTGCACTAAATCTTTCCAAGCTCCCCGACTCCTCCTATACCTCCCGGGGAACCCACCTACGTTCCTAACTACCGGCGCCTTCTTCGCAAACACAACCTGATCCGCTTGAGCGCTGATCACCTTATACCCTTGCTCCCTCAATGTGCGGTAATGGAACTGGTACATGGCCACATTATGGACGCGCCCAAGGAGAGAGACGACATCTACATCAGGGTAGGGTTTGCGATCCTTGGTCTTGTGCTCGCCCAGTGCCATCTGGATGACACTGCCGTGGCGGGGGCTGTACGAGAGGAGTTGAAGATCCCACTTCGCGTGACGGAGAGGTTTAGCCTCCTCCTCGCCCTCTACGTCCGATATCCCAGCCTCGGCGTCCGGAGTGGCAGCATCCGTCGCAGTCGTCACAGCAGTCTTCGCAGCTGAGACTGCAGCCCTGCTGGGCCTCTTCACCTCCTCAAGACCTTTCGCAACCTCAGCCCTAACCTGCGCAACATTCTCCTGGATATCAGCAGCAGTCCTGACGTCGACATCGGGCATTGTCCTACCCAAACCCCACGAACGCGCAGCTTCCTCAGCTCGTATTTTTTCTTCAATGTCGTGAAGACCGCCGGGACGTTTGAGAATGGCACGGACGCTCTCGGCGGTGGAGTTGAAGAAATCCTGTGGTGCCCAACGCGGGAGTTTCTGGGATAATTCAACAGGTTTGGGAGGAACGACAGATTGCGCAGCAGGCTCGTCCTTAGGCTTGGGAGACGAAGCTTGCTCTTGCTTCTTCTCCTTAACCACCGGCGCCTCCGCAACATCAGCAAGGACAGGATCGACTTGTACAGGATCATCCTTCTTCGCCTTCGCCATCTCGGCCGTAATTTCCTCCTCCAAAGATAACCCCGGGGTCATCGGTAACGCCTCCGGCATCCTCTGATCACTCTCCCCCTTCCTCTTCCACACCTTCATCTTCCAAATCTCCTTCGCTCCCTTCTTCCTCAGTTCCGACACTGCAGTCCTCAGATCAGACCTCAACGCCGGATCCGCAAAAACATCGGCCTCAAAGGCAGGGAGGAGGTAGTAATACCAGTGGCCTGCCTCACCCTGGGCGGTCACGCAGTAGTGCTTGGAGGACGTTCGTTGGGCGTGCGCGGGAATGGCAGAGGACATGGTTTTGATCCAGGCTTTTTGGGCTGATTTGGAGTTGTTGACTGTTGTCATAGCTTCGGCGTCGGCCTCGTCCTTTGCCTGTGCGGCAACCTGCTCCTCCGGGACCTCCTCATTCTTCGCAGCTGCAGCTTTGCTGGGTTGAGCAGCAGCCGCTGGGGCTGCCTTCCGAGCACGCAGCCAGATAGTCTCCTGGTTCGGCCCAGTAATCTCAACGAGTTCGTCGCATCCATACTGTCTCTCGGCAAAACGCTGGTGAAGTAACAAAGCACAAGCAACCGTATACTCCATAGCTGCCGCCTTGCCCCCCCTCATGTCCTCCAACGAAAAACGCAATGGAATAGTCAATGGTATTGCCTTGGGGTTTGCTGAATTTCCCCACACAAGCTCAACAGTCTGCGGAATGCCAGACTCCAAATGCTCGGCAAGTGCCTTTTTCGCCTCCTCCAACTCCTCCATCTGCTCAACATCAGGCAGACGGTACCTATGCCGACCTTGTTCCGCCACTTGCTCCTCAACAGGCTCTTGTGCATCCCAAGTATAAGGACGTGCAGATCTCGCCCCCTGTGCCGTTCCACAGCGCTTCAACGTGATGGGATCAATGAAGTCCGCTTCCTCCTCCCCCTCACGCGGAAAATTCTTGCTCCTGCGAACGGGGCCGGTTCCCGGGTCAGCTACAGAAGAGGCGGCGTCGAACTTGCGTTTGGTAGCAAAGAGAAATGTCCTGAATTGAAGAGAACGGTTGTAGGCGCAGTTGGATCCGGTCCTAAGTATCTGCACGCGGACACTACGTCCGACGAGCCCGAAGACGGTCATGGTGAACTGAGGTAGCTGAAGAAGACCAGTGGTCGATTGACAAGAGACAAAACCAATGGACCAGTCCCTCCCGACAATTGATCGTCGTCGTCCGCGTCAGCTAGGAGGACCCAGGCAATATACACATGCTGGGTGCTATATATATATATATATGTATCTCATTGCCGGCGGGGTAGTCACGTCACATGCCCTTATCGCGGCCGGTGCCCTTTTTGCGTGCGCGCAGAATCCGCGTGACGATGTGAAACCCCGTGGGAAAACCCGAAACATCGTGAGAAGAGAGAAAAGAGATGTTGGTTTGTGATGATCAGGTATATCCGTTGCCATTTGCATGGGAAGCAAAAGCAGAATAACAGCTGCAAACAAAACAACACATTGCCAACGGCCGTGGCATCAAATCCAAGCAAAACGAACAATATAACCAAGACAACGTGCACAAAAGCGAGACAAGACTCCAGAAACCCAACAGCAAGCACAAAAACGATCCCAAACAAAGCCAGACTATTACGCGTATATCTTGCATGAACCCATCTAGAGCCCATTCTTCGCACGACTCCTCATCCTAAAGAAATCCATCACTCTCCTCGCCGCACCACTACTCCCACTCCTCTGCGCAGAAGCATCCGAGGTGAACTTCTTGTCCCCCCTCCCTTTCGCCACCTTCGAGTTCGGACTCGGGCTACCAACATTCTGGTTCCCATTCGTCGCCGAATCCTGCAACAAATTGTTCATCATCGCAGGCTGCGTCACACTCCTCGGGATTGCAGATCCACGAGGGGGAGTACCGGGGTTCCCCTTCGGAGACTCCCCATTCGCAAGCTTCGACATCCCCGAATTCTGGCTCGAACTCCTCATACCAAACGAAAAGGCCCCAATCGTACGCCTCTTCGTCTGGCTCGCCGGACTAGAGTTACTCGACTTCGCCAGCTTCGGACTCGCGTTCTTATTAACCGGGCTAGCCCGGGTCTGTACCGGGGTATTAAGCACAGCCGGCTGTGGCAGAACAGTCCCTTGCGCACGTTCTGGTCCAGGCGACGAAGCAGCTTTAATATGCATACTCTCCATCCTCAACTCCAAACTCGTCGTCGGAACAAGCGGACTCCCAATCGGTTGAGACACCGGCGTCGGCATCGGGCTCGACCCATTAACTTTCGGACTCGTCGGCGTACTTCCCCACCCAAACCTCCCAAACACCCTCTCAGCCCCAAGCGAAATCGACACCGCACCCTTCTTATGCCCCTTCGGAATCGTCGGTTTCGTCGGACTCCCGCCCGGGCTGGCCGCGACGGTGGGCAACTTAAAGAACTCCGCCTCGACATGCGCGACACTGGCTCTCGGCACAGCCGGTGTACGCTGCGTATACGAATTCATCCTGCCATACGCACTTCCCGGTCTCGACTGCCCCGCCCTACTCCCCGGTCGACTCGTCACGCTACCATTCGCACTCGAAGTGGTGGCGAGTGCTTGCCCAGCAAACGCCAACGCCTCATCTAACTCATCGAACTCTGTAATCCCAATTCCCATGGGGATCTGCATACTCGTGGGCCTAGGCTTCGCCGAAGGGACAGGGAGTCTACTCCCTCCCCTCACACTCCCCGAACTAGCACTATCCGGCCTGGCCTTCGCCGTGGACGCAGACTCAGCCGGTGCAATGGAGGCTGGATTCGGCACACTCGTAGCCAACGGACTATGCGTCACCAACCCAGCATCCGTAACACTCCTCACCAACGCTGGCGCAGAAGGCAACGCCAGATTTGTCTTCCTCGGCGAATGGTGCGAATGTGCCACCGCTCCCTCAGGCTTATCGTACTCGACTTGCACTGTATGCCTCTTTGGCGCAGGCGGCGGCAACATCTGTCCCTTCGTCTCCTCACTCTCGCTACTTCCCGTCCCAACCCTTCTAGGCACAGCAGGCAACGCGACACTATTATGCCGCGCAGGCGAAGGAATAAGGAACTTTGTTTGAGGGTTCGCAGCGAGTGCAGACTGCGTATGCGGCACAGGGCCTCCACGATCCGATACACTCCGGTTCATAAACGCACTATTCGGCGCAGCAACCTGAAGACTAGATCTCGGATTCAGGACTGGTTCGAGGGTTGCCTTCTGCTTCTCCAACCACTGATGCTCAGCAACCTGTCGAAGCGTGACCCTTTTCCTCGGATCCGGCACCAAGATCTTTCTCAGGAGATCACGGGCAACAGGGGTGACATACTCAGGGAACGTAAGCGGTGTCGACACAATATACCGATAGAGAAGGTTGATGTTATCACCCTCCGGATTCGCCGGGTCATCGTCGAACGGCAGATACCCCGCAAGCATAGCGTACAAGATGACACCACAACTCCATACATCGACCTTCCTTCCCGTGTATAGTCCATCACTGACCACGAGTTCAGGCGCCGCATAGCACGGACTTCCACAACTCGTAGCCATCAAATCACCCCTTCCCTTAATCCCACATCGGGAGAGTTTGAGTTCATCCTCCTTGTCGTCAGAGACCTCCTCCACATTGAACGTATTCGCGAACCCAAAATCGGTAATAATGATATTCCGATTCCGATCCAACAACAGATTCTCCAACTTCAAATCACGGTGCACGATACCCTTTGAATGCAGATACCCAACACCCGAGATGAGCTGTGCGAACAGTCCGCAGGCAACGGCATCTTTGAGGTATCGTTGCTTGAGAATGTAATCGAAGAGTTCGCCACCGGATGCGTATTCGAGGACGATACCGATGTATTTGCTTGTCTCGCGGACGTCGTGGAGGGTGACAATGTTAGGATGTCGCTTTACGCGGCTGAGAACATCGATCTCGCGCTGGACCTTGGCGGCACGAGCGGCTGTGGTCAGAGTATCACGCCTGATGAGTTTAATAGCGACCTATAATCAACACATCAGCACCGTCATAGACCAATACTGGAGGGTTAACCATACCTGCGCACCCTCAGGTAACCCAACCCTCCTCTCCGTATCAACCCCCTTCCACCACCCCAACTTCACCTTCCCGAACTCACCCTCCCCCAAGGTCTGTCCAAGCGCATACCCCTCAAACATCGTAGCCTTCCGCCTGCGGTAAGTACTGATATCCTTTGATGAAGATTGCGTTGCTGTATGTGCCGAAGTATTCGGTGAAGAGGAGGAAATGGTGGGTGTGCTCTGCAACGAACTACTCCTTTGCGGGGGAATGGGCTGGACTGCGTAAGTCATGGTCGAAGTAGCCATGTGCACGCCCACTGTGCTGTCAAATAATGCTGCAGTGTGACTGCTGTCTCAATGCTTGTTGTGACGAGGATAACTGGATGTAGGTAGGTAAACGGCAGCCTTAACCCCTGAGATATGGAGTGTATGGTATGTGTCAAACTGCAACGAAGAGAGGGACTTTTGGTATAGAGAATGACGGATGCTGAATGGGATTGCCCTACCCTGTCCTCTTCCGTCTATTTGGATGGGAAGAGGCCTTGTACTGGATGGAATGTATGCTGTATCAGAAGGGCAACGGCGGTGTTTATGAATGCTGGTGGCACCCCTGCGCCTGTCTCGGAATCGGCGTGCGTCTCCGCAATGGCCCGTGCAGCAACTCTATCTGTGATGAAGAAGGAGGAGAAGGAGAAGGTCAACGAAAAGGAGAGGAGAATGACAATAGAGAAACGAGTTGATATCTATGATGAAGCAGAAAATCCCAAATCCGCAAACACCCACTATTGTACAGACTGAAATGCAGACAATAACTCCAACAAACCAAGAAAGCAACATAACGAAACAACATCATCCACAGCTGTAGCAACCTACTCCTACTCTTTTCAATCATTCATTCATTCCATCAAACAGAACACGAAAACATTTTAGACCGCCTCGGGTTGCCCAATAACCCCCGGCGCAAACTGTCCAGGAGGCCCAGCAGTAGGCGCATTGATATGAGAATACAGCGAATTGAACAACCGCTCAACCTCAGGCGCACTCTTGATAAACGGCAAAGCCCAGAAGTTGTAATGCGTATTCTTCAACAACTCCGTAAACGTAATCAACAACCCCCAGGGGTGTGGACGGTTGCAGATCAACCTCTCCAAAAGGATACGCGTTATCTGCTCTTTGCTCGAAACATCATCGTTCGCGTTGCTGAAGAGGGAAAGGAGGACGCAGCTGTAGTAGTGAGTGTGGCTGCTGGGGAATCTCAACTGGTTCGCAATGGCACCGAGGAAGTAGTACCGACCCTCGGGGTTAAGTTCGTCAAAGAGCGTAGTCAAAAGCGCCATATGCGCAGACTTGGGCTGGAACGAAGGAGGTCCACCGTTCGACTTGGCATTCGCCTCCTTAATCGCGTCAATACCGACGTACAACACAATAGCCCCAAGCAAGAACCGATCAACCTTGACATGCTCAGGGAAGTGAGAGTCGACGTCCATCGCATGAGGAGCTGCAAGAACCCTCGTCAACAGCAACTTCGGGAAATCCGAAGTCTGCTTCGCCTGATGGTTGGCAAGGTACGCATCCAAGCTAGGCTTGACTCCAGACTCCTCAATAATCTGAAGATAATCATCAGAGATATCAGGGCTCTCCCTAATCTCCGGCAAACGGTCGACCTTCAACCCTTGCGTAAAAGGATCAGGCAACCTCATGTTCCTAGGGAACGCACTCAAGATCAAGTTCCTCAACTGCGTGCTGTTGGAGGCAATCGCATTCCCGAGCGCGAAATGGTACTCACACAAAAACTCAGGGAAATCGTGCAAGATAACTAACAAGCACCTCAGCAGACCCTTATAGAGATGACGGACCGAATCCTTGATCTCCGCATCCTTAAGGTGAGGAGCCAAGAACTCAAGCTGGCAAACAAGCAAACGGCTATACGGCTGCCATCCCTTCTTGTCCTCGAACAAGAGCATCTTCGGCAAGAAAAGCCTGTGCGAAAGCAACGACATCCATCCGAACGCAAATCCTGGGAAACACTTGGGCTGGATGACAATGAACGCATCACAGAGCGCAGTGTAAAGCTGAATCTGGATATCCTCAAGCGCATGCTCATACGTCTGAATCTCACTCAAGATCGTCGAGAACAACCTAAAGAAAGGCTTCTGGTTGAATGCCTCACCAAAGATCTCGTGCGTATGAGCGAATATCATGTTGATAACAGCCAAGACCTTCGCGAAATAGGTCTGCTTGGTAGGCGCCTCACCCCTAACCTGGTCAACCTCAGCATTGTAACGCACGAGAATAACAATCAACTTGGCAAGCGCATCGATAGGGACGTAGCTGTTGATAGTAACAGTACCCTGCGCAGCCTGCTTCAAGTAATTCTCAACACTCAAATCCAACGCAACACGGAAGAAAAGAGCATGGAGTTGGTCATCCTCGAGGATACCCTGCTGCTGAAGCTGATAGATGAAAGCAAGGTAAACCTTGTCGTTCGAAGCCGGATGCTGGCAGATCCTGATCCACTCGGCGAAGATGAAAGCGAGCTGCTCCTTGTTCGCACGCTCATCCGTCATGTTCTTCTCGACGAGCTCATTGGCTTCGTCGACACCCTGCTGAAGGGCACGAAGAAGCTCGACAGGCGCTGACCATGACTCCTTGTCCTCAGCGACCATCTTTTCGAATGCATCGATACTCTTAGGGAAATCCATGCGAGATGCAACAGGGACCGGTCCCATAGTCGCCTCGAAAATAATAGCTGCGGTGTAATCAATAGCAGCGGCATCTCTCTCCTCGAGCAGCGTAACCAACTGACCATCGTACTCAAGCGGGTTGATGAGGGCAGCGCGGATAAGGGTGGTAGTAACCGGCACAACATACTTGCGCTCATCGTCGACCTGAAGCAACCAAGCCGCAACATCCTTCGCAGTCTTCTCAGACAATTCGCACAGGCGGTCCAACAAGGTAACAAAGGTCTCGCGAGCAAGCAAAGAATCCGCGTTCGCATAAAGCACAGCGCAAGTCTTCTGAGCACACACCAAAACTGCGTCCTCTCTAGACAAAGTCTGACTGGCGATGATCGGAATTTGACGCAAGTAGTTGCGGATGTCGTGCTCCGGGGGAACGTTGACAAGCGGAACATCCTTTGGTGAATCCTGGATTACTCTCTCCAGCTCCGCAATACCGCCAAGAAGCTTCTCCAAGGCCTGGGATGCCGCAGCAGTGAGGGTAGGAGGGATGATTGCCGGCATTTTGGTAGGCGCTTCCGGAGCCTCACGAGCGGGTTGAGGGGCTGCTGGTGGAACAGGCGTGGCGGCAGTGAAGGATGGCGTGACACCAGGCTCGCCCAAGTTGCGAGCAGGAGCAGCGCCCTCACGACCTTCGTAGCCCTGCGGAACAGCACCAGCCTGGCTAGCAGTGCGGGGAACACGGTTGAACTCGTCGTAAACGGCAAGCTGCTGAGGCGTCAATCCAGATGACTTCAAGCGCAAAGGATCAGGCAAGCTGACGGCGTAGCGAGAAGCCGAAGGATCGAAGTATGGCTGTCCAGGACGCTCCTGGCGGTGCTGAGCACGAGCAAGGTAAGCAGGAGCAAGACCCTCATCAATCTCTGGAACAGCCTTGTCCATGGCGGCCTTCTCGATGATAGAACAAGCAAGGTCAAGGTTGTCAGATACAGTCACCATGATGGCGTGCTCAGGAAGGTTGCTCTCGTTAACGCCGTTTTGCATGAGATAATTGCGGATGTGGTTAGTCATGCTGATACGCAAAGGCTCCTTGCAAGTAACAAGAGCCAAGCTTCCAGCAAGGTTCTGAACCATGATCCTAGCAGCTTTACGCATGGAATCAGCGTTGCCCTCGACGGCAAAGTCCTTGGTAATAAGCTCGCGAGTAGAGATACCCGCGATGGTAACCGATCGCTCGACCACAGGAGCAATGATCTCGCGGATGGCTTTGTCAATGGCTAGCTGCAACACACGCTTCAATCCCGGCTGATGTATCATGAATGATACATTGGGGTTGATGACGATGTGCTGAGCCAAGCTGGGCATGATCGCATCGACGTTGCTCATCGCTGGAGATTCGACGCCGTTACCAATGCCCGCAATATCGCCAGCAACATCGGCAACACCAGCCGCCTGCAAGCGCTGAATCTGCTGCAATTGCTGTTGACGTTGCTCAAGCTGCTGTTGCTGCAACAACACTTCATCCTCGTCGGTTCTCTTGGGTCTGTTGTCCAGCAAGTCACTAGGTTCAAGCTTCTTGATGTCCAAGCCGACGTGGATGCATAAACTCTCAAACCTGTAATCCAAAGCCTTCCGCACCTCCTTGTCGGAGGTCTTTTCCGTCACGATATAACGGATATACAACTCCTTCAGCAACTTGAAGATAGCCATGGTCCATGCGTTCGGTGGCTTGAAGATACGAGATCTGCTCACCTGTGTCAAGACATTGGCGGTGTAGTGAACGGCCAAAGCAAGACGACCGGAATCATGACCCTCTAGCAGGAGATCTTTGAAGGAAACATTCTTGTGCTTGATTGGCTTGTCCCTAGCAAGGGTCATCTCACCGAGCCAAGAAGCGAGATGAAGCAGACGATCACGAGCGGGTCCCTTCTCCATCGACTCCTCCGAGTTCAACAAGCGGAGAGAAGCCTCCAAGGTTTCGTGCATTGTGTGTCGTAGTAGGACACGGTTCCCAAATGTTTCTAACAAACGGACGTACAATTCATGATAGTTGGGCTCAATGGCAGCACGCTCCAACACGAGGTACTTAGCGAACCACTGGAAGTGTTTCTCAGGCAAGCAGTCCCGCAGCTCGTTGACCTTCTGCTCCAAGTTCGCAGAAGAAACGTTGTTGACTGCAAAGAGGACCTTGTCCTGAACTTGCTCGCCAGGGTCTTCGAAGGCGACCATCTGGATCCCGAAGCCCTCAGACCTGATAGAAGAGAATGGCGGCTTCGTGGGAGAAGGCATACTTCTGCGCATGGCCTCGTCAGCATCGACGCGGATCTGCGCCATAAGCTCAGGCTGCGCTCTTTCCAAGGCCGGTAAGCCGAACAAGTGCTGACAATACTGCGGCCACTCGTGAACTCTACCCTGAAACTGCATCAACGCCTGCACACCGAATTTGAACATGTTGCTGGGGGCAGCACCTTCAGGCTGGTTCTCTCCTTCCTTGAGCGATTCCAGAACATATCGAAGAGCAATGCCCAACGGGATGTGAGAAACCAAGCCAAAGTGAATCAAACTACCGAAGAGTACAGCGGTGATAGCAAGAGCATTTGCAGGGTAGTCCGCAAAGAACCGATACTCGTCAAACAAAGAGTGCAACATACAGGCGAACACGTCCTGATCACGAGGCTCGTCACTCTCCTTGAGACGCTGCAACATGACGATGACATCGCTAATTGGCAATCGTTCCTCATACATGCGCTGATAGTATGTTTCGACCTCCTTCTCAACATCTCTGGCGAACGTGTTGCCATGGTCAGCCTCATTGGCAAGAATACCGGCATCGTGGCCCTGACCAATATTCATCAACCTGGGGTAAACCTGCAAGCAACTGCTCTGTACGGTGCGGAAAATTTCAGCATTCGCCGAGTTCATGGGGTTGTTCATCAAAACTCTCAAAAACACGGCGACGGTCTCGACACGGAGGTTGACAGTGGTGGGCATAGCAGGTTCAACGCCAGGCTCACCCTGAGCCGCCAATTGCGCAGCCTGCTGAAGAGCAATCTCGGCAGCTGCCTTACCATTCAAGAACTCCAGGCAAACTCTGACGAAATCATCCGAAAGCTCCGCAATGCGGTCTGTCAGCCATTTCTCGAGGTTCAAATAGTCCATGCGTCCACCGAGAGCAGCCAAATCAATAGCAAATGTCCAAGCCTCACGGCTTTCGTCATTTCTGCCCTGAGCCATCAGGTTACCCAAGAAGTCCTCCACGGCGCGCCCATCCTGCACTACATCCAAGATTCGAGGAACGTTCATCTTGTTCTTACGCCAATACTCCCAGAGGTACTTCTCCACGATGGACTTGTTGACCTGCCACAACCTAGCAAAGACAAGTTGATGACTTGGGTGCCCAATGAAGAACGCACTAAAGCCTCTCTCTACCAACTGCTGATGACCCTCAGACCACGGCTGAGGCCCTTGAGCAGCACCCAAGAAAACCAATTCCGGAGTCAACTTGGCTGCTTTGTCAAGGAGCATCCTAGCGTCATCGGAGACATCGTTGCAGGCGTCTCCGGAAGAAGTGACGAGCCTAAGTGCAGTGAGAACGAGGTCGAGAACGTTCCAAGTCTGATTCTCCAGCAATGCAGCCAGAGCTTGGACACCTGAAGCCGTATGAGCGACATCCTGCGCGGTGAGCACTTTCCTGACACGTGGAACAGACAGAACGTCCCACTTGTCCTGAGGACAGGCGATAATGGCCCTGAGAATACTGATTTGGGCAAGGGGGAAATCCCAGTCCTTCCATAATTCATCAATGGGGAATTCGCCGTTCTCCGAAATAACAGTGAGAACTTCGACAAGAACGAGCAAACCGGTGAAATCAGAAACGCGGGTCGCCTCATGGTCGAGACTCTTCAAAATAGCCCGAGCATCAGCGCGAACTTCCCAGCCTCCAGGCCCGATAACACTGGCCATGATCTCCCCGTTCCATCCAGTAGTTCCAATCATATACTGCAAGCATTCGCTCAGAGCATCCGGAGTAAGAAGGCGCTGGGCGCTGCTCTTGTCGGTAACTGCCTTCCTCGCGAACACGGTCAAAACGGCTTCTCTGCTGGTCGTGGCCTCAGGCCCAATCTCGGCAAAAATCTCAGCAAGAGAACGAGTGGCATCAGCGGTAATAGCACGACGCTGTTCGACGGGAGTGATGACTGCTGCAACGGGGGCAGGCATTTGACGTCCGTAGCGCGCACGAACCGCTTGAGTGACATTTTCAGCCCTGGTCTCATTGCGATTGAGCCATTCGAGATAGGCGGACACGAATGTAGCAAGCTTCTCCGGAGTGAGCTCATCCTTTCTCTTAGACGGATCCCTCAAAAGCATCATTAGCTCCTCGTGGCTCTCATTCAAAATCTCGGCAGCCTTCTCGAAAAGTTCCTTCGTTATACTCCTCGGCAAAATGAACTGCAAGCAAAGAATGACGGTGCCCAATACGTCAAAACCAAAGTGTCGCAAGAATCCTCGAAGATCAAAATCTCTCCACACTGGGTCAGAGTTTCCTTCCACATGGATCGCATCGTGAAGTCTGCAGGAGCGGATTTGTTCGACCTTGGCTAGGTTGGAAAGCTCTTCCTTGAGGAGACGGTATGTGGCAGGGTTGGGAGGTGACGATTGCTGAGTTGTAGGGAGGTGAGGAAAAATCTGAGCTGCGTTGGACTGAATGAGTCTGCGAAGGAGGTGACTGTACACTTCAGGTCCGTTCTGCTCGGAAAGCTATGCATACATGTTAGTTATTTTTGGCCCAAGCATACCTTCGCTAGATGTCTTGGCTGCCGCGTATGCCGTAAAGTCAAACTGACTTGGCTGCGCAGCCTGGCTCGAAGACGCTCCTCGGATCAACATACCTGTCGCAATTGATTGACAGTCAAATCCCATTTGTCCTCCGTAAGCGTGCTGAGTAGGAAGAACACCTGCGCCCTGACAATGTTCAACAAGCTTGTGCCCTTCGCAGTTGCCGGTGCAACGGCCGGAATTCCATTGCCGCCCGAATCATTGACTGCGGGAGAAGAGCGTCGCGATGGATTCTGCTGGCTCATTCTTCAACAGCAACGACCACGTGTAAAAAGTTCCGAAACCGTAAGGTTCCGTCGAGGTTGTTGTGATGCAGAACACACGGAGTCGCAAGAAACGCAATTGACGTTGGATTGAATGTGCGAAACCGGTAATCTGCCCTTAGCAATCCGATATTCTCGGTGAATTGGTCTGTCCTGGGCCCGGTGAATGTTCGTCGTTAACAGGTGACCTTTGCTATGCGATCCTCGACGCTCGTCCGTCGACGTGTGTAGCGCGGAGCCTTCAGCTGCACTAAGAAATGAAGATACTAGCGGACTCCTCAGTACTCTTCGAATATTTTCTTCAAGTACTTATGAAAACTATCATTTGCTTTTTATGGGGGTTAATGCATATGGAATTGTATGTGTCAACGTTACCGTTGTGGGAACCTGTTCTCGGACTGCATGCCTTCCGCGGATCCGAATCACTGCCAGCAATGACTGGAACGCCAAGATTACCCAATTCACGATCGGATTCGAAGTTGAGAAGTACCCGGAATCGAAGTCGGCCAAGACATAGATCACGGTCTCTTTCTGACTCCAAGCGTCACCGGTCTAGTAGGACATCCCAACATCATTCACAGCATCACAGAGATCACAGTCCTCATGGCCATCATCGTCGGCATCGATCTCGCTCACGTTCTCCATCATTGCCCTTTTCTACTTGTCATATTTCGTGTTCCAGGAATTTCACTACCCATGATATAGTATTTCGACTCTGGTTACATGAACACCGCAACGTCAACGCGGATGCACTCTCACCCTCAGATGCAGAGGATTACTTCAGGAGCTTTGCAAGGAGATGGAATGGGCGAAGACTATCCTCCAGATGGTATGATCCAGCCTTGAACAAAATCAGCCCCGATCCTCTTACACAACAAAGTGTCACGGCGTTGTCCCAACCATCACACCTCCGCCCTCTCCGTCCCGGACCAACACTGCCAAGTACAGCAAATCTCGATGAGATACGGGACGGTCGTCTTCAGCACGCAACATCAACCTCTCGTGCCAGTAAACGAGCAGCAAGCGAACTTCACGCCGCGCATCTTGACGAACTCGCTCCACGGCCTGAACCCGGCTCGAAATCTGCTCAACTAGAGAAGAAACGCGAGAAGGCATTCTCCAATCGGCAGTTTGCCGCGGCTCGCGAAAGTGGAGGGATGGCTGAAGTGTCAGACGCTGTTCTTGGACTGGACGATGGAAATGCAGAGCTTGCCGCTTTGAAGCGGCGACAGGCTATGCGAGATGAGAGGAGTAAGGAGAGACAAAGAGAGAGAGATGCAGAAGTCGAGGAGAAGATAAGGAAGGCAAAGACCAAGGAGGATGAGGTTATGAAGGGGTTGATGGCTATGGCGAAGGAGAGATTTGGGTGAACCTTGACGAGGAGACATGGATAACGTACTGTGGTCCTTCGCAGTCATGCCGATCAAGATCAAGATGATTATTTCTCTACCCCTCAAGAACCTTTCAAACTATGACGTTACATTCAAGTCTCCCATAGACTGTTGTTTCGTCGTGCGTGCTGCCGAGATTTTCCCACGGTCCGCCCCGTCCCAGACAGTACTGGATGCCGTTTTTAGTGACGGATTCGAACCCATTGAGACGTATGGATAGATTGCGGGTACGACAAACGTGGTATATACAGAAGGGTTAAACTCGTATTGAGTTCTGTGAACCTGTCATCTCACTTGTTATAATAAAAATTGGCTATCGGTATCGTTGATCAGTTTGTCTTCTGAAATAATGCTCTTCCGTGTTCTGGAAAAATTAAGATAGGGTAAGCATTTTCATGATCACGTAATAATTCTAAGGCAGAATAGAATATAATGCATGTAAAGTTTTTTTGCTCCAGCCTATTCCCGTAAACGACAACAGTGGGTTCGCGTGAAAATACAACCGACACAGGAATCACAAGATGTTCGCTTCCCAGATTTGACTTTCCTGGACTTCTTAGAACTACAAGTCGCCAACAATATTAACCACTAGGAGGGTGTTATTCCGTTTCAAGCCATTGGTTGGCTACATACAGGTAAGCCGGTCAGGGAAATGGCTCGTATCCCACGGTAGGGCGATCTTACCAAGGGTCCCAATTGCGGGTACTTCGTATCTTTCCAACGTCTCAGAATCCGAGTATGCTCGATACCTAGTAAAAATGAGTGAGCGCCCTATCCATTCCTCGCATGTCAGAGCTGGCCTACCCTAGGAAGGCAAGAGCGCCGATGTTCAAAGCTAGGATGGTATAGGACAAGAACGACGAAAATGAGAAGAAGAAGTGTAAGGCCTAAACATGAAGTTTGTTTGAACGAGCAACGTCTCGTAAGAGTTTGATACGTACCAGGATTGCAAATCCCACCATTGCACTTTGATATGCATGGAATCTTACATAGTCGTTGCTGTACTCCAGTAGCAAGATTGCCACCCCGGTCACTGGAGGGAAGAGGTAACAGAGGGCGCTCAAGATATCCAGTCGTATTGGCAAAGCCGTCTCATACGCATTGACCCTTTCGCCAGCTGTTTGTCCACCATAACCTATGTTCGCTGAGGGAGCGAGGCCGGGTACAGGCTCCGGGGGGAAGGATTGAGCGCGAAGAAGGTCTGGCGGAGCTGCTTGATACTGTGCACATGTTAGGAAATACACAATAGAGGAACAGAAGGACAAACCGGTGCGAACGTCATTATGCCAGTTTATGTCTTCGTTACAAGCGTCATTGCCAGTGCAAGGGGCTTCCCCACACTCCTCGGCAACGTCGGTCCATACCCTCAGCAAAAGCATGGCTGTTCATATCCCGCAGAATAGACCCAGGAAGGTCACGATCGGTCCTCTGGAGGCGTGCGTCGCATAACACTCACTCATCAAGAGCAGTGGCTAACGTTCGGCATGCAGACCACTCGATGTCATTGGATCGGTATCCGACACTCCCACGACGGAGCAGCCTGATCCGTTGTCAGGCATGAATCTACTCAGACCTGCACTGGGAGAAGACAGCCTTACGTCGGAATTTCGGGATGAGAAGGTCACAGAAAAGGATTACCGTGCGCTGGTTGATGAGAAGATATTTCAGGAAATACCGGAGGTTCGTCCGCCATATACCGGCTTGGGAGATGAAAACTCACCAAAACATGTAGTTTCCTCTCCCTCAACCTCTTGCAGATGAAGGCCTGCCACAGCAGCCAAAGTATTCAGACGATTCCACATTGGCTAATTTGATCCGCTGCCGCAAATACCTTACTGCACTTCAGGTTACTCAGAAAGGCCTGCTTACCACCGAGCCAGTACTATCATCACTACCGGATATCTTCAGCCTCTGGCAGACCCGTCTGAGGCTTTTCGACTACCTTCGACTCCCTCAGTTAGCGATCCAAGAACTGTCGCTCCTCCCAGATATCGTCACGCCAGGTCCTGAGTTCCTCAACAATGACGGGAGGACGGTAGTCTTATGGTCGTTGCGCGTGGAGATAGTACGAGTGAAGGCGCTGGCAGCACAGAATCAAGTACAGGGGTGGGAAATAGCAATTAAGGAGTACTACGCCCTGAGCACGGAAGCTCGTGGTGAACTTGCCCGTGCAAAGAGGGCATCGGACGCGGAACACGCAGCACTCTGGGCCGAGAGGCTCGAAGGCCTTGGGTTTGCTGTACTTTCAGCGCTAATCGCCATAAGGGTAGGACCAAAGCTTTTCCTGCGTGTCTGCCAGATCTGACGAAGACTATGACATAGGATTACCCGACAGCGATTCACCGGTTGCAAGCTATGCTGGCCTCAACACCCTTAAACAACAAGCTCCGCACTGCGCTTTGCTTGACATATCTGCGTCTTGGCAATGTTGCTTCAGCACGCACCTATGCCGGCGAAGATTCATCTCTGCTTGCTTTGGTGAGCATGGCAGATGGTCAATGGAGTGATGCCACCAGGGCAGCTGCCTTGGATGAAGCACATTCGACAGCTCTGAATCGCACTGTGGCAGCGTTGTATAGAGGGGATATCGAAGAGGTAGGTCTTTATTCTTTACTGCCCCAAAAATGAACACGGCTAACGCCGGCAGTCTACGACGCAACTGCGGTCGCTGCTATCCTCTACAAACCCTGCGATCTCCTCAACGACGCTTGAATCAGCACTTTACAACCTGTGTACCATCAACGAACTACGAACGAAGGGTATGGATCTGAAGAAGCAGTTGGCAACGGAGTACAGCAGGGAATGCAGAGAAAGTGGAAGATGGGAGGTGTTTAAAGTTTAGTATGAACATGACTTGGAAGTTGATTGATACCCAAAATACCATTGAACGAAATGAATTCCGCGTTGCATAGTTGAGGTACAGAGATGTAATTTGTTAGATGAGAGCCCAGCTATAACGACGAGGAAAACATAGCTAAGAATAGAGCCCTGAAGAAGATAAAAGCAAACAGAAACAACCGTTACCCAACCTAGAACACACCAGTCATAGAACCCCAAATCCCAGGTTGCGATCCGAACGCGGAGCTGGGTGCAGCACGTCTGGACTGCGGCGACACTGGCATACCGATCGGTGCGGGCGTGGCATGCGGCTCCTGGAACTTCACCAACACTTGCGGACCTTGCTGTTTGAACTGGAAGGACCCGCCACCATTGAGGGCGGTACCAGGCAACGCACAAGCATCAATCAGCTCACGAGTATCGAAAAGAGCGTCCGGGAAGAGGCTTCGGATACCCGAAGACACGGTCTCAAGCGGGTAAAAGTTGCCAGTGACGCTTTGATGCTCGTCAAGCTTAAGGCAGGTGCGCCGTGCGCGGTCACGCAAGGTAGCCTGCTCGTCAGGTCCAACACCGAATGGCTGAGGCTCAGCTGTTGGCCAACCACCAGCGTTCATAGACCACATGTTACCTCCAAGACCTAAAGGCGAGCCCCAGACTTGGTCGACACTGCCAGACCTGTGACCGTTCATATCTGGACTCTTCAACGCACCGATAGGATCGGGCAATAAGCTGTTACCGCCGAAGATGGACATGCTTGACGTCCTGGGCAAGCTTGGTGGCGCTTGACTTGTACGACGATCACGAGGAATAATTTCTTCTTCATCATCGTCTTCCAAGAGTGCACGGCTTCCCAAAACATGACTGAGCTCCTCGACCTCCTTCGATGGCGAACCAATGGTGCCCGCACTGGGCCTCTGAATAGGGGCCGGCCGGGAAATAGGCTTTGGCGCTTCATCGAAAGCATGGTGCAAAGGCGGAGTACCTGACTTCCCAGGGCTCGACGCAGCGAAACCGCTAGAAGGCAGGGGACCAATAGGCCCTGGGAGGATGGGGTTGCTCATCGGGATGGGTATGGAACCTACTCCACCGAAAGCCGGATGGGGCACACCGGGAGGGGGCAATGGCCGACCTGCACCCGGCGCCACACTTGTAGGTGCAAACCCACGGAACGCCTGTTGAGGAGCCCCAATAGGCATAGGGAAGCCCAAGGGAACGCCGTTCATGACCGGACGGTTGTTCAACAGCGAAGCAGACGACTCGAGACCGGGTTGACCCATGGGTGAAGGACGATGTGGCGGAAGGTCGTTGTGCGTCCGAGGTGTGCCAATCGGTGCGAGACTTGCCGGAGCAGCGACAGGTGGTGACATCGGAACGGCAGGCGCGGATAAACCAGGAGGCGGCATCCTTGCTGGGGTGGCCGGGGTCGATGCATGTGGAGTACTGACGTGAGATGGAGTGTGGATAGGAGCTGCAATATGCGCGGGAGCAGCCGGCGCAGCCGGTGCCTTGGTCGGTGAAGTTGCAGACGGAACAGCAGGTACAGCAGCTTTCACGCTCGCAGCCTTAGCCGCCGTCGCAGCCTTCTCCTTCCTTTCCCGTTCTTCCCGCTCCTTCTTTTCCTTGGCCTCCTTCTCCTTTCTCGCCTGTTCCTCCTTCCTCTGACGCTCTTTCTCCTCCTTCTCAGTCTTGCGTTTCCGCTCAGCCTCAGCCTCACGATCCCGCTCTTCCTGCTGGCGTTTCCTGCGTTCTTCTTCCCGTGTCTTCCTCTCCTCTTCTGCTGCCTTCTTTTCAGCATCCCTCTTCGCCTTAGCCTCGGCTTTCTTCCTCCTTGTCTCTTCCTGCTTAGCCTGTTCAACTGCCTTGGCTGCTGCCTCAGCGGCCGCTTTCTCAGCCTCCCTCTTCGCACGCTCCTCCTCCTTGGCCAACTTCTGCTGCTTCTTCTTGTCCTTCGCCTTCTGCTTCTCTCGGGCCTTCTTCTCGTCACGTTCCAGTTTCAGACGGGTTTCCTCTTCGAGTTCCTCAAGAAGTTTCCGTTGCCGCTCTTGTGCGACCTTCTCACGATAAGCTGTCAGAACGCGCTGTTCAAACATCCTTGCTGCAAAAATCTGGAACATGCGACGGCCCTCTTCCATTCTTTGCTCTTCCGTCATTACCTCCTGTAAGTCATGTCAGTCATATCCCACAACATGGGGCATTCATGAATTTACCGCTTCCTCATCCTCATCATCATAGTCCTCATCGTCCTCCTCGTCGTCATAGTCATCGTCGTCATCATAATCCCGTGCATCCATTACCGCTTCCTCCTCCCTTTGCATCCTTCTCTCAGCCAGTTGCTCCATCATCTCAATGAATTTCTTTCCGTCATTTTTCAGTAAATCATCCGCTACGGTTAGTATACCACCTTTCACGGTCAGTGAATTACCAAAATTAAAGAAATCTGCTGGTCTAGACCGGCCGCCGCGATTTGAACCTGCGTCGGCTACAGAGGAAGAAACATCATCGTCAGAATATTCGTCATCTGATAACTCATCGGAGTACGCGTCATCATCGTCCTCGTCATCGTATTCTTCCTCTGGATCATGATCATGATCATGTTCGTGGTCGTGGTCGTGATGATGATGCTGAGGTGGAGGTAGCTGTCGAGGAGGTTGAGGGCTTTGGTGGTGATGGTGATCAGGGCGGTGATGTGGGGACCTTGAGTTCAACGGCGGCGAAGGAAATTGCGCAGGAGGCAGAAGGTCGAACTTTTGCTGATGGTTAGCGTATCGCTCGAGTTCTTGATAGTATGCATCATATAACACTTCGAGTTCTTCCTCGATGGCTGTTCTGATCCAAGACCTGTATCTTTGTTAACGACTTCGTACTACCACGGATGTTCCAAACAAACCTCTTGCGTCCGCACACGCTGCACGAGCATGAATGCTTCTGTTGCTCCTTCATCTTCTTCAACACCGTCTCCTTCTCCACCTTGACTAGACTTCTTCTTTCTTCCTCTCCCAACTGTAACCAGAACTCCTTGATTCTCTGCCTCTCCTCATTCGAGCTTGTATTCCAAATTCCCTCGCGGTGCTGACGATGATGTTGTGGAGGATGATGGATGGTGAAACGAGCAATCTCCTCTCCAGCATGAATAGTAGTCGATGAAGTCTTCTTCTTCTTCTTCTTCTTTTTCTTGCTCACACCACCGGGAGGTGCAGGTAGTCCTCCTAGGGGAGGCATATGCCCATCCTCATACTCAAACTCCAAATCACCTTGCGGAATAGAAAAAGCACCCTCTCCAGTGATCATGACATGTTCCCGTCCTTCTTCATCATCCGAATACGGTTCCTGGCCGTCATCACTCAAAGGTGATAAAATCTCCTCTAAACGACCAGACATTTGTGCCAGCTGAGCCTGTATGGCTTGCTGGTACTCATTTGTCGTTCGAGGTGCCGGAACGGGCTCCGGAGGAATATCCATATCCGCAATTCCTTTGCCGCCCTTCTTTTTCTTCTTGTTCTTCTTAGAGGCACCCGACAGCACAGGATCAGGGTACGCATGCTGCCCATGAGCGGCCTGATTGCGCGAAGCAGCCATTGTATTCAAAAGCAAGAAAAGTCTGTCTGCTGTCGAGAAATGCTGATGCTTGCTGATCTCTTAAGCGATTGCCGGTGAAGAACGTGGCGTTGCTGCTGGAATTGACTGAGGTTCGACAGGTTGCGTAACCAGCAAAGGTCGCTACGAGTGATTCCTCCAATAAATCGAAACCTCCAAGCGGATACTTCCCCGTTGAAGGTGAATGCTGCAAGCCTTTCAGGTAATTGCGTTTGCTGATGTACGTGGTTAGGAGACAGGGCCTAGCAAAGCGTGGAACAGGGCATATAATCAGGGTAACCTGACCTTGACTCTGAAGTACAACGGTACTACACCAAAACAGAACAACCGGTTACTCCGGAATATCGGCAACGGCACGATACCGGTCTACACTCCCGCCAAGAGCAAAGCGAGAAGCATTCTACGTGTCTAGTCCATTTGTCAGTCCTACTTCGCCCGCCTCCAGCTCAAGCGTCTTCCTCGGCCGCTGCAGAGTAATCACAGTGTCACAGCCTATCGGCACAGCCTCTGAAATTTATCACCAGGTCTGATCTACAGCATTGAAGCGATAACACTCCACCAGGAAACATCGGAGGAGAATCAGTACAGTACGAGTATCAGTATCAGGACGGGAACGCTTACACGGTCACAATATGCCCTCACAAGACGTCATCAGGAGGTAAACGCCCGTGAATACCCTCATTGATTCGTTAGAATGCTAACTGGTTGCACAGGAAATTAGTGATAATTGGTGACGGAGCATGTGGAAAGACATCCTTGCTGTCAGTGTTTACTTTGGGTCACTTCCCGAAGGAGTACGTGCCGACTGTGTTTGAGAACTATGTCAGCGACTGTCGAGTGGATGGCAAGAGTGTGCAGTTGGCGCTCTGGGATACTGCTGGCCAGGAAGAATATGAGGTTCGCATAGATCACTATTATCCGCTACACCATAAACTGACTTTTGTGGACAGCGTCTCCGCCCACTGTCATACGCAAAAGCACATGTTATCTTGATCGCCTACGCCGTTGACACGCCAGATTCGCTTGACAATGTCCTTTCGAAATGGTTTGAGGAAGTCACTCGTCTCTGCCCCAATATCCCTATTGTCCTCGTTGGATTGAAGAAGGACCTGCGCGAGGACCCCAGTTATCAGGACGAAATGCGCCGAAAAGGTGGTAAGTTCGTTATGCCAAACCAGGCTGAGCTTGTTGCGAGACAAATCGGAGCGAGGAAGTGGCTGGAGTGCTCAGCATTGACTGGTGAAGGTGTCGATGACGTCTTTGAAGCTGCGACCCGGGCTGCGATGCTGACGAGGGAAGATGGACGAGGTCGGGAATCTACCGGCGGGTGCTGCGTTATCGTATAGCGCGGCTACACAAAAAGTGCGGCTCGACGACAGTACTTTGTTTCTTCGGTATACCCAGGGCCATTCAATGGTTCTGCCGTCACATTTTGGTCAACAACACTATAGCTTAATCACGCGAGAGCCAGACGGGCTGGGAAACTTCTATTGGAGCATAAAGGTTTATGGAACCGGGAGGCGGAGTTTTAATCACACACACATTCCTTTACACGACAGCGAGACGACATTCATTTGGTTCTGATTTGGAAGAATACGCGCACGTTGAGGGCGGCTTATGGAGCTTTTTCGAGCTTGAGCGAGAGAGGTGATTGGCTATCGGTATGCTTAAGGGAACTTCAACGGACTCACAGGACGTCAGTAATAAAATGGAATCCTTTTTATGCTTTTCTCCTTTCCATACGCACAGTTCCTGCTCCATGACTTCAGCGCTGCTATATATAGCACCCCTGTGCCGCGCGAGGCTTGGGTGGTCCGTCCATAGCAACAGCGCGACCGGTAAATGAACTTGGGTAAACGCAACCGTCAACAAAGCGGCAGCACCTATACAACGCCAAGCAGAACAAGCAGCGAAGCATATACTCGATAGAACGGAATTTTCACTACTGTTACGACTGGCGGATGAGATAGGATGATAAGCGATCCCGTTGTTACTTCGTTCGCGAACGCGTTCTGGGTATGTTGCCCCTTTTCCGTGGCGAGAATGTCGGCTGACAGGTTTACGGCAACAGGGAAGAGAGGACAAAGGCGTCGATGTGCTGCTATCGCGTATGAGCGATGCGAAGCAAACATGTGAAGAGCTCCGAGCGTTCTACAAGGAGAGGTGAGTTTGTTCGTTGGACAAGACTGTGTACATCAAAGTACGGCCGCTGACAAGTATTTTTTAGAGCTGCGATCGAGGAAGATTACGCAAAACGACTTTCGAAGCTCGCAAAGCAACCACTCGGCTCACGTGAAACCGGTACTCTAAAGGAAAGTCTGGATACGGTGCGCTCTGAGATCGAGTCTATGGGAGTTGTGCATACAGCCATCGGTGTCCAGTATCGCGGTGAACTCGAAGATGCGCTCACCCAGTTCGCAGGCGCCATCCGAGAGCGCCGAAAGATCATCCAGAACAATATCGATAAACTCCACAGGCTCAAGCTAACGCAACAGAAGGCTTTGACGCAAGCGAAGGAGAAGTACGAGTCGGATTGTATGAAGGTGAAGGGATACTTGGCGCAGAGCAACCTGTTGATCGGGAAAGAGCTGGATAAGAATCAGATGAAGATGGAGAAGGTTCAGGCTTCGGTACAAATCAGCGAGAAGGAATACCAGATGGCGGCTAAGGTGCTGGGTGAGACGACCGACAAATGGAACAGGGAATGGAAGGCTGCATGTGACAAGTTCCAGGACTTGGAGGAGGAGCGAATCGATTTCATTAAGGCCAACCTGTGGACGTTTGCCAACATCACTTCAACGGTGTGTGTCAGCGACGACGAGTCATGCGAGAAGATTCGTGTATCCTTGGAGAAATGCAATACGGCGAACGATATTCAGGGCTACATCCAAACGAACGGTACAGGTGCGGAGATCCCTGTCGCTCCTAAATTTCAGGACTTCGGTGCCTCTGGCCCCATGCCGTACGATGAGGCTATCGAGATCGCCAACTTCTCCCGAGGTGGAGACAGCACCACCAATCTTGCTGCGAACGCTGGACGTCAACCACCAAGATCACGATCCATGGCTCAGGAAGAAATCCAACAGATGCAACAATCCTCTCGGGACATTACGCCAACACCTCAGCAACCGACACGCAGCCAGTCCGCCGCTGTCCGCGATTCGGAGGTTCGCCCAAGTCCCATGCGTAACAGTTCGATTATGAGCCAGCACAAGGTTCCAGTCAACGACTTCCCTCCCGATGGTATCACTCAGTTCTGCCGGACAGATTCTGTGTATTCGAGCCCATCGACTGGACGAACCGCACCTGGATCGCCAACACCAAGCTCTGTATACTCCCACCCTACAACTATTTCCGACGGCTCGGACGCTTGGGGTGCAAATCAAACCACACCCCGGAAACCGGCGCCGAACGCGGCGAATAGGCTGTCGCAGTATGCTTCGACGCAACCTCCAGCAGGACCTGTCTACCCGCAGTCTCGTGCAGCAAGGAAGTCCTTCAGTGAAAAACGCACGTCAACTCTGGGCGTACCGAACTTCGGAAGACATCCAACGATCCCCAGCGGTGAGGAAGTTGATCCGAAGGCGGACGTCATGCTCCAGATTGGCGACAACACCTTCGAGCTTGAGAAATCTCGCAACACCAACATGTTGGACGAGAAGCGTCGATCGCAATTGGTGGACCGTGACTCGAAGAACTTGGACCCTATTGCTGCTGCACTGGCTGAGTTGAAGGGTACCTCGTCGAAGACTGGCAGGACTGCTGCGGATAGGTACTATGGTCTCAAATCGAGCACTCCATCAATCGCATCGCAGCCTAATAACTCCGCGATCACTGAGCAGAGCCAAGCTTTGCTCCGGTCAATGGCAGTTGAGTCCGCTCCTTTGCCTGCGGCTATCGCGGATACTATGGGCACTCCCATCGATGAGAAGATGGGCGGTCTCAACATTCGTGAAACTACCACGCCTACACCTCCGCCAAGCTACGACAACTTCAACGTGTCACCGACAAGGAAGCCCATTGCTCCCGCTAACGGCGTCTCACAGCGCCGTGGCACTCTTGGTGCACCCCCGGCAGCTGTCACCTCCCAGGAGATGAACGACACCCGGAAGTACTTTTCTGCTAAGACCACGCAGATGTTCGATCAACGCAACGATAACCGCAGATCTCTACCGGATATGAGCGGTCTTTCTGTGGGTAACCGTAAGAGTATGGGTAACCTCCGTCAGCCTGAGCAGCCGAGATCAAGATCCCCCGCACCGGATCCTCGTGATGCGTATGCTCGACCACCAGGTGATATCAGACGAGCAATGTCACCTGGATCTGGCGGACGGCCACAGCCAAGTGGTATGCAGATGCCGCCGAGATCCCCTAGTCCTAGACCCCAGGTTCACGGCGATCCAGGGTATGGTTACAGGAGTACTTCGCCGGCACCGGGAGCATACAGAAGCGCTTCGCCAGCGCCGCAAAACTATACGAGTGCATCACCTGCTCCTCCGGGTGCTTACCCCGGTACCTACAGAAGCACATCGCCCGCTCCGTATGCCCAGGGTGTATATCGCTCCGTGTCGCCAGCGCCGATGGCTCGGCCTGGTTACCGGAGTGCCTCACCCAACCCTCAGATGGGAAGATCTGCTTCGCCTCGTCCGATGACTGGTGGTCAGGAGTATTATGACCAGCAGGCCAGGTATGGACGCTCGGCAAGTCCTCGACCGGACATCCCCCGCGCACTCAGCCCTGGTCCATACCGGGCCGGTAGCCCCTCGCCTCAGAAGTCATCACGCCCTGTGAGTGGCAACTATGCTGGCATATATATTGACCCTCGAGGCAGCGGATATCGATCGGGACCTCCACAGAGTCAATCTTACTCCGCGGGCTTGGATCAGTACGCCGATGGACGTGATGCGGCTCATGGTGGTGGTTACAGGCAAAAGAGCAGACCAGTAAGCTCGGGTGCACCTATGCATGACCGCCGGGCACCTCCAAACGGTCAGGGTACCTATCCTAGATCACGGAGTAAGAGTGTTGTGGAGCCGAGTAGACAGGGTGGTCAGTTCACGGATGACGGACAGGAGATCATTGGTTATGTGCGCGCGTTATACGACTACAAGGCGGCTATGGCGGAGGAGCTTGGGTTCAATAAGAACGATGTGTTGATGGTGCTCCGGAAGCAACCGGATGGATGGTGGGAAGGTGAGGTGGTAGAGCCGACGAGGAAGAGGGAGAGAGGGTTGTTCCCAAGCAATTACTGTGCACCGGTTCGGTAAAAGGGTATGGACGGAGTTTCAGATAGGCCTATATGTATTCGGGATTGATAGGATGAATCTTCTTGCACTTCCATTGGGTATCACTGGTATATCTCTCATGTACTTCATGCACTACATGAAATGACCTGTTCATCTGACATTGTACTCTCGTCCCCAAAACTCAAGGCGTGCTCCTCCAGCACATCGCAATCGTTCTTCACCTTTGGCACAGCGTTATCCCTCAACTCTTTAACTCTTTCTTCATCTCCACCCCGCTTCCGCCCTCTTAAATGCCAAAGGACAGCTGTTCTGCCTTGGTCCGGATACCACATCCACGCACAATACTTCTCCATGGCCTCCTCGCCTTTCTCCTTACACTCGTCCATCATCCTATGCCCGAATTTGTCTTCAATGAAGTCCCCGCGAGCGATGTGTCCAGAGCGAGTGAACACCGTCGAGAGGTAATGTTGCACAGAACAAATATGGGGCTTATCAAACCAATGAAATAGCGGCGTCAGCTCCACGTCACCCTTTTCCACCTCTCTTTTCTCCGCCATTGCCCTTGTAGTCTGCCAAAGCACGGGATGAACCTGAGCTCGCCGAATAGCATATTGCAGTGACCGACCACCGTTCATTCCCACGTACCGGACCCTGAACTTTTTCCCTTTCTCTTCTGAACGTACCATCGTGTTCAGGATAGCTCGTAATGGTATGTCCGCGCAAAACACCCAATCGTGCTGAACAACAATTACGTACGGCGTCTTTACTTCCCGTAACCCCTCACGTACAGCAAGTCCAAACCCAAGCTGCGTTCCCATTTCCAGAAACGTAAACGCCGGGGCCACTACACCTTCGCGATACGTCTTTGTGAGAGCTATCCGAGTCGTCCGAGACCATGCATCATAAGGCCAGCTCTCCTTCTCCCCCTCCTCCCTCCTCAATCCTTCTTCACAAAGCAAGTTCTTCACGTTCTCCTTGTATTCCGCATAATGCAGCCCCATCTCCTCCTTCACCTTTCCTTTCTTCATCCTGTTCTTGCCTTTGATGTTTTCATCAACCGTGAAGTTGTCGAACACGACGACATGTGGACATCTTAACAGTTCAGGGCAATATTTGCGGAAACTATCAACGACGGCACCAACGAGATCTGTCGAAGGATTCGACGGCGTAGGACTCGTCGTGATAAGGACAGTAACGAGATCAGCGAGATCAGCAGCCATGGAAGCGGGATTAATAGGTGTCATGTCGTTCAAATGTTGTGCGAGGTAAGGCCAATGAGTGCCGGATGTGACGGCTTCGGGATGGGCGTGTAAAAGCAACGAATCGACTGGACCATACAGATGTGGTCAAAGAAATCAAGTTCAACAAGCTGCCTGGTCTGTGCGTGCGGAGAATGCGCAACGGCGACAACCCGATCTTGCACCGCCACTCGTATCGATACGCCCACGGCCATACCAGGGCGACCCTTGAACTCGTGAACCGAACAGTGGAAGACAACAATGAAGCAGCTGAGCAAAGAAGTTTATTCGCAACGAAACAACCTACTCAATCTATCCATACAAACAGTTCCAGTAACGACACTGCTCGTGCAGGTGAACACATTCACCGAACGTTTATCCTCCGTCGAGCACCCACGTAATCGGCCAAACAAGATACAAGGCCATATAGTCAAGCAGCACACAACCCTCCCGATCCAGCAGCAAAGTTATCCTTTATCGTAACATCTTTCTCACGCACCACCAACGAGTCAAACGACTCCTGATGTACCTCCTCTGTTTTTTTTGTGTTTTGGCATATCAGAGAAACAAGCACCCACCCATAATAAACACGAAACAGCAATCGCCAGTAATAAAATCCCACAAATGCACCCAGAACTCCAGCAGAAAGCAATAACCACAATGACGACACAGAAGCAAGAAGTTGTAAGTGGTCGGAGTGTTCACCACGCACATCCAACACTTGAGGCACAAAGAAGGGACGCCCACACTCAACTCTCGACTCGACAACAACCAAAAGGAGGGACACCCATTTATGGCTTCCTGAATTCGGTAAGCACGGGGTAGATAGCCTCGAATGCCTGGTAGATCTCTTCGCGGACCTTGGCTCCGGTCAAGACAATCTTGCCGGAGACGAAGATGAGGAGGACAATCTTGGGCTTGACCATACGGTAGATAAGACCCGGGAACAATTCTGGTTCGTACTGCATTCAACCATTAGTACAGGTACTCAACAAGAGTACGATGAGGGAAACATACGGATGAGAAAGTTCCGTGCGAGTAAGCCAACCCCTCCAAACGGATCGGAAACTTCACATCACAACTCCCCACAATGTTCTGGATCTTGAAATCCGTAAACTTGGCGTTAAACCCAAGTTTCTGGATAATCCTTGCATACTTCCTTGACGCAAGCTTCGAGTCATCCTCACTCTTCGCACCAGTAACGACCATCTTGCCAGAAGCGAAGATCAACGCCGTGGTTTTGGGTTCGCGGATACGCATAATGACAGCCGCAAAACGCTATAAATCCCGCAGTGTCAGTAAAGCCGATTCATTCCCTAATCAGACCCTCAATGAGGTTAGACCAACCTTCGGGTTGTATTCGGCGTTACGAGCGTGCAAAGCGATGGTCTTGAGGTCAAGGCGGCAATCGAGGTTCACCGTAGCCACGATGTTCCTTTGCAATCACGCATTTAGCCCAAATCCTTGCCAAACGACGACCAAGAACTTTGGGTGGGGGTAAGGGGGAATACTCACTGTAACGTAGGGACGATACCAGAAGCAGAGGAGATCGCGCCGGGGGTGGCCGCGACCATCATCTTTTCATCCTGACCATGAACACCGTCGAACTGAGGCTGAGGCTGCTGAAGACCTTGAGGTGCTTGCTGACCCGGAAGGGGAGCACCGTTCGGGAATGACAGTGAGCCGTTCGACATGAACTTTTGCGCCTGAGCAGCATTTGTGGGAAGAGAGAGTGTGTCCATTCTGAAGTGTGCTATAAATTCGTCGACTACTGAAAGTGACAAATCGTAAGGAAGAGAGTAAGGGTTGTTTTTGTTCAGCGGTTGCGTTGGTCGTGCTTGGTGGTGTACGATTACGCGCGCGCGTATGACCGCGACTTGGAGGGGCGGGCGACTGGGGGTATTTATACTGTGGCCCAGAAATGACTAGTCCGATTTTTGGAAGGGGAGAAACTTCTGCCTGGAGTGAATCGCCACTCCGATCAGCTGTGAATAAAGGGGGGAAATGCCCGGCGATTTCGGGGGAGACTATGATACGAGTGACGCGCTTTCCAACGGTGTCTTCCTTGTCTTCGTCTGACCACGGCGAAGGGAGTTACGAGTTGGGTGGGCTGGCACGCTGGGTGCTGACGTGGCAACCCGATTGGGCAAGAGCGTGAGCACCCATCCTCCAAGCTCATACGAGTGTACGATAAGCCGTTGTACGAACGGAACAGAGATGTCTCCTCTTTCTTTCCCTTTCGTTCGCCCAAGATTTCACTGTTCAACCGTCGTTGGGCTTCCCGGTGGGTCCGCAACTTTCCGTCTATGACTCATCACGATGCACCAGCAATAAGCTTATATCAGCTGTGTTTCCGATGCAGCCGATGAGTGTGTAGGTAAGCTGGCTTGTGAAAGGCCAGGCTGCTGCGTCCGTTGTCTTCAAGTCATATATGCGAAACTCCATCCCGAACCGTCTCGTCTCTTGTCCCCCCGTCCATGGCCTTCTCCGCGATCGCGAGCACGAGCACCCCCACACTCAGTCTTCACAACGGAAACAACCGGCAAAGCTTGATCCTCGAGCCTCTTACTTCTCCCCAAGAACGAAATCAAACAAACACTCCCATTATTACCCTTGTTCACAGTCACGTGTTTTTCTCGCTGTGACGTAGCTCCACCATCCACGCGCCTCGAACGTCAACACCAAAACCAGGGCCCACTTACTTAAAAGATCCCTTTACTCCACCAACACCGACAACCCCTCCAACCAACAATTAGCAAACATGACGCTCTACTACAGTCTGGTATGTCTTCTCGTCGTGATCTGTGGTGATCATGAGAGTTATTGTCGTGAACTCCTCGCTGACGCTCAGAATTAGGTGTTCACCGTCCTCCTCTTCGAAATGGCGATCTTCTGCCTCCTAATCCTCCCCCTCCCCTTCACCTGGCGCAAATCCCTCTTCCGCTTCATCTCCGAATCCCCTCTCGTCGCAAAACTCCAATACGGCCTGAAAATCACCTTCATCTTCATCCTCGTCCTCTTTATCGACTCTGTCAACCGCGTATTCAAGGTTTCCGAGGATGCTGCGGCGGCGAGACCTAGCAATGGGGGTGCGGCGGTGGGTGCGGAGGCGTATCGGAGTGATATGCAGGCGAGAAAGTTTTATTCGCAGAGGAATATGTATTTGTGTGGGTTTACGCTTTTCTTGTCGCTGTACGTCATCCCCTCTTCGTTTTGGTTCTTCGAGGTGCAGTCGCTAATACGGAAGGGATAGTATCTTGAACCGCACCTACGCCCTCATTACCGACATCCTCAAAATGGAAGAAACCCTCGCCCGCCTCCAAAACTCCACCGAACCCACCCTTCCCGCAACCTCCTCCACCGACGACGCCGCCAAAGCCATCGCGCTCAACAAAGAGCAGGAAGAGCGGATCAAGGAGCTCGAGGCCAAGGTGGAGAGTAAGGAGAGGGAGTTGGAAGTTGTGAAGAAGCAGGCGATGCAGAATTTGGATAGGTACGATGAGTTGAGTGAGGAGTACAAGAAGGGGAATTTGGCGGACAAGAAGAGTGATTAAGCGGCGAGCGGAGGGTGTGTAAGATGTGTACGAGGAGTCAGTGGATGAATGAGAGGGTGATGGCCCTGGGGGTTGTATATTTTTGAAAAGCGGGGACGTTGCTTGTTTGAATAGCGAATGGAAAATGAAAGTGATATTTTGGCATGACGAATTTACTTCACGGTGTATCACAGCTTTGCATTGCGAAATTAAGCCGGCGGCACACAATCGCGTTCATGTTAACAGTGAATCAATTGTTCTAAAGACCAAAATCGAAAGCACCAGCCCGATCCATCAAGGGTATTCGTACAATCCTCAGGTGTGCAATCCCACTTAACCACCATCTAAAGCTTCACGCCGCCCTTCGGCCCTCCATGCGCCTCCTCCTCTTTGATCAGATGCTTGTCCTCTACACTCAACATTAGCCCTCATTCTCACCCTTGCATCCACTCATTATCATACCCTTGAAAACAGCATATCCAATCCCAATTCCGAGAGCCGCCAAGACGGCGATTGGGAGCCCGATGTTTGGCTTTGCTTTCGGGATGTTTGTAGAGGGTGTTGGGCCGGCCATTGACAGTCTGTGAGCTTGTGTGGGTTTGTTTGTTGGTCTTGGAGGTGGTGTACTTAAGGGAGGGCTGGGGGTGGGTGTGACGTCACGCTTCCGGGGTCGGATGCAACGGGCCGAGATATGCGACGTCGAAGAGCAGTGATGGAATGTCAGAAACTATACGCTTCCTACGATTTTCAGTGAATTACAGCTTGCCATCAATGGAAATGACACGTTGGCACAATTATGCATTACTTATCGTCTCGTGAAGCTAAGCAGAATCCGAATGGAGCGTCGGTGACCCTACGATGGTTGCCCGTTCTCTACATTGCTATGCTTGACAATAAAGGCAGCTGTTGCTTTTTTCGCCGTCCTCTATCTTGACAAATCCATGGAGCGTGTATATTATACACTCGGTGACATTACCTGCACTGCCATATATCATCCTGAGCTCGTGGTGAACAGCGAATGGCTACCTGATTGGAAACGTCGTTGGCGCTCTTCAGAAGAGGGCCCGTCCAGTGCGGTGTACTGGAAAAGTCCCTGTTTTCGACATCACGAGCTTGGCGGCTGGCTCTCTTGGACATATTTTACGGGATCGCTTTTCTGGCGCTGTTCGTCTTGATGCATTACGGGCTGGTCAAACAATGGGCATCCCTTTCGAGTTCATTCTTAAGTGACACCAAGAGTTTGTATGATAATCCTGGATTGGCTCTCTTTTCTATGGACTGTACTACGTCGAACGGACCCGTAGCCGGAGTGATGTTGGCAAATTTGCCGCAGCTGGCGTTTTCTGCGTGGTATTTCCTTTTCAACCGTCAACTCACGCGCATATGTTTGGAAAACGAATGGAGGAGGTTCTACTAGAAAAGAAAGCGCGTTCGTGTCACTTACCATACAGAGCTGAGCAGCAGGCGCACGCGTTGGCTTCAGCTGCCATTTCCCGTCACCGTCGTATCAATTGTGCTCAATGTGTTCCTGCAAACGCTCATGTCACAAACATTGTACGCCTTGGAGATTAAAATAATCAAGCTGACAACCGGGTTACGGGCCCGTGGAGGTTCTCCATTGGGTTTGGCCTGAACATCAAGCCTCAACCGGTGATTACCGCAATATTGTACTTTTTGCATTGTCTTTTGGCGGTCTATTTCATCGAGCCACAACGAAGTCCGATGCCGTTCATGGCAAGCTCTGCAGGAGTCGTTCTGGCAGCGTGTACTGATCTCGAAGAGATGAACGAGGATGGTACCATGTGGGGTGAAATTCATGACGGCAAGGATGGGCCAAGGCGGGCTGGTCTTGTGTCTGGTCGGGATACCAACCCTATTGTAGAAGACGCGAACTACATATAACCTGCGGGAAATTGGAAACATTGCTTTGGCGAACATTATCATGTCTACGTTTCTTACCAATCATTCTGAAGCTGAGGATTGCATTCACCAAAGAAAGGAGAGCACTGGGTCGAGCTGGTGGGAAATTGCATGTGGACGCAACTGACAAAACAGGCATGCTCTTGCAAAGGTTGTTCTGGTCCACCCGGTGACTAAGAGTTAGTGGTCTATACGTGTAGCATTGCGTTTTGCGTTGTATCAATGAGCATTTGGGTTTATTTAATTGAATTTCCTAAGTCGGTAATCCTGGGACAGTGCCTGGCTAAAATGACGACGTTACAGCCTGCCAGAGCCCAAGGCCAGCCTGACAAACAGACGATTACCTATGATGCCGGACGAACATCTGTATCGCCCAGCGGTTTCAACCGCGTCTAAACACTCGACGCAATCCACCATTGCACCTTCGACTACATCCACATTATCCCTCGCATCCGAACTCGCCCTCGCCAAAGAACGCTTCAACCGAGAACGTCAAACCAAATCCTCCCGCCCATCTCGTCCCGAGAAGAAACGTACAATATGGGAATCCTCGAACAAAGGCGTCGCAGAGCGGAATGCGAGGGACGAGAGGGTATATAAAGAGAACTCGGACGAAATGGATCGGAGTCGGAGAGCGCTGGAGCGGAAGGCTAAGGAGTATGAGAGGTTGAGAAAGGGGGAGGATAGGAGGGAGGATGATGCTGTTGTTGACTTTGATCGGAAGTGGGCGGAGGAGGAGGATAAAATCGGATATCACGACGAAAAAGAAGCAGAGGAGGAGTACGAGGAGCCCAAGATCGAGATAACCGACGAATTCGGCCGAACCCGCCTCGTCTCTCGGTCCGACGCCGTCGCGTACGGCCACCTCGCCCCCATAAACGACACCTATAAACCCTCCGCGCCCCTAATCCACGGCGACGTCATCCAAACCAACGCCTTCACCCTCAACACCGACGCCGTCGCCAAAATCTGGTCAACCCCCGACGATCCGCTGTACGAGCACTACAATTCAAAAGTTGAGATACGGAATAAGGGGGTGGGGCATTTTACGTTTAGTGTGGATGAGGCGGAAAGGGTGAGGGAGATGGAGGAGTTAAAGGGGATGAGGGAGGAGACGGAGAGGGCGAGAGTGAAGGTAAAGGGGATGAGGGAAGTGAGGAGGGAGGAACTGGACGAGAGGAGGAGGAAGATTGAGGAGGTTAGGAAGAGGAGCAGGGCTGGCCGTGGTCATGTTGCTGGACAATAATGATCTCGAGGCTAATGTGACGAAGAGTGGCAGAGGACAAGAGCACAGTGACAATCGGTTTAGGGAGTTCGGGGCGTTATCTTTCGAATCGATGTTATTGACGGGTATATATCCCCAGAATTAGGATATTTATAAAAGCCTCAACGGGCAAGCAAGACGCCATATAATGTGTACCAATCCAAGTCTCCCTCTCTCTCAACACCGCATTCGATGTCCCTTCAAGGTCCCATCACCTTATCCACTTGCTCCTCATCAGCAAACACAACCCCGGAATCAGCACTCCCCCTCGCAACGGGCTTCATCGCCACACCACTCGTCTCCTCTCTGGCCGTACTCAACACCGCCCTCTCCGACTCCTCAATCTGTACCGGTGATATCATCCTCGCAATCTTCTCCTCCGGCAATGGCTCCTCCGTAAAGGCTTCCTCAGTCACCTTTTCGAGGTTTTGTTGGAAGCTTGAGCGTGTTGGGGAGATGACGGGGATGGGTGGTTTCGGGGTTAAGCGGAAGAGGTAGAGGAAGATATCTGCTACGACGGCTAAGACTGTACGTGCCTTTCAATCAGTATGCTTGAACAGTTGAAGAGAAAGAAAAAAACGCACACGATGGAGCAATGGTAGCGATGGCCAAAACGAGGGCTATACGGACAATCCATGTCTGAAGTGTACTGATGATTGGGTCCGTCGAGAAGTAGGTGTAGACAGACGCCATCTCAAAAGCAATCATGTATATGTAGACTGAGAAGTGTGGGAGCTTCAGCGAGCTTTATAGGAGCAATTGACGCAGTTGTACTCCTCGGACCGAATGACGAAATGACCGGGGCAGAGGATGGTAAAGCGAGTAGGAAGATAGATATTTGATTGTCGGACGCGTATGGAATTGATCCAAGCGATGGAGAATGTCGGGTGGGGTATGGTCAGGTGCAAATGGTTGGGGTAAAGGTGTATGAAGTTGGTCCTTCTATGGGTTCATTACTCCCCGGCATTTCGGCGGGAGCTGCCGCCTACTGCAACGCATAATGATCCGTGCGTGGAGGGACATGTGAGGTCGCACGTCGATGGGAGAAATTGCTAAGCTTCTAATTGCGATTGTTTTCTTCTTTGTCTTTCTTTTCGGCTTATATGCATTAGATATGGAGACATGCGTGTGCCATTCAGTTCTGCTTCACACCTTCAATGTCCGCAGCAAATCTTCACCTAACTTTTCCCAGAATGTCCAGCTTACTGCTTCTTCGCATCCCTCTCGGCCTTTTTCAAAGCCCTCTTCCTGATAGCACGATGCATGTCAAAGTTCTGCTCAAGCACAAACTTCTTTCCCCAAGCACCAGTGGCAGTCTGCAACCACTCCAATCCCCAGTTCATGAATGCATGAGCCGGGTACGGCGTCATAGTGAACGGAGTAGCAGCACCACCCCTCAACCCAATCTTACCCAACGCAGTAGCAACGAAAGCCTTAGGCGACGGAATCGTCATAGAAGCACGCTTGATCTTGGACATGGCGGAGGTCACGAGGTAGGATTTGATCAAGTAGCAGTCGACACCGGAGGGAGCGAGCTCAGCGGCGATGGACTGGTTCCAGTAGTTCAAGAAAGCCTTTGAGCCGGAGTAGGTTGCGAGGAGGGGAGTGGGGAGGAGACCACCGAAGGAACCCATGGTGAGGATCAATCCATTCTTGCGCTCGACCATGCGGGGAGCGACGATCTGGGTGATGCGGAGAGTACCGTGACAGTTGATGTTGATAATGTTCTTCATCTCTTGAAGAGGAGTGAGAGTGAAGGGAACAGGAATGGAGTGAGATTGTCCAACGTTGTTGACTGTGAGATGCATGTCAGCAAAAGTCCCATCAACGAGACAATCATGATAAACATCTCACCTAGCACACCAACATCCAAAGTAGAAATCAAATCCTGAAGGCGGTCATAGTCCTTATCCTCGTTCTTCGCAAAGTCCATCGCCAAAACCTTCGTCTCGACACCAAACTTGCCCTCGATCTCCTCGGCGACAGCGTGGAGCTTGGACTCGGTTCTGGAGACAAGAACGATGTTGAACTTGGCCTTGGCGAGCTGTAGAGCGAATTCGCGGCCGATACCGTCTGAGGCACCGGTGATGACGGCCCAGGACTTCTTGCCGGCGCCGTACTTCTTGAGCTACACCACCAATATTAGCACGCGGCATTATACTTCCATTCCCGGGCTACATACGTTCTTGCCGCTGAGGACGAACAAATCAAGGATCAACTGGGAGTAGCTCATCGCCAACCCAATCGCAGTGAATCCACCCAAGAGGGAGAGAAGGAGAGTAAGGAGGGCGGACGCATCAGAGGTGCCAATGACACCCTTGAAGGCTTCGACGGGAGCAATTGCCATTATTGTGGGTTCGAGTTGCGGTGGAACGAAATACCCGGTGCGCGACTCCAGAATCTGTTGGGTTTCGAGTTTGGTGGAGCGTACCTTTGGGGTAGCGAGGTGGGCACGTGCTCTTGCTTGTAACGAAGAAAAGTGGATGTCCAAGTCCAGCAAAGCATTTGGATAATTTCGTATCTTTGTTTCTACGTTTGCTGAGCTTGCTTGCTTGTTTTGGTGGCCTTATTCGTGTCGTGATACGAATTGGCTGTGTGAATGGATAAAAGTGGTATATTCCATGCTCAAGAAGGCTATCGTACAGCTCCAGTCTGTATCGTTCTCCTCCACACTCTACATCCTCACTATCCCGTCAACAAGCGCTCTCCGCAATGACATGCCTCATATCTTCTCACCACCCCTACTTCTCATCCCAACCCTTCGCAATCTTGAACCCCCACTGCCACTCCAAAAACGTATTCCCATCATCATCCGCAAACTTACTCCTCACATCATAACTCCCCCTCGCAATCAGCCCACTCGGCGCCTCCTCCACTGCAAACTTCTTTTCATAAAACGGCTGTGCCTGGGTATTAGGCCCATACGACCCAATCATCTCTTCTGCTTTGTCGACCTTGATACCCTTACGCTTGACGACGTGCAGGTATCGAAGACCCGAGATGACTTCGTGCTGAATCCGGAATTTGACTTTCATGCGGTATTCTGAGCCTTCTTTTAGGATGAAGGGTTTGTCTTTGAGTTCTTGCACGCTTTGCTTTTCGAGGTTTAGGACGACGTCTGGACGGCCGGCGACTTCAAGGGCGAGTTCGAGGACGACGACTTTGCGGTTGTCGCCTGGGGCTGCGACGAGGGCGGGGGAGTTTGCGGAGATACCGAGGGATTCCTTCCACTTACGGAGGGACTCATCGTTCGCGTCGAGGTTGGCGTATTCGTCAATTGTCTTCTTAGCGGTAGGGTTGTATCCCTCCGTCATCGAGGGACGAAGCTCATCCTCGGTGGGTTGGACACCGTGGCCTAGAGCACCGAGCAGATAAGCTCTCTGGACGACAACAAGGCCTTGCGGAAGCAGGAAGACGTACCGGACATTATGGAGGTATGAAATAGAAATCGATTGGCTCACTGAACGTAACGTGAAGGATTTGGCTTATGCCTTGACGTACTGGTCGTGCAATGGGTCCGTGTGTTTCTTTGTGTTTGACCTCCTAGGACCGCTAGTGACAGGATTGTCGATGAGTGATGACGCACAATGCAAGCAAGGGTCCATACATTTACAGTCTGCCTGTGTATTTGAAGAAGGTTCTAGAGCTTATCGATTGTGCTGTACCTTTTGGGTACGCTGGTTCAGACGATGGCGGACATCCGTGAGCGTGGGATCTTGCTAATTGTCAATGCTTCTGATTGAATTTCGAACTCACAATGGTCTGTCGCTACTCGTACACACACCCCTCCTGATCAGAGTTTAAGCATCAACTCCAGGCTCAACCTTCGTCTCATCATTCTTCAACTTCTCAACCCAATACTCAACCTCCTCATCCAACGTCTCCCACAACTCCGGCGCCTCAGGCTTCCACCCCAACTCCTTCTTAGCGCGATTCGCCCTACTCCTGGAGTTACCCGCAAAGATCCAGTATCCAAATGCTCCACCATAGTACTTGTCAACCTCTGAATCCGTAAGCGGGGTCTGTACAGGCACGGTGTCGACAAGAGCCCATCCAGCCTTTTTGACAACGGCGTCGAAGACGTGTTGGGACATGTCTTTGAGGTACTCCTCGCCCGATTCGGCAAAGTAGAAGCCTTCGTCGCCGTAGGAGGCTTTGCCGTCTATTGCGGCGCGGACGAGGAGGTCAAAGAATTTGACGAGGTCGTCGACGTGGACGGTTCCCCACTTGTTCAGTCCCTTTCCGACTGTACCGTTCTTGCGTGTCGCGATGGTGGCCTGGGCGATAACCGGGATCTGCTTCGACCTGACGTTGAAGATTCCCAATCCCTTTCCGTAGATCAGAGGCGGGCAAGTGATGATGGTCCTCAACACATCGGGCTGGTCGTTCTGGGAGAAGAGGTAATCGTCGACATCCTTGTGAATCTGCTCATCGGGGAGAGCGCGGATGCGCTTGATGTCATAATCATCAAACGGCTCCTGCTCATCACTCTCTCCGTTGACATGATCACACAGCACTCCCGTCCCCGAAACCTGAATCAAATACGCCGGCTTCCCACTCCTTCCTCCCCTCTTCTTCAAACCCTCCACCAAAGCTTTGGTAGCAGGCAAATCATCCGACCAAGCGTTAATGACGATATCGCTCTCCTCCGCAGCCTTCTTCAAAACCTCCAAATCCTCGAATGATCCGATCACGGGCTCGACACCGAGCTCAGACTTGAGCCTGTCGGCACGGGATTGGTCGCGGACGAGGGCGGTGAAGGTGTAGTCCTTGTTTTTGAGGAGCTGGGCGAGGATGGAGCCGCCAACGTAGCCGGTGGCACCGAGGAGGAAGATCTTGGCAGTAGACATGGTAATGGTTGTTGATGATCTGATCTGTTGTGGAAGTGGAGATCAAAGGGTATATATAGGCTCCCCGGAGTATTCGCAGGTGATTCTCCGGCTTGGTGAGTACGATGTCGCAACATGAAGCGCGGGCAGCTGCAGGTGTTGCAATCAACGCGCGCAAGCTGAAAGTATGTAAGTCTCACGACAACGACAACTCTCCACCACCTTCAACAACCAAAATCCAACAATGCCTCCTCCTGTTGGAAATCATCCTCCAGACGATGAGAATGCTCGTGCCATCAAGAGGGCCAGGACTTCGGGCAATCTTCTGCCGCCTCAGGGTGAGAACACCGCCCATCAGGCTGGACAGTCGCTGAGTCCTCAGGCAGCTGGTACGCTCCCTAACGCTCTTTTGACATTCTAGCATATTTCTAACACTACTCTAGGCTCGGACATATCAGATAAAAATGCGGAAGGCAAACCAAAGTCTGCTCTTTTCCAGCACTTGCAGAAGCTGAAAAGCGCATGGGGTCCAACACCGCCTGGATTAGTACCACCAGGGCAACCTGCTCCCACAGAAAGCAATCGCGGGATTTCTTATCGCCCTCCTAATCACACATTAAAAATACCCCCGAGTCAAATTCCGCCATCGACGTCGGCCTTTGCCTCCACTCCTCCCCCGAATATGGGAAAACAGCCTACGCCAGTGAAGACTCCCATGACTACACCGCAACAGCAGGTGACAACACGGTATACACCCAACACGTTTCAGCCGGGTGCAGTACAGATTACAGGCACTTCTACCGGGAAAAGAAAGAATAGTCCTGTAGTAGGGTACGGACCAGGCGCGGGGTTCCCTCCTGTTCAGCAAGCAGCCACGGGACCAAAACCGACGCCGCGGAATTCACCTTTGACTGGAGGAACTCCAACCCCGGTCCAGCGTGGTACTGGTATCAAAGATCAAGTAATTCAACAAGCGATGCAAAAGCAAAAGAAAGCAAAGGCACCACCCGTGAAGCAACAACAGGACGTCATGCTTCCTCCACCAATGATGCATCCACAACATCCACAACATCCCCAACACTATGGTATGCCCATGATCGATCCGCGATTGATGCCTCAACCAGGACCACCACCACCACATCACATGATGCCCATGCCTATGACAGCACCGCCGCCGATGCAACGCCCAGGACCACCCTACACTGTCCGTCCAAATATGTCGACAGGACCTGTCGTCGTGCGTCCTCAAGGTATGTACACGGTAACACCCTTTCCGCAACGCGCACCCCCGGCCCCGGCACCTCGTCCTCGACAAGCACCACCTGCGTGTTCATCCCCAGCGTCGGGATCAGCATCAGGCAAGGCGAGCATCACGCTTCGTTTCAATAACACACCTGGCGTTTTTGGTAATACGCCTCAGTTCAGAGTTCCACCTGCTGCTACGTTGAAGCCTGGGCTTAGTCCTGCGACGCCGCCTGTAGCAAAGACAGCCTCTGTGACGATTGCGCGTCCGATCCCGTCTGCGGCGACGAAAACTCAGCAAACAGAATCCGCACCCTCCTCACCCCCAAATGGTCCATCTCCCGCCACCACAAAAGCGAAGCCGTCTACCACAAAAGCACCGAAAGAGAAACCAGGAAGCAAAGCCACCCCGCCAGTCAGCTCCAAGGAAAAAGACCCCCCAGCATCCAAGATCCCAAAACCAGCATCAGCATCCGCCCCATCCCCCGTCCCAATCTTCGAAATGCCCCCCGAACTCCCCGACCCAGACCTCGAATCCCTCCTTATCAAACTCCAATCCTCCCCACCCACCACAGACACGAAACAGGACGTAAGGTACATGCTCATCCTCATGCGCGAGGAGTACCAAGAACTCGAACGCGAATGTGGGAATATCCGTACACGTCTCCGGGACCGAGAAAAACGCGAGAAACAAAGGGAGAAGGAGAAGGTAGGGGGTGCAGATTCGGGGTCAGGGTCGAAGTTGGGGTTGGGGTTGCTTGGGGCTCCGGCTTCGAAGGCGGAGATTGCGGCGATGACGGCTGGGCAGAGGGGGAGGCCGAGGGGAAGGCCGCCGAAGGTTGGACGTGGGAGAGGTGGGAGGGGGGTGGGTATTGGTAGGGCTGCTTTCTAAGGATACATGCACATGTTGTTTTGTTAGGCATCGGCACGGAGTTTATCATTCGGGGCAGGCCCCGTGGGATAAGGCGATACAGGGTATGGTCGAGCACCTATAGTAAGAAAGGGCATTTGGTTGCATGTCCTCACACGCTCATGGAAATCTATATGATCATTTATTATAACTGAATGCATCCAGAGTTCGGGAAATTCATGATGGTCGATCTCCCGCTTTACATCCCTGCGACTTGGGCGTGGGACCGTGGCCGCGCCGAGGCAAAGATCAGGAAAGTGACGCCCTGTACCATAGCCAGCTGGGCGACATGCTTCTATCATGGCTCACACACAGCATCATATAAGTGCCATGGCTCGTCAACAGCGATCGTAACTACAATGTCCTGGTTGTGGAACAATCATGAATGGCAATGTATTACTCATGCTGCAGAACTCCCGCCGTTGTAGCTACATATCTTAGTCCCTTTAGATGTAGTTCGGACCACCTTACAACTTCCAAACCAAGCACACCTTGTCATCACCTCCAGAGACAACATACGTACCATCACGTCTACCAGTGATACAGAGCACACCATCCTGATGTCCCCGCCACTTCTTCACCTCAGCACCCGTACGCACATCCCATCTCCGTACCGTACCATCAACAGAACACGTAGTCAAAAATGGCGTCTGTGGTACGAACTGGCACGAGACAACAGCATCATCGTGCTTGAAGGTGTTTCGCAGACGAAGGGTGGCGAGGTCGTAGATAGCGACGGATCCGTCGACGGACGCGGATGCAATGAGTGGCAGCGTATCACAGAAAGCCAGAGACTCAATCGACTCCGACTGGCTCTCCAAAGAACCCAAAAGATTTCCACTGGTGAGGTTGACCACCTTCGCCTTCCCGTCGCAACCACCGACAACAGCAACATTCCCATCCTTCTCAACCGCAACACAATTCCATGCTCCGTCCTCACTCACGCACGCAAACCTCGCATCAGCACTCGTCAACTTCAACAACGCCGCTCCCGTCTTCGGATCCCAGTGCACCAAACTCCCATCATCGGAGACCGTAACGATACTCTTTCCATTCGGGTTAAAGCAGCCCGCGTTCACGGGTCCAGTATGGGACGCGAAGACTTGCATGACGTTTCCGGAGGGGATAGCCCACATCCAGACGTTGCCATCTTGCGCACCACACAACAACACCGATCCCTTCGGGTGCCACTCGAGCCAGATGACCTCGTCTGCGCCTTCCAGTGTCGTGAGGAACTCGCCATCCGAGACACGCCAAACGAGGACACGCCCGTCCATACCACCCGTAGCCACAAACTGCCCATCATTCGAGAACCGTGCAGCGGTGATGGAGTCAGTGTGTCCAGTCAACTTGTAGATTGTGTCTCCCGTTCGAGCGTTCCAGACATACGCCAAGTCATCTCCACCACCCGAAACGACTAGATCCTCGTTCGCGGGGTTGATGTGGATAGAGTAAATCGAGTCTGTGTGGCCGAAGAATCCTTGTACGGACTCGTCGACGAAGACGACGTCGGGGTCGTTCTCGTCCGGCTGTTGTTGGTCGGAGGGTCCGGCTTCGTCGAACTCGTCTTCGCCTTCTGACATCGGCTCATCCTGATCCTTCTCGTACTCCTCCTGCGCATCCGCAGGGTCGAGGTAGACCGCCTCTTCCTCCTCGTGCTGGTGCTCGAACTGCTGCTCGTGTTCCGGGTCCATCTGCGACAAAAAGAGTCAATTAAGGAAACACTATTGAATAGTACAACGGATCAAGTACCTTCTTGCGATTTAAGTGTGTAATGGGTCTTCGTTGCTTATCGTCTCTAACGAATCCAAATTATTTGACCGGTGGCGTAAGACGCAGGACGTGCGCAGGGTGAAGACCGGGAAATCAGGGACCCGAAGGTTATGCTTATGTGAGATGTACTTTGTTGAGTTCAGAATGTGCTGTCGTCTCGAAAAATTCATCAGTTCTATCGTATGGTAATTCCATCAGGTCAGCCTGTGCTCATATCTGTAATCAAGCCGTCCAGTGGGTTACCAGCGCCTTTCCCACACTCACACTCTCAAAACACAAACCCCTCCATCCCCCACTCCACCCCTCAAGGCAACGCCCTCTCCAGCCAAACGCATCGACCTCCCCAGCCGTCCTCAAACCCCCATCCCCATGCCCCATCCTCCTTGCGAGTACCCCACCCCCAACCTCCGGCTCCGCATTCTTAATCGCTTTCCCAGTCTTCCACACACAACACACAGACAACACAGCTGGTAACACCGCAAACGCAACTGGCCCAAAACACGCCCATTTGCCTACAGTTTGTACGGTTTCTGCTGTTGCGTGGATGCGGCCTCGTTTGGCTCTACGAGCTTGGGCACGGGAGTCTTCCCATTCCCAGAATTTATTGCGCCAGCGTTGGAGGATGCGAGGACTGTAGATAACAATCTTTGAGCCTGGCTCGGGTTCGTGGGTGTGGTAGTATCCCGGAGAGACACGGCCATCTGTGTGTATGACTTTCACCTTCTCACCCCTCGCCGCCGGGTCAAACCCCTCCGGCCACACCTTCTCCGGAAACATCTTCTTCAACCCCTTAGCTGGGGCTTATAACTCCCTCTGTCAACATCCGAGGGTGCTGCCACGGCGTATCAGAACCGAACTTCAGAACTTCTGGGATTGGATCTTGAGTTGTTGATTGACGAGCTCAAGCTCCTGGGTGAGGTCGTTGATCCGGGTATCGATGTCGTAGGACGTTGACGGTTCGCAGATTGTGGAGGGAGTGTGGAAGCCTGTGTCCATTAAAAGGCGTGGGTGGAGGAAAGCGAAGCAGCCGCCGGGCATGACTGGGTTTGGATCTTCGGGGGCGGATGTCCAGCCGATATCCTCGCCGCTCAACAAGCGCTGTCGAGCGTCAACAATCTCACGGTCCAATTCCGCAACGATCTCCTTTTGAGTCTTATCCCGATCACTGCCCAAGGTGACCATCCTCTTGCCCTCCGCCGTACTCCGCTTCTTAAAAGCCTCTTCCAACCGCGGCGGCTCCTTGCCATCAATTATCTGTTGCACTCCTCGTGCTTGCATCCCTCACAACCCTTAAATGCGGCGGCAACACCCTCATTTTCCCATCCCCCCTGTGTTCATACGCCCAATGAGGACAATCCAAGACGAACCCCGCGTCTTCAATGGAAAATCTCGGGAATGTCGCCCCAGCCAAGATGTCGCCATTCAGCGCTTCAGCACCACAACATGGACAGAGAGCGACGTGACCGTAGCATTCACCCGTCTCCGCATAACCCCAACAACACTCCAGGGTCCAACCCTCGACACAAGTTCGTTCCATTGATCCCAAAGTCCCTCATCGTGAGCCCAAAATCAGCCTTCGTAATCCACATCAAACACCAAAACAAACAACCCACTTAGACGCGCAACCGACCTTGAATTCATTCCTCTATAAAGCGCAGCCCCCACATAATCCCAATACCGATACCTCGTCTTCATCGAACACCCCTCCTCCGCACAAACCTTGCGAATCGCAGGCACACCCCTTGAACACGGTTCCCAATTGCGATCACGGCTCTGCCTAGCTTACCGTTTTATCGCGTCGAGTTCTTCTTGCAGAAGCTGTTTTGGCCGTTTCTCGAGCCCGGTGTTGAGATACCCCCGGGATGTATACGTGGGAACATCGCTCCCGGTTTCGGCGGTGGTGGAACGGGTGAACGCTCATCGAGTCCATGCCGTACAACTTTGAAGAGGTGGTCTATTGCATCTTTGCAACCCACGAAGGATTCGATAATACCATGACCCATTATCCAGCATTCATATACTGGTGTTTTGGTGGGTGTATGCGTTCTCAGATCTCCCAGCTGGGATTTGTGGGGTGTCCCTTGCATCGGCTGCCAAAAACCTCGAAGACCTGCAGCTGTCGTACAAAGCACCATTAAAACCATCATACCCCCTCAAGATGTCCTTCGGAGGCCAACGAACAACCCGAGCTGAGCTCTTTGCCTCAGACGACGCGGATCACACCGACCACGCCCAGGAGAATGACGCCGAAACCCGCGCCGCAATCCTCGCAGCCCTCTCCGCATCCCTTACCCTTCCTCCCGTTGCCAGCGATTCCGTTCCGATCACCACGCCTCCCGCAAACGAGGAGGAGGGTGGTGAAGAGGTGTTCGAGTTTAATTTGTTCGGTGGTGGAGGCGGGATGAAGATCAAAGTTGCCGACGATGCACCAGTGGAGGAAAAGTGGGTTAGGAGGGAGAGGCCGATGTCTTACTATGTCGTTGATCCGTACGTCCTACCCATCACCATCTCAATCGCAATCGATTCTAACTAAACATACAGTTCCGACGAAGTCCGCCGTGCACAGATCGAAGCCGCCGCCATCTCCGGCACCCAAATACTCCAGCTCTCCACCCACTCCCTCGAACCCCTCCTCACAAAACCCCGCAAACTCCTCCGCATCTCTGCTCACACCCGCCGTCCCATCCCCGCGCACCTCCCACCCACCATCACCGCCGCCGAATACGAAGCCGCGAACCCAAGGAGACGGTGGAGACCGAGTAAGAAGAGGCGAGAGTTTGAGAAGAGGAAGAAGGCTGAAGCAGAGGAGAAGGCTAGGAGAAAGACTGCGAAGGCGGGGAGGGGTGGGGTGAGAGGGGGCCAGGTTGGTAGTGCGGCGGGGGGGAGGAAGTGGGCTACGGAGTGACTGGTGGGACGTGGAGGAAAGGAAAGACAGGAAACAAGGACACATACGGCAGACGATGGTGATCCCTCGTAACTGGGCTGGGCACCGTTGGATGCCGGGCAATGCGAGGACGGCTCTGCTTCACTTTACTGCTCTTGGGGCGGGCAGCTGCCAGATCCCACCGATGGCATCAATCCGAAGAAGCACGCATCATCTGTTAGGCGACTGAGTGTCGAAGGACGTCTCGAGAGTTGTCGATGGCGAGCCAAGTGGAGGGGAAATGTTGCAAGGGTATCAAGTCACCTGTGATAGAGTTCACGTGACAAATTGGGTACGCTTCGGCCGTCGTTCTGACGTCGCTGGAGGGATGTCGCGCGATAGATATTCTTTCATATCCTTTATCAGTCTTAACTTTAGTCTTCGACGCTGTCAATTAATTGAGCTTCAAGCTCGACCGAAATTACTCTTTAGGGCGATAGTCCCACGCTTGACGTCAGGTTGCGCGCTGCACGTCACGATCATCGTTACAAGGGACCGCAGAGAAAGAAGCCTTATGGTGGCGCGTGGTGTAAAGCTGCCCCGTTCTGGCTGTGAGTCGACGTCTTCAGCGTTCACAGTAGACCGTTCCAAGGGCTCCGCATGACCGTAGTCCAACAGCTGGTGGTCAACTCTTCACCTCCGACATGTTCTCTTCAAACGTCAGAGAATAAAAGAGATTATCGAAGATCCGCCAAGGCGTTAACTTTCAATTCAATCTCTTCATATGAATTAAGGCGGGGATCTCGGTGCCTTACCGGTACCATCGATGGACGAGAAGCGATATGATGTCGTGATCTACAGTTGTCTTAACGGCTGATGAAGTCAATTTGAAGGATGAATGCGCCGGATTGGGCAGTGTTGTATCGACGTAAGGTGTTATGAATGGTAATCCCACGAGTGGTAGAATAGTTCGACGAGACGTTGGGGCGGTCTTCGCCGTTCGTGAGGGAGTAGTGTGGTTGCCGCCGTGCTCGTAGTCACTGTGACCTCAACCTACATACTAGTATGCCCCCGGTATGATGGAGCATACGTGTCAATCACCACGTAACTCTGGGGCAAACAACGTCCCTACCGGATCAAGTAACCGCGGAGAACCCTGACCGTCATACGTGTAGCGTGCGTTACATGGGGTGTGATGTAATTCCCCGTCAACGCCCCCACGTTCAAGACCCTTTGTCTACGAACTCGTCTGCGCTTACTGCTCAGGGTGCTGCTGTTTCGAACCTCCAAAGCGTGCTCATGCTCTGACGCAACTTCTCCCGCTACGAACTGTCAGACGTGAGCAAGTTACGTCAACATCCCTCCATGCGCCGCATACACCCAACCCCGACACAAAGTACGGTTGGCTTACTGTGAACCCTGTGACGAAATGAACTGTCATATGTGTCGGGCAAGGGACAATCGATAACCAAAAGGAACACCATGACCTCGTGACAGAAATCCCTCAAACCGCAACCGCAACCGAAACCGAGGCGATGACATCCGTACCCGAGCAGGCAAAGCCAGAGCCAGCGCCGGTGTCAGTTCGCCTCCCACAAACCCTCGCGGCTTCGTCCGTGGACAGGGAGAGCGATCACCAGATCAACGAGACAATATCCAGTCGTGGCCATGACGCGAGATATCACGCAACGGCTGAGCGAGCACCTTGATGGCCTGCGCGCGTGATGGGTGGCCAGTCCGCGTCTGGTCTGACGATGGAACCCTTCTGGTGGGGGAGGGGTGATCGGATACACACCCGGCTGGTTGCGCACGGTCTGGAGCAGCTGGCGATATGAGTTGTTGCGGGGTTGGTGTCCCTCGATATGAGATAAGCCGACGATAAGCCCCCATTCCAGGCCCCGTGGCGTGATCCTAGATGAGAGTAAATCTTGGATGAATGCGTGGAGTGTTGGAGATCTGACAGCACACGGTGTTGGAAATCATGCACTACCGTTCTGTACTGTATGGATTTCAACACGATGGAGGAGCGATCCGAGCGCTCGTATCGGATCTAGATCTGGCGCGGAAGCAGACACCCCCCAGCGCAGCCCTCTGTCCCCCTCCCCCCGCGTTGGCCACGTCAAAACAGGGAGGGAGCTCACGTATATTTCGAGCAAAACGACCCAAAACCCTGCATTCCTCCCCAACCAATCGATAGGATGAAGCTCCATATATCTCCGACTACATCCAGCTAAGTGTATATTGCGTAGAAGCTTATGAGCGGTAGCTTCATCTTGGCTCATCCATCGATAGTGCGCGAGGTGTACATGGCTTGTTGCGCTGCGGACGCATCGAGATTAGGCTGCATGCACACCAAACCCTGCATCCGGCCATGGATTTAGTTCGGAGCAGACCCCAATCGACCGAAATACGGTCGAGGTACGGCTCGAGTTGGTGGATGCTTGGCTCTCAAACTTGCTCGAGTCCTCGGAAGCTGGCAGTTGGGTGAGGGGGGGGGGGAGGCATGTACATACGGCGGCGCTATTTTAAGGGAGATCGAGGCATTGATGGGGATCGCGACACGTCAGATTTAAACATTTAACGAGGTATGGGATTCAGGGTTCATGGTAGGAATTGTGGAGTGTGTGTAATAGAAGATCTTCGAGAACGGAGCGGAGGTACGCGGGTATACCGGCACCTCAAGCCCTTCATTTCGGGCTTTGGGGGAGATGGATCCGGAGGGGGAAGGGAGAGACAGTGTTCAGAGCCGGGTAACCTGAACGAAATATACATACAGGGAACGGATATATGTACACAGAGACGGATGAATACGGGTGATACGTTCCTGGACAGAAGGGCGCTGGACATACCGCATTGCGTGCGTGCTGCGTGCCCGGGCCCGGGGGTCCGTAGCTAGAGCCCGGGGATACTGGCCCTCTCCGGGGTTCAATTGGCTCAGGGTCGGTATCTGATTGCGCAAGAGCTACAGCCATAGCCATAGCTACAGCAGCTCGACACCGGCGCGTTTGGAAGCTCGCACCACTCGCAGACGAGATTTGTCAGCTTTCCGTAGCTCATAGGACAGGCAGTATGAAGGGCTGGGTAGACTAATGGCCCGTTGCAAGCCTTAAAATTATTTTGGTCCGTAGTGTGCCCATATCGATAAGCAGGTGTCGGTCTAATCCATTAGCGTACGAGGGAGGGCTCCAGGAGTCCGGGATTGGCCTTGGAGCTCCTGCGCGCGACTGCGCCCTGCCCCTACCGCCAATCCCAAGCCATAGCCAATGAGGCGAATTCGAAGGCCACTACAGTTATGGAATGGATGACGACCGCAACTGCCGTATGTAATTTGACAGGTGATGGTGTTGCAGCAGCGCACCAGCGGAGCAGATGAAGCAGTAGGATTTCGTAAGCATAGCATGGCCCGGGTGACGTTGGGGGCTATCCACGAACGGAAGGATCACCCAAGACAAACAGCAGCAGGGAGGAGTCTCGCGTTGCGTTGCGTTGCCACCCACTCACTTCCTTGCCAATCACTGCGCACGCAAGTCCTCCCTGCGCTTGGGGGTGTTAGTTGAGAAGCCGAGACACAGGAGCGCGCTACCCCCGTTGCAGCCTAGACGGCGACCGGACGACACTACTGCCCGCCCTCCAAGCTCACCACCTGCCATTACGGCCTCGAATATAAACCCCCAGGGAAGTCGCCCACCACCAGACCGTCCAACAGCCAAGCAGCATACACCCGTACTTGGTGTGCTGACAACACAATATATACCTTACGACACACATTCTTACGAAACACACGTAACGAACACAATGCCTGCACCCATTACTATGCAGCGTAAGGAGAGCTTCTCGTGGGACTCTTCGAGGTTCGGCACTTCCTGGAAGGAGGAGGTTGCCAGGTGGGAGGATGACGTTGCTAGGTAGGCATCACCATACTCTCCTGCGCTGTGCTGCTGTTCCGTCGCCGCATTCACGCCGAGTTTACATCCTCGATTGAATTGAGGTGTGCTCGAGGTGCATGCAATGTGACAGTCACACACTGCAGTAGCCAATTCCTCCATGGAGTCAGCTGCTTACATAGCGTTCAATAGCTTTACTACCCCATACTCTGACTTCGACACCGCCACGTCGGCATCATACCTCCCCAAGCTCGAGGCCACTTTCTGCCGTGACTTCTCCTGCTGCGGCAAGACCCTCTCCGACCTCCACGACCTCCTCCAACACTACGAAGAGCAGCACGTCCGCTTCGAGGATGACATCACTGCCACTTCTCAGGTTACCTTGGCACAGACTGCCGGTATCCCCGATGAGGCCGCTACCTCCCGTGCTCGTGGTGAGCGTGCACCCGATGTGAGGATGTTGAAGCGTAGGGCTATGTTGCGCTTGGATGACATGTACAACACCTCTGCTTCCCAGCCTCCTTCGTCTGCGTCTTCCGAGACTGCGTCCAATGTTGACGACTACGATGATATTGCCTTCGATACCTCTATCCTCTCCGCTCCTCGTCCTGCAAAGAGGCCGTACATGAAGTCTCCTTCCACCCCTGGTGTCGAGGATGTCTTCCTTCCTTTCTCCGCTATCTCCACCGCCGCTACCTCTCCTGCCTCTTCCGCTCCTCACACCCCCGTCATGGGCCACATCCAGCCTATGCTCGGTTTCGAGGACGCTTACCTGTCTGGCAAGAAGAACGCCGTCCGCAGCATGATCCCCCCTCGCTCCCCTCCCCCGATGGTCATCGACCACCCCGGCTCCACCCTCGTCGTCGACAAGCCCTACAAATGCAAAGTCCCGGGCTGCGACAAAGCCTACAAAAATCAAAACGGCCTCAAATACCACAAACTTCACGGCCACTGCAACAGCAACAACCCCCTCCAAACCTCTCCTCCCCCGGTTAACACCAACGCCGCCACCGTCCTCGGCGAGGGTGGACTCCCTGCGCTCCCGGCTTCTCTCACGACCCATATCGCGGTTGAGAAGCCGTACAGGTGTGAGCTTTGTTGCAAGAGGTATAAGAATCTTAATGGATTAAAGTACCACCGTGCGCATTCTCATTTGGGTGTTGCGGCGCCTGGTGCGACGGGTGCTGGTGTTGCTGTTGGGCAGATGCCAACGATGGCTGGTGGGCTTGGTGCTGGTGTTGGTGTCGTTTCCATTTTTGGAAATGGGACTGCGCCGGTGATGTAAGCTCCAGTCATACACGAAAAATGAGTGAGGTGAAGGCGAAGTTAATGGATGTTGTTGACGCACACACAAAAAGGGTCACGGGTTATGACCACACTTCGGGGGGACGGCAAATGCGGGTATGATATATGGACACTTGCTTCGGACATGCTTTCTTGGTTTTTTTTTCTTCTTCTTTACACGGTACATGATATTGGGGCGTTTTCTTTGACTTTACAACTTTCTTGGTCAGGTTGGCCTCGGGCTTCTAGACTGGAAGGTTACTGGGCGCTTGTCTTTTTTGTTTTCTTTTTCTTCGAGGGTTACTATACACTCGTTCTTACTTAGAGGTTATTGGGAAAAAGCACTCGGAGGTGAGGTGGGGGAGGATACTGGAGGGGATGCCATCGACTGGAGATAGGGTCGGGCATCCCGTTTAAAAAGCTTTTGTGTTCGTTGGTATGGTATTGGATAGCGGTTTTGCTCTCTCAAAAAAGTTCTGATGGCTTTATCTTCCCTCTCCTCTTCCTTCTCTCACTTCTCATTTTCTTGACGACCTGACTTTCGAGGCCGAGGTAAGCACCGCTTGCATGTATGCGCAACGCTGGTTGCAGTCGCACACGTAAGCAAGGAACGCCACATATCTACCACATTTTGTCTAAGAGCGTCTCATCAAATTAATTGCCTGGGATGGGATGTGAGAGGAGGCTATACTTGGGCGGACGTTCGGGCCGAGGAGAAGGGTTGTTTCCGGGTGTCCGGTGGGAGTGATGATGAGGGCTCGAGTAAGCAATGTCTAAGGGGATGAGGTGGCGCGCTTGTTGGATACGGCGGACATGTGAAAGCTTGGAACACATTGTGGTGGCTTTGCAACTGATGGTGTCAGCAGTTCTTTATTGGTTGGACGATGTTGTACGAGGGCGAGGGCTGCTACATTCCCGCGGTCTTCTAGTGTAAGGTTTAGGCTGGAAGCCGTAGCCCTTCGACCGCGGAGCGCAACCGCGGCTGTGAAGCTCAGGACCCTTGTGCAATTTCTGGTTTTGTAGATCGACACTACCCGTGGGTCCCCGAGGAATCTTCTTCGAAGATGACCGCGGATCTCTATAAATCCTCCCATGTCAACAAACAGATTTGGCAGCACGACACGACAAGGTATACCAAACAATTGCCCAACTATTCTTGGGCATTGCTTGCGCTTTGACATTCGACACGAGCTCGAGCCCCTTCGCGGTCGGTGATCCTTGAACAAACACAAACACACAAGCACGTTTCGTTACGATTCGTGTTCCCTCCTCGTGCAAGCCTAGTTGCCAAGTTGACACTCCCATCCTCTCCTCCCACTTTCACCTCCCCTCCCACAAACCCACCACCATCTTGAGTCGTCTGTCTCGTCTCGGCCTCTCGAAATACCTCTTACTTAATCGATCGCCTATGATTTTTGGACTCGGCCGAATCTCGGCCTTCGGTGTGTCGCGCTGTCGGTTCAGGGTCTCGCCATCCACGTGCATCCGCAGCTTAGGTATAGTCGAGTTCTAAAGTCATGCGAATCACGTGTAGCGCGCATGTGCTCGAAAAAATGTAGAAACGTCGAAACAAAAAACCCTTCATACTCGACAACCAAGGACCTAGGGGACCAGGACGCGTCATCATATCGAGTACTAAGGGTTTTTGTTCTCGGGGTCTACAACTTTTCCCCCGCACATGCGCGCTACACGTGATTCGCATGACTTTAGAACTCGACTATAACATAGACTTTGGGCTAGCCTAGTTCGGGATGTGGGACGAGACGGAAGGGCGTAGGGAGCCGGAGGTAGGAGAGTTGGGCGAGAGTGTAAGGTATGGGAGGACGTCATCTGAGCTTGGTCATTGATTTACGTGAGATTCCCTTTGGATGCGGTTTGGAAGTGGGTCATGAGCGCTAGCAGGTTATGTCGATATTATTAACGTTACGGCTCCCAGGTGTATGCTATTGAACATTGCGCTCCGTGAGAAATAAAAAAGAGACATAGGTTCCCTTGTGGTAGACTTCATCATGCTGCCAGTCCCGTTGAGGCCTCCCCCCTTGCAATATCCTCTGGTATATCCTCTACCCTCCCCGGGCCTCTTCACCAACCCGCACCCTTCCGCCCACCCTCACAACTTCAACTCCCCCTTGTAACCCCCCATCCCCTGAAAACACGCCTTCAACGGCGTAACACTAACCATCCCCTCACACAGCGCCCACTCATCACTCCCCACGTCCTCGTTCTTGAGTTTGAACCAGTCGAATTTGGGTTTGAATACCCACGCTTCACCTCCCTCGCGGTTTCCATCAGGGGTGGTCGTCTCGCCTTCGCGGATTTCCTCTTCTTTCTGATCAGCGGACGCAGCAGGGTCAGAGGTACCGACGGTGGTAGAAGGTGCGACGGGAGCAAAGGCGGGTGATGACCAGCGATTTTGGTGGATGTGTGTCCAGTGACACTTCATCCCCTGAACTTTGTCGAGCAACTTATCGACTAACGGCACATTCACCGTAACCAAATCAATCTCCCCACTTCTCACCTCCGGGCTCAGGTGCTCCTCCCACAACTTTCTCACCAACTTCGTCGTCAGCTCTGACGCAGCGTGCGCGTGTTCGCCCCTATGCGGCCGATCCCGAAAGAGAGCATATGAGATTCCGACCGCGGGAATACCGTTGAGCGCGGCCTCGAGTGCGCCTCCGACGGTGCCGGAGGCCATGATGAATACGGCGGATGAGTTTCGGCCGAAGTTGGGGCCGGAGAGGACGAGGTCGACGGGGCCTTTTTGGGGGAAGAGGGAGTGAATTCCTATGCTTGCGCAGGTTGCTGGGGTTCCTACGGGTTTTTGTTAGCTTTCCAATTGATCTGCTGAACGAAGCGCTCGCTATACCGTCAAGGAGTACCCAATCATCCTCGCTTTGTCGGGTTTGGTGGATCGTTCCTTCACCTCCAACTTCGCTGCTCGGGGTGTAGTATGTCGCCCGCACCGTATCTGCCAACAAAAACGCCTTCCCGATCCAACTCTTCTGACTCGAAGGCAACGCGACCGAGATCTCCCAGTCTGTGTTCGCCTTTAATGACTCCACCAGGCCGTGGACGAAGGGTGAGTGGGCGGCGGAGGGTGGGCCGTCATCGTTGGTGATGAGAACGTGCATTTTTGTAAATGTATCGAAGAGGTGCAGGGGGCGGTAATGGGGATGGAGGAGGAGTACGATGGGAGTATTTGCGGGGTTGGATATCGATGCGTCGGTGGCTCATGCATGCCGTTTGCAGGCTACCGAGATGAGCATAGGTATCCATCATGGGAAAACCAGCAGTTGAGAATTATTTCCAATTGAAGCCCTTTCCTATTGATCATAAAACTACGAACACCTCGTGTCTTCTTCTTAGGAGGTGTGGGACGCTGCAATCAATGTATTCCCAAGCTTTCGCGGTTGGGCCCCGAATTCAATCCTGTGTGGCTGGTGAGCCCGAACTGCGCCTCACGTACGCTGCGACACAAACAACCGTGCGAATGATCGAAATCATCTCCAGTTCGCTGCTTTCACCTTACGATCTCCTTTCAGAGACAGCCAGCCACGATGTCTACTCTTGATTCGATTACCAATGTCTGTCATGAGATTTTGCCGAGCGTGGCGAGCTACACAGTTGGTTTCGCACATTTCCGTCCGGAATCTGAAGGGGGGTTCTCGGAGAAGGAGCGCGTTGTTCTCGAGTTGCTTGAACGACTTGATTCGCTTCGTGAAGAGGCGCGAGCATTGGTTTCCGCTGATTCACAAACACAAGGTACGTCCCTCTGCCTGCCCTTCTCCACTCTGCAGTTGGCTGACCCCCGATGTTAGATACCGAGACCGCTGAATCCGAAGCAGCAACGAGTCTCTTCCCTCACCTCGTCGCAACCCAAACCACAATCGCAAACCCGATCCTACGTGCAATCCACTCTCCATCGAACCCCGCCCTCCGCACCGCCTCCACCTCCTCCACCAAAGCACAAGCAACACCACAAGACACCGCCCTTCTCTCCCTCCTCCAACACCGCGACCGCGTGGGTTCGACCTTGCTGCACACAATCAACACACAAAGGGATCTTACCAACGAGCTCTCCGCCCTCGAACTCCGCTCCCTCGCCCAACTATCCCAAAACCGCACACTCGTCGCACGAATCCACGACCTCACCTCTCAACAAAACCACAACGAAGATGACGCAGAAGGAGATAGGGAGTTGAGGAGTGCGAGTGAGAGGGTTGGGGTTGTGAGGAGTGCGCTTAGGGGGTTGGTGCTTGAGAGTGGGGTGGATTGGGTTGGGGAGGAGGGGTTGAGGGGGGTTATGTTGGGGATTGAGGAGGATGAGTGAAGGAACATAATTGCTGCCATATACCTTGAATACCTGATAAATGAGATGATCTCCCCACATGTCCATGTCCAGATCCGTCCCCTTGTTCCCCTTGTGTAACCACAATGCACCATACCGAAACCCGAATCCCGGAACTCATACTTACTTCTTCCCAAAGAAACTCGTCAACTTACTCATCCCCCTCGTACTCGCCTTCGCCAACTTCGCAACCCCCTGACTCGTCGCCTTCTTCAACTTCTTCCCATCTCCTCCCTTTCCTGCTTCCACATCCTCCGCTGATCGCTTATTACCGGTCATCGCACTCATATCCGAATTCGCCGCTGCAGCCGCGAGTGCGTCAGATCGCTGTTTCTTAAGTTCGGCCAAGTAATCCTCGAGTGGTGCGAACGAGTGGGAGGAGAGGCAGTGGGCTGACCATGTCGGCGGGAGGTAGGATGAGATGAATTCCATTGCGCCCTTTAGTCTTGCCAGGCTCTTTACCTCCTCACTCGCACCACCGTTTTCGTCTGCGGCGAATGTGAATGGCGCGAGTTGTTTGGTCACGATCTCGTTCTCGATCGTAGGTGGGAGGTTAGAGGCCAGCGTCCGGGCTTTGTGGGTGAGGAGCGCGAGGAGGCGGGGTGGGGAGAGGCGGTAGAAAGTGCCGTCGTTGAGGGTGGAGCAGCATTGTCGCAAATTCTCCTCCGTCAAGAATGGCCGTAGTAGGGATGGTACCGACTCCTCTAGATCATCGATCGTCAAGTACCTCCCCACGCTGCCCTCATCCACACTCGCTCCCCGCACTTTGTCCAGATGCGGGAGTAGGAGGAAGATAGGGTCGATAGGCGTCGCGATGTAGAGCGTCCCATTCTGCTGGACCGTGGAGCCGATGAACCAGGAACGGGATGTAGATGTTGAGGGGTCGGAGAATTTGGTTAGTTCGTGGAGGGAGGGGGAGGTGGGGCCGGAGAGGAGGTAGCGGGTTGGAAGGGATGTGCGGGGATGTGGGAGGGTTATTATTCGTAGAGAGTCTTCTGTGGTAGTAACAGTGATTAGTGAGTGAAGATAGGCGCGTCGGGGAGAAGAAGAGGTGGAACGTACGCGTATCAGGGTGGATCAGGATCCGGGCTGGTGGTGAGGTGACCAATTGCCGCGTCTCCACGACGACTTCTTCCTCCTCGACAGGGTCCGGTTTGCTTCTCGTTCGTCTCGTACTCGGCGGCATCTTGCTGTTCCAATGCTTTTGGTGTTCTGTTTTTCTCGAGGACTTCCAACTTCCAAGTATAACGCGCCGACCGCAACCTCGAGCACGTGATTCGATTTGAGTTCTGCTTTGGGAAAGACACAACACTGACCTCGACGATACCCACCGACCAAGAATGTCGCAGCAAGGTGCGTGATTCCATTGAAGCTCGATTACAGTCGTAGCTTGACTGGGAAAATGTCGGCAAATGTGCATGGGTTGTTGCAGGGTGGGGTTGCGAGTGGGGAGGTTAGGTTGAGTCCCGGAAAGGTGAAGGGGAAGGAGTTACAGACGGCTGTTGAGGAGAGTGACAGTGATGATGTGGAGTTTCTTTGAGATTTGCGCAAACTCAGATTACATTTTTGGAGATAGCGTATGTTCATAACCTACAACACAACTCGACTCATTCTGAAGTAAACTGCAGCGAGTGCCTAATAACTTATTACCTTTGTATGGCGTAACGTGGGTAACTCCGTCCTATGTTGGCACATTCATGGTTCATCGACATATCGAGATTATGATTCATGTGGTGGAAGGTTTCGCCCTCTTTCTCACGATCAAGACAAACATAACTGTGACCTTAGTCTGAATCACCATATCGAGGAGAATCGCCAAAATCGCTGTCACTGGAATCAATCCACTCAAACCGTGGGGTCCACTGTAGCTTGGGGCACTGCTCTCGCACGAAAAGCGTGTCTTTGAAGACCTCAGTGTAGGTATCAACACGCTCTTAGCATGGGAACATTGTCTGAACTTTGTAACGAGGCAGAAGGGATGAGTCCAAAGCTGGTAAATCTCCTCCGTAATGGTCAGAATAGTCCTGTATCCGCAGGTAACGCAGTCTCCGGCAATGTTGGGCGAGCAACGTAAGATGGTGTTTTTGAAACCACAGAGCCGAGCCAACCTTGCACACAAAATTGAGGGTTTCAAGATCCGGTAAAGCACGGATGATTGCATCGAGGTGTTCAGGCACCCTTATTAGGGTGGTCCTCCAACTTGTCACCTCCAGACGGAGCGATCTGAGTTTAGGATGCGTTTCCGCCAAGATTTTTAAGCCATTTCCACCCTCTTCCAAGGACTCCTCAAAATCCAGAAGTTGGAGTTTCCTCAAGTTAGGACACGCGCCGGCGGACGACAGATAACGGATGGCTGGGTTCGCAGTTGTATCCGCGAGATTCGCTGTAATGTTTTCTAACTGGCCAAGGTGAGGGAGAATGCGGGCGAGGGGTTTCCCCTCAATTGTCACGCGTAAGATCCTCAACGCGGCGAACGGCCTCTATCGGAGAATCATAAATCGAATCGATATGCGACATTGTGAGAATTGTGTGATCAGGATCGGGATAGTGTAAGAAGCTGACACTCTCAGGACCCGTATCCAATACCTTTAGATTTGGCAGGTCCGCGAGCTTCGTCATGATGATGGGCGACAGGAGGAGCATAGAATTCCGGGAAGCCATAACCCCATACATCTCAAGCGACTCCCAGGTGGCATCAAGGAACTTGAGCACTGCATGTTTCATTTCATTTGCAACTCTGGCGGACCCTCAACATGCACCAAGTCACTGTCACAGACCGTCAGACGTATCAACGATTCGCACTGACACAGAAGTCGAAACGTGGCAGGATAAACATACTGCCCAGTCAGCACCAGCACTTCGAGTCTCGGCGTTACATAACTCGGCAACAAATAACTCCAAGACAGCAGGTTGGCCTCTTGTCTGCTCCACTCACAATCTCCGACAAGCATCTTCAGATTTGGGAAGATGGGAGTTTGTACATGTTCGCAATGTCTCAACCCTCCCAAATCACAGTCTACCCTCTGCACCAAATTGCGAATCTTCACGTACAACTCAATGCTCAGAAATTGGAGCTGAACTTTCGAGGGAGTCTGCCAAAGTACCGGAAATGCATGGCGATAGAAAACGCGACACGTGCGACCAGCTTGAAGAAGATGCCGACTGTTCTGCCATTGATCAGCAGGGTCGACGCCGAGATCGTCGACGAAATGGCCAAAGACTAATCGTGCGAGTTCAGGGACTTCGAAGACCCTCGCATAGGCAAGATCCTGTGAATTGTTGTGGGCCATCGAGCGCCGCCCCCAACGAATTAGGATTTAGAATATTCGCAGACAAGGTTGTCACGGCGTAAATCCGCAGCTGCTGGTAGCACGATCAATCAGCGTGAACGTGGAGGTCTGAGCTCATTTTGTCGTAGAGGTGTCAGAACCTAATCAAACGGGCGGTAACCGCGTAATAATCAATCGATCGCGATAGAGCGTCTATACAAATAAGGTTGCATCGTACCGGCTTTAGCAAGGCACGTTCTCGCTCAGCGAAACGAGTGCAATAGAACTTCTCGGTTTTGATTAGGACGACCAACTGAAGTGCAATCATCTCCCGCTTCTCTACTTGCCATTCGCACGAAGAAACCTCCTTGATCCCGTCAATTGACCGTTGCCAGGATTCTTGCTAAAATTAGAACTTGGCGTAATTTCCGTGCGCGGCTGTGCGTTCGATTGTTCTGAACACGTGCCGCAGTCAACAACGTACCGGTACGTACACTTCGTCCTCGACCGCGAATCGCAAGGACCCCGACAAATTTCTTAACGACAGTGCCTCTTTCATTTGCTTCAAAGGGGCGTCATACCATTAGGCAGCTGGTTCTGTCGCTATTTATATCCTTTCGGCCTTTCTCCTGAGCCTTAACGGTCGTTTCGATACATTCCTCCTCCTTTATTGCGGCGCAAGATCATTGCGGTTTCGAGAATGTCGGATTCAACCTCCAGCTTCATCTCGGCACCATACGTCCCTGCCGTGTTCAAACGCGCAGTGGATATCCCCGAGCTCATCAAGTACGCGAACGCAACAGGCTCAGGCGGCAAATTCGGTCTCAAATCGATTATTGCGTCCGTCATTACCTCGCTCGTAATTTCACTTCTCACACTTGTTGTTTTCTGTCTGTTGAGACCGAATCATACGGTGGTGTACGCGCCGAAACTCAAATATGCCGATGAGAAACACCAACCCCCGAGGGTTGATCGCGGGTTTTTCTCGTGGATTAAACCGCTTGTGCGGATGAAAGAAGGGGAGTTGCTTGAACGGTTGGGGTTGGATGCAGTTGTGTACCTCCGGACGCTTCGTATGCTGAGGTACATGTTCTCTGTGCTGGCTTTGATCGGATGCTGCATGCTCATTCCTGTCAATGTCATCATCAACCTCAAGTCCTCAACATTTGCTTCGTCGACTCTCTCTACAAACCCCCTCGCTCTACTCTCTATCGAGGGAATCTATGGCAAGTGGTTGGCTTTCCACATTGCCTGCGCATGGCTCTTCACCGCCATCGTCGCGTACTTCATCCACCGAAACTACGTCCAAGTACTTCGACTAAAGGGTACTTGGTTTAGAAGTATGGAATATCAAGCAGCATTATCGAGTCGAACATTAATGGTAACCGACATCCCCTCAAAATGGCGCAACGACGACGCATTCCGCCGTCTCGCCAATGAGATATCCGAGGGACAGGAATACGCCCAAGCCCGCATCGGCCGCGAAGTCAAAAATCTCCCCGACCTCATCGAGGATCACGAGCAAGCTGTACGGAAGTTGGAGAAGCTTTTGGCGAATTACCTCAAGAACCCGGATAAGTTGCCCAATAAACGGCCTACGACGAAAGATCCGAAAACGAAGGAGGTTGTTGATGCGATTGATTACTATACGGATCACATCGCTGCGCTGGAGGCGAAAATTGAGACGGTGCGGGAGTCGATTGATGAACATGGGACGAGGCAGTATGGTTTTGTTTCATATGCCGCGATTCCATACGCTCACGGAGTCGCGCGGAAACGCAAGAGGAAGTCGATTAAGGGCGCGTCTACGACACTCTGCCCTCCTCCACAAGATATTCTGTGGAAGAACCTCAACACACCCAAGCCGAAGCGGAGGACGAACAGGTTCGTCGGCGCTCTCCTGTTTTTCGCGCTGAGTGTGTTGTGGATCGTGCCTAACGCACTCATTGCCACTTTCATCTCAAATATCTATAACCTCGGCCTCGTATGGCCTGCGTTCCAGTCGCAGATATACCGCTACCCAACGTTCTGGGCAATCATGCAGGGTGTGCTGGCACCAATTATCCTAGCGATGTTTTTCATGCTCTTACCAAGTATCATGAGACGAATCAGTGTTTGGCAGGGCGATATGACCAAATCCTCAAGAGAGCGAAGCGTGATGAGTAAGTTGTACTTCTTTTTCGTCGTCAACAATTTGCTCATTTTCACTCTCTTTGGAACGGTGTGGAATTTGATCGCGGCGATTATCACGGCTGCGGCTAATCAGGATGGGACGAATGTGAGTATTTGGAGTGCAATCAAGGATTATCATTTGCTTGATAATGCTGCGGGTGCGGTTGTTGGTGTGAGTACGTTTTGGATTACGTACTTGGTGCAGCGGAATTTGTCGGTTATGTTGGATCTGGTACAGTTAGTCTCGCTTCTGATTCGGACGTTCAAGAAGAACTCGATGGCGCCGACGCCGAGGGAAATGATTGAGTGGACGGCGCCGCAGAATTTCGATTATGCGTCGTACTACAATGCGGCGTTGTTCTATGCTACCATCGGGTTGTCGTACGGACTCATTGCGCCCTTGGTGTTGCCGTTCGCCGTTATCGTGTTCTGGGTGAGTTCCTTCCTGTACAAGTACAACTTGATGTACGTCTCCCAAACGAAAATCGAGTCCGGTGGCCGCTACTGGCGCATGATGGTCAACCGCCTCATCTTTGCGTCCTGTTTCGCCAACGTGGTATTCTTCGCCATCGTGTGGGTACAGTACGACATTCTCAAAGCTGTTTACGTCGCCCCACTCCCATTCTTAATGGTCGGGTTCAAGTTGTACTTGACGTTCGTATTTGATTCGCAGTTCGATTATTACATCCCTGGAGGACCGAAGAAGGGTGTTGAGGTTGGTGCGATGCCGAGCCCGCCTATGGCGATCTACTCTGGCAAAGACCGTCTTGCTGAGCGTTTCGGTCACTCGAGTTTGCATCAGCCGTTGGCGAAGGTCATGGTGCATGCCAAGGCACAGCACTTGTTGCCATATGTCTACCAGGGTAAGAACGGACCAGCGCCAACGACGGGCATGCTGAATACTGGAGCTGCTCCAGCGACGTATGAGGTCGTTGCGGAGAACGAACTCGATTTCGGGAAGTACAAGGATCGTGCGGACTTTGCTGAATTCAGGCAGGATGATGGCGATATCGATGGTAGCCGGAAGAACGAGGAACCGTTCGATCTGGTGACCCAGACTGAGGGTATGCTCTCGCACCCGCACCCACCACAAGCCTACGACCCCGCATACTATCACGACCGAACACCAAGTCCGGGCGTCAACACTTTATACCCACAAGCCTACAACAACTCCGACTACTTCGGCAAAGTCCCCACGAACGGAAGCGGAATGGCGACCCCAGATGATAGATTCGAGATGCAGCCTGTTATGGCGGGTGGATACGTCGGTGCGGAGAATGATAGACAGGGCTTGTTGACGCAGGACACGGGATATTACCCACCGCGTGGACCACCGGCTAGACAAGCATCGTTTGCGTCTGCGGCGTCTGCTGGGATGGAAAGGACGGGGAGTGATAGGAGTAATGGGTATGGACAGGGGTATGATTATTATAGGCAGCCAAGACGATAAATTGGGGCACGAGGGATAGATTAAATACCTATCGGTTTAGGATTACGTATACGGACTTGGATAGCTATAGCTGTAGGTAGAACCAGATGAGGCGTTGCAATGGATTTTGGCTGACATATATACCGTTTATAAACATTTCTTTTGCAGCCTGTTCCCTGTCTTGTCGGTTTTGCTTCTTGTCTTGACCGCCGTGTGCCTCATGACTTTCATTCTAATTAAACGCTGAATTGATGAGGTTTTAAAGACGCGACAGCGTATGTATTTAGCAGATTCGCACGGTGGGTGCATCTTCGTTACAGCAGCTGTGACTTCGAATGCGAACCCCGGATTTACGCAAGCTCTTGGTGCACATCACCAGAGATCACTCAACAGAGTCCAACAATGGATCACCTTAAGGCACATACGAATTGCCCTCCCGCACCATACGTTTCTCTCTGTATGTACACCTTTTGCAGCTGCCTTGCAGTTGGACTGACCGTTGAGTGCAGCCCTCACCCACGTCTCCTACGACGCTTCAAGCCCGTACTCCCTCCCCCTCGCCTACCTAACCCTGACACCCCTCCTCCTCCTCATTATCTACTCCACCCTCTTCCTCTCTACCCGCCAATTCTTAATCCTGGTCGCCCTCGCCGGTCAGTTGGTAAATGAAGCCATCAACTATGTGTTGAAGAAGTTGTTGAAGGAGGCACGACCGGTTCTACCGGGGCTGGATGAGGCGGTTGGGAAGGGGTATGGGATGCCGAGTAGTCATTCGCAGTTTATGGGGTTTTGGGCAGGAGTTGTGGTTGTCGTGTTGTATGGGAAGTTGGGACATAGGTATACGGCTCCGCAACGGATCGCATTGAGTGTTGCTGCGGTGACGCTCTCAACCCTGGTCTGCGTTTCGAGGGTTGTGCTTGGGTATCATTCGATCAAGCAGGTTGTTGTTGGGAACTCGCTTGGGTATGTGTTGGCGAGCGTGTGGTGGTTTGCTGTGCAGGAGTTGCAACGGTGGGGAGTTTCGGGGTGGGTGTTGCAACTATGGCCAATGAAGCTAATGTATGTGAAGGATATGTTTGGAGAAGGTCCTGGTTTAAAGGAGGAGTGGCAGAGGTGGAGGGCAAGTGGGGCAAAGAAGGGTCAGTAGAGAGTGGTTCGGGAGACTCAGAAAGATTGCAAGAAGACACGGAGAACCTGAATGGACGTTTAAACACTCTATAATCAGCTAGATAGCTAGGATAGGACAAATGCCTACCTCGGCGTGGTCAGATGTCTTCCGAAGAGCATGCGACGGAGCTCACAAGGAGGAACTCGAAAGGCGGCCAGGCGCAACAGATACCGGTGAAAGATGATAGAACAGAACTTAGGATCAGAGCCCCTATAAACGTCTTTCTCGGGTCATCGTCTTCCATTCGCTTCCATACCAGTCTGCCCAGAACGAGTCACGAGCCTCTCACTGCCCTGTATTCGAGGACGACATCTACAGCTCGCAGCTCCGCAAAGACGATGAAATCTATCATTTTAAACGCATACAACGTTTGAAACACCAGCCTAACCAAGAGACGCGGCCTCTTGAGTCTATCGTATAACATATCCGTCCGAATCCCGATGCTCCTTGCCAGCAAAATAACATTAAACACCAATAACGCCGGAAAGCTTCACAAACACACACAAACACACTCATCACTCCATTGTCCAACTCAGCAGCCATCTACGGGCTTTCCAACTCATAAGGACTTTCCACCTTGCTGTCAGGTTTTATTAAGTCATCGTTCGAGTCCGCCAATTCCCCTGATGTGCCGCCCCCGTTCGCGGGGGTTTCGCCGTCAGATGCGACATGAATTTTCGGGCTTATTAGACTTTGGACCGAATCTGCGGTGATGGGTCGCTCGGTCTCGGTGACTGTACTCTCCGACGCTCCATTTGTTTCGGGTTTCGCAATGGACTCAGGATCTGCCTCTGTAGTCGGTGTCACCTCCTGATTAGGCTCCTCAGTCTTCATCCTCTTCATTGAACCCGCATCAGACTGCGATTCCTCCCCCTCCCTTCCCCTCTTCACCCCATTCGCACCACTCTCACTCCACTGACTTTGACTCGCCGGTGTACCCGTCCCACTCGCGGTAACGATGTGTCCCTCCTCCGTCGGATCATGCGCAACATACTTCTGCCTTCCCGGAATCTTCGAATACAAATCCGCCATCGTCTCACACGCGTCCCTAATTTCCTCAATACTCGCATCCACCAACTCATACCACTTCTTCCCCCCATGCTCCCTTGGAATCATCAGTTCCGCCTTCGTATATCTCCATGCAAAGTAGAATGCCGCGGCTGCGATGGCATTTGGACGGTAACGGAGGGAAAGGGTGGTGCGGAAAGAATCGTTGATGAATACCCATGCGGATTGGCTTAGTTCCTTTGAGCCGCTGAAGAGTTTGCAGAGGTCCATGATAAGCATGTAGGGATGTGGAATCGTTAGGTCGAAACAGAGGGCTGTGAGCATTCGGGTCTCGTGGAGCATGATCTGATCCTGCCATTTCCAGAATTCTTTTGTGTATTCGTCGACTTCGGCCTGGTCGTTCTTTTGTGCGACGCGGACGATACAGATAATGAAATCCTTCAATTTCCTGTGCGATTCTTCGACTTTCATGGCAACGAAGAGCGCGGTGGCTCCAATCTCGTAATAATGATTCGTCTTCAAAGAATGGCGCATATAAAACCGGTGTAAGAAGACGCAAGCTGTGCTCACCGTAACCTGTGGCAACTTCAACAATGACGCGACGTTAATAATGAACGAAACGCCCTTTGCTCGCTGCCATTCTTCTTGGTCGAGGGTGATGCCGTCGAGGGCGGAGGGGGTTAGTTTGAAGTCCTCTTTCTGGAAGTACCATTGTGAGGCACTCGCGAAATTTGAGGAAGACATCGCCAATTGCTGGGTAGTTTAGTGCCGGAGAGGCTGGTGCGAAGTGTTTGGTGTTTGGTGTTTGAGATGAGAGTACGAGACTACGTTACCGTGCATGAGCCGAATTGGGCCAGCGTACAAAGCAGCTCCAGTCAGCTGAAGAGAGGATTCGAATGCTCGAAAGATCACGGTTGTATGCGGTATGAAGTGTATCATTGTATATCCACAAAGGCGTGTCTCTACCGCTTAAAGATGCCCATCAATCTTCGATCATATACCAGCATGAAATAGACCCAAAAACTAGAACCAAAATTGCGATAAAGCAGACCCACCGAACCTTACTTCTCTTTTTGCCCATCGTATCTCCTCTTCGTTCACCTCTCACATTAACCATGCGTCGCTTCGCTCCTCATCGCTTACACCAACCCAACCAACTTGGAGCCAATGGCCAACTGCGTCCTCACCGTCTCCGCCAGATAAACAACCATCAACACATCCTGCAAATGGCTATTGAACATCTTCTCCACCTCCGTCTCATCCAACTTCGGCGCTTGACTCAACGTATCCATCAAAAATCGTCCAACAGCATTATTCGCTCTCTCGCTTCCACTAAGCACACGGCTGACGTAGGCGGAGACACGGTCGATCATGGAGAGGACTTCGGTGATAGAGCGCTCGAGGGCGGAGATATCGGAGGTTGGGATCGCAGTGCGCGTGCTGGAAGCCTTGGCTGATGCAATGACCTCCAATCCAGTTCTCTCGGCATCCCCGTACCTCACCTCCGACGCGACAGGGACGAAGAGACACGAGTCCGCCGCACGCTCGGGGGTGATACCGACAACACTCGAAACATACGTCTCAACAGCCATCTCCTTCCCCGCCTTAGTAGACATCGTCAAATGAACACAAGGCCCGGAGGGAATTTCGGAAGCGTAGAAATTCTGGATGAGGGCGGAGAAGGCGTTGAGGGAGGGGTGGGTGGCGTACCATCCGACCAGGACTTCTTTTGGGTTTGCGCGTTGGTGGAGGGCGTACATCGTCTTGTGATACTCCATGTCGACCTCAACCTGTTCATCCTCCTAATTAGCATTCAATTGTTAACCTTGAAGGGGCAGGGTGCGTACCTGCTCGGATGATTCGTTATGCGGCACAGCAAAACAGTTCCTGATCTCGACCTCTGTACCATCTTCGCTCCTGACACCCAACAAAGTTCCAATCACTCTCTCCTGTGAATCGGCGGGGCGACGGAGGGCGTGGTCGAGGATGGAGAACATCACCAAAGGATCAACCACAACCTTGAGGGGGACATTGGAGCCCAGGGTGGGGCGGGCGAGGGTGAGGGCTGGCATTATGGGTGGTGTTTGGAGGTGTATGCTCTGGAGGTGAGTTTGGATGTGTATGCGCTGCCTGCAGTCTTTTCGAACAAGGTGGTGCGGCAGTCAGGGGTGTGGATGCAGGCCGTGCTGGTACAATGCCTGGGAAGGTAAAATGTTGAGTATTTGACTTGATGAACGATTTCTTGCAAGGTAATCCTCTTGTAGACTGGCTTTTCATTGTGGCTTCTATCTTGGTTGAGCGCTGCGTGGGGGAATCACCGATCCAGGAATCAGGTAGGTAACTGCTTGAATTGAACACTATTCATTCCTCCATATGCTTTTGAATCTTTGCGCTTCGTAACACGCTCCTTGGCCAATGCTCGATGACAATCATGATCTATACACCTTCCACACCCCTAGTCCGCGGATTCACCCTAGATCATGCCTGATTGACAGTCTCTCCCTCAGGCTGAACAACAGCCACAAACTCAATAACATCCCTCACCGTATCCTCACTACCAACCGCCACCTTAACCGCAGCCTTGCCGATCTCTCTCACCCTATCCACCTCCTTCCCATTCACAAAGAACGAGACATCATGTTCGCTGACGACGGCATCCGTCAACGCCATAATCTCCGCCACCACATCCTTCGCGGTTACAGAACCGTGGATAGGGCCAATCCTAGACTCAGAGTTGACGGTTCGACGATGGAAAACGAGTTCAGATCCCGATTTCTCCCTCAACACCTCCAAATCCCTGATCCTCCTCTCTCTCTCCCATTCCTCCTTCTTCGCCGCCCGCTCTGCGTCCTCCATCTCCAGCCTCTCATTCTGCCTCCTCTCCCGCTCCTCAAATCTCTTCGCATCATACGGCAACGGTTGGCCGTGAACCAGATACGCGGCTTGACCCTGGGGGAAGAGAACTTGGCGCATGCGGCCGGGTGGAACTTTGACGATGGAGCCGGCGGCGCCAAGGGTTGGATGGGGGGCAATGAGTTGGACTTGGAGGAGTTTTTCTTTTTTGACAGCGGTGGGGGCAGTTGTAGAGAAGGTCCGGTGTTGCTACGATCTCGTTAGCCCAGCCCACACAACCGCAACCCCAAGCAGCGGTGAAGACGACATACCGAACGGGTATTAAGCCGTCTTAGCGGCGCAAAAAGTGATCTCGAAGCCATCTTATCAAGCTTCGTCTGTTTTCTTTTCTTGATTTTTGGAGTTCACCTCGAAATCTCGAAGCCCACTCATATTTGAACCTGCATGATGCTAACCCCACTCTGGCACTCGGTCTGACCTGCACATGTCTACGTTACCTATACCCCAAATTCCCACCTACGACACATGCACCTCAATTTCGGACCCGAAGAGCGACTATACCTCCAGCGAGCAGCATACGGGACTGCTGCCTTGGCTGGAGCATATGTTATCCTACCGGCTCTCCTGACAAAAGGAGGAAGAGGAGGGAGCGGGGGTGTAGAGGGGGAGGGGGTGTGGGTACATGGGTTGTATAATCCGATGAATGATTGTTTTATCAATTCTGTTGTGCAGGTATTCACTTCTCAGGGCAATGGTGGGAGTGTAGGCTGATTGGGGAGGGATAGTGTTTGGCGGGACTCCCGTCGTTACGGCTGTATTTGAGGAAGGTGCTGGAAACTCCGACACAGCCGGAACGGCGTCGATTGACGGCAGCGCTACTGGAGCTCCTCACACGTATGTAAGAATCTCCATGCGAAGTTGCAGAGTCTGATTTGACTGTGTATAGTGCTCAATACGCCATTGCGCCGCCGTCAGTCGTCCTCAGCCCGCTCCTTCGTCACAATCCTCGGCGACATACATAACTCCACTATCTCCCGAAACCAACAAGTAAGTGTCAACTTCTCCCCTCTTCTTGCCAACACTCACTAACTTTATACCCTCAGGACGCCCAAGAGTTCTTGAACTTGATCACTGAGACGCTGCTTACGGAATGGTCGGCTCCATTGTTGACAGCGCCCAGATTTTACCTCCCTTCCCCTACCGCCCGTTCCTTCACTGATGCCCCTCGTGGTCTTCTCCACTGGCTACGCTCCCGGGACTCCAACATACTCTTTGGTGTGAAGGACCTCTCCCACACCTGCCGACGCTGCAAACACACCACAAAAACTCGGGAAGAGGCATTCACGCAACTCTCGCTACCAGTCCCAACGACGTATGACGCTAGTTTAGAGGAGTGTCTAAGGGGTGTCTGGGCGGATGAGCCCATCGAAGGATACTCCTGCACCCACTGCGCCCTTCTCAGCGCATACCACACACTCCTCCGCACAGTAAAGGGGACCAGTACACCATCGGCGTACCATACGGCGCAATTGGAGGCTCTCAGGGAGGCAGCGGGACGGCAGATGGACGAGTTTGAGGAGGAGGGGGTTAGGGAGAAGTTTAGGTTGAGGAGGGTGGAGAGCGTTATTGATCGACATACAAGGCTTCTGAGGGCGCCGGGTGTCTTGGTTGTTCACCTTAACCGGAGCGTCTATCTCCCTAACGGGGATACGGCGCGGAACCCGTGTCACGTATCCTTTTGCGAGAAACTTTCTGTGGGAGGAGTGAAGTACAGGTTGAGAAGTTTGATTACGCATACGGGTTCTCACAGTTTCGGGCACTTTATTGCATGGAGAAGAGTGGAGGGGGATGAGAAGCAGTGGTGGAGGATGAGTGATGAGGATGTGAAGAGGGTTGGGTGGGGGGAGGTTAGGCGGCAGACGAGGGGGGTTTATTTGCTGATGTATGAGAGGGAGGAGAAGAAAGCGGCAAGTGATTTGGGGAGGGTGGATTGAGTCGATTTACAGAAAGTACGAGAACGGGCACGATTGGAGTTTCCGCACGATGACGGTGAGATCCTCCGCGTGAGCTCAATTGCCGTCTGCCCGATCGGATATTGTCTACCGTTCGGCTACGTGCAACAGCGAATTCTTCCGAGTCTTCGTTACATTCCGTTTGCTCCCGATCAAAATGAACACCCAGCTCATTTCCAAAAGTGGGGACGCGGCCAAACGGGACTGTGAACGACTCGTGTGACCTACCAGAGCCCGGAAGCACCCGATTTCTGAGGCCGCTTCGGAGGATCCTCGGCTCGAATTCAAGCTTAAACCACGTATCTTTTGTACGTCTACGGTTCGCTAAAAGGCCGGATAGGTTTAATTGGTTATGTCACGTTCCGAGTTTAGCGTTTCCTATTCGTTCATGCCAGTTTCCGTGATGCGTAGCGTCAAGCCTGTTGCGCTGCTATCGTACAAAATCTGCGCAGCCCCCAGCCAGTCTGACCTTCTCCTCCAACCAAACACATAACAAATCTACAAATCAATATGGGTATCCTCGACGTATGTCTCCTCCCGTTTGTCTTTCGTGAGGGCAATTGACTAATGAGTGCTGGGTCAGATTGTTCCCGCTGGCGTCATCGTCGGTGAAGACGTCCGCAAGCTCTTCAAGTATGCTCAGGAGCACAACTTCGCCATCCCCGCCATGAACTGTACCTCTTCCTCCACCGTCGTTGCCTGTCTCGAGGCCGCTCGTGATGCCAAGTCTCCCGTCATCATCCAGGTTTCCCAGGGTGGTGCCGCTTACTTCGCCGGTAAGGGTGTCGACAACAAGAACCAGGAGGCCTCCATCAAGGGTGCCATCGCTGCCGCTCACTTCGTCCGCACCATCGCCCCCGTCTACGGTATCCCCGTTGTCATGCACACCGACCACTGTGCCGCTAAGCTCTTGCCCTGGTTGGACGGTATGCTCGACGAGGATGAACGTTACTTCAAGGAGCACGGTTACCCCCTCTTCTCCTCTCACATGATTGACTTGTCCGAGGAGCCCAAGGAGGAGAACATCGCTACCACCAAGAAGTACCTCCAGCGTGCTGCCCCCATGAAGCAGTGGCTCGAGATGGAGATCGGTATCACCGGTGGTGAGGAGGACGGTGTCAACAACGAGGACGTCGACAACTCTCTCCTCTACACCCAGCCCGAGGACATCTGGGATGTCCAGCGCGAGTTGTCTGAGGTCTCCCCTTACTTCTCCATCGCTGCCGCTTTCGGTAACGTCCACGGTGTTTACAAGCCCGGAAACGTCAAGCTCCAGCCCGAGCTTTTGGGCAAGCACCAGGCCTACGTCAAGGAGCAGTTGAAGACCGAGGACGACAAGCCCGTCTTCCTCGTCTTCCACGGTGGATCCGGTTCCTCCAAGGAGGAGTACCAGACGGCCATCTCCTTCGGAACTGTCAAGTGTAACTTGGACACCGACATGCAGTTCGCTTACTTGAAGGGTATGCGCGATTACATCCTTGAGAAGAAGGACTACCTCATGACTCAAGTCGGTAACCCCGACGGTGAGGACAAGCCCAACAAGAAGTACTTCGACCCCCGTGTCTGGGTTCGTGAGGGTGAGAAGACCATGTCTGCTCGTGTCAAGGTTGCCTTCGAGGACTTTAACTGCGTTAACGTTCTCTAAATGGGATGTTGTAAGATTTTGGACTGAATGAAGTTTCTTTAAGGAGGTAAAAGTTATATGTTAGCAGTACGTTAAGTTGAGTTGTTAGGTTGGTCTCTGCGAGACGACCACAGTTAAGTGAGGAGTACGGTGTAATGATATTTTTTCCGAGCGCGATTCCTCGTTTAATGGTCTTTCTTTTACACGCCTGTGACCAGCCATCCGGCTTTCTTTGTGTTCGACCTGGGGTTGACATCGGACGACATCGTCGACGTTCGCGGATAGCCGTGTAGTAATGGGGTGTGCGCCTACTGGCTTCCATACAGTTTGCATCGAGTGTTGGAGGACCCGGCCAATCTAGTTCTGCAAAACCCAGCTTGCCCGAACACTTTCACGGTGTACGGCGTGCACATGTCCGAAGACTTTCCCACGACCGTGACATACCGCCCTCACTCCCCTTTTAAAGCAAAAGCCAAATAAAGTTCAATTACCGCACTACAACGACATATCGTACATCTTCGTCCCATATCTTACTCAGCCTTAGCCTTACTTCTAGTCCTCGTACTCGGCGCATCCCCAGTAACCTCTTCGTTGCCCGAGGCCTTTGAGCCACGACGAGAAGAGGGCTTCTTGGCAGTTGCGTCAGATTTCTTGTTAGAAGAACCGCCCTTCTTGCCCGCAGCGACCTTCTGGGGGTCCTTGCCCTCGCCGTTGTCGGCCTCTGCGTCCTCATCGGCGTCGGCGTCAGCGTCCTCGAGCTCCTCGTCCTCGTCGTCGTCCTTGGACTTGGACTTCTTGTTGGTCGCAGAAGAACGCGCAGCACCCTTCTGTCCAGCCTCGGATTTGGAGGAGGTATTGGCTTTCTTAATGGTTTTGCCGGTGTCTTCTTCGGCGTCGGCTTGTTCGGTTTCGGTGTCGTCAGTTTGGTCCTTTTTGCGCTTGTCGCCGATTTCTGGCTCCTCCTCTTCCCTATCCTTCCTGTCCGCCTCCTTGTCGTCGGCAGAGTCGGCTTTCACGTCTTTTCCGTCCTTAACCTCCGTCTCGCCTTCTCCAAGGACCTCCAACTCACTGGCCCGCTTAACGACATCATTCCCATTCTCGCGCTCGACGTGAACGGCGGGGTTGTCGTCTGATCCCTTCTTGTGGATCTTGTTGCCTTTCTGGGAGGTAATTGTGAGACCGTCGGGGTCGGTGGAGACTTCAGCGACGGTGCCGGAGGGGTGGCCGGAGCCCCACTTCCAAGCGACGTCGTCGCCTTCTTTAATGTCTGAGCGCAAGCATTAGAACATGCGATTCGTCACGTATCGGGGGAGAGCAGGATCAATACCGGGAACGTTGCCGTTTGTCATGATGGTGGTGAATATTATGTAGGTGTGGGAATTTGGGGGTCTACGGGGGATGTGGGCGACGGGGCCTTCTTATGTGCTCTCAGCGATGCCCCGCTTTGATCTGTGGGATGGATGGGCTCAGATGTCGCGACATGCGAGAACGGGACTGGACTGGACGTTCAGGGTAAGGTGGCACATGGGGGGTGCTCCTCGGCGGGTCGCGCAATGATGTAACGACCATGGAAGGGAAGATCATTGCCGTCCGTGAAGAAATTGAAGATGAGTGGGAGGGATGCAGACGATGTAGATGCAAAATAAATGAATCTCGAGTGCGACAGGTAGGCAGGAGGACCGGGAGAAATGGACGGGTGGAAAGAACACATGTGATCACCCGCCCCCGAGAATATACATATATGTGAAATTCTCGTATTTCACCGAACAATCCCTTTAGTTGCGCATTGTTTTCCCTGCCTGTCCTCGTTTTGTCGCTGTTGTCAAGATATCGGGTGACCTCATATCTGCGGGCTTCCAACCGTTACAACCAACATCATCAGTGAATTACTCACGACAGCAACCAGTTCAACAACCCTTCTACAAAGCTTCAGTTATATCCAACCTTGTATTAGCACAATATACATCTAGACATGCTTTCTCGCATCCAGCGACACTTCAGCACAACCTCCAATGCCGGCAAGTCCGTATTCTCCGCGCTACAATCCTTCGTCGCCTCCCTCGACCCCGTTCTTCCAGAGCCTCTCCCAGCAAAGGAAGAGCAGCAAGTACGGCACCTCGCCAAAAGCGCTTTCCTGTGCGCTCTGGAGACCGTTGGAGAGGCGCCTAAGCAGGCTACGCATGATCACTTCTCCTCTGTTTTCCAGAAGAGCATATTCGGCGGTGCAGAGTCGGCTGAAAGGGTAGCCAAGGAGAAGAAGGCTGTATATGAAGATAACGTTCGAAGGATCTTGGCCGGAGATGCTGTGAAAGAGACGCAGCGCGTGTTGAAGGAAGGGACGTTTTCCATGAAGTTGTTGCCGACTATTATGGGACATGAGAAACTACGTGAAAAAGTCCAACTTAAGGAAATTCTGCAGTCTATGAGGCAGCGTGGATTCTTGCCTGAAGACACAGCGTCTGATGCGGTGTTGGTGTTGAACAAAATCTTTCAGCTACAATCCGGAGTTCCGAAGTACGCTGCATCATCTATTCGGCGTCATGCGTTACAGTGGATGAGTGAAGGTTCAGCGCCTGGCTTGGCCGTTTTGGTACGCTGTGCGTGCAGGAAGAACGGAGTGTCTGTTGGTTTCGAGATGTTCAAGGATATCTTGTCAAGGACGATCGGCGGTAACGCGCGTGTAGTCTTGACAGCGATGTTGGCAGAGTGTCGAGCGAGTGGAGATCGAGATACTGCATGGGATGCACTTTCTCTCTGGGGCGAGGAACTTGATCGTTTTGGACTTGAACGTCGAGTTAGCGGTATCTCGCCGTTGTTGAACGCGCAGCTGGCGAGGTGGTTTGTTGAATCGGGGCGAAATTGTGATGTGGATAGGGCATGGAGGTTGATCAAGAATGCTACTAGTCATCCGTCGAGGACTCCGGCGGTTTCGATCGTGACGGTCGGAACTTTAGTCGATATTGCCAAGGCATATGCGGCGCACGGGGATTACGAAAAGGCAGAGGAGGTTTATCATGGCATGAAATCCTCATGGGCGCTACACGTGGATCGGAAGATTTTGAAGGATTTGAGGTACTTACTTGACAGACAGGAACTGAAGTCCTTACTTGACGGACCTCGGGTGGCTGGACTTTACAGCGGTCTTGGGTCAGCACTGGCCCCGGCCGTGTGAATGTAAGGTCACAGGGTCGGGCCGTCATGGGTAATCGGTGTTTGGCGTTTTTGTTTGCAAATAGTTTCCAGTTACTGTTGCAATGGTCTTTCTTTTGTCAGATCTCTTTTCCAGTTCTATGCTCTGGGTGACGCTCCGCCGTTCTCCCGTGCTAGTACACATCCGTACACGCTCGGCCCTGACTGCTTCTCCGACCTCGATCAAGAGACGAATCGAATCGACCATCCTCCCAATTGCATTTGAAAAACTCGAAAGAGCTTCGTGAATAGCAGCTATCCTTCGAGCAAGAGAACCGATTAATCTCCTTTCGCAAGAAACCCCATCTTCTACAACCCCTACACAAATGTCTACAGAATTCCAACGTCCGCGAAGGACCGGGGCTGGACAACAGTCCTCCCGCAGATCAATTCCTCAGCAAGATTCCGCCGTCTCCGCGTCGAATAATGCTGGAGATTCGGAAGAGCTTCGCGCGCTCAAGAAGCAATATGCCGGATCCTTGGCGACGTTGCAGGAGCTGTTCCCGGATTGGACCGAGGACGATTTGGTGTTCGTGTTGCAGGAGGCCGGAGGTGACTTGGAGTTGGCGATCGAGAGGATCTCTGAGGGTATGCGCTCTTTTTTTCTGTACCGACGCGTGAGACCAGTGGTGCTAACACGTCTGTTGTACAGGTAAAGCTACTAGGTGGGGAGAGGTGAAGAAGAAGGCCCCTAAGGAGAAGGGCGCGAAGCAGCCCAAGACTTTTGAGCAGAAGCAGCCATTCGAGGCTCAGACTTTCCAGCGTGGTGAGCGTGGCGCCCGCGGTGGTCGCGGTGGTGCTGCACGCGGTGGCCGAGGCGGTCGCGGTGGTGTGTTCACTGGACGTCCTCGTTCCGCTGGTGCTGAGCAGGCTGCTACCACTACTCCTGTCGCTCCTGTTGCCATTTCTACCGAGCCTACAGCTTGGGAGACCGAGGCTTCCCCTGCTGCTGAGCCGCGTCCTACTTCTTCTGGTACTGCTGCATGGGGTACCCCCGCACCTGCTGCTGCTACTGAGACCAAGTCAGTTGGCTGGGATGAGACTGTCCCTGCTGCTGTTGACACTCACTCTGCTGGTGGCTGGTCCGACGCCGCGACCAAGGCTTCGTCGGTTACCGGTGCCGTTGAGGAGGCTCCTGTTACTAATGGCAGCTCTGCCGCTGCCGCTCCCCAGAAGTCCAGACTCATTCAGCCTGGATCTGCTTTCTCTTGGGCTTCTATCGTCAAGCCCGTCGAGAAGCCTCAGCCTAAGCCCGCACTTAAGGAGCCCCCCCCGGTTGCACCCGCCGAGACCACCACTACTAACCCCCAGCCCTCCGTTCCTTTGACTCAGGCCATCTCTGTTCCTCCCGCCGAGTTGATCTCTGAGGAGGTCGAGACCAAGGAGGAGATCCCTGTTGTCGAGGAGAAGCAGGAGACTCCCGCTGAGTCTAGCCCCACCCCTCTTACTACCGCCAACCTCGAGTCCGTCTCCCAGGACGCTTCCATCCCCGAGCCCGCTACCACCGTCGCCTCTACCGTCGAGTCTACCCCTGCTGCTTCCCGCCCTAGCAGCAAGGACCTTGGACCCCCCGGCCTCACCAAGGTTGCCACTCCCCGTGCTGCCGCTCGCAGGCTTAACCAGGACGCTCCTGTCGTTATGCCCTCTTCCTCTACTCCTTCCGCTATCGAGCGTGCTGGTGTTCAGTTCGGTTCTCTGAACTTGAACTCTGGTGACGACGAGATCGTCGAGAAGGAGGAGGCTGCCCCTGCTCCTATCGCCGCTGAGGCTTCCCAGAGCCCCGCTCAGACCACTCCTGCTGCCGAGAACCCTCTCGCTGCTCAGGAGGCTGCTTACGCCCGTCTTGCTGGTGATGCCCAGCAGGCTTCCGTTGCCCAGACTGGTTTGACTGGCTTGAACGCCCAGTCCCAGCGCTTCCCCACTCAGGCACAGAAGGAGCAGCCCGCTCAGGCCGCTGCCACTTCCTACGATGCCTTCGGTCAGTCCCCTTACGGTGGCTTCTTGCCTTCCCAGCACCAGGCTCCTGGTGCCTACGGCGGCTTCGGTGGCCTTCACGGTGACTACAGCCAGGGCTTGTACGGCTCTGATGCTCAGCGTGCTGCCGCCATGGGTTACTACGACCCCTCCCTCTACTCCCAGACTCAGTCCCCTGCTGCCTCCACCGCTCAGCAGTCTACCCGCCCTGGTGAGGCTTCCTCCCGCTTCGGTGCCAACACCTCCGCCGACTCCACCCCCGCTACTACCGCTCACGCCTCCATGGCTACTCCCTCCCAGATGCCTGGTGCTACCCCCAGTCCTGCCATCCCTGGAGCTCACGCTGCCCAGCCCGGTGCTCACGCCGGTTACCCTATGCACCCTTACTACAACCCCTACGCCGCTTACTACATGAACCAGGGTTTCGGCTACCAGGGTTACGGTCAGCCTGCTTTCGGTAAGCAGCAGCAGCTCTACGGACAGCCTCAGGGCTTCATGTCCCCCTACGGTGGTCAGGACGCCGCTTCCCCCGCCAGTCTCGGTGGTTTCGGAGCTCAGCAGCGTTCCTCTGACTACGGCCGCCAGCAGTCTTCCCAGCAGTCTTTCGGTGGTGACTTCTTGAGGCAGGGTCAGCAGGGCCAGCAACAGGGTCAGCAACAGCAGGGCCAGCAGCAGGAGCAGCAGCAGCAGAACTCCTGGGGAACTCCTTCCCAGCAGGCCTCTACTCCCTTGGCCCAGACTCAGCGCCCCGCTCAGGCCCAGGGTCAGCAGTTCGGCCAGCAGTACGGTGCCCAGCAGGGCCAGCAGAACCAGGCTTCCCAGGCCTACGCTGGCTACACCCAGCAGCCTTTCGGTGGTCGCGCCGGTGGTTACCAGTCCCAGGCCGGTGGCTGGGGTGCCTACGGCCACTGAGCGAGTACATTACTAGAACGTTTATGTACGAAGATGATGTCTGTTTGATTATGGAAAAGAATAGTTAGTGCGGGATAAGCTACTTTTGCTTGATGTTTTCAAATTATCGGAGGGGTTTGTTTTGTTTTCTCTACTTACACATTTCTTTTTTTTTGTCTTGTGGGCTTGCTTCGAGGTCAAGCGTTTCTTGGTCGGACGTTAGTGACTAAGAGGGAGCTGAAAACGTCTACTAGGATAATCTAGGGACGGTAATACATTCGTACAAACATTTCGGCGCACATTCTGCTCTCCTTCAATCTTGTATATGACTTCCGGTTGCCAAGATGACTGGGCCCGGGGGATAAGGTCGTGGGAATTACGCTTGACTTACGATCTGCACCCTCCACGACTGGGCCAGCATCAAGCAAGATAAACAACCCAGTCATCGAATCCCAACCCCGCCTCCACTTGGCCATTGCTTCTCCTCGTCCGCTGTCATCTTTCCTTCAGATAGTTAGCTTATAAGAGCTCCAGTATCTTGGTATACAGTTCCATTTCCATCTAACTGTTGCCACAAGGCTTCGCCAAATGCCATATGCGTTCGATCATTATACATTGATTTGATTATCCAGGCTTCAAGCGTCACTTTCACGCCGGCATAACCCTTCTTTGTAGAGAAGAAAGCAATTTCATCACACAGCAACGATACCTCTGAACCGTGAGAATCAAGGGTGTAGCACTTGCCTTGATGTAATCCTGCACGATTTCGGTCGAAGTGCTTTGAGTGGTGGACAAATGATATGACGGGCGACAACCTGAGTCAACACAAGGGTTGAATTAAGAGCGGTCGGCACCGCGGCGAGCAAGAACAATGGACGGGAAACGGAAGAACAGGCAGGTATCACCGCAAGCGGAACAGTAGTAGCTCTCGAGTAATACATCATCATATTGGTCTTATCTTGAGATATCCCATCATATCATACACCCATCGATCAACTTCACACGCTTTTCAGACGCTTAATGAAACTGCGCACGATGATATTGATTCGGCCATTTCACCTCAACCCCCAACTCATGCGCACACCTCAACACAAAACTCGGATCCCTCAAGAACTCCCTCGCAACAAACACCACATCCGCCTCCTCCTTCTCTACCACGTCCCTCGCCATCTCACTCGTCACGATGAGTCCGACTGCTCCGACCAAGAGTCCAGGCACGGCTTTCTTGATAGCTGTGGCGAAGGGGACCTGGAAGCCGGGATGGGCATTGATCTGTTGGGCGCAGTGGTTCCCGCCGGAGGAGACGTCGAGGAGGTCGATGCCGATGGAGTGGAGGCGTTTGGCGAGTTCGATCGATTGGTCGAGGTCCCAGCCTTTTCCGGGCTCGAGCCAGTCAGTTGCCGAGACGCGGTAGAACAAGGGCGTTTCAGCCGGAATGGCAGCCTTGACCGCCTCGCAGATCTCGAGCGAGAGACGGATGCGATTGTCGAAGGAACCGCCGTATTGGTCGGTACGGTGGTTGGTTGCGGGGGACACAAATTCGTGGAGGAGGTATCCGTGAGCGCCATGGATCTCGATGACTTGGACACCGGCTTTAATTGCGCGCTTGGCGGTTACGACGAAGGCTTGCTTGATCTTCTCGATGTCGTCGAGTGACATCTCCTTGGGCGTAGCATGGTTCTCGTCCCACGCCTCGGCAGAGGGAGCAATGACGTCCTTCGCAAAACCCTGTCCCTCACCTTCAGGCGCAACAGCCGTTCCCAACCAAGGAGCAAGGGTAGATCCCTTACGACCCGCGTGGGCAATCTGCATCCCAACAACCTGTCCCTGACTCTTCACAAAATCCGCAACCTTCTTGACCCCCGCAATCTGCTCATCCTTCCACAATCCTACATCCTGGGGCGTAATCCTCCCCTCGGGCGTAACCGCCGTCGCCTCAATCATCGTAAATCCCGGTCCACGCATGGCGATTGCGCCGAGGTGGACAAGATGGTAGTCTGTCATGTGTCCGTCGTCGGCGGAGTATTGACACATTGGGGAGACCCAGAAGCGGTTGTTGAAGGTTGTGTTTTTGATTTTGAGGGGTTTGAAGAGAGTTGGGCAGGGCTTGCCGGGGGTTGGGAGGAAGGTTCCAGCGGGGGGTTCTTGGGCCGGGGTGTAGTAGGGTGTGTTTGGGGCGGCTTTGTTGATTGTAGTCATTTTTCTGGGATGGATCAGATGGATATGGAGGTGCGGTAGGAGCAACAGCAAGGGAGCCCGAGGAAGTGCTTTTGTACGGCCTGTGGGTATTGCGGGGTATTAGCGCTTAGTCATGATACCCGACGGAGGAGGAATGACGCGATTTATCTCGAGTTTAGGCAGATCACGGAAAGAACCTTCTATGATTCTTTCCCTCGAGGAGGGTCTCACGGTTGTGCTTCATGGGCAGATCAGATGCTGTCCGCGTCAATCCTTAACAGTACTAGTCATCGAGGAGGCATGAGCTCTGATCCATGCCAAATCATGAGCAGCCCAAGATTTGGAGTGCGATTTGAGTTCCGCAACCTTCTCAACAAGACAAGGGCAAAGATCGAGGCCGAGGAAAAATCCCCCAAGCTTCCCGTGTCTGTGATTGCGGGTCGGGAAGGTTCGCAAAGTACCGCACGGATCCCTCATGATCACGTCGTAAACACCGCAGATGACCCCCAACAAACATTTCCTGAACTTCCTTATGAATAGTCGATGTATCGTACCCCCTCCCACTGCAATTGACCATCCTCGGATTTTCTCACACTGCTGCGTCATCGGCTGAGGTTCGCGTGGGGTGCCAGAAATACGCTCGCCCAAAGGAACTCTAAAGAATCACCATCCTCAACACAACCCCCCCTCCTCCAAATACCCAAGTAAGTCGAGTCAATCCGCTCAATTACCAAGGGATCAGTCCAATTGACACATCAACCAGATAAAAATGCAAATTAAGACTGTTCAGACTACCCCATTTGAGGGCCAAAAGCCCGGTACCTCCGGTCTCCGCAAGAAGGTCAAGGTCTTCCAACAAGAACACTACTCCGAGAACTTCATCCAAGCAATTCTCGACGCAATCCCCGAAGGCGCTCAGGGCGCTACCCTCGTCATCGGTGGTGACGGCCGTTACTACAACCCCGAAGTTGTCCAGAAGATCGCAAAGATTGGTGCCGCGAACGGTGTCTACAAGTTGATTATCGGACACAAGGGTATTCTCTCTACTCCCGCGGCGTCCCATGTTATTCGCAAGTACAAGGCTACTGGTGGCATTCTCCTTACTGCCTCCCACAACCCCGGAGGCCCCGACAATGATTTCGGTATCAAATATAACTTGTCCAACGGAGCGCCGGCACCCGAGCAAGTCACCAACAAGATCTTCGCTATCACCAAGGATATCAAGGAGTACAGGATTGCTGATATCCCCGACGTCGACCTCTCCTCCATTGGCGAGCAAACCGTCGGCGACCTCAAGGTTCAGGTCATCGACTCCTGCAACGACTACGTCCAGTTCATGAAGGAGATCTTCGATTTCGACTTGATGAAGGAGTTCTTGCAGAAGGACAAGGACTTCAAGCTCGTATTCGATGCCTTGAGCGGTGTCACTGGACCTTACGCTACCAGAATCTTCGTCAACGAACTCGGTATCGACGAGAAGTACTGCCAGAACTGCATCCCCCTTCCCGACTTCGGCGGTCACCACCCCGACCCTAACCTTACCTACGCACACTCCCTCGTCGAGCGTGTCGACAAGGAAAACATTCCCTTCGGAGCTGCTTCCGATGGTGATGGTGACCGTAACATGATCTACGGAGCTAACGCTTTCGTTTCGCCCGGTGACTCCGTCGCCATCATTGCGCACTACGCCGACAAGATCCCCTACTTCAAGAAGCACGGCGTCCAAGGCCTTGCGCGCTCCATGCCCACCTCTGGTGCTTTAGACCTTGTCGCCAAGGCCCAGGGTCTCCAGTGCTACGAAGTGCCCACCGGCTGGAAGTTCTTCTGCTCGTTGTTCGACGACAACAAGCTCTCCATCTGTGGTGAGGAATCCTTCGGAACCGGCTCAAACCATATCCGCGAGAAGGACGGTTTGTGGGCTGTGATGGCGTGGTTGAACATCATCGCTGCCGTCAACAAGGAGCGTCCTGGAGAGGAGAGCATCGCTGCCATCCAGCGCGACTTCTGGAAGAAGTATGGACGCGTGTTCTTTACTAGATACGATTACGAGGATTGCGAGTCCGCGGATGCGGAGCAGGTTATCAAGAACATCGACGAGCAGATTTCCAAGTCTGACTTTATCGGTTCCGAGATCGCTCCCGGATACGTCGTTTCTGATGCTGGTGACTTCGAGTACAAGGATCCCGTCACTGGTGATGTCTCTTCCCACCAGGGTCACTACATCCGTTTCGAAGAGGGGTCGCGTATCGTCGTTCGTCTTTCTGGTACTGGATCGAGTGGTGCCACCATCCGCTTGTACGTTGAGAAGTTTGAGAAGGATAGCTCTAGGTACGAGCTTGATGCCCAGGAAGGATTGAAGGCGTCCATTGAGATGGCGATCAAGTTCTTGAAGTTGAAGGAGTATGTTAACCGCGAGGAGCCTACTGTCAAGACCTAAACGGTTGTGTCATGGTTAAATTGGAGTCATTTGTATTGTTATACGAGGGAGTAAGATATGAGAAGATACCTAGCTAGGGATTGCTGTAGCCTGTTGCAATGGACATTCTGCTTTACAAGTTCACATTATTAAATGCTAAGACCACAGTATGCAATTGCCTGCCAAATAGCAACAGCTATCCATCAGAAATACGCCAAATACTATCATCACTGTCTCGCCCACTTCCCGGCCCTCAAAATTCAGGCGCCGAAGCAAGCATCTCAACCTCCTCCGGCGCCCCCTCAACACCCCTACTCATATCCTCAATCCTCAACAACCCACAACTCATCCCAACAGCTACCCTTCGCGTCCGCAATAAGCATCCCCAACAGACCCGCACGAGAGCCAGATTTGCAACCGTATGGACAGAATATCAAATCCCATACAGCACCATACTAGTGCAAAACCACACATGCCAGTTTTGGCTCTCCTGGGACTTGAACCTCCGCAATCCGGACCCGGAAGAATTGGACATGGCCCGCTTGTTCGCCCTGCATTATCTCAAACACTGACATCGGCTCATAATGAACATCGGGATGTCCACCAACAGCTAAGATCTGGTCTTCGTTGCCCGTGCGGTTTGGGAGCCATGCGAGGGATTGGATTGAGTGTGCAGTGTTCGTAATGTAGCCGGTCTTGCCAGGGAAGTCTTCCTCAACAAACAGAGATTGAAAGGGAGATAGTCGTGTCAGTTTCTGATCCTGGAACTGGCCATGCCACAAGGAAAGCGAGGACTGCGTCCACGGTAGCTGTTTCAAACCCTCAAACTCTACCTCCGCAGTGGACAACACAGCCGTCTCTTGTGCAAATGGAAGCTCCTGTGGCCATGATATCTTAGGCCAGGGTTTATCACCATCTGCACAGAGCTCTCGACAGACACGGATGGAGTACGTGTGTCACCATTTGTACAACTCCTCCATACGTTCATTCTGGAGTGATCGATAGCCGTTGATTGTCACGACACGGCCGGGAAGGGCGAACGATTTTTGTCTGCTGCGAGCGGCGCGGTTGTCATAACTAACCTTCGCAGCAGAAGTAGGAGTTTCTTTGCGCTTGAATGCTGTGCGGACTGGTTTTGGTGTAGCCGTTGGTGTCTGCCGAGGCGCTGGCGCTGCCACTCGTGCTGATGTTGCTTTGGCCTTCCCCTTCACCTTTGCTGCACTCTTGCCCTTCTTGGGTTGTTCATCCTCGCTTGCATCATCCTCGTCAAATGCGTCCTCCTCGTTGTCCTCAGTAGGTGCTGCATCCTCCATTTCCTCATCTTCCTCCTCCAACGCACCTTGCTGATCGAAATCATCGTCATCTGGGTCATCGTAGTGCACATGCCGTTTTGGCGGCACTTCGTCGCCTAAGGCTTCTGCAAGTGGGTCCTCATTGTATGTGACTTTCTTTCCACGGGCTACCCGAGGCATTCAAGTTGCTCTTGATTTCCTCATGAATTGTCGAGGAGGTGCTGTGCCGAGATGCACTCGTACCGTATGCCGTATACGCGCCGTTCTGACATCTCCCCGCAATGCAACCGTGAACCAGGCACACGATACACCTCCATACCAATTGAGTTCATATGTCTAAAAATGTCTGCAGCACAATTTCAACCTCATGCTCCCCGTGTACAGCAGTGTATCGATGCTACAGCAGCACCGGCGACCGCTCCTCCTCCAACTTACCGCGAGGCCGCAGCGGCCGGAACTCCCAATGTTATCAACCTTGCGCGGCCTGAACCCCCACGCCGATGCTGGATCTGTCTGGTGGATGAGACGGAGGGCGCACCGGACGGTGCACCTTCAACACTTGTCTGGAAGAAGCCTTGTACTTGTTCGCTTGTAGCGCATGGTGCGCTCTCCTTCCTCCTTCCGCCCACGGCTATGTGTACTGCGTGCTAATCATTTCCCCAGAGCACTGCCTCTTGAACTGGATCTCCATCCAGGAATCCGATGCCCGTTCTGATAAAGCAACCTGCCCACAATGTCGCCAACCAATCCACACACGAGACGCCTCCCCCTCCCCCCTCCTCCGCGTCCTCGAAACGATCGATCACGAATTCAAACGCGTGATGCCCATCCTCGTAGGCTACGGCATGGGAACAACGATCCATATCGCCGCATGTTCGTACGCTTTTACTACGTTGGAGAAGGTGTGCGGTGAGAATGTCCTTCGCATGGTCGTCAAGCACTTCGACAACCCCCTCGACCGCCGATGGTGTACGTCCCCCTCTCCCGTCCCGCTCTCCCGTTCCCCTCCCTTTTTCCTTGCACCTCAATACTTACATCTATGTACGTATAGGGCACTACAGCGTTGGCTTCCCCTTAGTCCCCCTCTACCTTCTCGCCATCGAATCCCGCTCTACAACCCTCCCCTTCCTCCTCGAACTCCTCGCACACACCATCCTGCCCCTCCCTTCCCTCACCTTCGAACGCCTCCACGCCCATCCAAGTACATGGCCGGCTTCAAGTCTTGTTACGATGGCGGGTTTCGCTAAGACAAATGTTTGGGATAAGATCTATGTGCAGAAATTGGTGCCGGTAAAGGAGAGGTGGGAGAGGGAGGCAAGGGGGGCGGGGGAGGAGGACGAGGGTGCGCAGGGTGGCGAGCAGAGGTGGGAGTGGGATTTGGGACGGTTTGGAGTCGACATACAGTTCGGACAGGAACCCGTGGAAGAAGTTCCCGCTGTCAACCCTCCAGCCGAGATCGCTGCCCAGCCCCCACGGCGCCGCGCAGTCAAAATCACCTCCCCCATCCGCACCCTCATCCTTGCCCTCCTCCTCCCCTCCATCTCTTCCTCCCTCGGTACCATTCTACAGAGGATTGGGATGTTGAAGGGAGGAAGTAAGGTTTGGAGAAGCGTGGTTGGTGCGATGTGTTGGTATGTTGCGCGGGATTTGGCGAGTGTTGGGTATGCTTATCTTAAGGTGCGGAGGAGGAGGGGGAGGGGGGTTGTAGGTGTTGACCAATGACGACATGCTCTCGGGACCGAGGTAAGCGGAGAATAATGATGATGATGATGAGATGATGAACGTAACGTTGTCGTGGCTGGAACTCGCCATTTGTTAATCGTTGGGGGTGCTGGCACTGTACTGTAGACGTATTGACACCCTAAAGATACATCTCCAATCTATGTTGCTCTAGCCATTACAGTTGTTTTATACATTGTCCTTGGCAGCTGTCTTCACGCGGCGTCATGAAGCTCGATGAAGCAAAAATTCCATTGCAACAGCAATTACTATCATATTTACTCCCATCCCTCCAGTTGTGACAATATGGGTATAAATCACTCCCATAATAACGTTCACCTGTTGCAACTGTTTTTCGGAGCCTTTCTGCTCCCACGGATCAAACACATGCATAGTCCATCATGAACGGCGAGTTCGAAGTGTAGAGGTGTTGTCGTATCAGATTATCCGAGTCCTGTGCTCGTATTTCCACTGTTCAAACACTTTGAATCGTGTCTAGTTCGGGCAGTCTCGAGAACTTATCGGCGATGGTTATTCGACGGCCACAGCTTCTCATGATATCGATCATGCTTTCCAATCTCACACCTTTCGCGGTTGGCTATTTATCGAGGAGTTATGGCACGCAGTTCTCCACTTTTATGAATAACTCGACATCGACCGCTGCCAATCCAATTTTTCACTGTCTCAAAGTCTTACATCCCCACTCAGACACCCGAGCCCACGCACTCATCCTCAATCGCTGGAATATCTCCAATCTCGTGGCCAACAATCCCCGCTTCCCGCGATAGCCGAAATTATACACAGAGCAGGGCTGAGGCTATCGTGTACCGCGACCGCCATCGTCTCATCCCCGTTCCAAGACTTCATACGTTTCGCGTGGTACCTCGGCCCGCCGCGATGTTCATGAAATATACGAGATAGCTATGTTGGCATTGGCATTGGCCATGGCAATGATAGATTTAGCTAATCTTCAGTAGACCCTGCGCATCGATCGTACTCGTACCGTCGATTGAGATTGGGTGTACGATGCACGTGTGGCAATCTGTCGAGGACTCGGGTCACGGCTGTGGTTACATTTACATGACGACGACGACTGACACGTACACTCAGGCCTGGGTAAAACCAGAACCCCGAGTCAAAGGTCCCGAGTCCACAGTTCCCAGCAATTGCAAGGGATACAAATGGTCATGGCGATGGGTGTAAGAGACCAGAGCCCCATGCCCGCGAATTCGAAGGGGTCCCCGAGGCTAAAGCACGGAGGATATTTTCTCCGACCCACGTGTGAGAGCACCCTCGGTAGGACCCCCGAGCCCGATGAGATCGTAACCCAAAGTCTGAAGAGGGTAGACATTGTGGGCCATCCCATGGTCGTCATTGTGCCTGACCGAGATGTAGGCTCAACCTTCCTCAAGTATGCCGAAACATACCACCGACAGTAAAGACCGTGAGCCGTCTTCGGTCCCGAGTAACAGCCCCAGCTGCGAGGAGAGCTGTTACCTCAAAGCCCGACATAAACCTCCGAGATCTAGACGTCCGTCGCAGTTTAACTTCTTAACCCCTACGTTGCTGCCGGTAAAGGCTGACATGGCACATCGCTATACGTACCACGCGCTATAGACACGGCCGGCCCGCTGTCAGAAGTTCGAATTTAACCTTTTGAGTGTTCTATTCCTTTCCTCGCGTTTCGATTCGCACTCGTTTAAAGTATCCTCCGTCCGTGAACCCGGAGTCAAAGTCTAGACCGCAGCTCATCTTCTGCACAAGCGGGAGCGTGTTGCGGCGCCCGACGTGTCATGTCAGCGCGGGGCCACATTTCATCTTTTCTACGGGAGCTCGGGACGCAAACAAACCCAAACGTAACCCATACGTAACCCCTACTATACTTGCCCGTACCATGCATGGTTGAGGAAAATGACCACGGGCTTATCCCCGAGTTCAAGCCCCAACACGCAGAAACCCAACGTTTGCAATCTGTTTATAGTGTGCGTAACGTACATTGAAGACATCTCTAACGACCCTAGCCTTCCACATTTTACCAGCTGCGGTTGGGCATGGCCATGGAGGAGAAAAGGCTCGGACTTTTTCTCGTAATTGTCCGGTTCGTTGATCGGAGGTATACGTGCCTCGTGCGCCGTACCTCCCTGCCTCGCCCAATCACAGCCGCCCAGCTGCACCTAACAAAATCTACTGCGACTATAGAGTACGGGACGCAGCTTCGTAGTTTCTCGGGTCCGCACATCCCATGGGATGCAATCGAGCATTTCGCAGAACCATCGCAGTCTGATCGGGGGTTATTTTTAAGGATGTGGGTGGTTTCGCTTGGGAAAGTTTAAGGGTCCATACTGATGTAGCAGCGTACCGTGCATTGGGTCACGATCCCGCGAGATCATTTGGACATTCAGTTCCTAATTTCCAACATGAACGGACTCAGGGTACTTGGCCAAGGCTGCCGACTCACCCGCGAACCAAAGAATGCGCATGTTTAGGTAGCCAAGAATAGCGATTAACGGTGTACATGGGGCTCAGCTACGTCGTCGGCAACACACTCAAGACACGGGCTGAGCGGCGTACTCGGGACTCAGGACCACCCTCCTTCGGAATTCCAGTTCCCGATGTTTGTCCCATCCATTGCGGTTACCAATTCCTCCTCACTCACTCGGCCCGATTTCACCATCTCATGCCCAGTTTCCAGTCCAGGGCTGACTCAGCTCTCATCCCAGCTGCGCTGCAATTGCCAACCGGGCCGCGGCCGAGGAACTCGGACACAGGCATACGGTACCCACACCCGCGTAGCCACAGTCGTAAACACGCCCTCTCCATCTCACACGGCCAAAGCGCAATTCCACAATCTGACCCATCATATTTTCTCACACCATCTGACTTCACTCACGTTTTGGCCTCCAGCAAGGAGACAACAGCTCAAGACACAGGCCACACCTCACGCAGGACCTCTGCCCATGAGCCAAGCTTCCCAACCGATTTCTATGTTTCCAGCCGGCCCGCGCGCGTAAAGCTTGAGCCCAGACGCGACGGCGTACGTGAGACAGGCACTGTTGACGTCCCGAGCAGCTGCAGCCCCGAGATCTGAGGTACGGGTACGCCTCGAACAGTTGCAGGACATGTGTAAAATTTCGATGAGTCAGCTAAATCAGCTACAGCTGAGTTCGAGGATCGGGGGTGGGTGCATTGATCTCTGCTTACGCATTGTCTTGCAATTGGATCGGAAGGACTCGAGGCAATTGCTAGCAGAGTCGCCCTTGAGCTCAAGGAGCATTGAACAGTAGACAAAAGTCGAGTAAATCGATATCCTAACTAGGGTAGATAGGTAATTCCCTAAATCAAATCAAAAACCAAGTGGTAGCTAGCTATAGGTGTTACACTTCTTGTCTGGTAACACTCTCGAAAAATCGCAAATCATTCTCCGTGCCACCAACCACCAACCCCCAAATCCAAATCCCCACTGAACCCTTCCAGTAAATTGCCTCGTGCCTTTGCCCTTTCCAAAAATGTAAAAAGTATATCCAATGTAGTTGCGCAATCGCAACACAGGGGATTCCGTTCCGAAAATGAGTGTATGTGCAAAAAAAAACTCCCGACATGCTCGTGTGCTCGTGTCGTGTGTGTGCAAGTTGACGATGTCGTTCCCTTCTCCCCAAAAAAGCAAGCAATCAAAAAAGAGTACGCCGACCCAGAAAGTCCCCACCAAGCAAAATCGCAATAGCCAAAACGATATCCCAAAACCTTTCCCAAACATGCAAGAAACTTCTCAACTAATAAGCAACACCGACCCTCCCCCGGCCGGAGACAACTTGTTCCCAACTTCCTCCACTGCTTCTCGGTGGAGTGATAACACCCCTCGGCCTCGCCCTGTCGGCTCCGCCTTTGACAACGTGCCCCCACTCGCCCTCGTCCATCTCCTCTTCCTCAACGTCATCAAGATCATCTTCGTCGCCCTCCATATCCTCATCATCATCCTCACTCACCGAGAACCCAGACGGCGCACGACGATGCGAACCAACACAAGGCGTTCGCGGTGTAGGATAACACTCAGCACCTACTCCGTGTCCGTGGATATTAGAGGCACAACCGCGTTGAGCGGGCGTGCACGGCACAGGAGGCTGACCTTGTTTTCGTGCGAGCGTCGCGCTTGGGGTCGCCGGTGTTTGCGGGAATTGAAACGCGAACTGTTGTTGTCCTTGTGGAGCGTAGGCGAACGTCGGATGATGAGGATGTTGTGGCGTTCGCGGCGGAGGCGGATAGAAACCCTGGCCGTGGCGGTGGGAGGGTAATGGGGTTGGTGGGCAGACGAAGACCTGTTGTTGCTGCGTGTCGTAATAGTAGGACTCCAACTTCTCCTCGACGTCGACCTCTGGCACCGGCATCGGGACCGGGATGATCTCCTCCACCTCCCCAACACCAATGGTAAACCTCCCACACGTCTCGATCGCCTGTCTCAATTCGCCAACAGTACATCTCCTTGCAACCTCCGGCTCAAACACTCTCATCAAAATCGCGTCCAGCTCCCTGCTCAACGGCAATATCGATCGCAGAAAGTGACGGTCAGAGAGGTATGCGTTGTAGGTTTCGTCGGAAGGTGTTGCGCGCTTCCAAGGGTTGCGACCGCAGGTGAGGTTGACGAGGATAACACCGAGGGACCAGACGTCGTTTGCTGGCGACGAGTAGAATGCTGGTGCAGAGGCGCGGGCGGAAGAGGGGATGGGTGTTTGGCACTCGGGAGACATGTAGAAGGTCGAACCACAGCCAAAGTCGGAAGTGTAAACCTCGGTAGTCGCCAACCCGAAATCTGCAAGCTTGACCGTAAGTCCACCATCCGTAACAAGCACGTTCTCCGGTTTCAAATCGCGGTGGTAGATTCCGTGGTTGTGGCAATACTCGACCGCATCCAACAACTGCAGGAATACGCGTCGGCAAAGTTCGTCGTCTCCAACGTATCCGCCTCCTTCCGTGATGATCGCAAATAAATCGCCTTCAGGGCAGTATTCCATCACGACGTACACGCAGTCTGGCGCATCGAGGATCTCGACTAGCGAAACGACGTTGGGGTGGCGTTGTGCTTTCGCGTGGAGTGCGATTTCGCGAGCTTGAAAGCGGCGGGCGCGGGCGTCTAATGAAAGCTTTGAGAGGGCCTTTACTGCGTAGAGCTGGTGGGTGTAGATGTCTTGGGCGGTGTAGACAACGCCGTACGCTCCGAGTCCGAGAATTGAGAGGAGCTCAAGGCGGTTGTCGAGGAGGTGACCCAGACGGGATTCTGGTGTAGGTTGGGGTTGTTGTGTTTGTGTTGCTGGTGGTGGAGGACCAGCTGTCGGTACTGACATGATGTCTGTGTTGTAAAAAAAAAAAGGGAAAAAACGTTAAACGCGTTGAGAAGTGCGCGATTGATGATTGTTGAATGAAGAAGGACCGGGGCTGCCAGTTCAAGAGAGCAGAGGTTCCTGGGGTGTATGCTGCACAGACAGAGAGCGATGGTTGTTGGCTGGGGGTGTATGCTGGTATATAGCCAGCGCCGAGCGTGTACTCTCGGTGGTGTAACAGTTGGGTTGGCATGGGTTCTGTTTCACACTAAGTCTAAAGAGGCGGAGCGTGTAATTCAGAACGTGCTGCAGCTGCTGCCGATCCCGCGACGAGAAGAAAAAAAGAATTTTTAAGACGAGACAGCAAGCAAGGACCCCCTGCGTGCACACTGAACAGACAGGTCAGTTGTGCAACTCTATAGGGGAGCTTGGGTCGCTTCGAATGACAGGCCGATGCCGTTGTATTTCGAGATTGTCCTTCGTCTCTTTCGTATCCCCAATCTATGGCTTTCTCTTCTCTCTATCCTTCGTCGCCATTGACGTGACTGCCGTTCCTTCGCATAATCCTCATCTACCGGCCCAACCACCCCCCGTGATTCCTGCCGGGGCGGCCCTCATCCTCACCCTCGTCTTACCAGGCGATTAGACTTCATATCCAGACTCTGATCCAATAACACCCTGGCCGGCGTGAATTTCTATAGGTGTATGCTATCTCAGAACCTCCGTCTCCGCTCCGCACACACACCGATCGCCAGGCCTTTCCCAAGGCCATGAATGCATAACGCACCCCACGTAAACTATGCCGCACACACAACCCTGGCAATTGGTCCTGAATCCTCCAACTCCTGCAATTGCCTATTATCTATCGAAACGATGACAAATTACGTAACACCCTCCACCACCGCTTCCCCATCCCCTTCTAAGAACACCCACACCCCCTTCGTGCGCGGGGGCCGGCATATCTGATTCAGCCGCCCCCACAATTGCAACCAGCTCGCCCCACTCTGAGTTTAAGCTTGCATGAGTATTACGTTTATGAGCAAAGTCAAAGACAAGAAGCAGAGAGACGGGGATCGGGCGTGCGGGCGTCAACGCTGGTATCAGAGGGAGTTGGCGTGCGGGAAAGGCGTACGTACGGCCGGGCCCGCAGCGTCTTGGAGGTGTCTCGAGGCTTACCTTGTGTATCCCTCGATGATTCCCGAGTAACTGCTACGTAAGCTTATTCATTTGATCGATGATTGACGCAGTGACTCCTGTCGTACCCAGGCCGGTGCGATTGCCCGCTGCCCGCTGTCCGCTGCAGGAGGTACTTGGCACGCGGCATGGTAGGTGCGGGGTGCGGCCCGTTTGCTCGCCCTGGACTCCGGGTTCGCTGTTTTACTCCTGACATCGCGACGGTCGGGTAGAGAGGGCGGAGGGGATTTGTCTGGATCGTCAAGCCGACAAGTTCTTCACGTTGCATCCTGCCGTACCCCGTCATTGCTCCATGATCGTGTTTCGGAGGCGAAGGCACAGTCGAGCCCGTCCCGCGGCAGTCATATCTCACACAACACTCAAACTACCGACATTGACCGCGGCCGAGATCATACCGCCCCCTCTTCCACGAAACCCACGGACTTTCAGAATTGTTCTCATGCTGCCCCACCTCCCCACACTTAGTCTTCGTGTCCGAGGGAAGAACCTCGTACAACCCCAATATTCAGCTCACGGACACAGAATTTCTACGCCAACCGTCTCGAGGAGTGCGTGTGGCATATCCCTCATCTCGAAATATGAAAGGGCGCGTGTAACTCGGCCCCGGGGCCAGCTGCGGACGGTGGCGAGTGAGTTAAAGTAGTATCCACTATTAAATCGATCACTTTTTTGGAAAGTCGATTCCGATTTCTGTGCTTGGGAGTATGTCGCTGTGTGAGAAGTCTCAATGGGGGTTTTGGGTGCGTGAAGCAGGATACGAGGGCCGCAGTCTGGTGTTCCCACGCCTAGGGCCAGCGAAAGCCCACGCCGTAGTTGCAATGCAACGTCCAAACGACCACGGTCGGCTTTGACAGCTGAATCATGCGCAGCAATACTTACTCATCCCCCCTTTCACATGACGCTCGAGCCATATGCTCGCCTCCGACAGCTAGCGCCCATGTGCCCAACCCCGTGCACCCCCCATAGCCTTCACATACCCTTCCCGAACTTCTCGCCCCTATCTCCCGGCTACCTTTGACCTTCAACGATACCGAGTAAAGCGCAGATAACAGGCGAACCAATCACTCGTCACTCCTAACATACGGTAAATGAAACCTTACCTCGACCGCGGGGTCGGGGCTGAATAAGGTTCACGTACATAACCCCAGGCCCCGTACCCTTGCATGTGGCGGCTCCTGCCGAATTCGAATGACTGCGGTGGCGGTCAGGAAGTAGTTGCCTCTTGGTATTCGAGAAGGTTATAAGAGGTAAAGGAGATGAAGGGACTCGGTGGTAATAGTCTGGGTCTCGAGTTCGCGGGATATTGTGCATGGGCGCCATCGGGGTGGGTTGTGGGAAGGGTAGGTTGTCAGAGGATGTGGGAGAAGGTTTATGGGGGCTGGATTGAGTGGGCTTTCTCAATACGTTAGGTCCACCCTACGTGTGTGTATGCGCATCATTGGAGGAGGTTGAGTGTGGGAAGTGGTGCCGAGTCGACTACATATTCTCAAGAAGAGCGCATACAATGGAAGGAAACGAGTTGATCTGGAGTACAATTCTACATCCGGGACTTACAAAGAGTTAGCAAGTTACACGAGCCGCGAATTGTCGTGATATCTCAACAATTGATCTGACGCATATATTCCACTCACTCACTCCACCGAGTCACCCCATGGCATCACGTCGTCGACAATCAGATGTAAGGCTTACACACGAAACCTCGTTTCAGTACCAACCTCTCCGCAAGGCACGGATCACCCCCCCTCACACGTCCCAATGGCAAGCAATGCTTGGCCGCTTGGCCTCTCACCTAGAACCAACCACCCCAGTTCCCGGCCCCAGCATCCCGAAACCGCTTTCTGCACAATTACCTAATCGCCAAGAAGCTGCTGGCTGCGAGTCAAATGAATACTCCCGACGCTGCTTTCCCCGAGTTCATCGTATATCGGTCCCGTACAGCGCTTGCGCAGCAGTCAAGTTTGATCGACACGGATACCCACCTCGATCAGCAAAGTCCCGGGTGGGATCGTGCAGTGCTTCGCATCGCATCAAGGACCATTAAGACCGCGTGAGTGTTCGAGATGAGGTAGGACTCGGTGCAGGCGGTGCAGGAGAACATTCCCGGTGCCGTCATCCCGCAGAAGCTCCAGCAACTTGCGCATCGTCGCCTTCGCGGACTGCGGTTTCTGGTTGACGCGCGCGGGCCGCGAGATGAGATAGGCGGCGTGCCAATTTATGCACGGAGTTGCAGTTGGGCTGCGTCGTGCAGGTAACGTAGCCCTGAAGCACGGTAACTCTTAACTTTAGCACTTTGAAGAAAAAAGGAGATGTCGGATATAGAGTACGGAAAACGCGGAGTGGAGATGGATATATGGGATGGCTGATGGCGAATGAGAAGGTGACGTATCGCAATCAATTGGCTACGGCTCTGAGATGAGCTCGAGGGAGTGGAAGAATGCTTGACTCGGGGATGACGGGGTCGAGTCGTCACATGTGTTTTATTCGAAGGCTCGACCGGGGTCGAATACACAGTTCGCAAAACGGAGTTTCGGACCGATCGTTACGAAAGGCAACATCAGTGCCGACCGGCCCGGGATTTTACTCACGGTCAGGACACACCCCTGCTCATCCCGTGACGCGCAAACGCGCAACCCGGCTCGAAGCAACCCCTCTGACTCAGAGAAAATGGTTGGGGACCACATCTCGCAGAACATATCACAACCTTCTTCTACTCCCAACCCCACGCTCATGCTCCCGTCCTCGTAGACGAACTCAGGGTCGAAAACGTGAACCGTCGCTACGCAGATCACCTCCTCCCCTCGCCCTCTACGTTTCGAACGCTGGCCTTTTTGACGGGACATGTAACGTTGTCGGCGTCCGTGCGCGGTGGCTGGAGAGGCGCTTTAACGTGTGGTGGTGGTGGCGTGTGGCACCAGCCACGGCTGCAATGACATTTGCCTGTCCCACGAGCAAACAGCGTTGACGGATTTGTGCACGTGTGGGAAAGGCCCGTTATGCGATTCCTCAATTAAGGATGGGAGGAGGTACGAAGTGGAGATGACGGCGACGAAGGCGCGTACCGTGGGCTGTTGACGGCTGTCGGTGGGCGTTGGCAGAGGCCGTGGGTCCGCTGTGAAGGCCGTGGCTATGAATAGTTACAGGTGTGGATACACTCGGGGACGACGGTCATGCAATTGATACTTAAAAATACAACCCTCATCAAACTCTCCCTTCCTCCTCCACTGCCGGCCTCGGGGGCGAACGAGTTGCAATTTGGTGAACGCGCGCGCACAGACAGACACCGGTCCAGAATCGACGACATCGACATTGAAACACGTCCAAACCACGATTCAACATCGAGGTTTGCGATCGTGCGCACGAGATCGGAAAACCGAAACACCGACAACCTCCTTTCCACTCGGGTCCGCATCATCCCACCACCCGCAATCGCAACTGCGACGAAGTCGACGTCGACGCGTCCGTGTGTAGAGAGAGACCATACGCGTCAAGCAATTCCTACAACCCATGTTTTCCTCCTTCCTCTTCCATCCCAATCCCTATCCCGAGTCGGGGACTCGGCTTCCTCGTGTCTTTCCAAATCCGATCTAGCTCCACCTGCCAAATTCGGGCAGATGAGTACGCTAAGCCGAATGTGTCCACCGGGCAGACACCGTGGTGAGCTCGCGAGAGGAGATGACGGACGATCAGGGTTTGTTGTTGCTGGTTTGGAAGAGGGCAGGAGAGGCTGTGGTTATTCGGTCCATTGCTATGGGTATGTAAGGATCTGATGAGTCAATTTGTGTGTATTGCTCGCAATGGCCAAGCTATGTCTCCTCCACATCGGCATCGATATCAATATCGTTGTCTGCTTCAGCTATGCTAAATGCGTCCGCGTATAATCAAAGGTCAAAAAGCCCAAGTCCATAGCAAATCAAATTTCAAATGCCGAAAAGGTTGGGTAAAAACGTTCTCAAAGTTCTCCGTGTCCATCCGTAGCACATATATACCCTCACTGCCCCGCCCGATCCTTCCCAACACTCAACACAACCCACGCCTCAACCCTCCCCTCAAACCCCACAAGCGGCGTACAATGCACCCACCTCAAATCCCCCTCCAAATCCCTAACCTGCGCACTCACCGGCCGTCCAGCCTCCATCGCAGTCCGTAACCCGTGAACAATATACCGCGGTGTATTGAGCCCAACGACATCATTAATCCAATGTTTCCCAATCGAGGAGGGTGGCATGTCGGAGGAGGAGAGGACGGCGTCGGAGAGGTGGGTGATGTGGTAGGAGGCGGAGATGAGGACGAATTTGTTGAAGGTGCGGCGGAGGTCGTCCATGGCTGTCTCTAACTCGCGGAGGGAGGTGGAGGAGTCGACGGAGTTGCGATTGTGTTCTTCGTAGCGGTCCCATTGGGGCATGGCGAGACGTGCTTTTGTGCGTTTGACTTTGAGGTCATCATCGGAGGTGTCGGAGTCCGAAGAAGACGAGCTCTCGTCGGAGGAGGAATCGTGGTCACTGCCGTCGTCGACGGCATCCCTCGGTGATTTCTTGGAGACATGCTTCTTCTTCTCCTTCTTCACCCGACGTTTCCGGGGTAACATATCCCTCAACCTCCTCGCCGCCAACAAACTCCACCCCGTCTCATCCAGCTCTTCCTCCTCCTCCTCTTCCTCCTCCTCATCATCCTCCTCCCCCACACCCTCATCCTCCAAAAAAAAGAGAGAATGCCTACTCGCCTCCCAAACCGTACTCGTAACATTGATCTGTGCTCCCAGGAAATAATGAATCTCCCCAGTCTTCTGATCACGAAGCGGAGCCATGAACAAGAGATTAAAAAACGGCACACCATCCTTCCGATAATTCAACAACAACTCCACAATCGAACTCCCACCCTCCTGAAGCCCAATGCGGATACGCCTAACACTCGCAGGATTCGTGGCAGGACCTTGGAGGAATCGACAATTCTTGTTGATGATGTCTTGTCGCGCATACCCCGTAACCGCGACGAATGCCTCACTCGTCATGACGATAGGGTTATCCAACCGACGAGGATCCGTGAGACAATAACACTCGCCCAGACCCTCGAGCCGGCGACGAACGGGAGCTCCGTCAAACTCACCCAACCGGCGGGAAAGCTCGTTACGCGCGAAACAGACGACGCGATCACGCACGTACTGCCCAAAATCGCGCAAATACATCTCATTGAAAACCTTTTCCCTCTCCCCCGCAAACGCAGACGTGAGCACAGCCGAAGCCGTACTAGACCGTTTGTGGTGCTCGATCGTCGTGGATGATTGTTGTCCGTACGACAGTAGACTCGAGGAGAGTGCGTTGATGTATTCTGTTGCCAATTTGTGTCGTTCGGCTTCTAGCCAGAAATCGAGTAGCCGCTCACGACCCTTGGAGAGGAGATACTTCCTGAACCCCTCACGCGCTTTCTTATCCGACAAGACTTCCGCGAAAACGGCACGGCTTACGAGTGCGATCGCATCACGCTCCAAATCACGACGGATGTGCATGTTGGGGGTCGACCGCTCAAACCACCCATCCGGTTTCAAACTCTGCGGACGACGCTCGAGCTGTCCTTGTCTTCCTCCTCCTCCTCCTCCCCCATTCGGCGGCGTCGGAAACGAGAATGCGGCAGCAGCTGGGCCAATCGACGCAGAAGTAGTAGAATACTCCGACGCCAACGGACTCGCTGGCTCAAAATTCTCAAGACCGCGGTCGTATTCGATACATACACGTCCCGGACCCCTCAGCGACCCGGCACGACGTAACTCATCAACAGCCGACCTCTGTTCACTAAGTAACCGATTCGTACTTTTCTTCGCTACCTTTTTCTGTGGTGGCGGGGGGAGGGGACCGCGCGGGATGGGTTTCGGTGGGAGTTGGGGGAGGAGGTGGATTGGACTTGCGGGTGGGGAGGGGGATGATGGTTCGAGGGTTGTGATGGGGGCGTAGTCGTCTGCGCCGCCTGCTTCGGTTGGGTTTGCGATGGGGGCTTCGAAGGGGATGTCACCGAGGAAGGAGTCGGCGTAGGAGTAGTTGTCGGAGTCTGTGCATCCGAATTCGTCGAGGGAGTTTCTCATGTTTGTGGAGAGGGTCTCCATGGTGGGTACCTTAGGGGGTGTATGCTGGGTGGAACTGCTCAGGCTGGGGATGAATGCTATGGATTATATAGAACGGCGTTGGTGTTCAGGTGAATTCAGGAGGCAGCTCCTGATCCCCCGCCCCCCCCTGGTCATCCTTGACGTCTCGATCGATCGCGGTTCAGGGGCGCGACTCCTCAAGCCTACGCGCCTCCGGGGAACTTCCACCCGCGCCTACTAGAACACCACCAAAAGCAGGCACTCACACCTTCGTGATTCGAGAACAAACCCGGATCGCTCAAGTTTAACAGATGGCGTAGACGTGGCAGGTTCGGTTGGGTTGCCGAGGTGTGGTAATCTTGGGTAAATCATGAATGATCGTTGATGAGCGTTGAACTTGCAATTGGGCCGTTGAATTCGCATTTGGTAGAGTATCAGATCGAACGTTAACGGCAATTGCCGATGAGGGCCCGGGGTTGAACGAATCAGCATCTGATCCACGTACGTACGAGGCAGGGTTATGTTGCGGAGCACCATTTTTAACGTCGAGTGGAAAGCAATGTGGAATGAAAAGACTGTCTAAGCCTTCAGTCTTGCTCGCGATCGATCTGGGCCTCTCCCAACAACTACTGCGTAAATATGTGGATTACCCTTTGAGGTCTAGCCGGGTACATGCTGCACCCCCTGCATCTCCCATCCAAAAATCGCCAGTACACCTTTCTAGACAAGTCCCACGGTACAGAGCATGGAAGACAGCATCGTCGGCGAATACGTCTCACTGCCACGAAGACCCGAAGACCACCCCCTCGCACTCTTCGACAAAGCAAAGCATGAGAAACGACCACTCTACGTCTCCGGCCCCATGGTCCGCTACTCCAAACTCCCTTTCCGAGCTCTCGTTCGCTCCTTTAACACTGATCTAGTCTGTTTGTACCCCACTCTTCCTCCCCCTCTCACACATCTACTGATCTATGGCGTGTAGACACCCCAATGATGCTCGCAAAAGAATTCACCTCCCATGCCTTCGCCCGCCACGCAGATTTCTCAACCAACATCGCCGACCGTCCCGTAATCGCCCAATTCGCCGCAAAGGACCCCCTGATCCTTGCCCGCGCAGCGGAGCTCTCGTTCCCCTACGTCGACGGCATAGACCTAAACTGCGGCTGTCCCCAATCCTGGGCCGTCCAAGAAGGTATCGGCGCACACCTCATGCACGACATCCAACTCGTCTCCGAAATGGTGCGCGCAGTTAAAGCGCGGTGTGGAGTGGGTAGGTGCGTTAGTGTCAAGATTCGGGTACATGGGGATTTGCAGCGGACTGTTGATTTCGCGAGGCAAGTTGAGGCGGCGGGGGTTGATTATGTTACTGTGCATGGGAGACGACGGTCGCAGAGGAGTAGTGAGCCGGTTGATTTGGATGCCATTAGGCTCGTGAAGGAGAATGTGTCGGTTCCTGTTGTGGCGAATGGGGACGCTACGACGCTTGCCAACACCCACCAAATCGCTGCCTACACCGGCGTCGACGGCGTCATGTCCGCCCGTGGCCTCCTCTCAAACCCTGCTCTATTCGCCGGATACACCGCCACACCCTGGAGCTGCATCGAGCGATTCATCGATTTTGCGTTGGAGTATGGTTTGAATTTTGGGCTTTTTCAGCATCATTTAAGTGATATGATGGAGAGGACGTTGACGAGGCAGGAACGGAAAAGTTTTAATGAGGGGAGGGGGGTTGCGGCGTGTTTGGATTGGTTGGATGAGAGGTTTGTGCTTAGGAGGAGGGGGGAGGAGGGGTTTGGGGTTGTTGATGAAATCATCAGGAAATGAGAAGGTGCAGTATACCAAGAACCACCAGTAGGATAGATATTACATGCATATCGTATCGTATACAGCCGCATCCCTACACTTCCCGCAATTCAACAGTCCTGCTCACGTATCGGACCTTGGCCCGTGCAACGGTTGTCGGCCGGGAACTTCGGAGTGGCGGCAACGTGCGGCGGTGCTCGCCGTCAACGTTGGTGCGAAGAGCCGACAACTTGCGACCCCTCGAGGACCATCGATCCAAGAGGAGGAAAGAAAAAAGATGTCAGTGCACAGCCCGCAGAACCCGAGAATTGTCAAGGCAGAAGTTATTGCCGAGGACTTGAATGAGCGAGTTTCGTACTTGAAGGAGTTTATCGGGTTTGGACAAGGTAAGAAATGTTCTTAATGTGATCTTTCAGGGCACAACAGTTAACAAATACTATACAGAGGATATCGATGCGCTCCACGCCGCGGCGCCGTTGGTCGATCCCCTCGTTCCTACCATCGTCGACGCAGTCTACGTCAAGCTCTTCTCCTTCACCATCACCAAACAATCCTTCCTTCCCCGTCAGACAGGCTACGATGGACCCACACCCACCTCCGCGTCCGACTTGACTCTAAACCACGACCAGATCAAGTTCCGAAAAGACTTCTTGAGTCGTTACTTGCGCAAGCTCGTCACCGACAAATCCTACGGCCCAGAATTCTGGAAGTACCTCGATAATGTGGGATTGATGCACACCGGCCAACCCGGGTTCAAACACCGCGAAAAGAAACCCGCGCTCAGGGTCGACTTGATTCACTGTACCATCCTCCTCGGTTACGTCGTCGACATGCTCCTCTCCGTCGTCGTCCCCCACCCCGATCTCGACAACGCCACGAAAACCGCCGTACTCCGCGCCGTCAACAAAGTCGTCTGGATCCAGAACGACTTGTTTGGGAGGCACTATGTCAAGGAAGAGGGAGGAATGGAGAGGAATATGGTGGTTGCGAAACAGAGGACGTTGCAGGATAAGGTTTCGGATGTTGCTTTGATGGAGGGGACGGCGTGGGTTGTTTTTGGGGCTATTGTTGCGGTTATGGGGTGGACTTTGCATAGGCTGTACACTGGGCAGGTTGCGTGGTTGCCTTAAAACGTCAAAAAGCAATCTACCCACAAGCCTTGGTCCAGGGTTATGACGATTACGATATATTAGAGCAGGCCTCTTCTCAATCCAAAATAAATCATATCCATTCCCCCGCTCACTTCGAAATATTCTCCTCAAACCACCCCCTCACAAATCGACTCGACTCCTTAGGATACCTCTTACACCCGTCCTCGTAATCAACATACGTAACTCCAAACCTGGGTCCGTACCCACTACACCACTCCCAGTTATCCATCAAGCTCCAACCAAAGTAACTCCGTACATCGACGCCGTCCTCCACGACGGCCTCTAACATTGCATTGAGGTAGCCCTTGTAATATTCAACGCGGGGGGTGTCGTTGAGAGCTTCGGCGAGGGGGAGGGAGCCTTCGTCTTTGGCGCACATGCCGTTCTCGGTACAGTAGATTGGTGCACCATATCTCTTCCAAATCCAATTCAACAGAGCTCTGTAGCCCCAGGGAACGGGTCTCATAAACGCCAATCCCGTCTCGGGACCCAAGTCGACACCATCCTTCGAAGTGAAGGTCAGCCCGACGTTCCCGTTGAAGTTTCCATGTTCGGGCGGTCCCTCGCGGTGTTTGACATAATTCGTCGTATAGTGGTTAAACCCGAAGAAATCACTACTTCCCTTCAACATCGCCTTCTCTGCCTCCGTGAACGTGGGAAGACGGTCACCTAGCAACTCGCGCATCGAGGCGGGATAGTCTCCATGCCAGATCGGATCCGCGAACCAACCGAGAGAGAATTCGAGTTTGCGTTGGGCTGCGGCGTGGTCGAGGGGTTCTTCGAGATTATAGGGAACGGCCCAGTCGCCGTTCAAGGTGATTCCGATTTGGCCGCCTTGTTGTTTGGCGAAGTCCGTGCGATAGACTTGGACAGCGCTGGCGTGTGCGAGGAGCAAGGTGTGTCCCGCAATCCAGGGTTCGGTATCGGAGTTCCCCTCAGGGCTAAGATCACGATTACTCGAGCGGCCTGGCGCAAAGGAGCCTTCCGGTCCCGTCCCGGCATGTCCGAGTGCGCAGATGACCCAGGGTTCGTTGAAAGTGAGCCAGTTCTTCACACGATCCCCGAAGCGCTCAAAACATAGGCGTGCGAAACGGGTGAAGTCGGGGACCAGTTCGAAGGCGGTGAGGAATCCTTGATAACGCTCATACAACTCCTGTGGTAAATCCCAATGATGTAGTGTCACGAACGGCAAGATCCCGTTCTTCAACAACTCATCAATCACATCACTATAAAACTTCACTCCCTTCTCATTAACCTCCTCCTCCCTTCCACCCTTGGGAATCACGCGAGACCAACTGATAGAAAACCTGTACGCGTTCACGCCGTAGGATTTTAGGAGTGCGATATCTTCCTTGTAGCGGTGGTACGAGTCGCAAGCGGTATCGCCGTTTGAGCCGTCGATGATCTTGGAGGGGGTGTGGGCGTACGTGTCCCAGATGGAGGGGAGGCGGCCGTCTTCGTTCCAGGAACCTTCGATTTGGTAGGCGGCTGTTGCGAAGCCCCAAAGGAAGTTGGAGGGGAGCTTGTCGGTGGTGTTGGTCATAACGAGAAAGAGAGCTGTGAGGTTGAGAAGAGCAGAGACGTAGGCGGAAGGTGGTCTTTATGCTGGAGCGGTTGACGGATCAGTCCGGGGATCATCACCCCGTGGGGCTCTGAGGATGAAAGAGAATGAAAGGAGGGGTACACCTCTTGGCGGTTGCTGTTCCCACGGCAGACTTCTACCGATGTCACCGGTCATGCTTGGCTTGAAACGGATGTCGCGATGGTCACACCGGTTAAAAGGGCGGAGATCAATCCTCAATATCCGCGGGATCGAGTTCCTAATTCGAATGACCGGGTCCCTTCATTCGTCGTCGTACCTCGTCTATGCAACCTTCCCCGCACGTGTGCGTCTGGCAGGACTGCGGTTGGGCCACCCGTACGGACGTGCAGATCCCGTACGGACAAGCAACGACCGCACGGACGTGGCTGATCCGAAGGCTGCGACCATAGGGACGAATGGAAGCAGCGTTTGTAATGGGAGGATGCCGAGAACGTGCGCCTCGAAGCGGCCGGTAGCAGTTTCTTGTCATGGGGACCGGGATCATCAATTTGCTGTCGTGATCTGCCGTAATCCATACCACGGAAGGTAGGAGATGGCGGTGTATACATCAGGCCGGCGCGACACTCGGCGGAATTCCTCGCGGGGGCTTCTGCCTCGAAAAAGCACCAGTACGGCCATGGCTGCCCCGTATGCAAGCAAACAGAGTTGTCACTAGCAGCTCTAACAACCCCCATGGGGATCGAGTGTGGGGTCAATCGCAATGCGGGGTGAACGCTTTCGTCCATGGATCACTCTCTCCCGTTCCTCAAATGCCTATATAACCCCCTCTCCTTCGGCGGGTGTGGTCGCCTTAACACACACATTTCACCATGGACAAGGACAAGGTCAACGCCGAACACATCGAGAGGGCTACCAACTCTCCTCCTCTTGACGAGAAAAACCACACGGGCACAACAACCCGTGACCCCAACCTCAACCTCGCCTCCGTCACCGCCGCCCGTCCCCCGAAGCCATGGTCAAAGCAAATGCTCAAGCTCTACGGAATCCTCCTCGTCCTTTACCTCTGCGCCACAATGCAAGGCTACGACGGTTCCCTCATGGGTTCCATCAACGCCTTAAACGAGTACCAAGACTACTTCAAGGGCCAACACAACACGGGTCTCGTATTTTCGATTTACCAGATTGGACAGATCTGTGCGTCTGCGTTTTTGTGGATTTCGGACACCTGGGGACGCAGGATCTCCGTGGCTGTGGGGTTGTCCATTGTTATCCTTGGTACTATTGTGCAGGGTACTGCGCACACCATGAATCAATTTATCGCTGGTCGGTTTTTGTTGGCGTTTGGGAGTGGTGTGCCGGCGATGACTGCACCGCTCTTTGTCGTGGAATTGGCACATCCGAATTACCGTGGGACGTTGACGGGGTTGTATAATACCTTGTGGTACATGGGATCGATTATTGCGACGTTTACGGTGTATGGGACGAGTATCAACATGCCCGGGTCCAACATGACGTTCTTATTGCCGATCTGGTTGCAGTTGCTGTGTCCTGCCATCTCGTTGGTGTTCCTGTACTTGTTGGTTCCGGAGAGTCCGAGGTGGTTGATCGCCAACGGAAAATTCGAGCAGGCAAAGGATTTCATCATCAAATACCACGGAGAAAACGATCCCTCCCACCCTCTCGTCGAGCTCGAGTTGGCTGAGATTGAGGAAGCGATTCGTCACGACAACGGTTCCGACAAGCGTCCATGGGATTACCGCGGTCTCTACAAGACACCCTCCGCCCGTTACCGCTCCTTGATGGTCATCTTTATGGCCTGGTTCGGACAGTTCTCCGGTAATAACATCGCAACCTACTATCTCCCAAAGATGACCGAAATCGCCGGTGTAACATCCACGAACATGCAACTCCTCCTCACTGCAATCTACTCTGTCATTTCTTGGATCTCAGCCATGGCCGGAGCACGCTGCCACGATATCCTCGGTCGTCGTCCCATGCTCATGATCTCCACGTTCTCCATGACCGTCTGTTTCGCAATCATCGCTGCAACAACCGCGATCTTCGAGCGTACAGCCTCCCAGACCTCCTCCATCGCGTCCATCGTCTTCATCTACCTCTTCGGCGTCGTCTTTGCCTTCGGGTTCACACCCATGCAAGTTACCTACCCCGCCGAATGCCTCACCTCCGAAATGCGCGCAAAAGGTATGTCCCTAAACCTCCTCGTCCTCGGCACAGCAGGTTTCGTGAATAACTATGCGGCGCCCGTTGCGATGGCGAATTTGACATGGAAGTTTTACATCTTTTTCATGTGTTGGGATGCGTTTGAGGGGTTTGCTGTGTGGATGTGGTTTGTGGAGACGAAGGGAAGGACGATGGAGGAGTTGGAGGAGGTTTTCTCGGCGCCGAATCCGAAGAAGGCGAGTTTGGTGAAGCCGGGGAGTGCGAGGCATGGTGGAGTGGAGATGATCTAGGTAGGAAGGAAGGAGGGATGTCTACTGAGGGAGGAGGGCGGAGATGTACGATGTGGAACAGTATAGGACTATTGTGATGGATTAATGATACCGAATATACCATATTTGCCAATGTGCAATCACGTCCCTTGCCGTCCCATATCGTACCACCCACATCCCCACCTGCTTCGCGATCGGTTTCGTTCGCGCGTCTCAACGGCATGATCATAACGGTATTCAGAGCCCGCCAATACTCATCCTCCTCTTAGAGTTCGGCGTCATCCAGTTCTCGCGGTAAAACATCAACTCCTGGACACTCTCCTTAATATCATCCAACGCACGATGCGCTTCCGCCTTCTGTGCCGACGCCGCCTTGAAGACCCTGTTTCGCAACAATCAGCACTCGTACCAGAAGTCACACTTCCACCATGTGGACGTAGTACGTACCTAGGCTCCCATCTCCTCGCCAACTCCTTCACGGTACTGACATCCACGATGCGATAGTGCAAGAACTCCACGACCTCCGGCATGTACTTGCTCAGAAACACGCGATCGGCGTGAACGCTGTTGCCGGCCAACAGGGCTTGACGTTGGGTTGGGACGTGGGATTTGATGTAGGCGAGGAGGGAATCGGAGGCGTGGGAGAGGGAGTGGGGGGAGTCAAGGACGGCGGCGGTGAGGCCAGACTGTATGAGCTGTGCGTTAGTACTGCAAGCAAAATGGAGAACCAGAAAGAGCCGGAGAGGGTTGATCCGTACCTTCCCATGATGGTCCCGACACCACTCTCCCATCCCGTCCATCACCTCCTTCGACTGATTCACAATCATATGAAACCCCTTCTCATCAACAAAATTCAACTCCCCATCCGTGATCAAACACGCGACCTCGATAATGGTATCACCACCATCGATGTCCAACCCAGTCATCTCAAGGTCGATCCAGACCAAGGGATCCTTTGGGGCGCCAGTGGCATCGCGGAGACAATTGGAAAACTTCTGCGTATTACCGTTGCTAGTCGACATGTTGTAATTGGGGGTACAGGTAGTGCTGGTGCTGGGGATGTGTACGAGGGGATGGGACACGCAGGGTCTTATACGAGATGAGATCAGCGGACGACGGCCGTATGTGTAGGCGAGGTTGCGTGGGAAAAGGCTGAGCAGATGCCTGGACATGAGGTGAGATGAGATCAGCGTGGGGTTAGAATGCGTGCATGGGGTCGCATGACCAGGCGGTTACTTGACTATGGATGGGGAAGGCCGAGGAGATTTGGAGGGTGACTCGTGATATATTTCATTGGAGTTCAGGTTTACGGCGCGGGAATGGTCAGGTGGTCCCTTATGGGAGCCTAGGGACGGACGGGGTTCAGGGGACGAGGTTGTCGTCGGGAAGGTCGTCGGCATCTCACTTCACACTCGAGAACATCATCGGGTTCTACCGCCCCACAGGTTATCTTTATATCAGATATCTATCAAAAATATTTGCCCATACTCCATGTATCGTTTACCTCTTCGTGTGACTGTCCCATGTGGTGCCTCAAACTGCTTTCCACCTGACCACGGGCGCCGCACGAAATCCCTGAACCAGCCGCGCACACACACAAGCAGCACCGCCCGCCCTCCCTACAAAGCACTGCGCACTGCCCGCCCGCGCTCCCTCACTGCTACCACCCACACACCGCTGCTCACCGCACACACACAGTAACTGCTACCCGCTACCCAAACAGAGAGAGCATAGCAGCAAGAAAAACACATTTGCACACCCAAGCTCGTAAGTCATCAGCGCACAAAAAAAAGGGAGATGAATGCGTTCTTCCCTGGCATTTTCTCGATGAATTGGCCCTTTTGGATGGGAGAGCTGACTGGAGTGGAGTAGAACTACTACACAAAACAACTACTACCATGCCTAAGGAATCCAAGCCCCGTGCTGCGCGCAAGACCCCTGTTGCCAAGAAGGGTGCTAAGAAAGGTATTTCTTCCTGTTTGTTGTGGGACTGACGCGTTTTGGAGGGTGCAATGGGGAGGAACAGGGAAATGAGTGGCATACACGATGGGAATACGCGTTCTTTTCGGACTTTCGTGGGATGTAAGCGAGTGGAACGGGGAAGGGAGTCGGAGGGACGCGTTCGCTCGAGTGAATGCTCGGAGGCGTCCTCTTCCTCCCTGTTATCTCTCGTGCGCACCTCCCTCTCCCCACGCGTCAACCCCCATAACATCCTCCACAACATCATTGTCACGAACTCTTTGCTGACCACATCAATTGAATAGACCCCAACGCTCCCAAGCGCTCTCTCTCCGCATACATGTTCTTCGCTGCCGATAACCGCGATGTTGTCCGTACCGAGAACCCTGACGTTACTTTCGGTATGTTTTCCCACTCTTCCCTTTTACCTTGCTCCTGGCTCGACGAGCATGATCGTGTAAGGGGAGGAGCATGAAGGGATGAATGTATGAATATCAAGAACGGACTCGCTAACGCTCGTCCTACAGGCCAAGTCGGCAAGATCCTCGGTGAGCGCTGGAACAGCCTCTCCGCAGAAGACAAGAAGCCATACGAGGCGAAGGCTGCCGCGGATAAGAAGCGGTATGAGCAGGCGAAGGCTGAGTATGCTGCCAGGCCTGCCGCGAGTGAGGAGGATGAGGAGTAAGCGGGAGTCTAAGACCTTTCGGTCGAGCTCGAGCTTGCTACGTAAGACAAAGAGGAGGATAGGGGGTGGGATATATATGGTCGTGTAATATGCTCGGTGGAAGTGGAAGAAGGTCAAGTTTTTCTCTTTATCTTTTTCAAATTTCTGTTTATTCTTAGGGCGGGGTAGGATCTATGGCCGGTTTTTTCAAAGCTCTTCAAGCAGCTTATGGGGGTCGGTTTGTCTGTTTCTCGTTCTTATCTTTCTGTCGTTCCTTTGCTTTTTCTGTTTGCTGTCTGTTTAATGGACTGTTGCAATTCTTTGTACTTCATGGTCTGGTCTGCAGGTGTTGGTCGTAGCCATGGTTGTAGTGTTTTCGATGACGAGCCTGACTGGTGACTGCATCGAGCAGCTCAAGGTGTGCAGAGTGAAGATGATTGACGTCATCCGTTGGTGCGCGTGTGATCGTCGACCCCCCTCCATAAAACTGCTCTCTCCGCCTTCGAGGAGGAGCATACAACCCATAACAAATTCAGTTTTACAATCAAGATGCACATGCAAGCTATTCGTCGTACGCTCCTCTTGAACAGGGCTTCCTTGATCAGGGCTCCTATCGCTGTTAGGGGCTATGCCACCGGTATGTGCATACGAGCTATTGCCAGACTGTATACTGACGATGTCGTTTGTACGTAGGTTACGGTGACCCCACACCCAACACTCCCAACGAAACGGCTCAGAAGGGCTCTCAGGCCGAACACCCCGGGCCTCGTCCTGAGGAGGCGGACGAGCAGGGTGGCTCGACCTTTGGTGAGGAGGAGAGTTCGAGGGGAAAAGCGCAAGCTGGGGGCACGGACAAGAAGAGTGGTAGCAAGGAGAAGAAGTGAGTCATCTCTTTTTTGCATCGTGGAGAGGTTTTGAGGAGTGTATGATTAGTTTGAATTGAATGCTGATTTGTGTGAATGTAAGGTCCTCCACCGAGGAGAAGCCCACCGAGAAGAAGTCCACCGAGAAGAAGCCTAAGAAGTCCTCGAAGAAGAAGACTGAGTCGACAAACACCGAGACGACCGGAGCGGAAAAAGATAAGCACGGGAAACCCAAGACAGAGAAACAACCCGGCCAGCCCGCCCACGCGGCAAACCCCAAATCCGGTACCGGGTCCCCTAACCAAGGCTCCGTCGCGACTGGGTCCATCACTGACTCCTCTATCGGCGAATCTCTCCAACACAAGGACGACAACCAGTCTCTCGGCAAGGGTAAGGACACCACCGATCAGTTTGACAAGAAGGTAGAAGTTGCGTCGCATGAGCCGGGGGCACCGCAGGGGAGTGAGATGGTACAGGATGCGTTGAAGGTGGGAACGAGTAGTGGGGATGGGTTGAGTGATACGGAGCAGAAGGTGAATAAGGACTTTTGGGCGGGGAGTGGGGGAAGGGATAAGGAGCCTTAAGCGAGCACAGTGAGCTTAAATCCGCATCATGGGGGAAGTGTAGGATATGTGTAGGTTAAGCAATTGGACTTGTGTGTTTATATCTATGCATGGCTGTGTGTTCACTGCTCAATGTACAATGTCTGTTCGATACCGTGAGAAATACCCAGGGTCTGTCTTAATGGGCTTGAATGCAGTAAAACTGAACCCGAAGACTTGCGTATGATTTCAACCTACAGTACAAGTCGAGTCGGCTACATGACACTTTGGCACGGATGCTCATCTCAAGCAGATTTAAAGCAAATCCACTTATCAAGTTAACCTCGGCAAGGTTTCCCCGCGGATAGATTAAATCACTGCACATGTATGCGGGTGATTTCATACGTACGGCAGATTACGCGATAAGACGACCAAAACGCGGAAGGACCAACTCACCACCGACACCCCAAACCCAGATCCACAAGTCGTCCTGGGTCTTGAGCTCCTCCTATAATCACGAGGACGAAAGGATGCCGACGGTATACGCAGCCCATACGGGCGCAACCCTGGGTACGAGGACCTTCGCCTCCTTGGATGCCGCGAAGGGGTGGATTACGAGCATGACGGGCATTGAGGCTAGGTTTCTGATATTGATGACGAATGGGGGGACGCAGGTTAAGGAAGCCGAGATACGGGTTGAGGGTGGAGCAGTGTACGTGTTTAACAGGTCGTGGTTGACGCGGGGGATGGATGCCAGCGTGAGTTCACTCGAACTTGAGGAGGAGAAAGCGGAATCCCCGATGCCACCTCCGCCGACGCGGGGGGTTCCGATGGATGAGATTTTGCAGAGGAGGGCAGAGTGGGCGATGGCGTTGGCAGGTCGGTCGCGGGAGTTGCAGAGTGCGATTCGGAGGAAGGTTGGGGAGATTGGGGTGTTGCATGATGCGGTTGATGTTGCTATGACGAACCTTGAGTCGCATAGCGGGAGCGTTCGGGAGGCGTTTGGGGAAGTTGAGGGGGTTGTTGAGGAGGAGGTGAGAAGGCGGGAGGAGTTGTTGGAGGGGGTGGCAATGTTGGAGAAGATCGTGCTCCCTGTTAAGTTGGGAGGACGGACACTCAGGGATGTGCTTGACCCTGAGGGAAGAAGCTCCGAGGCCGTGACAGCTTTCGAGACAAATGCAAAAACGTTGAAGAACGACATCAAAGAGATCAAGGACATCGTGCAACAAATCGCAACCGGAAGCTCATCCCTCTCCTCCACCGTCCAAACCTGGCGCACCGCAACCTCCTTGCAAGAATTCCTCACCGCATCAACCCACGCCTGCGAACAAGCCTCCCTCAACGGCACCCGTATCCGCACCGACTGCTGCTCCCTCTCCTCCTCTTCCCGCCCCGCATACGATGTCCAACGCATCTCACAACAACACGTACAAAACGATGAACCCCGACTCATGCACGCACTCAACGCGCTCGTTGAGATACATGAGGAGTTGGTTGAGATTAGGGCACGGGATGTGAGGAAGGCGTTGGGGTGTTTGGGGGTGTTGAGTGGGGTGCAGAGTTTGGTTGCGGGGGTTGGGGGGAGGATGAAGGGGTTGGGGATTGAAGCGGGGGAAGAGGAGGCGGTTGTGGAGGGACTGGTTAGGGGGATTGAAGTTTATGCGTATCTACTGCGGGGTCAGAGGAGGGAGATGGGAGAGTTGATGAAGGGGTATGAGAGTGCTTGGAGGGGGGTGATGGAGGTTGTTGAGAGGGAGCCTGGGGTCGTGAGTAAGAAGGATGTTGAGGACTTTTTGCGGGCCATTCAGTCTGTTGGCGTGCTGCGGAGGGTTTACGAGGAGACAGCGTCGACCATTGCCTTACCCCAAGCAGCCCAAGCGCCAGCATTTACCTCCAGTACCCGGACAACCAAGTCAACCGCACCTGCGACAGCTCAAGGCCAAGGGGTGCAATCTCCCGAAGTTGAGGTACTCCGCCATGACAAAGCTCGCGTCGAAGAGAAACTCAAACACGCTGAATCACGTATACGGAACCTAGAGGATATCCTTCATCGACATATGCGCACTTCTAGGGATGTCTTTCATTCTGCTTCGATCACACCCACGGCCACACCCTCTCCCGGCCTCGAAGGCCTCGGTATTGGCCACAAGCGGAGTGTATCGATGCAAGGCCGTCCAGCTCTCCACTCTGCCCCACCTACGACAATGATGGTTGGTTCAACGTCGCCTTCGACTAGTCCAACCAGTGTGTGCATTCCTGCGATACCGACGAGTATGAGAAGGACTCCGAGCAGTCAGGAAGGCTCCCGCGAACTCTGTCTCCTAAAAGCCGAGCTCACCGCGCAGAAAGAACAAATTCTCCGCCTTCAAGCCGAGAAATCAATCGCTGCGAAGAACCTCGATGCACATCAGGCTGTTGTTGAAAGCTTGAAGACTCTACGACAACAGTTGCGGGCGAAGGAGGAGGAGGTGAGGGAGGTTATTGCTGTCAAGGGGGATCTGATGGCGAATTTGGAGGGTATGAGGGGGGAGTATGTACGTGAGAAGAAGGACCTCGAGGGGCAGATTGATGAGCTGAGACGCAAGCTCGAGAGGGTTGAGGAAGAGGCGGATGAGGAGCATGAACGCCGTGTTGGGGCGGAGGAGCGTGTCCTGGAGATGGGGGGAGAGTTGGGGGAGGTGGAAAGGAGGTGGCAAGGGGTTGTTGATGAGCTCGAGGCGGCGAGGAAGGCTAATATGGGCTTGGAGGACGAGCTTGGGAGGGTCAGAGGGGTGTGGGAGAGTGAGGTCGGGAGTGCGAGGGAGACGTTGGGGGTGTTGAGGGAGCAGTGTGCGGCGGAGCAGGCCGCCAAGAAAGGCTTAGAAGAGACGGCGCGAAGGATGAAGGTAGAGCATGAGGAGGCGGTACAGAAGCTCGAGGAGAAGATTGCGCACAATGAGCAATCGTCGAGAGCAGAAGAGGAGTCGAACTCCCTCCTACGCGAAACTTCACGCATCCTCGAAACACCCACCCTCCTCCAACCCTCGGATTTGGTTCAACGTATCTCCGTACTAATCGAACAAAATCAACTTTTGCGGGCGGAGAAGGACCAGGTTGAGGGGAGGCTGGAACAACGAAGTTTGAAGGCGAGAGATCTGACGCAGAGGTTGTATACGTATTCTGCGCGGTGTAGGGAGTTGTTGGAGATGGTCGAGAATATGGCGAACAAATCCTCCAGGAGTGGTAATGCCTCATCTGGGGCTGCTTCTACAAGTACTGGTGCCGGGGCTGCTGCTGGTGCTAGTTGTGGGGAGACTGTTGCAATTGGACCACTCCTCGTTCCTGGGCCCAGCCCAGAGGGACGGCCGACGACTCCGACTCCGGCACAAGCTAGGGTTATATATTGGATCGATGACACCTCTCTCGATGCAGAGAACGATGCCTACACCGCCTTCCTTACCGAGATTCAGTCATTCGATCTTGACGCCTTTTCACACACCATCCTCACCCGTCTCAAAGATGCAGAGCATTTGGTGCGGAAGTGGCAGAGGGAGTGTAAGAGTTATCGCGAGAAGGCGAATGTCGCACAACGCGAAGCTGCGGGGAAGATCAGTGTCCGTGGTTTCAAGGAGGGGGATCTGGCGCTCTTCTTGCCTACACGGGATAACGTCGACAATTGGGCTCCCTTCACGGTTGGGTTTGGCGGAGGATGTTACTTCCTCCGTCCCCAACCCTCCGAAGGGCCTCTTTCTAGAAATATGGGGAGGAGGGAGTTCATGCTCGGACGGATCGTGGGTGTCGAGGAACGTGTTGTGGATTTGGGGAGGAGGCCGGAGGGGGAGGAGGGGGTGGTGTGGGATGAGAAGGAGAATCCGTTTCGGCTTGGGGATGGGATGAGGTGGTTTTTCTGTGATGCTGTGGATGAGAGGAAGGGTGGGAACGGTGGGGCAATTGCGAAGAGTGTGGGAAAGAAGGAGGGGAGGGGAGTGGGTAAGAGTATTGTGGAGGAGAGGAAGACGAGTGGAGATGAGAGCCCGGGAATGGGGAAGTCGACATCCCCTGGTACGGCTTAGAGTAGTTACGTATACGGGGTGGAATACTGTCATTGCAATTGGATTGGATTGGTCATGGAAGGAAGGAGTTAACATTTTTATTGATTGGTCTCTTGGTGATTTGGCATAGCATTGCACACTCTTTCCGTTACTATCCTGACTTTCTCCCGTATCACGCGCAATGACGAAGCGCGCTACACGCACCAAGCGCAACTGCAGGCAAGGATTGTGTTGAGTATGACGTAATGAGCACAACTGCCAGGTTAAGTACTCCTCACCGCCCGCCTCTTCCATCCCAGCATACAACCCCAACCAAATACAACAAGAACAATAATGAAATACCAATCAATCGCCGGAGTAACCCTTCTCTCCCTTGCTGCTCTCCAAGTCCAGGCAGCCCAGTGGCCTTTCAAGTCAGACAAGCTCTACAACAAATGGCACGAGACCGAACTTGAGAAATGGCTTTCCGACCACGACATTCCATACCCTAAGGCAGCAGACCGCAAAGATCTTCAAGATCTCGTCTCCAAGAACTGGGAAGCCACAAAGTCGACCGCATACGAGACCTGGGATCAGAAGCGTCTTCAGGCATGGTTGGACGAGAAGAAGATCAAGTATGATGCCAAGGCGGATGTTACGGCATTGAAGAATACTGTCAAGGATAACTGGTACTACGCTTCTGACTCTATCGTTGAGAGCTGGGAGGATGCGAAGGACTGGATCTTTGAGTCTTGGGGCGAGAGTCAGCTCAAGGCTTTCCTTGATCGTCATAACATCCCTAACCCCTCTCCCCGCTCCAGAGACTCTCTTCTCGCCGCCGCACGTGGAGCATATGAGTCTGTCGCGCAGGAGGCTGCATCGAACAAGAAGGCTGCGTCGTCCGCTGCCTCTTCGGCGGCTGAGGATGTGAAGCATTCTCTTTGGTCTCCTGTTGACTGGGTTTACGACACCTGGACTGACTCTGACATCAAGGCTTGGTTCGATGCCCACGGCGTCCCTGTTCCTCAGGGCTCAAAACGTAACGATATGGTCGCCACTCTTCGTCGCCAGGCTTATTTGGCTAAGAAGGGTGTTGCTGGATACACGGATGAGGCAGCCTCTCGCTTGAAGGACGCGACTGACTACGCGGGTGATGTTGCGGGTTCCGTTACCTCTTTGGCGGGTGAGGCCGTGTCTTCGGCGTCTAGTGTTGCGTACGGAGCTGCCAGCTCTGCTTCCAGCGCTACCTCTGTTGTCGGCAAGTCCGCGTCTTCTGTCTCCGCCAAGGCCGCTGCTTCCGCCTCCTCCGCATCTCTCAAGGCTGCCGCCTCCGCTTCCTCCGCTTCGCTCAAGTTGAAGGCCTCCGCCTCTTCCGCCTCCGTCGCCGGTAAGGCCTCTGCTTCCTCTGCTTCCGCCGAGGGTGCCTCAGCCTACGGTGCCGCCACCTCCTCCGCCGGAAACTACTGGTCCCAGGCAACCGACGCCGCAGCGCAAAAGGGCCACGAAGCCTACGCCGCCATCGTCAATGCATGGCCCGAGGTCCGTCTCCGTCGCTGGCTCCAGAACCGCGGCGTCCACGTCCCTGAGGGCGCGAGCAAGGAGGAGTTGGTCGAGAGCGTTAAGGTTAATGCGCACAAGGTCGCTAAGAACACTGTTGGCGATGATGTCTTCGAGGGATGGAGTCGTGAGGAGTTGGGCGAGTGGTTGGAGAAGCAGGGTGTTAAGACCCCCAAGAACGGCAAGAGAGACGAGTTGGTCAAGGCTGCGCAGGAGAACTATGATTCCGTCTCCGCGAAGGGTGGGAATGCGTATGCTTCTCTCACTTCTGCTGCCGCGGCTGCTACTGGCTACGTTTTCGACAAGTGGGATGAGAGTGATATCAAGAGCTACCTTGAGTCGTATGGCGTTGATGTTCCCGCGTCTGGAAACAAGGACGAGTTGGTCAGGAGCGCCAATGAGAACTTGAGGGCGTGGAATGGTGAGGATGATTTCAACACCCACGGTACCTCCTCCTACCTCGCCGACCTCCAGGCGAAGCTCGGCGGTATCCTTGGATCCCTCAAGGGTCTCCTCGGTGGTGCCGCTGGCTCCGCATACGGCGCCGTTGACGACACCGCATCCTCCGCGTCCTCCGTCGCTGCTGCAGCTTCTGCTTCAGCTTCTTCCGCTGCGTCCGCTGCTTCTGCCAGTGGAAGCTCGTATGTGAGTGGTGCTTCTGCTTCCGTTTCGAGCGCTGCGTCGAAGGCTTCCAAGCAAGCACAGAAGGGTGCGGATTACGTTAAGGAGGAGGCGATTGTGGGGTCGCACAGGGTTAAGGAGGGAGTTCAGTATGCTACGGACAGGGTCGTTGAGGAGGGTGTTAGGGCTACGGACCGCGTGAGGGAGGAGTTGTAAAGTGCGAGCGAGCACTTGGAGTGAAGTGATGGGTAGATTGAGAGCTGGACTTTGCTGGCTCGAAAACTGTATGTTTTGGATGAATGAGTGCGTGGATTTGATACCTTTTTTGGGAGGAGTGTAGGTTAGTACTTCTGTCCTTTTTGTTGGGTCTTTCTGGTATAATACACTTATTTTCTACCGCTGAATGAGATGGAGCATGACGTCAGGGCAGATGACCTGTGTGCCCCGCAAATCGCTGAATTCGTGCACGGACCTTTTTGCAATTGAGAAGGAGAAGGACAAAACCAACCCTTGGAAGAGAATGAAAGCAATGAAACACATCATCGTCACAGGCGCCGCAAACGGTCTCGGACGATATCTCGCAACCGACCTCCTCACACGCGGATACCGCGTAACATTCGCCGATGCAGACCGTGCCGCACTCCAAAAACTCCCGTCACTGATCCCCGATACAAAGAACGCGCATTTCCAGTATTGCGATATATCAAGTGAGGACAGCGTCAAAAAGCTGTTCGAGGATGCGATCAGCGCGGATCCGGAGGGTGGGTTGTGGGGACTCGTTAATAACGCCGGAATCGCTGCTGCATTTCTTGATCCCTCTAATCCCGCTGCGACGATGGATGAATTGCCATCTTCGGCGTTTATGTCGTATGTCAACACGAATTTGGTTGGGACGTATATGTGTTCGCGGTATGCTGTGCCGTATTTAAGGAAGAGTGAGGGATGTGTGGTGAATATCGCTAGTACGCGGGCGTGGATGTCGGAGCCGAATTGTGAGGGGTATGCGGCGTCCAAAGGTGGTGTGGTGGCATTAACGCATGCGATGGCTGTTTCTCTTGGTCCTAATGTTAGGGTGAACTCTGTTTCGCCAGGGTGGATTGATGTACGGCATCTGCAGACAGACACGAAGGGTGAGGAACAGGAGGAGTTAAGGAAGGAGGATCATGAGCAGCATCCGGCGGGGAGAGTTGGGATGCCGGAGGATTTGGCGAGGGTTGTGAGGATGTTGGTGGAGGATGTGGGGGGGTTTATTACTGGGCAGGATTTTGTTGTGGATGGAGGAATGACGAAGAAGATGATTTATAAAGAGTAGACATGAGAAGCTTTTTACATATGGTGCTTGCTCTTACTGCTGTCTTTCAGCAGTTTATATAGGTCTATCTAGATTGAGCATTGCCCACCTCTAACTCGATGCCAGTACTCGTATGCGATGATCAACCCTCGAAAATGCGCAATCGCTGCGGCCACGACGAGGCCGTGGAAGATCTGGTGACTTGACCCGAAGATCCAGATGCCCGGACGCCACTTCTCTGGGATACGTGCGGCGTAGATCGCTGCTCCGAGTAAATACAGAAATCCCTGCAACAACAGATACCCCAACCCCATCGTCTGCGCCAGTTCAGCATACGTATGGGTAAATAACGCGTGCCCCACAGGAAACACCGCACTCAACCCCAAGGCCGAAAACATCCCCGCTCTCCACGGGCGCCACCCTGGCGTCCTGAAGCGCTCCATCCACGTAAAACACACAACACAGGCTCCCAGTATCGTAATCATTCCCACATACAACTCTTGCAAACGCGGGTGGCAGTAGAAGCCGTAGTAGATCGAGGGATAGAATGAGCCGACGATGAGGAATACAATACCGATGTAATCGAGCTTGTTGCCGAATTTGTTGATGTGGGGGGAGTGGGAGGAGAGGGTGTGGTAGGTTGCTGATAGACCCAGACAAATGACGGCGCCGAGGAAGAAGGCGGAGAAAACTATGGTATCTACCTTACCCGCACTCTCGTATGCAGGTAGGAGATGTCCCGAGTAGAATAGCGCAATGACCGTAAAGAGTAGAGAGCCAAGCAGATGCGACCAAATGTTAACTGACTCGTTGTGTAAATAAAACAATGACGAGAGACATGCGCGGAAAGAGGCGGAGGTGCGGCGGTAGCCGCCTGTGATGTATTTGTTGTCGCGTTGCCAGTGTTCGAGGTCGTCCCATGCTACAATTAGGGCTTGTTTGATCTTTAAGGCGGCATCTTCTACGGCGTGAGTTGCTTCGGCGATGATCTCATTGGGGTCATCTTCGGCAGCGGTTTCTCCCGTACCTGGAGGTTGTCGTCTTCGTATTTCACCCATCCCTGGCTCAGGATGTTCGGGGAGCTATGAATGATGATTTGCTGGTTGGTGGTTAGATGGTCTGTGCGTGTCGCGCGGGTGCGTCGTAGAATTCTGGACTCCCTGTGGGTTTTGGGTGTTGAGGAAGGTTGGGATTTCGGTCCTCGAGCTCTGGGCGGGTTCCTGCAAGCAACTGCAGCATCGGTACGTAACTTTCACATTGACCTCGAAGCTTTCTCCGGTAATTGTTAATCAAAGCTACAAGTATGGATAGTTCTACGAACCGTTGGCAGCCCCGTGCTCGGGGCCGAGGGGCTGACTCGGTTGGGAACAGCACACGAGATGAGCATTGGCGAGGCGGAGCGAGACCGGGAGCAGGATATGGACAAGGCGATACGTCGAACTATCGGAATAACCAGCGGATCAATGGCTGGCGAGCTTCAAATGACCAATATGCGGCAGACCATAGCAGGCCGTGGCACAACCCTCACCGAACCAACACCAACATCCCCTCTGCAGCAATCGGAGCAGTAATGTCCCGCTCAACCCGTGACTGGACCGCCGAAAAGACCGCCAAACAAGAACAGCTCCCCTTCGGCCTCGTCAGCCGTGTCGACGGAGATCAACGGTTGAAGGACCCGAAAGTGCAGGAGGAGTTTTGGTCAACGTTTATACAGGCTCGATATCAGGCTGAACTATTCAAACTTCTGGCGAAGGAAGGGGATGAGTTGTCGGGTGCATTGTCAGAGCTGTCTCTGGATGTCGAGAGTGGGAAGGCAAGCACAGGGGAGAAGGCAGTGATGGGGATTTTAGCAGACCTCCGCAAACTCCGTGAAGGCATACTCGCATCTCACCGACACGACGCCTTCGCCCTCACGATCTACGAAGCCAACGTACGGCTCGCTGTGTTGGCAGGGAAGGCTGAGCATTGTTTGCCTGCGTTGAGGGGCTTGGTGTTTGGGTTGGGGCGTGAGGGGAGGGGGGAGTTCGAGGAGATGTATCTACTCCACCTCGTCTGCAGTTTCGAGTTTCAGGAGTTTTATTCTACCACCGCGCAGTTGAAGTTGCGGAAGACGCTCGCAAACCACCTTGCACACGCCCTCATTCACTCCAACTACATCTCATATTGGCGTTTATACACCGCTGCAAACCCGTATCAGAGGGCTATCATGCGGAGAGCAGAACCACGAATGAGGGAGAGGTGTCTAGATGTTGTTGGGAAGGTTTATTATACTGTGGATGTGCAGGATTTGGGGAGGTGGACGAATGAGGCGTGGAGGGGGAAGGGCTGGAGGGAGGAGGGGGGTAAGGCTGTTGTGAGGGAGGTTAGACGGAAGTGATGGGGTTGGGGTTCGGGTTTGGATTGGTGATAGGTGGTCGGAAGGGGATAGGAGACGGAGGAAAGATACCTGACATATCATGGACAACAAATTGGCAAATATGGCCTGAGCGGAAGAGGATTCGCTGGATACAACGAGACATCGAGATCAAAAGGGCCTTGACGGTGGCGATGCTGGCGAAGATGAAGCTAGATAGACAAACAGGTAGATCCACATCAACAAAGAATCGATATCATATATTGTTTGACGCTGAAAACCGCAAGAAAAACTCCATGTAAACCCATCCCATGCTTATTTCTTTCCGGACTTCTTGATACCACCACCTGTACCTTTGATTAGCAGCTTCTCTAACGCGACCTTCATAGAAGACTTACCGATAAGAGGACCACCCTTCTTGGCCTGGTTCTGCATGTCCTTCAACTTCTTCGCATCCTCCATCTGCTTCTTCTTGAACGCGAGATCCTCCTATACCACTCATTAGCGCTCACCCTACCAAACCCCTTCTTGTAAGAACGTACGTCATCATAGTCCTGCTCCTTCTTCTTGGGGGCCTTGAGGGGCTTGAGCTTTCCTCCTTGACGAGACGACATTGTAAATGGTGTAGATATGGGGTGGTGTATGGCGGAGGTGTAAATAAAGTTCGACCTATGGGGCGTGTGGCTGGAGGTGCAACTCGCCACTCGGTACAGTATGTAGCTGTGACAGCAGACGACAACTCTCAGGAGCATTCATTCACTCAGCTGCCTTCGTTGAGTTGGGAGATAAGACACCAGCACCGGCTCAGAGCATTTACTTTCCGGCGGTTTGATACTTTCGAACCCCCGGTTCACAGTCCACAAGCTAATCGTTGACGGCTTCTTTCGGCCGTCGGGATGACAGATTACCGCCATCATGCACGTTCTCGTTCTCCCTTGTCCGCCGATGAGGGACAAATACGTGAACATGCTTCGAAGCGTCAGTCAGGGGCATTGAGTCCGTATAGGGTGCTGGAGAGGCCAAATGCTGTGAGGGGTGAGGTGGCACTGCCGTATGATGGCGAAGAACCGGCATACAAACGACACCGTGTTGAGGGCCGCTCCCCTTCTCAGACGCGGTCAAGGTCCCGCAGTAGACGACGTGATAGGTCGCGGGATCGTCGGGATACACGCTCCCACCGTGTCCACTACGACCGCTACGACGACCGCGGATACCACGACAGAAGAGACAGAGACACCCGCCGAGGTAGCTACGATCGGGATGAAGAGACGTACCGTAGAGATAGACGCTCAAAGACTCGTTCCAGAACTCCGCCTCGTATGAGGATTCGTTCACCACAGGTGGCTCTGGGTGATGTGAGCATGAGTCCGCAGACAGGCAAGAACTATCCAAAAGGAGTCGTGGACATGGATAAATATGAGAACAGGAACAGAGATGGATCTCACGTTAGGTCGGACAATGCAGGAAACCTTCATAGCAGGTATGTCGTGGTTTGGGACATTTGTATGTTGTACAATGCTAATCTTCCACAACAGTGACTCCATAGCGAAGGCTGCTGAGCCCGAGCCGGAACCTGAGATTAATCTTGATGTCGCACCTGTTGACGAAGAAGCCATCATCGAGGAACGTCGGCGAAGGCGTGAAGCTATTCTGGCTAAGTACAAGGGTGTTAATACACCTTCGGGCCCAGCAACTTCAGCTCCGACTACGCCCGCCGCTCCGTTGGTACCTACGACGCCTGTTTCGGCGGTCGTTAATGTACAAGGTAGGCACAATGTCAGAATTATATCAGGTGATGCTGACGGTAAGGGCGACATAGGCACCCCGCGTACCCCCCAACCTACCGCAGACGAAGCCGACATCTTCGACTTCTCAAACGCCGCCACGCTCACCAAACAACCCACAACCGGCGACGAAGATGGTCCTTCTGCGGTAGACTACGACGCTACGGCGGATAAGAAGAGTGAGGAGCGACATCATGCGCCGGCTACGGTGCAGGAAGTTAAGGCGGGGGCGTATGATGAGACGAAGGTGGAGCAGCAGGATCAGGTGGTGGTGGTACCCAAGGACTCGATGGAAAAGGAGGAGTTTGATATGTTCGCGGATGAGGGTGACATGTTTGCTGATCCCGCTCCGAAATCCGCGGCGGATGGGACGACGAAGGCTGTACCGGTGCAGGCTGCGGCGAGGCAGTTGCATGAATCAATGTTGGATACGTGGGATGATACCGAGGGCTACTACCGTATCATTCCTGGCGAGTTGCTCGAGAACAGGTATGTTGTGCAATCGAGTGCGGGGAAGGGAATGTTCTCTGGTGTCGCGAAGGCTACGGATACGCAGACGAATCAAACTGTTGCTGTCAAGTTTATCCGTAATAACGAGAGTATGCGAAAAGCCGGAATGAAGGAAATCGCTATCCTCAAGAAACTTAACGACGCCGACCCTGAAGGCCGGAAACATATCATCAAGCTCGAGCGCTGGTTCGAGCACAAAGGTCATCTATGTATGGTCTTCGAGGGAATGAGCATGAACCTCCGCGATGTCCTCAAGAAGTTCGGTAGAGACATTGGCATAAACCTCCGCGCCGTCCGTGCCTATGCCCACCAAATGTTCCTCGCTCTCTCCCTCCTGCGCAAAACGAACATCCTTCACGCCGACATCAAACCCGATAACATGCTCGTCAACGACGCTCGCAATATCCTCAAAATTTGCGATCTCGGATCGGCGTGTGAGGCAAGTGAGAATGATATAACCCCGTATCTGGTATCGAGGTTTTATCGCGCGCCCGAGATTATCTTGGGGGTGGAATATGGGTTTGGGGTTGATGTGTGGAGTATTGGGTGCAGTTTGTACGAGATGTATACCGGGAAGATTCTGTTTCCGGGGAGGAGTAACAATCAAATGTTGAGGGTTATGATGGAGCTCAAGGGACGGTTTCCCAAATCTGTCCTGAAAAAGGGGGAGTTCACACCTCAGCATTTCGACGAACAATTCGTGTTCTTATCACAGGAGAAAGAAAAGTTAACGGGCAAGGACACGGTTAAACCCATCGCATTCGTCAAGCCAACGAAGGATTTGAAGACGAGGTTGATGGTGCCGGGCATGAAGGATGAGGAGAAGAAGTTGGTGACGATATTTGTGGATTTGTTGGAGAAGTGTTTGGAGTTGAATCCGGAGAGGAGGATTATGGCTGTGGATGCATTGCGGCATCCGTTTATTACGGGAAAGTATTAGCTACAGTATGCATAGCTATAGAGCATTGATAATTAGCTAGTGTCGCATGGGTGTGGTGAGGAATATAATATCTCTTCGATTGCTACCGTATCTTCTTCCATCATTGTGTTGGAGAACGAACGCAATTCAGCGACCGCGTTGATGGACGTACGCGTACAGGAAGAAACGGAGGGCGAGGAAGCTTGCGGGTCCCTGCGGTGCGCCGAAAACAGACGAGTGGTGTGTCAACGTTACAGTTACCACAATAAAGTTTAGAGAAGCAACAACAATGTCAACAACGACCTGCATAGTCTGTGAGACAAATCCACCAAAGTATAAATGTCCTGTGGCAGATTGCAGGGCTCCTTATTGCAGTTTGGGATGTTACAAGACACACAAGGAGACACATGTTACAACAACGCCGGCCACTGTTTCTCAACCTTTGGCATCATCGGCTGCTTCGACTGTTAAGACCGCTTCGTACCTGTCGCTAGAAGCCTCATCAGCAAGTACCTTGCCTACAGCTGTCGCCGCCATTTCTACACCAGCACCTGCAATCGTTGCACCACCACCACCACCAGTAACAAATCACCTCACGCCTGCTCATCTAGCACCCCTAACATCATCCACCAATCTCCAGAAAATCCTCCAATCATCTCCACAACTCCTGCGCAAACTGGAAGAAATTGCTATGCTCAGTAAAGAAGCCGGTGATGGGAATGCGACAGGAAGTGCAGGGAGTGTGGTGGAACATCCGAAGCGAAGGGAAGCATTGAGTATGATTGCGAAGGTGAGGGAGGATGAGGTTTCGGGTGGGAAAGAGCTTATGGAGATGATATTGAAGTTGATTGGGATTGAGGAGTGAAGTGTGGGTTGGGAGTAATCGTGTGCCTCCTGCTCACCTTCGAGAAGACAGTCACCCGGACAGGCAGTTGTGAGTAAGAACATCGTACGCAACATAAACAATGAAGAATATAATTAGTCCGTTCTGTCCAATAAAAGGCACCACTGGGCCCCAATTTTCACTTCCACCTCTGCCCATGCTCTATGATAGGAGTCCAGTCCGTCATATATACCACGGTATCATGTTACCAAAATAAACCCTAACTATGATCTACATGCAATATCGTCCTTCCTCCAGAGTTCACAGGTTTAAGCAGAAACACCATTCGCCGTAGCCGCAGCAGCGCCCTTCCTCTCGTAAAACCTCCTATACTTCTCATCGACCTTGACCAAATAATACGTACCGTCACGCACATTCTCAAGACCCGCAACAGGAGTAAAGTCCTTGGACAAATGCGCCTTCTCCCTCAACTCCAGGTTATGCTCGTACGCCTCAGGCTTAAGGACCTTCATCGCGTCCAACTTCTCCTTGAGGGCGAGAGTCTCGGAGATACGAGAGACGTCACCGACGATGGAGAGGGAGAAGAAGGTTGCAGCCATTCCGGAGCCGTAGGAGAATGCTCCCACGCGCTTTCCGGTGAGTTCGGAAGCGGGGACGGAGGAGAGGAGGGAGGCGAGGCAGGAGTAGACGCAGGCGGTGTATGAGTTTCCGAGGTTGTTGGGCGCCAAGATCGTAGGCTGGACGCGGGCTCCGTACCGTCCCTTCGACAACGTAACGAACGTCTTCTCGACATTCTTGTCGCTCAAGGAAGCGTCATAGTCGACCGCCTCCATAGCCTCCTTGACGGAAGCGAACTCCTCGGTGGAGGGGGAGGCGAGGAAGTCGTTGTACAACAAACGACCGTAGGACTTCTGGACGGTCTTGCAGGTGGGGGCGTGGAAGAGACAGTAGTCGAAAGTATCGATGGAAGCGTCCTTGGCGTACTTCTTCTGGAACTTCTTTTGGTAGGCGCGGTAAGCGGAGTCCAAGGCGCGGGTATAGCACTGGACGGAGTAGTGGCCCTCGACGTAGGGGTACTCAGACGTGAAATCAGGCTTGTAAAAGTCGTAGACGTGGGCCATGTGGGTACCACGGACGCCGGCGTCGAGGACGATAGGCGCATCGGGACCGATGAGCATGGCAACACAGCCGGCACCACCGGTTGGTCGTGCGGCACCCTTGGCGTAGATAGCGATATCACCGGCGACAACGATCGCGTTACGCCCATCCCAGGCGGAAGACTCGATCCAGTTCACGGCGTTGAAGAACGCGTTGGTTCCACCGTAGCATGCATTCACGGTGTCGACACCCTCGATATCGTGGTTCTCGCCAAAGAGCTGCATGAGGACGGACTTAACGGACTTGGATTTGTCGAGGAGAGTCTCGGTACCGACCTCGACGCGTCCGATGGTGTTTACGTCGATGTTGTACTTCTCGATGAGGTTGTGGGTAGCGGTCAACGCGAAGGAGTAGATGTCTTCTCTGTCGTCGACGGAAGCCATGCGTTTTTGGCCGAGACCAATGGTGTACTTTCCAGCAGCAACACCATCGAAGGACTCGAGGTCGGCTTGGTCAACACACTATAGCATCCAATCAGCATATATCCCCGAGGAAAACGCGACGACGGCAAAGCGGGAAAAGGGGGTAAAGGGATACAACATACCTGGTTAGGGAAGTAAAACTCCATACCGAGGATACCGACATTCTGAGGACGCGACATCTTGATTGAATATGTGATCTGATTGAACTGTGAAAAGAACGAGGAGTCGAGGAAGTCTCCTTGGCGGTGTGGAGTTTCGAGGCGATGGTCGGTGCTCGAGAGAGACGCGCGACTGGTTCGTTGGGACGAAAACACCCTAATGCGAAGGAAGGTGTGGCTCCAGGGTCCTACATGCATGCAGCTCAATCCAAACGCTCGTACGATTAGGAGATTGTCCAAACAGCCAAAGGGATTGGCATTGTTCGGTCATGAAGCGTTCAATTGGACTGTAATGGATGAGCCTGAATAGAAAATGGTGGCCTGGGTTCATCTTCAGCAGCCGGATGAAGTGACGTCCACGTGCGCCGGTCCTTATCGGATCGATAGATAAGCATTTACCCCAGGCGGTCGTCCAAATACATCTCTCCATGGGTATAGAGCAGCCATGGTGCCCGCCTCTGTCTAAGCGTCACCTCTCTCGGTATCCTCACACTCATTGTCCTTGAAGGCGGGATCAATCCTAATTGTAATACGCCCAATAACAGCCAGACAGTGATACATGCAAATCAACGACCGGTACCCAATACAAAGTCAACGGACCCTATGATCCATGCTGTGAAGTGCATGAAGAGGGATCCGGGACGAATCGGATGAGGATGATGATTGTACGATGTTAAGGGTAAGAACTGTTTTGGTACTTGTATGATGACGTATCGTTTAATGGGTGGTACTGTGGTTGGTACAAGGTCTTTTCTTCTCGGTTTCTGGATGGATTGTTGGACGTTTGTTATTTTGCACATGGACGGGTTATGGATCGATTGGGATTACTTTGTTTGTTCAGATAAATCACTCGGGAGGCATTGCGTAGGGATAGAAACATTGATTTTCTTTTGTTCAGACTCTCTATTCCTTGAGCAGGACAAAACGTAATCCCACTCCACTCCTCCCTACTCCACAAGCAATCTCAACCTCCAACCCTCACCATAATTATAACCCACAATCCGCAACCGGCATCCAAACCCGACAGCTGCAGTTACTCTATACATTTACCCGTTCGATGATGGTGACACCAGGGATCGAAGACTTTCTTCTGCGTAAGGCGAAGGTCTCTGCATTCTCCTCCATAATCTAGTAACCACCCTCCACGCCCTCCACGCCCCACCTACGATCGAGAGACCGAGGTCGAGTTGTATGCCGCGTGACGCATGCTTCAGAAACAGTATTCAACCCGGCGAACACCCTTTTCGATCGCCGCCAGGACGTCGTTTCCGTCGTTATCAAATCGTGTCCTGAAGTAACTGAGCAGTGGGAGAAGCACACGGCAAGCATCGAATCTAACGATAGACTTCAACGACCCCAACTTATCCTGACTGAATAGACATGCCCCCAAGCAATGCTGATGGATAATATGGATTGCAGTTGACAAGGTCTGTTTGGGCCCCATAAGTGCGGCTTTCCCACAGTTTTGGGCCGCGCTGAAATGCGCTAGCGCGGATGAGGCTGTCACCTCCGCGCCGCGGCCATGTGTCCGAGAACTATACAAACGGAAATCTTCTGGGGGTTCATCAAGCGGTTAGCACACTCGATGGCTCGTGATCCCATGGGAAGGTATTCGAAGATTTCATTGGACAGCCAGCCCCTCGTACGCCAGCTTCCAAGGCCCCCCCCCCCGCCGTTGAGCCCAAGCGTTGATAATTCCATGTGGTACCAATGCCTATCACTTTTAAATAAAACGCAGAGACGTGTGTGCTGAGAATTTCGGGACGTTAATGGAGGCTGTTTTGTAATAGTATACGAAAACGTCAAAACGATGTCCTATAATCGACGATCCACACATCGCGCTCCGATCTTTGCTACACGTCAATACACCACCCTATCCCTGCGCCTCCTCCCCCTCCACCGAATTACTCTTATGCTTCGGCACAAACTCCCACCCCTCCCCAACCGGCCCCAAAAACATCTCACTAAGCTTAACCCAATCCCCACACCTCCCACTCCCCAACATCTCCTCAACCCCATCCCTCGCCCTCCACCTCGGTGCCCGCTCCCTCATACTCGGCTTCCATCCCTCCTCAAGCACGGAGACAGGGATATAGCGATGCATAAACGACATCGATTCACAGAGGAATCGGCGAGTTGTCGCGATACCGTGCGCGTCTGCACCCCAGTATTCGAGCCCGTGGTTAGCGAAGTCGCGGAGGATATCGAGGCGTTGGGTTGGTGTTTTGTCGATATGCTGCCCCCTTTCGATCTCCTCGAAAATCCAGGGTTTGATTAACGCACCACGCGCAATCATGGCTGCATCGACACCCGTCCCAAGCGCATTATGCCAATCCTCAAACGTATAGATATCCCCATTGCCCACGAACGCCATCGGGGGAAACTCCCCCTCCTCCGCCTGTACACCCCGGATATCACTCGCCGCCTCGCCCGCCCGTGCAGATGCGACCATCTCCGCACAACTCTGAATATACCCCCAATCCGCACTCCGCGTATACCTCTGCTGCCGACTCCGCCCATGTAGCGTCACGGCCTGCACACCACCCAACGTCTCCTCCCTCAACCTCTTTATCAAATTCAGCGCAGTCGGGTGGCCGTCCCGCGTTCCTGTGCGGATTTTGACGGTTATCGGGATTTGGGCGGAGACTTGTGACATTCCGCGCGCCATGCGGAGGAGTTTTAGGGGGGAGTCGAGGAGGGCTGAGCCGGCACCTTGGTGGTATACGAGATCGATTGGACAGCCGGAGTTGAGGTCGATGAAGTCGATATCATCACATAACGTGCTCAACGCCTCTGCAGCCTGTACGTTATTCCGAATCTTCCCACCCGCGATCTGTACACCGTACCTCCCGCCCGCACTTCTCTCAGAAATATGAGCCCGAGGCAATGCCCACTCCGGTTGATGCCCCTGCAATAACGGCGCACTCAACCCCATCTCGGAGACGGTCACGTCCGCACCAAACGATTTACAGATCCGGCGGAAGGGGATGTTTCCTACTGTCGTTAGTGGAGCGAGGATTTTTGCGCCGGAGAGGTGGAGGCGGTGTTTTTCTTGGGGGCGGTAGCGGGATTCGAGGTAGGTTGCGCGTTGGTCTGCTAGGTCGTCCGGGGTTGGGCCGGGGCCTGACTCGGCGGAGGAGGGTTGGGCGTCGGTGGTCTTCGCATTTTCGGGGGTTTGGTTGATTTTGGCACGAGCTGCATCCGCCCTCTTCGCTTCCTCGATCTCTTTCTCAAGCTCAGCCATATACACCTCACTCTTGGGTAGTTTCATCTCATGCGTCCTCAACGCCTTCTGCGCATCCCTCCCCACAACATTCAAATAATCACCCTCATGCGTTCTCGCCCTCTCCTCATCCACCACGAGCTTCCACGTGCTCATATCATCCTCCACGACTTTTTCTACATGACCACTGAGGAAACGGCACTTCCAGCCGGCGTCACAGCGACCGGTTGAGGCGAAGACGGGACAGGTGGGGGAGATGTCGGGGGGTTTGGAGGCGAGGTAGGTGGGGATTGAGTGGGTGAATTTGCAGGAGGCGCCGAACGGGCAGGGTTTGTTCAGCGCGGTATTGCCGCAGAGCTTGATACCCGACTCGCCGGGGTTGTTGAATTTTCGGTTCTTGTTTTGTCCGCGTTTTCGCTTTTTCTCCCTGCTGGAGCCGGCGGGGGCGGGGTCGGGGGCGGTGACGTAGTTTGTCGCTGGATCGCGTTCGGAGGCGTCTTCGGGTGCGGTCACGGCGGCAGCAGCAGCAGCTGGGGATTCGCGAGGGAGGAGGTACTCTTTCTTGATCCGGGCGTATCCGGGTTGGCTGCGGTAGTACTCGGCCAGGGCGTCGGGATCGCTCAGCGTGCCTGACTGCTGACTCGTGTCCACAGCATCATCAGACATGGTTGGTGGTTACGTTGCTTGTTCTCACGCGTACGTTCTGCTTTTCTTGCTGGGACAGGCACGATGCAGGCACGGTGCAGGGACAGAGATATTGCGAGAGATAAAGCTACACCATCCATTTCTCGCACCCGTCCCAGACGCTTCTGAGCCACGACACTTCCGCACCCTCGTCTTGGTCTTTCGCCATTATTCTTGCCCAGTCTGCGGGACAGACGGCTTTGATCCATCCCAGACATGCAACGAGTATGAAATCCGCATACCCCGGCCCCCCATCACCACCCAAAAACCTCTCACCCCCACTCGGTTGTAGCCCCCTGAGTGTCGTTCTCAGCTCCGCCCAAATCCTCTCCTGTTCCTCCACCGGCGCGAGGAGTGATTCGATGTCCTTCCCGAGCCAGCGTTGACGTGATTGACGGAAATATACCTGACCCCGCTCGTCCAGGATGTGCGGCAACACGGGCCATATGACAGTGCGCGCGGGGGTGATGACTTCTTCGAAGATTTTTTGTCCTATGGCTTTCGCCATCTCCAAATCACCCAACATCGTAGCTTTTTCCGGCCAGTGTTTTTGGACCCATCCCAAAATCCCCCACGTACCACTGACAGCCTCTCCCTCACCCTCCCCACCCGGCACCAGCAACACAGGCACCGTCCACCCCGGCCCCCGTTCCCACCCCCCCACCGGTTCCACCCCCTCCAAACCCAGATCAGCCAGCGTGGGCTCGATATCAGGGTACGAGAGGAATTCGGTGCGGAATGGGATGTTGAGGTAGTTTAGGAGGAGACGGGTGCGGAGGGTGTGCGGGGACCATTGGGGCGGTTGGAGGCTTGAGAGGAGGTCGTAGAGGAGGAGGGGTGGGTCGGTGGTGGTTGCCATTGGGCGGGAGAAGGAGGAGAGTGGGAGTGGTGAATGCAGGCAGCGATGGGCTGGTGAAGCAAGTGAAGCAATTGCAATACAACACGCAGGCGGTGATCGCGTTCAAGTGTTACTGGGAGTAGTTGACACTGCCGTGAGCCAACGTTATCGATATCGGATGCCTATCTATAGCCATTGTCCCGACGACCTGAACTTCAGACCGATCGCGAGGAAGAACAGCTGGAATGAATGCCATTAAAAAAGCGTTATGAAACGTTACAACCCCCCTATATGCTCCCACCATACACTGTTTGCTGTCCGTAGGCCTTGCCGTGATACCCCGCGTCATAGCGTCACCGACTGTACCGTACGGTTGACTCGCGCTCACAAACCGAACACCGGAATCGCAATTGATCCACCATCAGCGCTGAACTGCCCCCATACATCCTCCGTCTGCCCTCCGGATCCACGCGTACGAGCACGACGACGACGACAATGTCCGCTCAACAACCCCCCGCTCCCACACCCGAGGAACAAGCACGCCTCCTCGATGAAGCACTGACGAGCGTACGACTACAAAGCGCACAAATGCGGAAATGTCTCGATAGTAATCGATTGATGGACGCGTTGAAACATGCTAGTACCGCATTGAGTGAATTGAGGAGCTCGAGTTTAGGGCCGAAGCAGTATTATGAGTTGTGTATGTAGCACCCCCCCGAACACTCTCCTGGTTCGATGGGACGAGCGCTAATGAATGATGGTGGGCATAGATATGTCGATTTTTGATGTGTTGAGGTATCTTTCGACGTATCTTCACGAAGCGCATTTAGCCGGCCGACACCACCTTGCGGATCTTTACGAACTCGTGCAGTATGCTGGTAATATCGTTCCGAGGTTGTACCTCATGATTACGGTTGGGGCGGTATATATGGGTATCCCGGACGCACCCGTGAAGGAGATCATGCGAGACATGATGGAGATGAGTCGTGGTGTCCAGCATCCTATCAGGTATGCGTTAGTGATGAATCGGGTATACACCCGCTCTTACTAATCCATGAATCTATAGAGGATTGTTCCTCCGTCACTACCTCTCCGGCCAGACCAGGGACCACCTCCCGACCTCCCAAACCCCCGACGACCCCCGCGGAAACCTAACCGACAGCACCTCCTTCATCCTCACCAACTTCATCGAAATGAACAAACTCTGGGTCCGCCTCCAATACCAAGGCCACTCCCGCGACCGCGCAAAGCGTACCCAAGAACGCCGCGAACTCCGCATCCTCGTCGGCACAAACCTCGTCCGACTCTCGCAAATCGACGGTCTCGGCCTCAAAGAATACTCCGAAGACTTACTCCCGCAGATTCTGGAGCAGGTGGTACAATGCCGGGATCAATTGGCGCAGGAGTATTTGATGGAAGTTATTATTCAGGTGTTTCCGGATGAGTGGCATTTGAGGACGCTAGGGCAGTTGTTGGAGGCGACGAAGAATTTGGGGCCGGGGGTTGATGTGAAGGGGGTTGTTGGGGCGATGGTTGATCGGTTGGCGGCGTATGCTGCAAGGGAGGCCGAGGCTGATTCCAATAAGGAGGACAATGTGGAAAATGTGGAACAAGGCGTGGAAAAGTTGGACCTCAACAACGGTGAGGAAAAGAGTGAAGGGGAGAATGGAGAGAAGGAGGAGAGATATAGGGGTATCCCGGTTTCGGTACCCTTGTTCGACATCTTTTGGACGCAGATCACCTCCCTGATTACTGCTCGTCCGGATTCTCTTACGATCACCGATATCTCCGCTCTCCTGTTGTCGATGACGAACCTCGCCCTCAACTGCTACCCAGAGAAACTCGACTACATCGACAAGATCCTCGCGTACGCCCGTACCAAGGCCAACGAAGCCAAAGAGGGTGATCCGCAGAACTTCAGAAGCGCGGAGACTACCAATAACTTCTTGGGCCTCTTGTTAGCGCCGGTTAGGGGGTATGAGACGCTCTTGACCGTACTCAAGTTGGAGAATTTTACGAAGTTTTTGGAGGGGATGGAGGAGGGTACACGACGCTCCGTCGCCGCTGAGGTCACACGGGCTACCCTCCGCTCCGGAACTCCGATCGAGACCCCGGAGGACGTGGAGGGTGTACTCGAGTTGTGTAAGGTCTTGATCACGGATAGCGGAGCACAAGCAAATTATCCACAAGTCGCAGGTAAACGCGGTGATTCGGAAGACATTATCGAAGAACAAGGATGGCTCGCACGAATGGTTCATCTATTCCGCAGCGAAGATCTGGATACGCAGCTCAAGCTGCTACAAACCGCGCGGAAGGCTCTTGCAGAGGGTGGAGAGAGGATGAGGTATACCAGCCCTGCACTCGTTACTGTCGGGTTGAGATTGGCGAGGAGTTGGAAGGGGAGGGAAGGGGTGGACGAGGAGTGGACACAGAAGGCGGGTGCGGTGTATAAGTTCGTGCATCAGATCATCACGGCGCTCTCGAACCGCGTCGGAGCCGCCGCAGAAATGTGTTTCCAGCTCTACATCTTCGCGGGACAAATCGCCGATCAAGGTGGTGCGTTCGAGGAGATCGCGTACGAGTTCTTTGCGCAGGCGTTCGTGGTGTATGAGGAGTCTATCTCCGAGAGCCGTGCACAGTTCCAGGCTGTATCGTCGTTGTCGAGGGCGTTACAGAGAACTAGACATTTCGGGGGAGAGAACTACGATACGCTCATTACGAAGTGTGCGTTGCATGGGAGTAAGTTGTTGAAGAAGCCGGATCAGTGTCGGGCTGTGTATCTGGCGAGCCATTTGTGGTGGCAGACGGATGGTGATGCACCGGAAACGGGAACCGAGGACGAAAATGGAGAGGAGAAGAAGGGAAGCTCGGGGGAGTTGTGCTGTGTGCCGAATCGCGTGTTGGAGTGTCTTCAGCGTGCGTTGAAGATCGCTGATGCGTGTATGGATACGCAAACGAGTGTTTCGCTCTTTGTCGAGATCCTGGATCAGTTCATTTATTATTATGAGCGACAGACAGAATCGGTGAGTTTCGCCCCTGAGATTCATGATATAGCGGAAGGTTTAGGTACCATATACTGACACGTGCGCGGTAGATTACTCCGAAGTTCATTAACGGCCTCATCGAGTTGTGTCAGCAGAATATCGCGAATATGGAGCCGCCTAGGAATGAGCATTTCGAGCGGACGTTGAAGTATATTGAGGTCAGGAGGGGGGGGGATGATCGGTGGATGAGCATTTCTGTTGGGCACTAGAATGGAGATGAGGAACGATGTTGGGGAGGTTTGCACGGAAAGAAGGAAGAAACGATGGTGTTGTGTTCTTGGCGTTTGTGTACGATTGGGATATACAACACCAAATGTTACGTTTATGGTAAGCAGCGAGGCTGGGTTGTCCAAATCCATATCGATGTGGTATTTCGATGCGAGAGCCAAGCTTTTTAATCAATTGAGCCGTGTCTCCCTTCTCTGATCCGCGGAGTACTCTCACGGCGTTTGAAAATCTCTCTGAGGCATCGAGAACGATATCCATGCATATGATTTCCCCACGGTTACAGCTATAGCATCGCGGAAAAACGGCCTCGATGTGTACGGCAGGTGTACCAGCCGTGAAGATGCATATTTCCCGATCTGATAATTTAGGATGCCGAAGAAGGGACGCACCTTGGAATTGGGGACGGTGGTGAAGGGCCCAAGGCTGCGAGTATATCCCTCATGCCTGCCCCAGCGGCTTCTCCACAGCCACCCAGGTCCTCCCGCAATCCACGAGCGTTCTTAGAGGAGAAACTGGCATCTAGACCTGACCGTTCACTACCGTTGTCTGCCGTGGTCCCTTCTAGTTTGGTGGTCCCTTCATGCAACGCTCTTCTAAAAACGCGCACGGACCGTCCGAGGCGCGCCCCGGTCGACCGGTCAACTGCTGAGCCCTCTTGGATCCTCGAAGCGTCCAAAACCTAGTCGACGCCGAGATCTGACACAGCCCAAAAGATCGTCCAATTTCATGCAAAGCATGGGCAATATGACAATGTCATCGTGCAGTTGGATTTTCGTAGCGCCTCGGCGGCTGGCAATCATGGTGAGGTCCTGGAAGGGAATAAAAAGGATTGGCACCTCGGCGGGCTGGCGTTCGAGTTTTCGTACGATACGAGCTGATCCGGATCCGCGCATCACCAGCTGAGCTCACGAATACGAACAGTACATACCCGTACTTTCTGTGGTTGTTGTGCCATTAACCTTGTTTGATCTACGCGAACCGAGCGTTAAGGTTTGGTTTCGAGAAGTTCTACTAGGAACGTCGGAGACTTTCTTCCACCACCACACACTGTCATAACGGATGCGATTCCTTCAATTCGCGATGGCGACTCTGGCTGTCGCAACTGCGACTCAGGCCTATTCAACCTATGACAAGAAGATCCTGTCCGACTCTCCCGTCCTCTACCTCTGCATGGATCCCGCCAGCTCCTCCACTGTTGATGGCAACTCCACCGAGAAAGACCTGTCGGGTTCGGGTACGGAAGCACTCTACAACTGCGACTGTGGGACAATGATGTCAGCACACCTTCCCAACGGCGACAAAGCCGTCAACTTCACCGGCACGCAATATCTCGAAGTTGCATCCTCCCCCAACTACTCCATCCCCACCACCGGCGGTCTCACCCTCGAAGCCTGGATCGCGCCCTCGACGTTGCAGTTCGCTGACGATGAGTCGACTGGTTATGTCCACTGGCTGTCAAAGGGCACGACGCAAGCTCCGGAATGGGTGTTGAGGATCTACTCGTACAACAACACCGAGAACCGTCCAAACCGAATCTCGGCATACGCGTTTAATCAAACTGGTGGGTTTGGATCGGGCTCGTACTTCCAGGATGCGGTGACGGTGAACCAATGGATCCACGTTGTCGGCTCCTACAACCAGACCGCGTCGACAAAATATCCCCGCGGGTACGTCAAGATTTACAAAAATGGAATCCTCCGCGGTACCACCGGTTTGGATCAATACAACACAGTCCCCTGGTCCGGCACGGACCCCCTCCGCGTCGGTACCCGCGACTTCCGCTCATTCTTCGAGGGAGCGATTGGCAAAGTAGCTGTGTACCCTCGAGAACTGGACGCATCGACGATTATGGGGCACTATGAGGCGATGACGAGTAACGGAACAGCGTACATGTATTCGTATTGACTAGTCAATACGGTTCTTGTTGTTAGTCTTGGGATGTTGATGAAGGGTGAGTTGAAGAGGGATTGGAAGGAGTGGAGTTGACAATTAATGAGGAAGGTACCAAGATATGGTACCTGTATTTACTTAGGATAGATTAGCATACCTTTTTCCAATAGCATACATCCACAGCTTCTACGTTAATGTCTTTGCACCGATTGCGCAGTCATCGTTCACATACACTTCGCACGCGTGGGATCAAGAAAAACGGAAAACCAAGTACAAGCACAAAGTCAAATTCCGATGGAGAAAACGCCGGGTATACCTCTACCGAATGTGAAAAAGACCAACACTACATACTAGGATCATTACAACTCATCCCCTACCGTCATCACCGCGTGCTTCCCATAGGCTTCCTCAACGTAGACGTACTCGTTCCCCGAACCCGACTCACAGTCCCCGTTCCGCCCCTCGTACTCGCCGTACCCGTTCCTGTCGCAGCATCCCTCGTACTGCCAATCATGCTCGAACCTCTACCAACCCCACGGCGGATACCACTCGATGTCGAACTTGTCGTACTCGTCTCCGAGGGCGTGATACGTCCATACCCCGAACTCCGCACAACAGGCTTCGTCGTCCCACGAATCGTCCTTCCACCACGAGTTCCAGTTCCAGCGGACGACGTGGGTGCCGAATTAGCTGCCGCGGCTCGTGCGACACGTTCCTCCTCCGCCCGTTGTCTCGCTTCCCGTTCACGGACTTCTGCTTCGGCTCTCGCGCGCTCGGCAGCGATTTGCGCAGCTTGTTCCCGTTCACGGTGTTGTTGCGCATACAGCGTCTCCGCCTCCGCTCTCTCCAAATCTGCACTGGCGCCCTGCCATCGCGAATCGAGGAGTAATCTTTGCGTGTGGTCTGCTTGCGAGAGTACGCGGATCCACAAGTCGAGGAGACGGTTTGTGGAGTGGACGGTATGTGCGACGTGGGTCATGTTGGACTCGGTTGATTGGAGGGAGGAGAGGACGGTTTTGATGGTGTTGTTGAGGGCTCTGACGCCGGCGAGTTCGGCTTGGAGGTGGGCGTCGCGGGGGGAGATGTCATCTTGGGGGTCCGAGGAGGAGGGGTTGGGGTTGTGGAGTTGAAGGTCGGCGAGACGGAGAGGGATATCGCGTTCTTCGCGGTCGTAGGACATTTTGGAGTATTCGAAAGTCAATTGAACAAATGCGACCGAGAAAGGTTATGGTGTTTTGACAGGCGCTTCAGTACGGCATGGGGGTGCAGTGTAAACACTGAGGTTATTCTGAGAAGTAAATCGAGAAAGCATATAAAAATCACCATTGTTTTCAAAAGTTATATCCATAAATCCTACTGTACTCCAAGATTGTCGTACAGAGATCACCATAACACGTACCCAATTGAGAAAACAGATGAAGGGGCTGGTCAACGCGCTCAACCGCGTCCTTCAGCAAACTACTGCACAGAACAGCGAACCTCCATCCAAACACCTTATACCCTTTGACGAATACCGAGCAGGCTCATCGTTCGTCAATTACTTCCTCTTTTCACGACTTCTACGGCGCTACACTGCGTTTTCCAACGATACCAATACCCGCACCACGAAGAACGATTGAGATGACTGCATCACCCTCAACCCCACCCTCTCGATTCCTCCGCAGCACAGGCGCTCATTCACCTCCTCCAACACCTCTCCACGGAGCACGGTATGATCCGGACACACACATCACTCGCCGGCCTACACCTCGGCCTACCTGCTCTGGCACTGCGTCAAGAAGAGGAGCACAGGCACAGATAAAGGAGATGGAGCAGCAAGTACGACCAGTACCCCAAGGCCTCGCAACACCAATGAAAACACCCGCAAGAAAGCGCATGAATGCGCTGGATACTGTGGGTGGTCGTACGAGCCGAGTTCTCTTTCCCGTCCCAGAGGCACCTGTGGGTGATATCGATATCTTCACCGACTCCCGAGATCGTGTACCAACCCTCGACAGCGATCCCTCAAATCCATTCAATGCATCACCGATGCCCTCGTCGCCCTCAGCAAATACCCGGTCAAAGTCAAGAAGACCGGTGCCAGGTGCGCCGAGCGAGGATGGCATGGTCTACGTCTTCCGCGGCAAAAAAGTCGTCCGTAAGGCACCAACGACACCCTCTTTCGCCGACGATCTCGAACCCACCCGACTCTTCGCTCCACCTCCGGCCGCAGAAAGGCCGATCTCGAGTGGAAGCGCAATGGACCTCGACGAGCCCGATCTCGTCCCAGCCACGCCTGCACGAAGAGTCGAGAAGAAGAGAAAAGTGGAATTCGAGCCCATTACGCCCATTACGGGACATAGGTCGCGTGTTATGCAGGGTGAGGTGGAGGGTGAGGGTGTGAGGAAGAGGTTGAGGTTTGCTTAAGCTTCATGACGCTCGCTTGGGACTTTCTTTCTCTTCGTTGGGGGGGTTGCTGGCGACTTCCCTCCACGCTTTCTTCAGGACTTTTTCTTTTAGACGCCTTTTATTCCAGTATCGGTTACAGCAAGGATTTGGTAGGATAGGTTTTTTGTGCGTTACATTACTAGCGGAGGCAGTATGGAAGGTAGGAAAAGTGGGACGAGCCTACCATTAGGATAGCCAATTGAAAGATGTCATATCTTTTACCATGCCATGTCAAGTCCTCCTCATTTGATTATGATTGGCCATTCGTACAGGGGTGTACGTAGACGTACGGACAACTCGTGGTTCAGATGATGCAAATTTTTGATTACGATCTCCTGCCAACGAACGTATGCTGCTTCGCCTATACCACCACTAAATCACCCGAGCCCCATTCAACGTCCCTTTCCTCCCCTCTTCTTCTTCTTGTTCTTCTTCTTCTTCGAAGACGTAGGACTCAACACCTCCGCTCCTGCCTCATCCTGACCCTGCTCCTCACCTTCACCTTGGGCAGTCTCCTCACTCGCAGGTTCCCCACTCGACAAGCCCGACGATGCGAAAGCCGCCGCACTCGGCGGTCCGCTAAGCAACGGCTCAGTCTCAGTCGACGTCGGTTCCTCTTCCACCTCCACTGGCTCCGCTTCCGTCTTGGCCACCGCCAGCTTAACTTTCCCGTCCAAAATGACGGGCGTGATCCCCGTGCCCTCAAGAGCCTCGCTCGGCAACGTCTTGATGGCCTCCATCTCTGCAACCAGCGCTTGGTTGTCTGCATTGTCCTCCAACAAGTTCCTCACACAGAAAACTGCATGTTCGCGAAGATAGGGGTTGTCGTCGTCCACATTACATTGACTCAGAATCAACTCAACTCCATGAAGGCGACGAATCTCATCCTGTACAGATTGTGACCGGTAACAGAGTGTACCAAGTAACTTCACTGCATCACGCTTGACAAATGCAAATGCTTTCATTGAGTCGGCTTCAGCGGTAGGGTCATATGGCGATGAGGAGACACTGCCTGAAGACTTGATTGTCCGGCACGGAACATAAGTGTTAGCAGCACCAAGCAAAGCGATGGTAGTCTCAAGTACCCCATTCTTCAAGAGTGTCTCCTTTGCGGATGTGTCAGAGCATAAGTGCGTCAACGTTTGCAACAATAGAACAACACCAGTCCAAACTGATGTCGCATCTGTTACATCCATCTTCTCGTTTGATGTGTTTGTTGACTGATCGTTATTCAGTGCCTTCATGAGGAATGAGGATCGGTCTGCAACGGCCTTGAAAACCTTCACCAAGGACTTCGGGAACTGAGGTTGTTGCGTCAAGTCAATCTGCTCTGAATCCAACATTGCATCCACGATCTTCAAGATATTGAGCTGCGGATCTGACAAGACATAATGGTCACTCTTGGCAACAGCGTAGAGCTCCTCAAATCCACCATTCTTGATGACTGATGCAATGATGTAATATGTAAGCTCAAAAGCTTCTGGTTGAGATTCCTCAAATGAATCGTCGGCAATCATGGAAAGCTGGCGCAGGAGTGCCTTCCCAGAAGAAGTATTGAGCAACGTGTCTCGCAATGATGCCTTCTCTGAAATGCAGTTCCAGGTGAAGAAAAGCAAGGGCAGAATAGCCTGTTTTGAGGAGAACGCAAATAGAGAATTCATGAACTTTTCATCAGCATAAGCAACCCAATTCATCCACACTCGCTCCTTCTGCTGAGTATTGCCTGCAATCATGTTTGAAAGGACTTGCAGGGATGTTGTAATGAGATTTGACAAAGCTGCATTATCCGCATTTGCCAAACAGGCTTGTAAGACACTCTCAACAGTTTTGTCAAGGTTGGCATTACCAGCATTGTCCTGGGCTTGTTGACCAGCGGCAAGGAGATTTCTTGCAAAAGTCAAAAAGTTCTTGATGGTCTCTGATGACTCCTGTCCTGAGGTGATGCTGGTACCTTGCACAACAGCGACGAGGTTACTCCACACCATTGGTTCCTCACCCAGAAGCTCCCTCAGATTCGCATTTGATTGTGTTTCAAAAACAATCTGCTTCAAACTTTCAAGGGACTCGGTTGACGACCCATGCTGGAGGCTTCTGAGTAGACTGACCGTACGCGAAGGCTCGGTCTCCTCCGCCTGCTCCGGTTGCGTCTGCGCATCCTTGACATCGGCTTCAACCCCAGCCCTTTCCGGAACAGGTACAACCGGAACGACCGGCGCTCCAGGCAACGCGGCCGCCTCCCCCGCCGGTCCCTCTTCCCCGCCCACATCCTCCGTCTCAATCGGAGCGGGAGCCTCGGGCTCAGAATCCTCCTCGTGAGCCGCATCGAGGTCCTTGGGATCGGCGACGGCGCCGTCCTCGGTGAGAGTTAGACCTGCTTGCTCCAAAACTGCGGCAGCGTTTCCCGCGGGAGAAGCCGGGTTGGCATCGGCTTCCTCAGCGACAGGTTGCGGTACTGATGTGGGTTCAATATCGGTGAGCTGAATGAACGGCCGTGGTTGCTCGGATGAAGTCTCAGCCTCGACCGGGGCCTTGACGCTCTCGGCCGCCTTCACAGCCGGCGTCCCACTTCCACTCCCTTCGCCGCTCCCCTCCCCCGCATCCTCCAACAAACCCCTCTCCGCCTCATCAACCTTCTCATCTGCCTTCCTCGCCCTCTCCTTCTCCGCCCGAATCTGCTTCTCCCACATACTCCTATATGTCCCATTCCCATGCAAAATCAGCTCATCGTGACCCCCAGCCTCAACTAACCGCCCATTCTGCAACACCAAGATCTTGTCCGCATCGGTGATGGTGGAGAGACGGTGAGCAATAGTGAAAGTTGTACGGCCTTGACGGAGAGTAGCGAGAGCTGATTGTATTTCTCGTTCGGTGGTGGTGTCCAGGGCTGAAGTAGCCTCATCGAGGAGGATGATCTTCGCGTCTTTGAGGATTGCACGAGCGATTGCTACACGCTGTTTTTCACCGCCAGATAGGCGAAGCCCACGGTCACCGACCTTCGTCTCGTACTTATCCGGGAAACTCAGAATCCTCTCATGGATCTGTGCCGCCCTCGCAGCCTCATAAACCTCTTCCTCCGTCGCCTCGGGCTTCGCGTAACGGACGTTGTACATGATACTCTCATTGAACAGCACGCAATCTTGGGGGACGACAGCGATGTGCTTCCTCAACGAGTTCAGAGTGACATCACGGATATCCTGACCATCGATCGTGATGGATCCAGAGTCGACATCATAGGAGCGGAAAAGTAAACGAAGGATGGTGGACTTGCCGCCCCCTGATTCACCAACAAGAGCAATAGTCTCACCAGCCCTCGCCTGGAAATTTAACCCAATCAACGCAGCCTTACGCTTGTCATACGCGAAATGGACATTGTCGAACACAATTTCACCGCCCTCATTCAGTTCGAGGTCATGCGCATCGGGCGAATCAACAACCGTCGGCTTTTGATTGAACAACTCAAGCATACGCTCCGCATCGACCAAATTCTGCTGAATAGAGCGATAGTACATACCGAAGAAGTTGAGCGGTTGTTGGAGTTGAACGAGATACGTCAAGACAGTGACGAAATCACCAACAGTATCCTTACCCTGGCTCACGCGGTACGCAGAAAGCAGACAAGAAGCCAGGATACCGAGCGTAAAGATCAATCCCTGCGTTACGTTGAGCGCGTTGAGGGAAGACATGACCGTGTACTCCGATTTCTGCACGGTCCTGATCGCCTCCCTAAACCTGTCAAACTCGAAGTCCTCTGCGTTGAAATACTTCACAGTCTCGTAGTTCGACACAGAATCAGTCTTGATCGCAGCAGCCGCCCGACTCTTCGTGACCATGTCCCTCCTAACAGCCGTCCTCCATTCCGTGATCTTGACTGTAAAGTAAAGATAGGAGACAGTAACGCACGCCACAACAAATGACTGATACGCGTCGAACTTGACAGAGAAATACGCAATTGCAATCAACAAGTCCACAATCGTCGGCGCAATCTGGAACAAGACCTGCTCCAACACTGAGTTGATCGATGTTCCATTCGAGAGTGCCTGCAATACCTCCCCAATCTTTTTCGACAAATGAAAGTCCAAGGACAAGGACATAACATGCTCATACGAACTCGTCGATAACGAACGGTAGGTATACTGATACACCGGAATCCAAATAACACTTCGCACCGCGCCCAACACTCCCATATTCCCCTGCAAAAATCGGAACAACACATACATCAAGACGGAGGTCCACATCCCCTTTCCATGATTTTCCTCACTGAGCTCATCGGTGACGATACCGAGTTGACGAGGCACGAGGACGTTGACCCAGCGTTGCAGAAGGAGGAGGATGAATGAGACAATGACGATGAGTTGGAGTTTGACGTCATTGCGGGGCCAGAGGTAGGGAAGGAGGACAGAGAAGGATTTGACGTAGGCCCACCATCCCTCCTTCTGCTTCGTCTTCTCGGCCGCAGTCTCGGGCTTCTTGGCGTTTCCGTTCTGCGAGGGCGTTGAGGTTCCAGAGGGGGTCGCGCCGTATGTGCGGGTACCATTGCTCGCTGCATCCCCGAGGAGTGGCTCCTCTGCACTATCTTCAGAAGGACCCACCCTCGAACGCAAAAGTGCCCACAGAGACCCACACAAGATGATACACACGATCCTGAAAACGCTGATTCCCCACCACGCACCCCTCCACAAATTCCTCTTCGGCAACGGCTCGTATAACACGATCACCGCCTCACTCGCAACAATCAACAGATAACTTCCCCAGACCGCGGGGCGGAGTTGATCTGTTCCGCGGGACGCAGCGGCAAGGAGAGAGAGCGTGAGCATACCGCTGATGAATGTGAGAGAGATGACGTAGATTACTGTTGACTGGGTTGTCCACCATCCCTTTTTGATGAGAGCTCGTGCGATAACGAGACCGGCGTTTGCGACGTAGGAGAGGGGGATGAGGAGGGAGAAGACCGTGAGCCATCGCAATAATGTCGAAGGCTTGGGCGATGCTGTCCCTTTCTGTGGAAATGCTGATGCGAGGGAGTAAAAGATCAGAAGTACCGGTGGGACGCTGAAGTGCACTTTGAACAACCCGTAAGTCAGAATGCACGGGGAGAACGAGGGAAAGAGAACGCACGCGTATCAATAACACTGTTCGTCGAGTGTGAATCCATTGCTGGATCTACAACAGCTGCTGCCGGGTACCAGTGATGAGATGAGTTCGTCGGACTTTATTTCTCGGGAAATGTCGCCGAGGACTCGTACGACGTCAGGTGCTGCAGCTGGCCGTGCGCGACGTTCAGGCGTGAGGTGACTTGAAGTACCAGGAAACCTCCCTTGGTCAAAGGATAGGAGGAAGGGAAGTATTGTCACTTGTCGCCGAATTCAAGCTCTACCAAAATTGTCCCCGTCTCAGAGCACCTCACTTTACCTCCTGCAGAACACCGCACCTCTGGCACCCGCGCATCTCGAATCCAAAAATCGATGACCTCGAGAATCCTTACAAGAGCAATCCCAAAAATGTCCAAGGTCAACCTCGCTATTGTCGGTACGCTACTTCTCCTCTCTCCCAAATGCTCCTACTAACTGGATCACTCAGGTGCCGGTCTCGTCGGCGGAGACTTCATCGACCAAGTCGCATCCTACAACACCCGCAACCCCTCCACCCCCCTCAACGTCATCTCCATCTCCAAATCACGCACGGCGCTTCTCTCCCAGGACTTCGCTCCCATCTCTCTCACCAACTGGCGCGACGCACTCGCTTCCGCAACCACCGCCGCTCCCTCCCCCGCCGAGTTGGCTCAATGGTTGTCCACTTCCCCTCTTCCCGTGATCTTGGTGGATAACACCTCGTCCCCCGACATGGCTGATGCCTACCCCCTCTTTGCATCAAAGAAGATCCACATCGCAACCCCGAACAAGAAGGCATTCTCCTCCTCCAACGAGCTCTTCCAGAAGATCCAGGCTGCGGCCAAGGAGAGCGGTGCCTTGATCTACCACGAAGCCTCCGTCGGTGCTGGATTACCCGTCATCTCCACCCTCAACGACCTCGTTGCAACCGGCGACCGCGTCACCAAGATCGAGGGAATCTTCAGCGGGACTCTGAGTTATATCTTCAACGAGTGGTCACCCTCCGCGGGGCCCGGGACCGCTGCGTTCTCGGATGTTGTTAGGGTTGCGAAGGAGAAGGGGTATACTGAGCCCGACCCGCGCGATGATTTGAACGGTCTTGATGTTGCGCGTAAGCTCACCATCCTCGCTCGTTTGTCTGGATTGGAGATCGAGTCCCCCACCTCGTTCCCCGTCCACTCCCTCATCCCCTCCGCCCTCGAATCCGCCACTTCCGGCGATGAGTTCCTCGCTGGTCTCCCCGCGCACGACTCCGAGATCGCACAACTCCGCACCGACGCCGAGTCTAAGGGCCAAGTTATCCGATTTGTCGGATCTATCGACGTCGCCTCCAAATCTGTCGCTGTCAAGTTGGCGGCATTCGAGAAGAGCCACCCCTTTGCGTCATTGAAGGGCAGTGATAACATTATCTCGTTCTATACCGAGAGATATGGTGCTAGTCCGTTGATTGTGCAGGGTGCAGGTGCTGGAGCGGCGGTCACTGCTATGGGTGTTTTGGCGGATTGTTTGAAGATTGCTGGAAGGGTGTAAGTTACGTCTACGATATCGTGTACGAAGTATGGCTAGAGCATACAAAATTTGAAGGAACTGGACATCTTTACAGAATTTCCTACGTAAGTTTACCCGCTTTGGCCATCGGTAAGTAAGCAGCGTCCAGGTCTCGGCTTGCAGCACGTACTGTACGGCGGCGGAGATGCACGACGATGCACCCGCAATTATATTGCAGATTGTCAACGTTACACCCCAACACCCATCTGGAGGTGCTCAATCCGGGTTGTGTATACGTTACCGTTCATCCTGTCCGTTTCGCCGATACCCTCGACACCAACTCCGGCCTTAAACGGCCTTCCTCCCGGCTCTGCACCGCCTGATCCTCGTTTATTTCCGACACGCACTCGGCGACTTTTCGTAAAGTCCAAAGGATGTCAGAACACGACGCCCAATACCGCAAAGCCTGCGAACAATGCCGGAACCGAAAACTAAAATGTACCGGTGAACGTCCGACCTGTGCACGGTGCGCAAAGTCCTCCGGTACGGAGTGTCTGTATTTACCCAATGCGCCAACGGGGCGGCCCAGTAAGAGGGCGAGGACGACAACGGAGGAGAGGAGTCCGTTTACGCCTGTTGTGCAGAACGATCATATTGAGCAGAATGGCCACGGACACGGACACGGGCACGCGTATGGTGGTGGGTTGGAGGGAACAGCGGGGATCAATGATGCGGATTTGACGCAAATGTTGGATTTGGAGTTCGGTATGGGGGACGGGATGACATCCGAGATGATTCGTGATGCGGAGGGGATGGCGTTCGTTATGAATGGGATGCCGATTACGAATTTTGGGATTGGGGTTGGGATTTCGTCTTCTTCGCCATGGGATTTCGGGAATTACTCTGATACCATACCACAACCACAACCGCAACCGCAACCGCAGCTGCAGTCACAGCAGCAACAGCAGCAACAGCATCAATTTTATGGTCATGGAGGGGCAGGGTACGGACATGGACAGATACAAAGTCCCCAGCAGCAGCAGGCCGTGTATACACCCACGATGGAGAGCCCGTCGATGATGGGCTCGTACACTCCCACCATGACGCCAGGGTTCTCGCCATCGCTTCAGCAGAGACAACTCGGGACACCCCTAATTCCACAACCACTACAACACATGCCAGTGCCAGTGCCAGTGCCGGCCCCAATACCAATACCAGCACCAGCGCCCGTGGAAGTACAACTGCCAGCAGCCGTGGCAGAACAAGAACCACCAAAATCCTCCTGCTGCTGCTCAAGTAAAAAGAAGACCACAATAACCACCTCTTCGCTCCCTCCCGCCGCTTCCGAAATCAAACCAGAACCCGCACCCCTCCCTCCTCCCCCCGCACCAGTCCCGAAATCCTGTCCAGCGACGAGTATAAGGACAATCTGTGTCCCAGACGCAGACGGCTGCCCCTGCGGCTCAAATACAACGAACCTCCTAATCTCACTACGGAGAATCATCCGTAACGCAGCGGACGAAGAGGCAAAAGCCGCTACCCCCGAATCGCCCGAAATCCAATCCTCCTCCAAAAACGAGGGTGGCGCGAACTCATTAAGCATCGCCCTCTCCATCGCCCAATCTGCAACAACCCAATGCTCCTGCTCCGCAAACTGCACAAATTGCGCCTCAGACCCCTCCCTCCCCCTAACCTCCGCCACAGTCCTCGGCCTCGCACTCCAAGTGTACCTCCAAGCTATCCGAGTCCTCCAATCTCAGAGTCAAAAATCCGTCGAAGGGCTGGAGGTCATGGTGGGTGGCTTTCGTGTGGGTCCGAGGAATGCGAGGAGGGTTGCGTTGTATGCGACGGGGTTGGAGTTGAGGGGGTTGAGGGGTGCGATGGATGAGGTTATTCGGCGGGGGGACGGGAATGGGAACGGAGATGAAGAGGAGGGGGAGGGAGAAGGAGAAGGGGAAGGGCAGGGGGTTGTGGGGATTATGGTGGGGAAGATGAGGAGGCAGTTGGGGAGGGCGATCGAGACTGTTGATAGGATGTTGAGGGAGGCGGAGGAGGAGGGTGCGTGATGGCTGTATCGGCATGGGATGGGATGGGCATTTTTGGGGGAATGGAAACTTGCTCAGCGGGTCTGAGCCGATTTTTGAATAGCAACAAGCTCCACTCTATATCGATATCATTAGTTGCCAGGTATTGGTCAATGTTGCGTCTGAGATACGAAATGAAACTTATATGATAATCCCGCTTTGGTCGTGATGCTCCTCAATAAGCGTAAGCAGCGTGAAGCAATATTAGCGACGACTGTTAACGTACATCTCTTCGAATTCGTGAAGCCGGCGCCTGACTGATCCATGTAACCTACAGCATACTCTTCGTTATCTTCGCCTTTGCAGCATCATCCTTCCCAATCTTAGCTTCCAGAATCTTTCTGAACCCATCGAGTAGCTCTTGTGTTCTTCGCTCCCTCCACTGCGGAACATTCGTAGGATTATGCGTTTGTTTCGAGTTCTCTGTCCAATCATCCATCACTTCCGTGAGAAACGGGACCATCGCATCAACTACACCACAGTCAGCACCATCATCTCGCACCCTTCTCTCGACTCGGCAAAAACATACCCGTCCCCTGCACATCCTCAACACACACCAAATGCCCCCCACCCTCAACCACAACCGTCCTCGCCCCCGGCGTCCTCCCCTGCCGATCAACATTACTCTGCGCCGTATTCCACCTTGCTGCACCACCAACAACATACAGCACTGGTCTCCTCATATGCGGGAGAAGACTGAAGGTTAGGGATTGTGTGGTGGGGTCGAGATAGCACGCCGCTTCCTGGATCGGGGTGGTCTTTAACCTCACCTGGCCCCCTTCCTCATTTTGGTGGAGTGCAGTTTCGAGCCAGATATCCCACACGCGTTGATCCCACCGTCTATAAAATGATTTTTGGCGAAGGGAGAGGAGGGAAGTATCAGTCCGTGAGGGCCATGAGGAGGGTTTACGGAGGGTGTTGTGGAGGAGGAGGGTGGGTGGGGTTGAGATTGGGGCGTTGTGCGCGACGGGTTCGAGGGCGATTGTTGCGTGAATGAGGGTGGGGTGGAGGATTGTTGCCAATAGTCTACCGCCCAAAACATCAGCAAACCCCCAAAAGGAGGGGAGAGGTAGTGGGGCGTTTACGCTTGTGCACCGCCCATACTGTGTCCGACGAGGACAATCGGTTCGGTGAGATTCGCTTGTTTGATTACAGAGGTGATGTCCCGTGCACCATCTGCCCACGAATACTCCACCCCCAACTTTCCATCATTCAACACCGCCGAATCACCCTGATTCGCGGCATCGATTGCCCATACTTCCTTGATGTTCCGACCGATGGATGAATCGAACAAAGTCGCGATTAGAGGTTCGAAGGTTGATGATTGGAGCCCTGTTGCATGGAGGAAGATGAACGTGAATGGACCAGGCGAGGTGGTGGTTGGTATGAAGCGGAGAGTGGAGAGGAGGAGGTGGTCGGTGGGGGAGAAGGTTGAGAGGGGGGTTAACCGGGGATGTGAGGCTGCGAAGGTATGTTGGGACTTGTTCATTATCCCAATTGCAACTGGCTTTCTTTCTGCTTGGAGGTCGTGGGAGCTTTTGGACTTTTACGGCGTTCGGAATGCGAATATACTCATTACACACACGTGAAGAGTCGCTGGGATTTTATCAAGCGGATGACGTCACAGATGGCTGCTCTATGGCTCACGGTTGCCCAACGTTTGTATTCGTCTGTACGGAAGCGCTCCGCCAGGCATCTCTCCCGACGACCAATGAATGATAGACTGCGGCGGAGTTTAGGACGGATTGTGCGATATACTCTGCATTCGTTCTCCTTAATGCTGCTTTCTTCTTCCACGACCTCTCCGGCACGGCAACCTGGATGTCCTCCAACTCAACCGATATCGTGGTGTCTATCTTCTCCTCTTACGAAGTCTATTCCATCTGTCTTGACGTACGCTCTCTTGTATGTACGGGCGTGGGAACGCTGACCACCCGGACCCGCCAAAAAGAACGCCTTCAATTTTGGACAGATTGGGTGCGAATTATTCCTTTGGCGCAAACACGAAGCAATGCTTTGCATTATTACGATCATCGCTCGGCAAGACTCGGGGCTCTTCCGGGGTTGTTCGGATCTGGGAGCGAACCCTGTGAGTAACGTGCCCAGAACGCCTCTTCGTACGTTGCCGACTGACGAAAACATGTTTCCTGAGATTTCTATACCTTAACAATCCGATCAACTCCCAATCGTCCTACGCACTCACAACCGTCCCGGGCTCTCATCCGCCCACCGACACCCAGTTGGTCCGTGCGCGCGCCCGATCGCGACCTTCCCAGATGCGGCCCTCGAGAACACACATCCTGCAGCGTAAGAACAAAGGATATGAATTCTAGCTCTCCTAAGTCTACAGTAAAGAACCAGAGACATTTCGATCTTGGGCTTTCGGTATCGAGGGCGTACGGGCTTGATGTGGATTGCGATTGTGTGTTGAATAAAGCCGAGGGACGTCGCTCTGCCCGGAGGATAGACCCACAATGATGCTCTTGACGACGCTCTCCACTATTCTCATCGCTGCCTCAACTGCGGTGGGAATTACAGCTTCTCCCCTTGAGGCCCGTGCCGTCACCTCAGCATCGGGATCTTGCTCCTCCGGCCTTGCCGCAATATTTGTGCAGTCGTCATCCGCCGTGGGACCGTACTGCTCCTCCATCCTCTCCCTCACACTCACCAAGGTTACAACCGTTCCCGTTACCTCAACGGAGATCACGGGCACGGTGGTCGCGACCGTGAAGGTGACGCCGACGAGTACGAAGATCGTTAGTGCCGCTGCGAAGGCCGTGACGGTTACCGTCAGACCTACGACCGTAAGTGTGAGTTCAGGTGTGACGACGCAAAGTATTACCAAGACCGCGACGAGTACCAAGATTGTCACGAAGGCGGTTGTGAAGACTGGGACAGTTACGGCGTTCGCTACCGTCACTGCCACCGTTACGGCCTCTAGATCCACGAAAGCTAAGCGTGCATTGACAAGTGTGTCCGTCCCAGCTGTCGCGAAGAGCCAGAACAGTGCGAGTGTGAAGACTGCGTGTGGGTGTGTCGCAACCACCCCAACGCAGACCGTCTACAAAACGAAGACGGTAACGGGCAAGACAACGAGCACGAAGATTGTCACGGCTACAGCAAAGACGATTACCACAACGTCCACTCCAACAATGACCGTCACGGTCTCGAAGGGAACACCGATTACCTCCGTTTCGATGATGATCTCGACCAAGACCGTGACGGTCCTTACAACCCCCACGGTGACAAAAACCGCAACCCGCTCAACCTCCACCACAATCACCCATACCACCACCAAAACCCTAACCATCACTCCCTCCTCCACCGCCTCCACCCTAACCATCCCCTCCGCCTCAGCAGCCGCCTACGCAGCCTCCTGCTCCGCCCAATACTGGTCCCGCTTCGCCGGGTACATCGCCCCCCCAACCACCTCCTTCACCATGCTCACCAACACCACCGCCACGGACGCGGCAACCTGCTGTGCTGAGTGTTTTCTCGCGGAGAATGGATGTGCGAGTTGGGTTTTCGGGGATGTAGGGGAGGGGAGTACGGGGTGTTTGATGTGGGTGCCGACTACGAATGGAGTTTGTGGAACTGGAGGACAGGTTGAAGTTGAGGTTGTTTATGGGGGGGTTGGGGGGAGTGATGGGGGTGTGGGAGTTAGTGGGGTAGGGACTTGTGGGAAGTTGAGTTCATGAATTTGAGGAGGAGGAGGTGAAGGGGATTGTTGGGTGGACGCTTCTTCTGTATACCCATCTTTGACAAGACTATACCTTTTGACATACTCGATGTAGCAAAGATACGGAAATATTGGTATCCACTATCGTACACGCCCGTCTCAATATCGTGCAGACCCACCGTTTAGATTCCACGTCCACCAGTAACCTCCAAAGTGTGTCCACTGATGTAACTCGCCCAGGGACTACACAACAACAAAATACTCCCCGCAGCCTCCTTCGCACTCCCCGGCCTTCCAAGTGGGATATCACTCAAAGCCTTAACCGCATCATCACTCCCCTTCTTCCTCCCCCCCGGAATCCCCAACGCAACCTTCTTCCCCTCGACCTCAACAAAGGCGCCCTCCTCTTTGGCCGCAGTCAACCTGGTCTCGATATACCCAAACGCAACCGTGTTAGCCCTGACGCCAAAAGCACCCCATTCCTTGCAGATCGTCTTGGTGAGACCCACGACACCGGCTTTGGCGCAAGCGTAGTTGACTTGTCCGAAATTTCCGTGGAGACCGGAGGTTGAGGAGATGTTGATGATGCACTTGTTTGCATCCTTGTTCTTCGTACGGAAGTATTTTGCGGCGGCGCGGACGAGGCGGAAGGGTGCGGTGTTGTGGACGGTGAGCATAGTCTATCGCACAAGCCCCTGTCAGTCAACTTCTTCCGCGGACACAAAAGAGGGGAAGAGGATCATGTGTTACATACCTCCCACTGCTTATCCGTCATCTTGTGAATCGTCCCATCATACGTAAACCCAGCATTATTCACCAAGATATTCAACCCCCCAAACTTCCTAACCGTCTCCTCCACCAATCTCTCGGGGAAACTGGGATCCATAACATCACCCGGGATGGAGTGCGCGATTCCGCCGGCAGCGACGATCTCTTTCGTTACGGCTTCGGACTTTGAGGCATCGATGTCGGTTATGACGACTTTGGCGCCTTCAGCGGCGAAGAGCTTGGCGGCTGTATCTCTTCTGTCAGCGAGGGTTTGGATAGTTTACGCTAAGAGATGGCATACCTTCGGCTCCGATTCCTTGTCCGGATCCAGTAATGATAGCGACTTGACCGGCCAATACTCCCTTCGGGTGCGTAGCTGACGCCGGAGCGGCCAAGTGGTTTGCGATAAGGTTGAGACGGTTCGACATAATTGCTGCTGTAATAGATTACTCAGATCAATTGCTCCTTCTTCTGGAGGTGAGGGTCCTGCGGTTTTATCGACGCCGGTCTCGGTGTGGGGTCTCGCGAAATGCGGGGGTGCCGGGCGCCGATGCCGAAGCTCGAGATGAAATGCCAAAAATAGAAGTGCCCGACGAACGAGAAATGACAATGTATACGCTGACGGTACTAGGACGTATCATCTGAACAAAGTGAATCACAATCAAAAACACGGCTCTTACCTAATCTTGAATCTCCACGCTCTCCGCGATGATATCCATCATATCCATACCGGAAGACAAACCCACATCATCTCCCCTCAGTGTCCCTAATCATACAAACTCCCTTTCTACTGCTCAAACGCCTCCGGCTTCCACTTCCAGAATCCTTCCTGCGCAGGCATTCCCTTCGCATCCTTCCCAAGCAGATTAAGCAACTGCTCATACCATCCATCCCTAGGATCCCAGTTGAAGAAAGCCTGTTCCCATCCCTTTCCTTGCTCTGCTTCCTGCTTTCTCTTATCTCTCTGTGCCTGCTCCAACTTTGACTTCTCCCTGGCAGCAGCGTCGAAGTCGCCGGCGTTGAGGGCGGCTGCGACGGATTGCCAGACGCGGCGGGATTCGTAGGGGCCTGAGGCGGTGGGTTCGGGGACGGAGATGGGGTGGCGTGTGGGCGAGGTTGCGTCCCAGAAGGGTTGCTCGACCTTGTTGGATTCGTTGCGGAGGGTAGATTGTTTTGACCAAGAGCCAGAGACGGTGTACGAAGGCTTCTTCTGTCCCGGTGCGGTCAATGTTGCCTGTCAGAACTTACGTCAGTGTCATGCATTGCAACCAGTTTTGAAGATCTAACCTTCAGAGAGTTCTTCTTTCCACTGATCCATCCCTTTCCGGAGTAATCAATCGCGCTAACGTATCCGTTGCTTCCAACAATGTAACTCGTACCCGTCAACTCAACATACGGACTTCCCATAAGCAATCCCTCCAAAATCAAACCAGGCAGCGTGACCAAGTAGTGCTCCTCCGTACCATCAGGAAGGGTGAGGTGAAGCATAGCGTGTCCGAGCTGCTTAACCGTCATCGTGCGTCCCGAGAATCCGGTTTTCTGTTGACCGTAACCCTCAAAGGAGATCTTGTGCGTGGGGTTGTACATGCGGTATGCGAAGACTGGAGGGTGGTGCGAGACTTGCTCAGCGACGAGTTTGGTTGTACCGACATCACCACCAGTATTCCATTCTCCCTTGAACTGCTCACCAAGGATAGGATCTGTATCCGGGCTAATCAGCATGTCATCCATATACGCAACCAGAAAGGCCACATACTAAACGGCTTCTTCTCACTTCCCAAGTTCTCGTTCCTAGCAGCGAACATTCCCTTCAAAGTCGAGATATACCACCTCAGAACCGCCAAACACCTCTTCTCAACATCGGTCTCTTTTGCGATTTGGGCGAAGAGGTCGGGGTGCTCGCCCCAGTAGGAGCAGTACTCGATGAGGGAGGTGGACGAGAGGATGAAGGATGGTGCTGTCATGGAGGAGAGGTCACCGGAGAAGGTCATGATGGACTTCAAGAAGGACTATTCCACACACTATTAGTCGCCGTATCACAGAAGACGTAAAGACGGCGCAATGGCCTAGCCGAATAGGCACGAGATGGGAGCGCATACAGTCCAGCTGCCCCTATACACGGCACCACAATTAGCATTCAACCCCGGAAAAAGAGCGGGAAAACATACGCCTGAGAGGCGGGAACCTTGTTTGTCGTTTCGTCGTCGGCCATTGCAGCAATTGTACTGTATGGTCTTTGGTGTTTTGTCTGTTATTGGACCCTAGAGTGTGTGACGTTTGCTATCCGCATCGCGCACTGGACATACCCCTGCCATGCACGTGAGCCACATTCGTCGTTACAGGGCGGGTTTGCGTTTGCGATCACTTCCGGACACCTGTACACTATAGCTATGCTGGCCAGATCACGAACCTCTATAAGAGCCCTCCCTCGGAGCTTACGATCTTGTGTGCGGTATAACTCAACTCCGTCTTACTCTACACCAGCACCGCTTACCATCTCAAATGAACCGAACAAGCTCCCTCACTTCCTCGCAGAAACCATCAAATCAACCGGACCCATGACCGTCGCAACATACATGCGTCAATGTCTTACCAATCCCGAGGGCGGTTACTACATCACCTCCCCCACGCCTTTCGGATCCCGGGGCGATTTCGTCACCTCCCCCGAGATCTCCCAAATGTTCGGCGAATTAGTCGGTATCTGGATCCTCAGTGAATGGATGAACCAAGGCATGAAACCGGAATGTACGATTGTGGAGTTTGGACCTGGAAAGGGTACATTGATGGATGATGCGTTGCGTGCGCTCAGTAAGTTCAAGAACTTTTTGGGTGCTGCGAAGTCTGTTCATCTCGTCGAGGCATCACCTGCGCTTAGGGAGGTACAGCGGGAAAAGCTATGTGGATCGACGAAGATGGAGACTGTGGATGGGGCAGCCTGGTCCTGCAAATCGAAATACGGACCAACGATTTACTGGCACGAACACATCAAGGAATTACCGGAAGCCCTACCATCGCCGTTCATTGTCGCTCACGAGTTTTTTGATGCTCTCCCCATCCATTCGTTCGAACGTACCAAACAAGGATGGCGAGAGTTCCTTGTCGATACCATTGCCGCACGAGCATCCCCAATGGCCCGTCCCTCCGAACTACCACACAACCCCATGCTCATCTCTTCGACCAAACCAAAAGACGCGGACCCAGTCTTTCACCTAACACTATCCCCTAAACAAACACCACACTCCACCACCCTCCCTCACCTATCCCCCCGAACATCCTCACTCCCAGAATTGTCCCGCGTGGAGATATCCCCGGATACACTGAGTATCATACACCAACTCGCACTCCGCACCGCAGCCCACGGTGGCGCACAACTCATCGTCGACTACGGACCAGCCGAAACAGTGCCCGTCGATACCCTCCGCGGTATTCGCGCACATAAGATCGTGTCCCCCTGGGTCGACCCCGGTAAAGCCGATTTGTCCGCCGACGTGGATTTCGGTGCCATCAAGCATGCTGCAAAGGAAGCCAGTGGCGAGGTGGAGGTCCATGGACCGGTCGAACAGGGCGATTGGCTTCATGCGCTTGGTATCGGGGCCCGTGCGCAGGCATTGTGGAGTGCGCAGCGGGATGAGCCGGGGAAGAAAAGGGTCATGAGTGCGTATGAGAGGTTGACGGGTAAAGGGTTGAAGAGCATGGGGAAAATTTATAAGGTTATGGCTGTTGGGCCGAAAGGTGGAAAGACTCCGGTTGGGTTTGGTGGGAGCGTGTGATTCCTACCACTGGGATATTCACACGAATGCATATTTGGACGAATACTAAAACGTAACAACCACACAACTCTCAAATAAGCCCTCGCCTGAATCCATCATGCCCTTCACCAAGCCCCGACCTACCCAACAACATCTCCGGCGCCGTCTCATGGAGGACGTTTAGGGTCGTGTGAAAACGTAATGAATCAATAGTAACCGACGTCGAGAAAGAAAGGAATAGACTTTTCCTCCAATGAATGCCCCCATTCTCCATTTACTCCGCCCGCCAGCGAATATCATACAATTGCAATCTCCATTGAAACCCCATCTTAATGTCTAACTTCTTTGAATGCTCCTTTTCACCTTTCGCCCATACCTCACACATCTCAGCTCCTTCAGGGAGACGGCAAGTTTTCAATCTTGCACCTCTTATCCGCACTCCACCTCTCATCCATAAACTGATCCTTCACAGCCCAAAGCAACTTATACGCATTCCGAATCGTCGAATCACTTACACCCGCAATCTTTGAAATATCCGCCGCACTCCTCCCCATCCCAAACAAATGACTCATAAAGTAAATCTCGGCGGAAGCGATAGTAGTTGGCGCACGACCAGCCAATTTAGTCTTCGCGGCGTCTTTCTTGGCGAGTTCGGTTGCAGCGGTTTGGACGTAGACGGGGAGGTCGAGGGCGGAGCAGAAGCGGGACATGAGGTCTGCGGCGTCGGTTGCTTGTGTCGCGGTGTATGCAGTACGCGAGGAGTCCATGTGGGGGTTTGCCATTGCTTCTGTCTCTCCAGCTTGGGCCTGTTCTTGCAAGACCTTTTCCACCACCTTGAACACGCGTCCAAGATCACGCTTCTCGACGCGAGTGAGGGCACAGATCTCCTTGAATGTACGTGGGACATCGGATTGCCGTGTTGCGATGACGATACAGGAAGCGATGATCGAATCCTGGGTCTTTCCCTTCAACGTCTTCGCGTCCTGCACTCTGTTGTACAGATGCTTCACCACGTCAGTAATCTGCTTCGGCAAGTTGATCGCATCACAGAATTGCTGGATGATCTTGTGCGCTTCCACCAACTGCCTCTCATTCCTCGCGGAGGTCGACTTTCCTTGTGCGCGTGCCAACTCGCGAGCACGACCGGTCGAACCATCACGGGAGGAGATGATGGTGTCGAGTTGATTACCGGGAAGGAGATCGTTGCTGGCAGCACCGACACGGGAGGGGTCATCGCCGCCTTCATCGTTCGCGAAGGTACGCCATTCGGAGCGGGTGTCGACAATAGGTCCACCGGGCATCACCAATCCTGCGACCATTAGTATAAAAATGCGTTTTCTAGGAGCATATAGACATACATACCACAAGTCCCGCACACCAAATCACCATCCGAGAAGTTCTCAACCAAGTTTGGCGGGTCTTCCTGGCAGTACTTGCAGATGACCTTGACGTTGAGGTCTCTGTGGTAAGTCTCGGAGACAAAGACCATTTTCAACGTTGTATATGCGAAGCGAAACGAGCTAGAAAGCAGATGAGAAGTGGACGGGGACGAGGATGGAAGGTAGAAGTTGAATGTCAAGCTACTCGAGTAAGCGAGAAGAATGACTGCACCCAACAGTGTAAGCCAGAGGTTCTCGTAACGGGATAAATGCTGGCCAAGAGATAGAAAATGGACGTTTTATTGTAGCTAGGTACCTTTTGCAACAGTCGCAGACTCGCACCACGATAAGTGGCGATCGAACAGGGACTTCCGAAAACTTTGGTCGAAGCGCACAAGAACGGAGGGTTCGAAGAGAGTAATCAGGCTGTTCAGTGAACGATCAAGCTATCAGAAGACGGCTTCTGGTGGGTTACTTGACTTTTTGAAGGGCCAAGGACGAGGAGAAAGCGGTTGCTGGTGTCGTAAGAAGCACTCGTATCGATGCACCCTTCAGCTGACCTGAAAACGCCAGAACATGGGCACTCAGGGCAGGTAGTGTAAACATTCATAGTTGATGTGAATCAAAAGATAGCCTGACTCAAACTGTCACGAAGAATTGCTACGTGTGCCCGTCCCTCCGAGCCGCAGTGCCTCTTAGCACTTCCTCATCAACGCCCGACGCAGCTCTCCAAATATCAGATCAACCCACAAAATGTTCTCCAGGACTCTTCGATTGACTGCGGTACGTCTTTCCTATCCATCAGCACCTCGATCTCTTGCTGATTGATGTCGTATAGCGCGTCGCCCGTGTCCAGGTTGTCCCCGCCAGGACTTTCGCCATCTCCTCCGTCCGCTCCGGTACGTTCCCTTGAGCTTCAGCCTCGCGCGTTCTCCGTCCTTTACTCGACGTATTGAATTAGCGAGGGTGCTTTTTGTACGTCTGAATCAGCCCGCTAACCTTCATCCACAGCCGACCCCCTCCAGGACCTCTACATCAAGGAGCTCCGCTCTTACAAGGCCCCCACCATCAAGGCTTCCGACGCCGAGGGTCAGGTTAAGGCCTGGAAGGCCCCTGCCACCCCTGTCGCCCCCTCTGTCGAGACCGGTGACTTGGCTGGTGAGTTGAGCGCGTACGAGAACGAGACTGTTCAGTTGGAGGCTGTTGAGGCTGTTGAGGGTGAGGTTCAGAAGACCGGTGAATGGTGAGTTTCCTTCGATATCGGGACATTCTGGATGAGCATGGACGGCGGATTCGGGTCTGCGTCTGCGTTTTGTTTGGGGTGTGCCGGGGATGGAGTGAGTGAGGTCGGATGGCTAACATTGTTGATAGGTTCGAGGATGTTGAGGAGGTCTTCCCTGAGGCTTCCCACTAAGTGTGCCGCATTGGAGAGTTAAGATAGGAAAGAAGAGAGTATGATCTAATACCTAAAGGTGTGGACAATCGAAAAAAGTACCCTATACATACATATCACGGATTTCCCATCCGCAAACCCATGGCCCAGCCCTATTCTCGTTTGATCCATCCGGCCTATGCCCGGTCCATCTATACCCAAACTGCCATTGGTAGGCACAGCAAGACGTCCATATTTCCTCATCTTCCCGACTTTTCGATCCTAAAGCCGGCACGTGCAGCTGACGTCAATTGCAAGGCCAAACCGGGAAACCCCGCAAAGCCGAGGAAAGCAACGCAGCAAGCGACTAAACATTTGCGAAACACCATACAAACACCATGATCCTACGACGCGCCCTACGCGAAGCGAGTAGACAGCGGTAAGTCTTTTCACAACGAAACTGGTAATCGGTTACTGATGTGCGAGACTACAGATTGTGTACGGCGACGCTGCGACCGACGACGGCGACACGAGTGTATGGACGGCGCGTTGGTGTGCAATGGAGAGCGTTGACGGACGTAAGTCGTGTCTTATGTCAGGTTGGATGGTACTGATCGGCCGCAATAGGATTCAACTCCTCCATCTCCACATCCTCCACATCCGGTTGCTCCTGCTGCTAATGCTACTGCTACTACTACTACTGCTACTGCCGATGTTGCTGCTGCTGCTAATGCTACTGCTGCTACTACTGCTGATTCTGATGTTGCTGATGTTGCTGATGTTGCTGATGTTGCTGATGTTGCTGATGTTGCTGATGTTGCTGATGTTGCTGATGCTGATGCTGATGCTGCTGCTGCTAATGCTACTGCTGCTACTACTGCTGATTCTGATGTTGCTGATGTTGCTGATGTTGC